TCGTTGTCGTTGTCGTTGTCGTTCTCGTTGTCGTTGTCGTTGTCGTTGTCGTTCTTGTTGTCGTTGTCGTTGTCGTTGTCGTTGTCGTTGTCGTTGTCGTTGTCTTTGTCGTTGTCGTTGTCGTTGTCGTTGTCGTTGTCGTTGTCGTTGTCGTTGTCGTTGTCGTTGTCGTTGTGCTTGTCGTTGTGCTTGTCGTTGTGCTTGTCGTTGTCCTTGTTTTGTCGTTGTCCTTGTTTTTGTCCTTGTGATAGGCCACGCCGTTGCACCGAAGACAGTCAAGTGGATTTGGTTGTGTCCAAGTCCAAGTCCAAGTCCAAGTCCAGTCCAAGTCCAGGTCTAGGCCCAGGTCCCGGTGCGGTGCATGGATGTGTACGGAGTATGTTCTTGTTGGATCAAGGTCCAGGTCCCGCGGTGGTGCATGTATGTGTACGGAGTATATTCTTGTCCTTGGGTTCCCGTCTAGCCAGCTGGAGACGGATGTGTATTGTCCGACTGCATGTCCGACTGCATGTTCGTACTGTTTGTGGACTTGGACAAACAATCAAACCTAGATGTAGAGAATACCTATCTACCTACGAATGAATGCATCCCTCCCAGTTCGTGTATAGTACCGGCACTGCGACGTCATCTCCAACGTTCCGGTTCCAATTGTCTTGCAAGAACTGAATGGCACGTGTGTACTTCATAGTCAGACTCTTAGATATAACGGGGCTCGTGTGTCTATTGTCTATTGTCTATTTCTGATCTATATACCCTTATACCCTAGATACGGGGCGGCAAACTCGCCGAATGTAATGTAATGTGATATGCGTACGAATTGACATATCCGGTGGTGTCCCTGAAAGCAGCGGCGTTGGAATCGACATATCCGCAGTAAGCAGTGGTGTCCCTGGAAGCAAGCAGCGGCGGTGGGTTTCCTAATAGGGCCAACTCGACTCCTGGAGGGGGGAAGGGTTCGCAAGCAGCATATATATACTGTGTATATGTACACATACACATACACTGCACAGCGTACGTTCATGCATGGGTTGGGCGATGGGATCTGGCTTTATTTGCGGGCGAGGTTCTTGTGCAAGACATGCTCCTTCATGGCCAGGCCGGCAATGGCGGCCAAGACGGCCAGACCGAGACCGGCAACGAAGGCGGCCCGCAAGGCGTGCATGTAGATGTCGAGGACGACGGCCTTGTCCCAGCCGGCGGGCAGGCGGTGGAGCTCGTCGAGGCTGTCCCTGATGCGGCGGATCTCACGGTGCGAGTCGGGCATGTGGCCGTAGTGGGCGAGGAGCTCGCCGGACAGGATGTTCTGGAAGACGGCGCTGGCGATGGTAATGCCGAGGGTGGAGCCGGTGGAGCGGAAGGCGTAGCTGGCGGCGGTGATGACGGCCTGGTGGGCGTGGTCGACGGCCGAGATCATGGCCACCAGCGTCACGGTCAGCATGCTGCCGTAGGCCATGCCCAGCGGCACCGGGTACAGGAACGTCTGCCACGCAGGTGAATTCAGCTGGAACGTGCACAGCAGCGCCGCGCCCACCACGAACACCGCCATGACGCTCGCCATGTGCCAGTAGTACCGGCCGGTGGCGCGCATCAGGTAGCCCGACCCCAGGCTGCCCAGCGACGTGGCGGCCGCGAAGGGGATGACGCGCAGCCCAGCCGCCGTGGAGCTGAAGCCGCGCACCTGCAGGTATAGCGGCAGATAGTAGATGGCGAGGAAGGTCGACATGGTACTGAACCAGTTGGCCAGGCAGGCCGCGAGCACGGTGCGCGTGCGGGCGATCACGAGTACGGGTATGATGGGTTCGGGCTTGGATTTCAACTTGTTGTTGTTGTCGTCGTAGTTGTCGTCGTCGTTGTTGTTTTGGGCATCCGCACTGTTCGTACTCATGCTCGACTCGTCGCGTGCCTCGAGATAGATGAAGGCGATGAGGGTCGCGCCCGCCAGCACCAGGGACGCGATGATCAACGGGTGCGACCAGGGCAGTTGGTTACCGCCGCTGTTGAGGCCGAGCAGGAGCAGCACCAGTGAGGTCACGAGCAGGCCGGCGCCAGCAAAGTCGATGCGGCGCAGAGCCGATTCTTTGCCCACGGTATTCAGGCCGGCGTGGCTGGAATGGGCAATGACGGCTGGCGGAGGAAGATCCAGGAGAAAGCAGACCATGGCGGTCGAGACGAGGATGAAAGGGACCTGCAGTAGAAAGGCCCAGCGCCAGGACAAAGTGTCGGCGAGCGCGCCGCCGACGACGCCGCCGGAGCCCATGCCCAAGCCGTAGACGAGGTTGCCGTAGCCTTGCCACAGACCCCTCCGGCGCAGCGGCACCAGGTCGGACGTGACAAAGGTCGCGATGCTGGTCAGGCCGCCGCCGCCGACGCCGGCCACGACACGCCCGGCGATCATGGTGCCCGCGTTCGGGGCCAGGCCGCACATCAGGGTGCCGGCGGCGAAGAAGACGTTGGAGAAGATCAGGCCCGTCCGTCGCGAGAAGATGTCGGTCAGCTTGCCCGACAGGGGCTGGCACGCCGCGTTGGCGATTAAGTAGCCCGTCGCCAGCCACGAGAGCAGGCTGAGCGAGTCGAAGCTCGATGAGATGGGCCCGGTCAGGGTCGCGACGATGGTCGTGTCTGAGGAGAGGCAGAAAACAGTCAGTCAGGGTCAGGGTCAGCGATAGCGAGTGGTAGCGTAGCTAACACGGTGGAGAAGCACCATCACCATGGCATCGACGACACCTGCGCCGGCGGTGTGTGCGTGTGCGAAACCCTCCGTCTCTGTGAGAGGTCGGGTACTGTACGTACCTAAGGCGGCGAAGAAGACTCCAATCCACGTCGCGGCCATGATGGCCAACACTCTCCTGGTGCTCGGCTCCTCGTTGGCGCCCGTGTCAGCTTCAGCTTCAGCTTCAGCAGGAGGGAGGCTGTTCTCCGGGTCGCCGATGGAGCCATTGCCATTGCCATCTCGTGGACCCAGCAGAGGACTCGATTCGGAGGGATGGCGCTCGGAGTCTTCGGCTGCGGGGGCCGTGGCCATTGCGACTGACTATTCTTCTAGAACTCTTCCTCTCGAGCGGCAAGGGACAGGGACATGACGGAGGAGAGGAACCGAATAACGTAGGCAGCGTGCAGAACAGCTGTGCTCTTCAAGAAATCGCTATCGACGGCCGCTGTTGGTGGAGTTTCGTCTTCCACTGCAATTGGTGGTTGATAAAAGTGCGCAGAAGGGCAAATACAGTAGTACTCCGAACTACATATCAAGAAGTATCAGTTGCTGTAATACTACGCATGTCGAGCGAGCACATCCGCCACCTACTACACGGAGCATGTTTACCAACGCAGACCCTGAGATTGTTTCGTCTCAATTGTTACTGTACACAAGGTATTTTTTATAATACGCCAGAGAGGGCGAGCTTGGAGCATCAATCCCTCAGGGCTTCAATGTCGACCACCTCCTTGACAGCCTCGGTGGTCAAGACATAGGCACTGTCTTCCTGCACGCTGATGCTATCTTCAATCCGCACTCCCATGTTCCTGAAATGCCTGGGCCATCGCTCGTCATCGGGCACATAGATCCCAGGCTCGATGGTAATGCAGTGGCCCTCTTGCAACACCGTCTTCCGGGTGTATCCAACCGTGTCGTGGACATCCATGCCGATGTAGTGACTCAAGTGATGGGGAAACAGTGCCTCGATCGTCTTGGATGTCACGTCGAACCCGATCTGCCGCAGCTCGTTCGCCAGGTAGTCTTCGGCGATGCTGTGCAATTTGTCCAGCGACATGTTGGCACTGCCCCGGCACAGCGAGATTAAGGACCTCTGCACGGTGAGGACCGCCTGGTAGAGGTCGCGTTGTGCGTCGCTGAACTTCCCCCCAACCGGCCAGGTTCTGGTAATGTCGGAGATGTATCCTCCATACTTGCCCGCGCCGTCCACCAACACCATCTCGGTATCCTGCAACACATCATCGTTGCGCACGTAGTGGATGCCTAGTGCATTCTTGCCACCAGCAACCACGGGCTCGAACGCAATGGTGTCGCACCCGTCGGTGACGAAGCGGTAGCGAATATAGGCGTCGAGGTCTTTCTCGCGCGTCCATGCCTTCCTCATCGCCTCGGTGTGGGCTCTGCCCGACGCTTTTCCGGCTCGTCGCATGACTTCGATCTCGGCCGGGCTCTTGAAGGCCCGTAGATCGTTCAGGACCGGTCGGAGTCGATGGACCTTGCTTGGCTCGATGAGCTCGGAGAATTCGGTGGTCTTCCGCGACGTCCCATACAAAAACCGCCGCAGAGCCGAGCGATTGGGGTCGGGGGTTGTGATGTCGGTGTAGACCTGCGACGCCTCGCCCACGAGTTGCGGCAGAACCTTTTTCAGCCTGGTGATGTCGCCGGTCTCATCCGCATTGAACACATCCCGGGCGGCCTGTGTGCCTGATCTTGCTCCATCCCAGATCTCGGCCTTGGGGTCCTTCTCGCGCACGAACAGGTGGAATGTGTGGTCACTCCCGCTTGAGTCTTTGCCGATCACAGCCAGAGCTTCAGGCTCGTTGAAGCCGGTCAGGTAGAGGAAATCAGGGTCCTGGTGGAACTCGTAGAACGCGCTGCCGGAGCGGAACTGGATGTCTGAGGCAGCGACAATGGCAATGGCTCGGTCGGGCAGTTTGGCCGCCAACTGGGTCCGTCGGTCGGCGTACTCTTGTGCTGTGATGCCGGGGGTCAGCTCTCCCGGCTGCAGGAGATGCGGATGCGTCTCATGGACGGGTTGGCCGAAGGAGAGATCGGCAGCATCCACGGTGAGGGTGTTGTAGCTGCGGGAGGCCCCAGCGGGTTGTCTGCATCTGCGTCTGCATCTTGGTGCGACCTGGATGAGGTTGGTGGTGGTGGTGCCGGCCCGCAGGTTGAGGACATCATGGGCACACTGAAGCGTCTGCCATAATGTCCTCCGCATCGACATTTAGTATTAAGGGCGATGCAGCGGCACTCGAGAAGACTTGGGAACGTGGAATGAAAACGCAGCCTCAAGCTCAAGGCAAGGCACAGCGAGTCGCTCTTCTCCCTCCTCTTGGGTGCCACCAGGTGCCTCTCCTTCCAGCTTCGTCATAAAATGTCTGTCGCGTAGAACTTCCTCACTCGGACATGTCCATGGACGGCGGGCGCCCTTCGCATTATGGTATTCGCACGTTCTACTCCGTGATTACCTAGGTAATGAATGATTTGATATCCACTTGCAGGCACTGGCTTATCAGGCCTTCTCTCCTGTATACCTTAGGTATGACTGTATATGACGGTATACGACTGTATACGACTATATGACTGTGTCCTTGCCTAGGTCGTTGGATGCTGTGCTGTCGATTGCTCCCATCTTCATCTTCTCACTTCTGGCCGGACATTAATCTTGACCACCATGGCCCCGAATTTCGAGTATCCCAAAAAGCCCCAGAATACAGTGAAGCGGTACAACAGCAGAGGTAACTCACACACATACTCTCCTGTCCTTCTCCTGGGCCTGGGCCTGAGCCTGAGCCTGATGGACTGATCTGTGACATGTTGCAGCCACTTATGACCTGGGAGCCGTCCATTCCGTCATCAACACGACTTCTGTCCTCCATGTCTCCTTCGCTCCGAGCCCTGACGAACCATTTCCGGCCATCCTGCCCATGATCGGTGTCATGGGTTCTTTCGAATACCCTTCCTCCGGCATCGACGAGCCTCTCGACTGCTATCTCCACGGATACGTCAGTTCGAGGCTGATGCGCCTGGCCCGGGAGGCGCCAAACGGGCTCCCCGTCTGCATCGCCGCCACCAAAGTAGACGGCTTCGTCTTGTCACTAACCCCAAACTCACACAGTTACAATTACCGCTCCGCCGTTCTTCAGGGATACGCCAGACCCGTGGAGACGGATGAAGAAAAAGTGTACGCCATGCAGCTGATCACCGACAAAGTCGTCGCCGGGCGGTGGGAGAACACCCGAGTCCCGCCCGACAATGTTGAAATGACCTCGACCACAATTCTGAGAGTCAAGATTGAGACTGGAAGTGGCAAGGTCCGTCAAGGAGGACCTCACGACGAGCCCAAGGACGAAAACAGGGCCGAAATCACTGACAAGGTCTGGACGGGAGTGGTACCGGTGTACGAGACTTTGCACGCTCCCATCCCGAGTGCAACCAATAAGGTCAAGCAGATCCCGGCCTACCTTGACCAGTATGTGTCGGAGGTGAACAAGAGCAATCGTGAGACTGCTCTCAACGCGGTGAATGAGCCCTAGTGAGCCAGGGTACCGGGAGTTAGTTCAATAGAGATAACTACAGGATAAATATGCCATCTCCTGACCTGCTATTCTGCCGTTCAAGATCGAGACATACAAGTGATAACACAAGAACACAAGGCCGTCTTCGTCCAACGACGGGAACTGATTAATATTCACGAAGCCGGCGAACTCAGGTAGTGATGACTGTAAATACTTAGTACTGGAGAGCGTGGAAATGGTGGCCGTTGCCGCGTCAACGCACGAACCGTCAACACCGAATCCTTGCAAGATTCGAGCGAACACGTAATTATGTAATGAGCAGACACAGATGCTACGCCAGACCTAACCTGCGCAAGAGTCAAAGACGGACAACAATGACACCGATACTACACATAGTATGAAGCATCTCCTACCTCAAGAGCGCTTGCATGTCGAAGCCCCGTCGCGAGTCCACGGCGAGGGCCGACACCCGCCCAGCGTTCAACCGCCCGCCCGGGGCTCGAGCGACTCCCGGCCCTGTGCCCGCGCCCGTGCCAGATGAGCCGCGCACGCCGAAAAGAACGCCGAAGGAGAAAGCAAAATCCTCGCCTGCACCATCGCCGTCGCCTGAAAAGAAGCCTCGTCGAGCCAGCGGACGACACAGGAGCGCAAGTGGAGGGAACCGGCGCCACCACAGCTCGAGACATGTGCCAGAACGAGACCGAGACCGAGACCGAGACCGAGAACGAGACCGCGACACAGATAAAGATGGAGATGGAGAAAGGGAAAGGGAAAGGGAAAGACGCAGGGACCGGGCGAAATACAGTTCCGGCACGTCGACCAACAGCACGAGCCAGCTGCTGAGCAGCAACGCTTTGGCCAAGCTCAACGCGTACCACGAAAAGGCCGAGTTCCAGGAGAAATACGATCAGCGGAAACGCAAACAGAAGCAGTACAAGGAGCTCAAGGCCGCCGAGGTCTCTCATCGGCGGAAAAAGAAGAATCGCAATGTCAGTGGTGCCGTCTTGGAGGAGGGCAGGGCGCCCAAGCGTGGTCACAAACGAGGAGGAGCTGCGGCTGGATTATACGAGAAAGGCGACTACCACGAACACAGACGAACAGACGGCAATGGCGGACGGTCGAGGAAGAAGCTGTGGTGGGCATTGATTCTGATTGCTGTGCTGCTGGCCATCTTCATCCCCGTCGGCGTGGTGGTGAGCAACAACAGCAAAAAGTCCGCCGGAGGATCATCATCATCATCTTCTTCTTCTTCTTCAGACAGTTCGTCCGACTCTTCTTCAGATCCGAAGAATGATTGCGATTCGAGTTCGGTGCCGGAGAGTGCAAAGGGGACATATACCGACATTTCCACATGGCTGGATACTACCGACTTCAACTGCACATACACAAACGACACCGTCGGCGGCTTGTCTGTGATGGGCCTCCATTCTAGCTGGGACGACTCGACCAAAGCGAACGACAATGTTCCGGCACTGAACAAGAAGTGGGAGTACGGCAAGATGCCTGTTCGAGGAGTCAACCTTGGGGGTTGGCTTTCGTTGGAACCATTTATTACTCCCTCGCTGTTCAACTATCCCGCCTCGGCCAGTGTCGTGGACGAGTGGACACTCACCCAGAAACTGGGATCATCTGCACAGCGCGTCCTCGAGTCGCATTATGCCACCTTTATCACAAAGCAGAGCTTCGTCGACATCCGAAACGCAGGGCTAGACCACGTCAGAATCCCCTTCCCGTATTGGGCCGTCACCACCTACGATGGCGATCCGTATCTGCCCAAAGTGGCCTGGCGATACTTGCTTCGTGCGATCGAGTATGCCCGAGAGAACGGGTTGCGAGTCAACTTGGACTTACATTCCGTGCCGGGCAGTCAGAACGGATGGGCGCACAGCGGCCACCAAGGCGACATTGGCTGGATCTTGGGGCCAGACGGGGCCACCAATGCGCAACGATCGTTGGACATCCATGACCAGCTGTCCAAGTTCTTTGCCCAGGACCGATATAAGAACGTGGTGACCATTTACGGCCTTGTCAACGAGCCAAAGATGCTCGTGATTCCGCCGGACTCGGTAGTGGATTGGAACAAGAAAGCCGTCGCGGTGGTCCGCGGAAACGGCATTGACCAGTATCTTGTGTTTGGGGACGGCTTTTTAAGCCTGGACACCTGGGACGACATGTTCCACGGCGTCGACGACAAGCTGGTCATGGACACGCATCAGTACCAGATCTTCAACACGGGCCAGCTCAAACTGAAGCACCAAGACAAAATCAACCTCGCCTGTTCCGGATGGAGTGGGTTGATGGTGGCAGCCAACAACCCCAAGACCGGATGGGGCCCTATTCTCGACGGAGAGTGGTCTCAAGCCGACACTGACTGCACACCCAACCTCAACAATGTCGGGGTAGGCTCCCGGTGGGCGGGCACGCTTGACACGGGAGATTCAGAAACCTCTGTTCTGACCCCGACCTGCGCCGAGCCGCCCTGCTCGTGCGCCGAAGCCAACGCCGACCCGAGCCAGTATAGCGACTCGTACAAACAGTTTCTGCAGATGTATGCCGAGGCGCAAATGCACAGCTTTGAACAGGCCTGGGGCTGGTTCTATTGGACGTGGAAGACCGAGAGCGCTACCCAGTGGAGTTGGATGCTGGGTCTCCAGGCTGGCATCTTGCCGGACAAGGCCTATTCGCCCTCTTTCAAGTGTGATTCTGACGTGCCCGACTTTAGCGACCTGCCTGAGAGTTATTGATGGTGTTTGTGTTTGGAAGGACACTGCTGCCAATGCATTGTGAGGAGTTTGGTGTCTTGGTCTTGGGATAGGCGTCCTCAATGTAGGTCAATTGACAATTGAACATATTCCTCATCTTATCTGCCGTCCTTGTGTATCAATGTAGTTCTCTCTAAGGAATTCCGTGGGAGAGTATCTGTAAATACAAAGAGTATATAATCCCAGTACCTTAGGTATAGTACTCCGTACAGGTAGGTACCTAGTACGGATACTCCGTACTACACAATATCCTTGAACTCGACGGTGAAGGAGGCCATACTAGTAGCAGTACCTAGCAGTAACAGTAACATGCATTCCGTACAGTATCGGACCGGGACTGTGTCGAGTGTTAGGGTTAGGGTTAGGGTTAGGGTTATTAGCTTGTCGCTTACTCAGGTCTCACCGTAAACATTAGGTAGGATACCCTGCCTAGTATTCTATATCTACTCTAATTACCAGACGACAGCCAGCAGGTCCAAAAACCCAATCCCAGTCCACGCAACGCCGGTCCTTGTCCAACAGCAAAGACTGGTCGATGGTTTGCCTGACGACCAGCAACAATGCCCTCACCCCGGCAGCCTCCCAGAGCATCCGTGCCTCTCGATCGCTCGCCTATAGTGCCGCAGCCTGGCACTGGCACCAGCACCAACATCAGCACCAGCACCAGCATTAGTACCAGAATCAACAACAGCAATAGCAACAGCAACGCTGCCGCCGCGGCGCCGGATGATGACGAAGCCGAGAACGAGAACGAGAACGACCAGGAGGAATTTGCTGGCGGAGGAGATCTGCCCATGAGCATGACGGCCAGTGTCATCTTGACGAATCTGCCCAAAGATGCTAGCCAGGCGCTCAAGGAGGTTGACGAGATCGATGATCGGAAAGGTGCGTTTTGGGTTCTCTCCTCGTGTTATTGTTTTGCGTGTCAGCATGTCTCTCTCTCTCCCTCCCCCCTCCTCTACAGACAGAGATAGTCTCTCTCTCTCCTCCTCTACAGACAGAGATCCATGGCTCACCAGCAAGTCGACGAGGCGACCATGTGGATATCTATTCTATTCTATCCATTCCCTCGTCTTCTCCTTCTCCTTCCTATGCGCCGCTAATCCTCCTGCTTGTGCTCCAGTTTCGGTTCGCTTTCAGCCCGTCGGCTCAGCGCCTATTCTCAAACAGCGAGTCTTTAAGATCAGTGCGTCGTCCAGGTTCAGCGTCGTCTTGAACTTCTTGCGAAAGAAACTAGGCGTCAAAGAAGGGGATGGCCTGTTTCTCTACGTCAACAGTGTCTTCGCTCCTGGTCTGGACGAGGGCGTCGGAAATCTATTCCGGGTGTGTCACAAATGCTGGGAGATGAACAATCATGACATTGCTAACTGGGAACTTTTTAGTGTTTCAAGACAGACGATCAACTGATCGTCAGCTATTCTACTACGCCTGCTTTTGGCTGAACCGACCCCAGCCCTTGTGAAGCCCGCCCTGTGTCCCGCGAAGAAAATGCAACGCAATCAGGAACATGATGCCAACTTGACGATTGACTCAACACCTATGCCTCGCCCGCCCCGATGGCAGCTTTGAATGCCGCAGTTACCTTTGCGTCGCCCTTGTATACGTGCTGGGGACCTGGGTAACTTCGGTCGGCCACTTCGTCTTTATACTGCTTTATGGCAGCTAAGCCGGCGTCCCATATTGACCCATACTTCTTGACGAACTTGGGCAGGAAGGAGTCCGCAGGTCGAACCCCAAGCATGTCGTCTTGTACTAGGACTTGGCCACTAGTTTTGTTTCCGGCGCCGATACCAATCGTGGGTATTTTCAGCGCACCCGTCACTTCTTCCGCAATATCAGGTGGAACGCATTCCAGAACGACGGCGAAAGCTCCGGCCTCCTGTACCGCTTTGGCATCCGCAAGCAGAGACATGGCTTTGTCGAGCGTATTGCCCTGGACGCGAAATCCACCAAGAGCATGCTGTCGTTGTGGGGTCAGACCAATGTGTGCACACACCGGTATGCCTGCGGTTGTGATCTTCCTGATCGCAGGCGCCATCTCCGCTCCGCCTTCAAGTTTGACACTCTGCATTCGACCTTCTTTGACCATTCGGATTGCGCTGGCGAGAGCCTGTTCTGGGTTGATCTCGTAGGAACCCATGGGTAGATCTCCAACGGTGAACGACCGGGTGACTGCGCGGCTGACCGCTCGAGCTGACACGATCATTTCGTCGAGTGTGACTTCGGACGTGTCTGACATGCCGAGAGAGACCATTGCAAGCGAATCGCCCACCAAGATCACGTCCATTCCAGCCTCCTGTGCCATCAGCGCAGAAGGAAAATTATGTGCCGTCAACATTGTTATGGGGCTTTTCTCCCCATACATCTTTCGCAGAGTCTGGATAGTGACAGGCTTCTGGCCTCGAGCCAGGAGTGAGGGAGATGTCGGCGCATGTGAGCTCCAGCGAAGCTGCTGCCACGGTGGGCTCTTTCGTGTAAGACTCGGTAGACGTGTTCTTCGAAGAGGAGCTCGTGCGAGAAGAGATGTTCCACTGGTGCAGGTGATTGCGGCCATTTCTCATCCAGGTTCAACAAGCGACGTGTGAGAAGACAAGAAGTGCCTGAGAATTGACCTGTATCCCAAGCTACCATGAGTCATCTTGAGGGAAAGTGGCGGTGGAAGAGCTGTTATATTCATTGTTGTCGTGCTGAATTGTTTAAGCGTAAATCTGAGAAAGGGTGTCGTTGGCAGTGAAGATGAGCCTCGGTGTTTCGTGTTGACAGTCACCTACTGCGGACTCCGGAGGAGTAGTCAGCAGTTCAGTTAGGTGACACCTACCTTAACAACAGCCTATGAATTAACATGGTTTGGGGTTAGGCACCCTCTTCCACCCCTCTCTCTTGCCTCTCCCTCAAAGGGCTTAGGCTTACTGTAAGGCCCTGAGGCCCAGGCGCTCCCTCTTTCACTAATTCAACGTGCCACTGCTCCGTGCTCACAGTACCCCAGCTTGATAGGTAGGTACTCAGAAGTCATAGGCCGACTGATATATGACGCCTACCTAACTTGCCAGGCCAAGCTCAGGTCTCAGAAGCCATGCCATGCAGGCTCAAGCTGTCTCATTCATCCTACAGAGTAAGGCCATGATTACTCTTAGAGCGTGGCCTTGTGCCTGAATGTTCTTTGATTCTTTGATTGCAGTGACCTCCATCCACTGCCGGCAGCCGATAAAGATAATGCGCCATCAACCAATGTTCTGCTTGTTTCCGAACATGGACATGGGCAGCTGACCAGACGACCTGACTGTCGTAAGTTGTGGGCTCAGGCTTACTTATCGCATGCCCAACCCTGGTGCCAGTTGGGGGGCTAATAAGGAGGCTCCTCAGCACTAGTGGGTGATTGCTTGGTGCTCATGCCCCTGGCCGGCTGCCAACCGGCTTAGGCTCACTACTGACCCAACGCCCCACGCCTCGCAAGCATCCTGAACATCGAACACCGCATCTCTCTGTTCTTGTGTCTTCTACGTTCAACCTACCTGCTCACCTGTACCCTCTCTTGCCGCTCCAATCTGATCTCAGCACATACGGCCGCACGACATTCCCTTCAACGAACCCTTCACACCTGGTCCCTTTCACCTGGGAACTTCCCTGAGCATCCTTGACCTGTCTGCACCCGCAGAAAGAGCCGAGCCCGACCCGCCATTTCATTCCCGATCCTGCTCCGCGAGCCCATTTTCTCCCGAAATCGTTCCCTCCTTGTCACCAGTATTACAACACTTACCTGAGTTCGAGGACGCTCCAGCTCTATTCAATCCCGAACTAGGTAGCACCAAAGACCCTATCCCTCGGAACAAAGCGCCTTCAAGAACAGCAGGATATCATATCCACTTCCACGCATTTGGTGAGGCATCATGAGTAGTCCAAAGCGGAGGATAGAGACAGATGTGATGAAGCTCATGATGAGCGACTATGAGGTGACCTTGGTCAACGACAACATGCAGGAGTTCTATGTCATCTTTAAGGGACCCTCCGAAAGTAAGAGCATGGATTCCTGTCACAAATGGCACACTGATCGATCCTGTGCAAGATCACGGTGACTGACCGAGGACTTTGTCTGTAGCACCCTTCGCAGATGGCAAGTGGAAAGTCCACGTTGAGCTACCCGACCAATACCCATACAAATCGCCTTCGATCGGCTTTGTCAACAAGATCTTTCACCCAAACATCGATGAGGGGTCAGTTGTCGTGCGGTGCATATTCTCGGAGGCTGGATTTACTGACACATGTACGCAGGTCCGGTTCAGTATGCTTGGATGTCATCAACCAGACTTGGTCGCCCATGTTCGACATGATCAATATATTCGAAGTCTTCCTCCCCCAGCTTCTTAGATATCCGAATCCGACCGATCCATTGAACGGAGAAGCAGCCGCGCTGCTCATGAGGGAACCGAGAAGCTACGATGCCAGAGTCAAAGGTACGTTGAGGTAGTGCTATGGATTAGCGGGCTTGCTGACTGGCCATCCAGAATACATCACTCAGTATGCGACAAACATTCACGACGATGCCGATCAAGACGAAGGTGAGACCGACGATGAATTGAGCGAAGTTGAAGACTTTGATAGCGACGGCGAAGACGAACCAGCTGGGACAATGGAGGACGTATAGGGTTACGGCATGAAGTTCTGTTTAAGTCAGGCTAGGACCGGCGTTCGGAGCCCGGGAACTGCAGGCAGATGCGTCAGGGTCAGGGTTTGGAGTCTGCTTTTGCTATATCTCAACTACTAGTTTGTGAGGAATAACACTCTTCTCAAAGCAGACCACAAAAGGCTCAAATGCGTTCACCTAAATTGAGGCGTGCAGTAGTGGTGGTATCGCATGTCAATGCGACGAGTCGTGTGCAGCGAGCGGATGATCGTGGCAGCCTGAGCCATATTCGATACTAGTGGTACGTCATAATCACCGCCCAATATCCAATATTACACCATCAGTCTCCAGCCACGCGACCCCTCTGCCGGCCAGCTCAATTGTCGTCGTCGTCTCAGGTCGTTGGCGTGTCACAGGCATCACTCGATCCTGAAACATAGGAGTCACAGTCACCCGGTCTTCAACATCTTCTTAACTATTAAGGATCCGTACGGCGTACGTATTAACCTGCTCACAGCCATTTCGTCTTCACTGCGGACATCTGAGATCCGCTCGGATGGCCATGGCGCGACCCCTCGACGCCCTGCCAGCAGAAGTGCTCCTGCGCGTATTTTCATTCCTAGAGGTCCCAGATCTACTGCAAGTGAGTCGCACATGTCATGCGCTCCGCGACATCGCCTGCGATCCTTTACTGCACCTTGAGCGGCTTCACGATGCGTCCCATACCTTGTCTATCACCCTCGCGCGACGGCCCAGGAAGTCCTCCATCAGCCCGCCCAATTCCTGGATCTGGCTAAGCAAGACCAATGTCCTGTCTCGTCAGATAAGCAAGAGCCTCGTCCGCATCCGTCTCAGTCACAGCCTCGAACATAGACCGAGCCCGCGCCAACTGGTTGAAAGAGCCATTCTCCCTTCCTCGTGCACAGGTTATTGGTCGCCGGTGTCGCCTGCTCTGATACAGTCACAACAAGCCATCCAAAGACGGAGATTGATGGACGGCCTGGGGCGCAAGTTGGAGAGGAGACCTAGCATGCATAGTCTGGTGTCTCTCAACATTCTGCCGGAAGAATGTGCCCGTCGGAGTGTATCTCCGGCCATCGTGGCTACGCGCAGGAAAGTGATACGAGAAAGCTTGAAGGACGGTCTACGAGCTTGGGTGGAGGGTCGTGCGATACAGGCACAGAAGAGGAAAGCGGACGAGGCGGAGGCCTCCGAGAAGATCACAGTAAAGACCCTGGTACGGAGATTCGGTGCTAGGAAGCTTCTCCAAGAGATGGCAGAGAATGTCGATTCTGTAAGTCTGGAGAAGAGGAAGGCGCAAGCAAGATGGGGAAGGGAGGTTGAACTGGCGCGGAAGGACGAAGAGAAGAGAGCCGCATCGACCGGCGCTTGTGCTCATCCCACCAGAGCACATGTTCTGGGACTCCGGAAGTTTTGGGAGGGGGTAATTCGAGCAGCAGGGTGACTCTTTGATGGCGACCTGAACGTTCTCTTTCGATCTGGTCAAGAAATTTGGGTGGGAGTTTCTAAAGCCTTTCCTACTATCTTCTGCTCGCGAATGCTATCATCGTCTTGTCGGCTCCGTGGTTCTAGACACCATATGTAGATGTAGCCCGACCCATTCCGGCATTCGAACACTACTAACGGCTGTTGCAAGAAAGCTAAAACACTTCCATGTGTCTTTATCTCACTCTGGCTGTGAGCCAAGGCTGCAGCGTGCATTGACGAGGCTGGGGACATCTGGGTGGCCTCGCCCACCGTTTTGGTCGAGATGATGTCAACAGCCTTCACCAGTCCACTCTTTACCGCTCCAACGCCTTGGATAACGTGAATTCTTTCCTCGCACACAACAAATGGCAATTCGGCTGGAGTGTTAAATTCACTGGATTGAAAGTAAGCCAAAACAATGCGCATGATCACCAGCGCGGTCTTTGAGAGCTGACAACATGACATCTAGGAGAGAAGACCAACTGCGAGGGTTGAGTTTGGAAGCACTCCTCAGACGCAGTGTCACCAGCAGCCCACCGGCAGAAACTGCAAAGCGCACGGCATCGACATCTCCTAGAGACCTGGCACAAGTGCATTCACATCTGCGGCCCTCTCCAGCTCCGCCCTCGCCCTCGCCTGGTTGTCCTGCCAACAGCTGTGTGTGGAGGTCTGCGACTTCGCCCGCAGGGCCCCCTCCACCACTTCACATCTCCGACACCCCAAGTCCGAAGTATCCATCGTCGTTAGATACTCAGAATATCATCTTCGGTCAAGGTCAACCTCATGCTGAGTCGCGCGTTGGAGTAAGGCACACCCCATTCTTCAATTTCACCTTGCAGGTCGACATGGTACGAGAGCAAGAACCGGCCCGCAATCCACTTGCGCCCTCCATGGGGAACTCGTTGCCTCCTCCTAATCCTCAGCGGAAGGACAAAGACACCAATGCGGTTGCAGCGCCTCGCCCGCCGCAACTCTATCCGGATTTGCACCATGCAATCCCAAGCGAGCCAGAGTTCGGGAAGCCGACAAGTCTTGGAGCCTCACCACAACCGTTTGCGAGGACACAGCCGCTTGTAAGACCAGGCACCAATGTATCAGCACCTAGACAGGCCGGCGGAAATCAAAAAGACAAATACTCTAATCTTTTCGTCCCTCCGAAGAACCCTTCGCAGCGAGCAGAGCTGCACAAACCTCACGTGTCTACAAACCCATTACAAGCATTCCGAGCTATTAAGAGCAGCAACAGCCAGCCTGCTAAACCATCTTCGTCTCGTGCGCTGCCCCAGGATGACGACGTCGTCGAAATACCCAACCCTACAAGCTTTCCCAGATGGCAACCGAAGCCTTTCGTTCATCCTACATTCTCCTCTCAGACATCGACGAATCCTTACTTTAAACCTCAGAATGTTGTGGACCTCACACTGGACCGGAGCGGAATGGCTGCGAAGAATGATTTCTTCAAGGAGGAGTCATACTCGAATGCGGATCCTTACATCTACATGGATTCAGCTCAAGCAAACGAGAACATCAAAGCCCTTCTGGAAGGGGCGTTTGAAGAGGAAGAGGACAAACCGCGGACACGAAGTAGAAAGAAACCATCCGAGACGAAGGTGGACGATCTGGCGGACAAGATCAAGAACATGACTGTTAAAGGGGAGGACAAGACAGACGCAGACGACGAGGAGGAAGAGGAAGAGGAAGAGGAAGAAGACGGTACTGTCGTCGGACTCAAAGTCAAGCTTCTTCCTCATCAGATCGAAGGTGTCAGTTGGATGCGCGACAAGGAGACGGGCACGAAGAAGACCAGAGGAGTGTTACCGAAGGGCGGCATTCTGGCAGATGACATGGGCTTGGGAAAGACGATACAGTCGATAGCACTCATACTCACCAACCCCAAGCCAAGTACCCAGGAGTTGGAGGCGACTAAGCGCAAACTGCCTGAGGGAATCTGCAAGGGCACTCTTGTGGTGGCTCCGCTCGCTTTGATCAAACAGTGGGAAGGTGAAATCAAGGACCGGATTGACGAAGACCATGCTTTGAAGGTCTGTGTCCATCATGGACCCCAGCGAGCAAAGAGCTACAAGGAGCTCCTGAAATACGACATTGTCATCACCACCTATCAGACGCTCTCATCGGAACATGCAGGATCCGAGGGCTCACTGAAAGTCGGGTGTTTCGGAGTGCATTGGTACAGAATCATGCTGGACGAGGCACATTCAATCAAAAATCGCAATGCCAAAGCCACGAAAGCCGCTTGCGCCTTGAATGCGGAATACCGGTGGTGTCTTACCGGCACTCCGATGCAAAACAACCTGGACGAATTGCAAAGCCTAATCCACTTTCTGCGGATCAAGCCTTACGATGATTTGAATCAATGGCGGGAGCAAATCACCAAACCCTGGAACAATGGCAAGGCAGGACTCGCGCTTAGGCGGTTGCAGGTCTACCTGAAAGCCTTTATGAAGCGGCGAACGAAAGACGTCCTGAAGCAACAGGGTCCTTCCAAGGACGGGAAGGGCCGGGTAGAAGGGAAGTCTCCTGGCTTCAAGATTGTTGCACGGACTGTTGAGAAAGTCGAGGCCGAGTTTACAGACGCGGAGCGAGAGTTTTACAAGCGACTCGAATCAAGAACGGACCGAAGTTTGGAGATGATGATGGCAGGCAACAAAATGAGCTACGCCTCGGCGTTGGTGCTTCTGATGCGCCTCCGACAAGCCTGTAACCACCCCAAACTGACAGGTAGTGATCTGAGCACCGAAAATGACGCTTTGAGCGGCAGTCAGACACCCAGTCGAAGAAAAGCCAGTGTTGAAGATGATATGGACAACATTGCGAATATGCTTGGTGGACTTAGTGTGGAGACCAAGCGATGTGATGTGTGCCAGGTCGAGCTCAGCAGGAAAGAAGCTTCGGAGGGAGTCATTCGCTGTGTCGAATGTGAAGCAGATCTGCGAAACTCGAATGCACAATTCCAGGAGAAGAAGAAAGCAAAGAAAGAGAGGAGAATCCAGCAGGAACGACGAGCGGTTACAGCTCAGCGAAGAGTCGCCCGGCGTATCGTCGAGGACAGCGACGAAGAAGAGAACGGAGAAGAAGACGCAGACGATGCTTCCTCATCTCTTGCAGAAGATGGTACCGACGATGATGAATATTCTTCAGACGAGTCCGACTCCCAAGAGGCGAGCATTTTCCAATCGACCAAGATCCGACGGCTCATGTCCATCTTGAAGTCGGACTCGCACCAACACAAGTACATCGTCTTTTCCTTTTTCACGTCGATGCTGGACCTGATCGAACCGTTTCTGAAGGACAACCGCGTCCGGTTCGTGCGCTATGACGGCAAAATGCGCAATGACGCCCGTGAGGCAAGCTTGCACTCTCTGCGAAGCGATCCCTCTGTCCGGGTTCTGCTCTGCTCACTTCGGGCAGGAAGTCTCGGTCTGAATCTCACGGCGGCCAGTCGGGTGGTGATCCTGGAGCCGTTCTGGAATCCGTTCGTTGAAGAGCAGGCGATTGACCGGGTGCATCGGCTGAATCAAATCCATGACGTCAAGGTCTACAAGCTCACAGTGAAGGATACCGTGGAGGAGCGGATTCTCGAGCTCCAAGAGAAGAAGCGCGAACTAGCCAACGCCACCATTGAAGGCAAGAAGGGAGCCATGAAGCTGACACTACAAGACATGTTGAAGTTGTTCGGTAGAGAGGCGGAAAGCGAACATCCCGTTGAGGTGAACAGCGTTGAGATGGGATCGAGTCGGGGACGCGGACTCCTGGAGAGGACGACCACCTCGTCTAATAATACAGTTGCTACGGGTAGACCGGCCGGGGCTTACGGCTCTGGTTCCGGTTCCGGCAGCAATGGGAGTGGTGGGCGCGAGAGGATGCGTATCAGCGATGGGGCGAAGAATCCTCGCAAGGAGCATGAGATTTATGGTCGGAGATGGTGATTGACGCCGACGATGAAGCACGGTTTGGTTACACCCTGCGTGGCATCTAGATTATGACTTGGGATGGTTAGGGTATTGTGAGAGTAGACTGGATTTTGAGTAGGGCAGAAACGGCGAGCTAACACGACGGATGAACGATGAACGATGAAGTTTTATTCTCTCAGTGGTAGGATTTTGAAGGGCCTAGGGGTGGGTGCCAGAATTAAAGGCGGTTTATCCAACTGCTCCTTCGATACCTAGTAGGATTAGAGAAACCTAAGATACTAAATATACTCTACGGCCGCCCTCGAGTAACTCTCCTATACCTATTATATAAATTCGATATCTACGAACTAGAGATAGTAATAGGTAGGGCTACCTTATAACCCGCCATGTATTTTGGCACCCAGTCTTAGCCTTCCGGTCTGCCAGAGGACATGCGTAAGGGATCAAAGGCTGAGCCGCATGGTAACGTTGGCATATTATCTGTAGGTACAGAGTTGTGCCCTGCAAACTGCGGACGATTTTCTCTTGAGGCGGAGTCTGCAAATCAGCCGCATGAACGCTTCTGTTCCTCCACGACACCCTGTAACCCTGTACCCGGCGGCGCTGGTGTATGGTCTGCTTCATAAGCCACCTTTGTTTCCATGTATCGACCTCATCAGTGGTGGTGCTGGGTAAGGAAAAGGGTCCCTTGGAGGCAGCATCGACTGAAGTAGTGTTCAGCAAGAGCGCCGGCGCTGACTTATGGACCAGGAAAAAGCCCGAGGCCTCTACGCTCTACGCTCTACGAATACGCTCAACGGAGTACTCCGTACAGTATTGTGTGGTATGTGTATGCATTGATGCAAGAAACCTCAGCTGCCCACATCACCCAGGTGCCCGCAGCGGCTAGGTGCCATAATCATCACGTACAGTATTTGCCCCATCTTCTCCGCCGCGTCGTTCGTTCATCCTTATTCGCCCGTCGGCAAAGGGACTGCCAGGTTGGCTGAGAAAGTCGGAACGATTGGTCCAGAAAGGAAGTGAGTGGCAAGGAATCGATCTCTGCAGATGTCAGATGCAGAGCGAACTGGGGTCATTTTTTCAGCTAGGTTCATGGCCCGAGCGAGACGAAAAAAACGTGGCAGCCACAGTCGCACTTGGAGGGAAATGTTTGGCGAGGGAGCATGACAGCGGGAAGGCAATTCTCTCTCCGCCAATACAAGAGCGCGGTGCACTCCTTGCTGGCCTTCTGGAAAGGACGCCAACCCAACCCGCCAATCTGCGATGATTCGGGCAGCGCGAAGCCAGGTTTCCTGGAACAAGAACATCGGTGGGCAGTGGACAGTGGACAGTGGACAACCGAGGGACAAGGCCGGTGAGCATGTTTCAATATTCACCGCGAGAAGAGATGGCCGCAAGTGCAAGACACAGACGACGGACGCTGCAGCGGTACCTGGTAGTCATGTACCACCGACGAAAACAGATGACGGCCTGGCCGATCAGTCCGAGGCGAAATTCATATGACAACTACGTAGGACAAAGTCGAAACTTGGGCGCCAGATCCAACAGTCTGGGTACCTACTACTCGTACTACTACGTACTACTATTAGTAGTTGGCTTTTCCACTCTGTAACAGCGTCCGACTGCTGGGGAAGTGGAGAGCCTGTGCTGAAGATTTCTACATACGTAGTACGCTGCGGATTCCGGATGCTATGGAAGATTCAAGAGAAGCAGAGCAGGGAGTGTGGAGAAGGTCTGTGCCGGACCATGGACTCGAAGCTACACCAGGGTCGAGGCTTGTCCGCCCTGAAACGTGGTCTTCCCGGCATGAAGCCCCGGGCAAAACTAGGCTGCTAAGGTGCTACGCTGCTAGGCTGCTTAGGGAGCGAGCAATCGCTTAGAAGGTCAACCGCGTCCACTGGAAAAGGGGCGAATCTCAGCCCTCAGCCTGCGCTCGAATCGAGCAGAGAGCCAGCAGAGCCTGAGGGGCGGATGACAGTGACAGCTACAGCCTGTCAGCAAACACCACGCGGCAGCCCTCTTTGGTGGCCATGCAGGAGGCGAGAGGCCGCGTGGGTTTTGACAGATGCAGGCCCGGGTGGAGAGGTGGAGAGGGGCTAGGGGGCCCCTAGACCTTAGAGCCCTACGGCCTTAGGCCTTAGCAGGGGGCTTAGGCTTAGGCTCAGGCGTAGGCCATTAGGATTAGACTGGGGGCATGTCTCCTGGCCTTAGCCTGCCCTGTTACAGGCGCTTCCTTCCTGCCTAGGGCCCCATGCCATGTGCACTGTGCCGGCGTGGCGACCGGGGCGACCCCATCATCAATTTGTTCGAGAATAGTCGGTGTCAATCGTAGTACAGAGTCTGAATCCGGCCTGAATCTGACAGCACCTGTTGTCTGGGTACGGAATACTGCCACCTTCTCCCCCCCATCACCACCATCACGGTGGGAGCGAGAACCAACAACCAACATCGTTCCTGACGCCCCTGTTCAGTGTCAAGGTGCCTGTGCAGTGTCTGGCATTTGCCGAGGGGTTTTGTCAACTGCGAACTACTACTCAGGTGCTACTGTACGCTCTACTCCTTCCGTCCAGTAGTCGGCCACGCCTTGCTGTCATTCCCTTCCTTCCCTGACTTAGCACCGTTCTAACTGCAACCAGAGCCTCCTAAGCCCAAGCCCCTAACTTATAAGCCCTTAGCCACCCCTGCGACCTCGACTCCGCCCTACCAGACTAGAGGCCAGGCTTCAGGCTTCAGGCGTCAGGCTTCGGCTACTCGTACGGCCTTCTTGTATTAGGTATTAGATTCTGACTGTATCCTCCTCCTCCAGATAACTACCTAACTACCTTATTCACTCCTCGTCTTCTTTCGATCTCATACCCCAGCTCACTTCAAGTTGGACTGGACACAACTCGACTCCCTCCAGGCTATATCATCTCAGCTTCTGTCCCATCCATCAACCTCCCTGGACTTCATTACCCTGGCATTGTCCCCTATCCTGTCCCGCCAAACCGTCTTTCCCGCTCTCCCTTGCCTTACTCCAGGAGTGAGAACCTTTCAACCCTTATCGAACTCGGAGGAAAAGCGCCCGAAGCGTCCCGGTAGATCTACGATTGTCAATTTTCAATCACTCGCGTCCTCAGTGCCGCATCCGTGGCTTCAAGACGGTCGCCGCCACCACCACCACCACCACTCCGACTGCTGCCTCCCAATCGCCAGCTTCGGAGTTGTACAAACATCGTCTCTCCACTCAGATCGTGCAGGCCTTGTTTCCTGCCTGTCATGTGTGTGGCCTAAACTCTAAACTTGGGCAACCTTGCTTCAACACCAAGTCGAACGCTGTATTCCATCTCCGGCTTCACCACTAGCCTGGACCTTTCGCCACATCCGTCCGGAATCCCTCCGACTGTTCTGCTTCTGACCTTCTCGCTGTTGCAATCAAGACGTCAGAACGCATCCAACGCACCATTGTTCGATTTCCCATATGTTCTTATCGGTGCTGCCGAGCAAATTTGAAGTGGACCTTGGAGGCTTTTCTGTTCTCCGGCACGCTTATCAATGGGGAACTCTCAGGGCAAGCCAGTTGTCTTGACCGATGAAGGTTTGTTTCTTCTCCCTGACAGACAACTCGTGGGTGGTGCTCACTGTTCTCACAGTGAATCTAAATCACTTTCGCCTTCTGAGGGTGGTCGGCAAAGGTGCTTTCGGCAAAGTTCGTATCGTCGAGCGCAAAGACTCGGGTCTGACATTTGCGCTCAAATACATCCGCAAGGATGAAGGTACGTTTGGGCAGCTGTCCGTCTGAAGTCTGTTTATTGATGGTGATAGTGGTGCGCTCCGAAAGTGTCCGCAACATCATACGCGAACGGCGGATGCTCGAGCACCTAAACCACCCATTTCTTTGCAATCTTCGCTACGGTTTTCAAGATGTCGAGTATCTGTATTTGGTGGTCGATTTGATGAACGGCGGCGATCTTCGATTTCACATTCAACGCAAGGCTTTCACCGAAGACGCCATTCGCTTCTGGATGGCCGAACTAGCTTGCGCCCTCCGATACATCCACAGCCAGGGCATCGTCCATCGAGATCTGAAACCAGATAACGTGCTGCTAGACTCGGAAGGCCATGTCCACTTGGCTGATTTCAACGTTGCCTCGGATTTCAAGCCGGGCAAACCTCTCACCAGTAAGTCGGGTACGCTGGCGTACTTGGCGCCCGAGGTGTTTCGGGGTCACGGCTATTACAGTGAGGTGGATTGGTGGTCCTTGGGTGTGACCATGTATGAGTCTGTCTATGGAAAACGGCCATTCGAGGGCAAGACTCATGAGGAGCTTGTCGACAACATCTGTGCGGCCAGTCCGCGATATTTTGTGACGAAGCCTCCCGTGTCGATGCCCTGTCTCCACGCCATGACCTCGTTGATCGAAAAGGATCGGCGGAAGCGAATCGGGGCCGCTGGCTTCGAAACCTTTACCAACCACCCTTTCTTCCAATGCATTGACTTTGACGCCCTGGAGCGGAAACAAATTCCTCCCGTCTTCATCCCGTCGAGTGAGAAGACAAACTTTGACGCCACATACGATCTTGAAGAACTACTTTTGGAGGAAGCTCCGTTGGAAGCCCGGGCGAGGAGACAAAAGCCCCGTGCGGAACTGCGCAACGACGCGTCCAGCAAAGAGATCCGAGAAGACGAGCTGCACCGCATGATTGAGACCATGTTTGAGCCTTTCGATTATACCCTGGCCAGTTATGATGTGTAAGCCGCAGCCTTAACGTACCGAGGAAAGTGGGATGGTGCTGACGAAATCTAGGAATGCTGCCGCTGCAGTTGCTGGGACAGTGCCTGACGAGCACGTTCACTTGGACACACACCAGCCCGAGTCACACTCTGTCCACACTTCTCCCGATGGTTCGCCCCCATTATCAACAGCCGGGATTGCCCTCACGCCTGATGCCGAGGAGGGTTTCCCTCCGCTGGACGAAATGGCAGCGGCACTGCCGCAATCACAAACCACACAGCGGCCAGCCTCATCTTCCAAGTCGTTCAGTCGCCCTCTTCCTCCGCAGAGACCCATCCCTGCCACACGGCAGCCGAGTAAAGGAGGCGGTGTACAGATGGTCCTGGACGAATCAGGCAGCTGGTCCAATCTGGCGGACCAGACCCCTCCCATAGCATCCGACGGTCTTCCAGATCCCGGAGCCAGGTACGAAAAGGGAGGTGGGAGCATGCTGGGATTTTTGAGTAGGAAGAAAGGTCGGGAACGGAGCCCCAAACCGAAAGAACCCGGGGTATTGGGCAAATACGGCGCCAGACATATCATTAGCTGAGGCAGCAAGCGACAATGAGCGAGAAATCTTTTTCAATTTGCAAACATTTGGTCCAGCTCGGGACTTTGGCGTCGGCCTTCGACGGGTTTGTCGGGGTCGAACTCGCTTCAGGGAAACGAGATCAGCAAGATCAAGCATACTACTAGACCTGGCTGTGGGTTGCAACAAGCTGCGGCAGAGACAGCTGTTCTGGAGCGTTGGTGTTCGACACCATTCGACGCAGTTGCATCCTTCGTCTGTTTCGACCAAAGGAAGCAGCACCAGCAGCCACTGGCGTAGCGGGACAACCAAAAGAGCACAGTGAAGAGGCGGCGGGGTTGACCATGATTCATGTCATGAGGGCAAAATGGAGCGGCAGAGTCGAAGCAAGGGTCGGGAGGTGGGAGGTGGGAGGTAGGAGATATTATTGTACATGGGAGCACATAATCTGTAATAACATCAGATATCTGAGTATGTGTACCTAGTATCCATACCTGATCTCGGACATGACAACAAACCGCCAGATTGCCTGTGGAGATGTTATCATCAATGCTGTTGTCTGGCTGGGATGGTGTTGTTTGGGTTGGAAGCCAGCGCCGTGGTTGCCCGGCAAAAGCGCAGCCAGACTGCCCCGACTCAAGCTCCCCGCCCGGCCAATAACAACAGCCAAACAGCCGTCAACACACCAACCACAGCCTGGCACCTCACATCCTGCACCACCACCACCACCACCACTACACCTCCTCACACCTCTCTCGTCCTGTGTCGAGCTTCAACTCTCCCATCCCTCCCGCTGTGTGTCTCGCTCTCCGACAAACTTGTGCTGATTGTGCTGTTTCTGCACTTATCCCTTATCCCACGCTTCCCTCCTCTCTTAACCATGTGCACCTCTTAGCCCGGGGTGTGTCGACAACAGCAGTAGCACGCGTCGCGTTGTGCTGCTGACCGGGATACATACCCCTCCGCTGCCTTTCGCCCACGCCCACGCCCTTCACCTTCAGTCCGAGTCGACAAGGCCTCAAGACGCCTCCATCTATCCTTATGAATGGCAGCTGCCGTATTTGTACCGCCCTCGCCTCATGACCCTCTGGCGAAAATGGCCAATCCGTCCCGTCGACTCCCTCTCGCGAGCCTTGCCAATGCCCCCAATTCTCCCCACCGGCTGCTCAGCAACAGTGGCTCGAAACGGCCTCGAAGCCTGGCGAATCTCGCCCAACAGGAAAACGAACCTCCTCAGAAACGGGTGGCGGTCGAGAAAAATGCCCGGGACCCCAATCCCCCGGTCACGCCGCAGAGGCAGCCACAATCCGCCATGGCAGAGAGCCGCGTCTTTGAACGAGGACATGGCGAGTCGGGGTCGACCGCCTTCCAACGAAAACTAGTTGCCGCTCGAGACAAGAGTGCTGGTCTGCGGGTGACCAAAAATGTTGACGTCTCCACCAAGGAAGACACCATCCGCACCTGGCAAAAACATTACCGCAAACTGTTCCCCACGTTCAGCTTCTACTTTGATGGCGTGTCGGAGGAGGCACGGTCTCGCTTCCTCCGACAAGTTACCTCCCTTGGAGCTGTATGTTTTGTTCCTGCAATGGACCATTCTTGTGCGCTGACTCTGTCATAGAAAGAAGAGAAGTTCTTCTCAAAGGCTGTAACTCATATCGTGACCACCCGTCATATTCCCACCGAGTCGGGAAAACATGCAAACGACCCCGAGCAGCATTCCCCAGTCGAAGATCATCCGCAAACGATTAATCCATCCCTCCTGGAAAAGAACCCTCGAGGGCACATGCCGGCCAGCGTCAGACGTGAGGGAATGAACCACATGGACATTCTCGTTCGAGGGAAGGAAATGGGGATGAAGATATGGGCGGCAGAGAAACTTCAAAGAGTCTTGGGGTCCATCCTAGAAGATTCGGCGAGTCATGGTCACTATGCTCGTGGATCAACCCACACGAGTCGACACCAGCATCAGGATCTGGGACAAGTCTTGAAAAATGAAAAGCTGGGAACGACCTCTGACAGAGAGCAGCCCTTCTTGTCTCTGGTGCCATTTAAAGGACCGTTCATCTACGTTCATGACATGGAGGAGAAATATCGGCCCACCATGGTCAGGGAATATCCCAAAGTGGCACGACGATCAGATGGAGAATGGCCACAGTTTCGGTCTGCCAGCATGGGCAAATGTCCGTTCATCGAAGACCCGGCAATGAAGAAGGAAATCGAACAGGAACGCAAGCGGGCTAACATGGCTGCCATGCAGCAACAGCAACGGGAGCAGCACGTTCCCCGGACACGCTCCCATATGTCGGTGGAAACAACCAAACTCGATGCACCACGGCGGGCAAGCCCACGTAAAGCTCTTGGGGTGGTGCAGAACAATACCGCCACGGACCTGGATATGGACAAGAAGGACAGGAAACCCGCCACTGCTGCCCCTGACCGGCATTCTTCCTTTCCTCCCATGCCTGAACGACCGGGTTTCGAATTCGTCCGGCCCGCACAACTGCACATGGCTCGAGAGCCTGCGGCGTCGGGAATCCAGAGGTCGAATCTGACCTCTGCCATTCAGTCACAGATGATTTCTTCTACTGCCGCCACTGGAGTCAAAGCCGGGACAAGCAAGGAGGTACATCATCAATTGAAGCGGCAGGTTCTGGAACGTACCCACCACACAGGGAGTCTTTCCGTCGGGTCGATCCCGTCCTCGCACCGGATGAATGACCTTGCCGGGGCCCTCAAGACCGTCCGGGCTCCTGCACCACAACGAGCAGCCAAAAGCAAGGCGCAAGAAAAGCTGGGAGGGATCCAGGAAGAGGGAGAGTCACATGCAGACGACATTGCCGCAGAACGCGCTGTACAGTCGACCAGAAGAAAGAAAGCGGTCAAGAGAGATCCCAAACCGGGATATTGCGAGAATTGTCGGGATAAGTATGAAGATTTTGAAGAGGTGAGGCAGCTGTGATTGAACTGGATGTACTGATTACTGACCGTGTCTAGCACGTTGTCTCACGCAAGCATCGAAAGTTTGCCATGACCCAATCGCATTGGAAGGAACTTGACGCCCTTCTTGCCTTGTTGCAAGCTTGATGAATTTGACGAAACCATTGTCCAGGAAGGCCATCGAGGCGACTGGATCAGCGAATGCCACTCAGATAGAGATTGTTTCTGCGGCGACGATACATTCGCTTACATTGACCACGAGCATTGCGATATTCATTTCTGCATTTCAGCCGGAGGGGGGGGCTTATGCCTTTAATTTTCAGCATCAGCAGCAGCGCCAAAAAGAACTACAAAAGTGAACAGAGGCAGGTCTCGAGCCGGCGGGAATGAATTGGAACCCTTCCCTGACCTGACCGAACAACTAGTTAATACGGCCATTATTTATATTTGCAGGTTAGGAGATGTTGGAGGTGGACGTGAGCGGGCACCAGCACCAGCACGAGCACGCGTGGCCTGGCCCGGGGGATGGAGTATAAGCATTTGATTTGAGATTGTTGATGCAGTTACCAGTCGCAATGAATGAAGTCTGAATGAAGTCGATGATGTTTGTGTTTGTGTTTGGGTGTCAATCTTAACCAAGGACCGCACGTTGTTGTTTGTGAACGAGTGAGTGCCTGTTGCCGTCGACTCGACTGCAAGCGGAAGGTCGAAGAACAAAGGAGGTGATGCATAAAGGAGGTGAGAGGTAAGATGAGAGAGGTTGAGACATGCCATGCCCGTCACCTCAGTGGTGGGTGATGGTGAGAATGCAGTAGAGGACCGTGCCCGGGCCTGGTCCAAGCCTCGCATTGTTTCTGCATGTGTCTTTGTCTATCTCAACCCAGCTCCAACTGTACAGAGTAGGAGCATCAGCGAGCGACCTACTAGGTACTTACTTGCAACTAATCCGGCCTTGATTCAGCATCGCGTTCGGTAACATGGGACAGGCTTAAGGCGTGGTTTTGTTTTCCATCTGCCTTTGTCGATTCACCATCTATGCTTGCTTCTCTTGGTCCCAGCTGGGTGTGAATGCCCACCTCGTCAAAGGACTTGACTTCCATTCTTACTTGGAAGATGAAGAAACGATGTCAGTCACTGCACCGCATCCGGTTGTTGGTTGCTGGGATCGGCCCAGGCTGGCTGGCTCATTCATTATTTAGTTTTCTTTCCTGTGCTGTGATTCCTGCCCGAGGAGGAGTACGAGTGCGTTTCTAGTCTGGCTGTTGTTTCGTTTCGTCTGGCTAAGGTATTGAGCAATATCTGGTGGAGGATCGTTGAGAGATCTCTCTCTGTCCCTCTGGCTAATTAATCTATACGCTGTGTGTCCCCCTCTCGACAGCCACGTCCGCCGTGTCGCCAGCCATACCTCAAGTTCGGTTCGCACACCATGCACCTCTCCGTCCCAGTCCACAACGTCCAGATCGACGAGCGCGCCAAATGGACCCGCGACCGGGCCAAAGTCCAGCGCCGCCTCTCGCGCTGGAGGCGGAAGAGTTGGTTTGATTCCGGAGCGGAGCTGTTTGCGCTGTCGAGGGCTCGATATGATGATCAAGATGAACAATGGGAGGTATGTTGTCGTTGTCGTTGTCGTTATTCCATTGCATCACATCACTTCTAAGCCGTTGCCGTTGTTTGACTTCTGAAGCTGCCGGCCTAATTTGACACCGACACCCTGACGCTGTCCGGGGGTGCTTTGTACCGTCCCAATGCTTCTGTACCGTCCACTCTGGGTTCCCCAATGTTACACCCTACCCAAGGGTCCTTCTGTACCGTCCCAACACGCTGCCCAGGGGTGCTTCTGTATCGTCCCAACAAGCTGTCCAGGGGTGCTTCTGTACCGTCACGACACACTGCCCAGGGATGCTTGTCCACTCTGGGTTCCCCAACGTTACACCCTGCCCAAGCCTGTTTCTGTACCGTCTCAACACGCTGCCCAGGGATGCTTCTGTACCGTCCACTCTGCAATCTGCTATTCCCCAATCTGACCCACTGTCCAGGGGTGCTTTCTACCGGCACTCTGGTGTTGTGTCCAGGCTAACATCTTCCCTCCCTTAGTGTACGCATCTGCTCGGCCGTGGATCTTTCGGCATGGTAGGCCAATGGACCAAATTCGACAGACACGGGAGAGCCGTTGATGTAAGTCAATCTGATCACCTTACCTAGTGGTCTGGAAATCCCCCGGGCCACCGAGTCACATTCCATCTGACCTTTGCCGTAATGCTCTGTTGCAGACAATGGCAATCAAACAAACCGACATCGACGACCGCGAAGTCGATCGCCAAAAACACCTCGCCATCCCCTGGGAAGTGTTGATCATGAGAGGACTGGCAGACCAAGGCTGTCGCAACGTGGGCGGGCTCCGCAAATACAAACTGTTTATAGCCGACCCACCCAAATGGCGGTATTACCTGGAATACCACCGACACGGGACCCTGGCTGGTCTGGTCGAAAGGTACAGGGATCATAATCACGAGCACCCGCGGCATAAGTACGTCCAGACCTGTCTTTGAACCAAATGCGTGGGTTGGAATTGAGAAGATTGGGCCAAGCCCGAGGCAGGGAAGTTGGTCTTTGGACGAATCTGACTGACCATCGTCATGTGAAATCTAGGGACTACATACCGGAAGCATTCATCTGGCAAGCGTTGTACGGCTTTGCCCAGACAGCGTACCATATGAGCACGGTGAGATTCGACAAGAGCGTGGCACCGCCGGGCAAGGACCATTTTGTGTTGCACCTTGATCTGAAGCATGAGAATGGTGAGCCGATGCCCTATCGATGCGTCCCGACGGGAGTTGAGTTGGGGGTGAGAGAAATCAAGAAGCTGCTGACTGATTTGATTCCGACTAGTCCTGATGTGTGAGGCCAGCACTGACGAGGACCTCATCAACTATCCCACCCTCAAGGTCGGCGACTGGGGAATGGCCGAGTACACGAGTCGCGACGACGTGCACAATAGTCATCGGTGGAAGTATCAGGGAACAATCGTCTGGTGTCCGCCGGTAAGCGTGTCCCCATTGTTAATCGTCCATCAATCGTATCTCCGGCCACCACTCCCTCTCCCCTCCCCCTCCCCAACCCTATTGACCGAGATGGCTTGTATCCAGGAACAACTCCGGCAAGGCCAATACGGCCGGCACTGGAAACACCCGGTCCTCGGCGGGCCCGACCACCCATTCACCATGGCCCACGTGATCTGGCAGATCGGCGCCAACATCTACGGGCTGATGGAGTTGGAACTCGACAACCTGGACCTGTATGAGCGGGTCAAGCGCTACGAAACCTCGGAAAGCTCCCTCCGCCACAACGGATACTCGGTTCTCTCGCACTGGAACAATTCGCGCTACAGCTCGAAACTGATGGATCTCGTCGAGGACTGTGTCAGGTTGGATCCGGCTCGACGGCCGTCGCCGAGAGAGTTGGTGGCGCGGGCACAACAAGGCCTCAAGCCGCATGTGGACAAGGCGCGGCGAACGGGATCCGCGCCGAAGGTGAGACTGGACTGAGCTGAACAGAACGGTGAAGCTTTCCAAAGTAGTGGATGAGGTGGAGTGAGTAAGTGAACGTGGATTGGAGTGAGTAAGTGAGCGTAGATTGATCTTGTGAGTTGTACTGTACTGTCCTGTACCAGATATGACGCTGCCCAGCCAGCTGTACGGACCGATACCTACAGTTAGAGGAAGACATTGGCAATAGGCCATACCAGCAAGATTCTAGAGCTTGTCGCGAACCGAACCGCAAACAGTGACCATACCACGTCAATGACCGATGTCAGGTCTACTCAGAGAGAGAGACACAGTGTGAGAGAGTGAAAGAGAGTGAAAGTGCATTTACAACAGCTTTGCCTTTTCAAAGAAGGTATGGATAATCCGACGTGAAAGAAAGGACAGGACAGGACCGCATCAACCATCAACCATCAATCATCAACCATTGCCGCAACGCCACGCCATGGTATACATAGGAAAGGCTGAACGTGAAAGGGGGGCAGGGGGGGTATGCCAGTGGGCACCGGCGAAACCAACAACCAACTTCCAACTTGTCCGCGTGAAACGTGAATTGCCACACACACACACACTCCCTCTCTCTCTCTCGCTTGTGTGTAGGTAAGAGGTCTCTCATCTGGAAGGATCAAGTATTCGACGATTGCGTCTCTCGCCAAGTGTACGGGACTGATGATGATGATGATGATTTGTCCCAGCTACGCCAATGCAACTATACGCCAAGAGCCGCTAGCCTTAAGGGCTTAGGTACGGTCCGTACAGAGCACTCCCTCCCCTCTTCTCCTCTCTATCTCTATCACCATCGTCTATGATCCCATTTCTACCTTTTCAAGCCATCTGTGAGTGTCCCTGTTCGAGTACGGGACAGAAGATAGAACGTCGGGATTAACCATACTCCGTGGTATGTCACATGCGTTGAGGACTCGTCACTAACCACTAAGCCCTTGTCGATGTTCCATCTTCTCTATCAGAGGGTCGCGGGGGAGCGCATGCTATATAGTATGCCTAAACCAGCCGCCTGGTTGAAAGAGCAAGGCTGGGATTGCCTACGTTTGACAGCCCTGGCTGAGACTGACCTACTATCTACGCAGTATTGTCTAATTACTCTTCGTACTCTGTACATGCGCGTCTGAAAGAGAAATTCAGGTAAGTTCTAAAAGGGTACTATCACGGCTTTGAGAGGCAACAGCGTGACCAGCACGTGGTTACGCACACACGTAATTACGGATCGCCGCTCGGTAGGTATATCCCGTACCTCGCGGCCTCTCAACTCCTGGCGAGTTAGGTGTTCTACAATTTACTCTATATTCATGTATCTCTTGCTCGATCGTGAGAGGTACAATCTATCTAGCTGTCAAGACTCACTCACACAATAGTCTCGGGCTGCTTCGCCAAATGTGTGGTTGCTGAACCCATGCTCGCCATCGCCCATCACTTGTATGGACATGGCCATGCCACTGGCCTGGTGCCAGAGCAGGTGACAGTGGAACATCCAAATCCCTTCATTGTCCGCCAGAAACCGCAGGACAACATATCCAAACGCAGGCACATATACAGTGTCCTTCCTCAAAGGGTTGACCGTGTTTAGCGGGTCACCCCGAGGAGTTTGTCTACCGTCCCAGGGATTATAATAGTCGCTGATCGACTGGCCTCGCCACGACGAAAGAACGAAGAAGTCTGCTCCGTGCTGATGCATCAGGGTAGGACATTAGAGAAGGTGCGACGGTTGGACGGTTGGACGGTTGGACGCGAGAGGGAGATGAAACTCACGAGATGGAATGGATGACCAGCCCCGTCTTGGTTGTTGACTACTATGTCAACCCAACCCGCCTTGGGCCCGGTCCAAGCCACCAGTTGATGCTTGTCCCAGTCTTCACGCTTGAGTGTCAACAACGGCAGACTGGGTGAGGACTGCTTGCGCCAGGTCGTACGATTGAGGAACCCCTGGGGAATCCCCTTCTGCTGCGACAACATCTGGATCGCGCTATACAGCACGATGAAATCCATGGGTTCTGGAAGCGGCTGAGCGAGCTCTTGTCCCCCAACGGTTGCGAGATTCAATGGAGTGGTCATATTTCTCTCCGTGTTTGGTGTCACATTCTCTCCCGAAGGTATGGTGTTGGCGTCGGCGATGGGAAAGGATTGAGTGGCAGTGAGGGCGTTGTTGGGGGTTTGAAAGTTTCTATCACAACTTCGAGTCAGCCGTGGAACACAACATCAGGCACACCACCTCCGTACTCTGGGTCCAAAGAAATGATGAGTCGAGAAGGACGCTGTTGTCCGAGCTCGCTCCAAGAAACAACCAGATCCATTCGTTCGCCAGGGTAAAGGATACCGACTGAATCGGTCGTCTCCGTTGCCTGGACTTTTTGGCCACCATCGACCTCAACCAGTTGGATCTCGGCGTCGGGGATGGTGAGCGTGATGCCGGTAAAAGTGCTATGCTGGTCAGTTCGGCGCGATCATAGAGACATGTGATTTCTCTTACCCAACATTGACTATACGAAGCCGTTGCCGCTCCTGCTTGTCCAACTGCAGCCAAGGTGTCCCAACAGCGTGGCAGTCGACAGGGCGTGCGGGCACAGCCATTGAACAGTCGAAATGGCCTCGACCGTTGATCAGCATCGAGTCAGGACATGGCTATCACAGGTCAGTGACATTTGGTCTCGCCGCCTGCCTTGACCAAATCTATCTGGAACTGAGGAACTGACCTCCGCTCCATGAAACAAAGGGTCCATAAACCAAGCGAGAATGTCCTTGGCTGGCCGATGATACCAATCGCCGATCAGAAGCAGGCTCTCCTTGCGATATCCATAGACAGCCAAGTCTGACTTCTCCGATGGACGATGTACGACAAGACCACCATACAGCCCATCGCCACGTTGCACATCCGAATGGGCATGATACCTTGATTGAGCGCCGTGAGCAGCCTTCCTCTCTGCCGGTGGTGGGGAGGGGCGTACCAAAATGTTCCCTCTTGACTGGCGTCAAGTTCGAAGCGATAAGTAAAGGCTGTACCTGGTCGGATGGGACATTGGGTGACCGCGCTGGCACCATCCATATGATTTGCACCTGCGGGCATGCAAGAGAGCGCGTGAGGACATGATTCAGCACTGTAGCGCGACACTCACAGACCTCTCATGTACAGGCCATGCCAATGAATCGAGACATGCTCATCATCCCTCTCGAGAAGGTTCCAGACCCTTATCTCAAGCACGTCTCCGCTCCGCGCCTCGATGGTTGGGCCGGGAAACTGACCTGATGACTTGTCAACCTCCTGCTCAGGTGGGTGATGGTGATCAACGCAGCTGACCGTTGATGAGGAACACGTCTTTGCTCACTCCGTCAGGAGACAATCGCGCGGAGGTGATATTCCAGGTGTGTCGGAGAGTTTTGGGGCTGCGATAAACGTGGTCCTCTGGATGCAGATCGATCTCGGAACTGTCATGTGGCATGGAGGCCGTCATCGGGCCGGAATGCTCATTGGCCCTGAAGGGCGGTGCCCTCGATCTCGACGGCGCTAGACTGGTCCATCGCATGTGGAAGATGAGAAGCGCGGTCGATACGATCAGCAGGCTTCCGCCCAGGATCTGAGCCATCTTCCCTCGCTCTCTGGATCGGGACATGGCGACGAACTGGCGGAACCAAAACAGGTGTGAGTCTGTGAAGCTGCATTTCCGGATGGTGATGGGGGCGATGTCCACGGACTCTGGCCTCTGGATTCTGGAGAATGGGAACTACCCCCCTCCCCTTTTCATTCCGTCTCCGGACCATTTCAGGGGAAGCAGCGGTACTTCTTTCTCTCAGCCTGTGGACTCCGGGACCTCGGATCGAGTGAGGGACAAGCAATTTCCAAGCATATCACCCGGTTGAATTTTGGGATTCAAAGCAGAGAGGTGAGAGAGGTATAAGAGGTGTGAAGAGCCTATCATCGAGTGCACGTGTCAGCCTGGTGGAGCAAGTCCAATGTGGACCGGGCACCCTCGTCCGCCGATCAGCCACCCCAGGCCGGGTATCTGTATATAAGAGAACACGAGAAGGCGCCATCATCCCTGCTCGAAGGATACCACACCTAATGGGAATGGGTCCTACTATAGCAGTGAGGGTTGCTTGATCCAGTCCACATCTGGCAAGGACGTCTGTTGACAGAGCAGAAACCCGCAAGTCTCATTTGAGTACGATGTCCGCAGATGGCGAAAGCAAATTAAGGAACCTACACTGCGCTTCAAAGCCCACCCTTGAAGACGTTGGAACAGGCTGTTATTGGGTTCAGGGGTTCTTGAATGCACCAATCTGGATGGTATACAGAGATGCACGTGCGACGCCGGGCGCATTCTCGAAACTCCATACGAGGCATTTGAATGGGCTCCAGCATCGACAGACCGGAGACGAAGTGCCGAAGCCAGCGAACATTCAAGGATGGTGGCCACCGAGTGGGAAAAGGTTTGATATAAAAAAGACAAAGACCCTGTGTGCCCTCCCTACCCGTCAGAAAGACAGCCTTCCTTCCAAGTCCAAGTCCAAGTCTGCCCAGCCACAATGCATGCACGCATGGTCAAACCTAGCATAGCGCTGGTCATCGCCAGCGCTGGACTTGTTCACTCTTTCAGCCTTGCGGACATTAAGCATGTGGTCATGTTCATGCAGGAGAACCGTTCGTTTAATCATGTATGTCGCTGGGCAGAAGCCTTGCATGGCTGTCATCGTTTCTTCCCACTCTAACCGATGGGCAGTACTTTGGCACCATGGCTGGTGTCCGTGGATTTTCCGACCCGAATGTCCCAATCAACCCGAAAACCGGCAAGCCGGTGTGGTACCAGTGAGTCTCCTCACTCCGGCTCCTTGTTCCTGGAAGCCTCCTGCTGGGTATGAAAGGGCTGACGTCCGCCAAGGGACGTGAGCACTCTCACCGATGAGACCGACTATCTTCTTCCTTTCTGGCTGAACTATGCTGGCGACGAGTGGAAGACTCGTACCCAGTGCATGAACCCCGGGTCCAACGACTGGGCCCACACCCAGTCGGCCATGAACAATGGAAGCATGGATTTGTGGGCGGTGCACTCGGCCCCTCAAGCCCTGGGTTACTTCAAGAAGGAAGATATCCCCTTCCACTGGGCTTTGGCCGAAGCCTACACCGTGGGAGACCACTACACGGTATGAACCCAACCATTGGGAGGCATGGCATGCCAACTTGCAACACGTCAATCTGACTTGGGAATCCTTGACACAGGCGTCTATCCTGTCCAACACTGACCCGAACCGTTGGTTCTGGCAATCCGGCTCTATCAATGTCCCTGGCGGGCCTCAGCCTCTTGGTTCTGGAGGCATTGTGCTGGATGATAACCAAACACCAGGTATACATCTTGGTTGGCGGCGGATGCGGCATCGCTGACTCGGTGACAGGCTGCGAAGGCGAGAACCTCAACTGTGTGCCGTTGGACTGGCCCGCTGTGGCAGAAATCTACGAGAATGCTGGCGTCGACTGGCGCTGCTACATGAACAAGTGGGACTACGCCACCAACAACGGCTTCAACTACTTCAACGCTTTCATGAACGGGCCGGCAAACTCGAGCCTCCGCGCTCGGGGAACGGACTTCAGTGCCCAGAACTCCCTGGACGCCTTCTATCAAGACGCTCTGAACGGCACCCTGCCTGAAGTCAGCTGGGTCTTCCCTCCCGGCAGCCTTCAGGAGCACCCGCCCCGGGCCCCGGTGGATGGTGCTTGGCTGATGAAATCTCTCGTGGATGCCGTGATCCACGGTCCTGACTACAACAGCACCGTATTCATCATCATGTATGATGGTGAGTATGCATGGCTCGCAGACAGCGGCATGGCAAGTGGACGAGTTTGTCGGCTGACCTCAAACAGAGGCTGGTGGTTTTGCTGATCACGTTTGGCCATTCCACTCCCCCTACGGCACCCCTGGTGAATGGTTCCAAGACCCGTACAACGAATACGGCTACACATTCTCCGGACCCGGTACACAGTGTCTAGGCGATCGATCAGATTGGCGCCCTTGCTAACTCTTGTCAGGTGTCCGAGTGCCTCTCTTCCTCATCTCCCCTTTCACTCGCGGCGGGAAGGTCTTCACCGAGCACGCCGACCACGCCTCTCAGATTCTGTTCGTTGGTACGTACAGGGTGACAGTCTCACAGGAACCTGCTGCGTCGGCGGTCTAACGGGTGCATACAGAGGAATTTCTCAAGGCCAAGGGCTACCAGAACATCACGACTGGCCAGATGTCGGACTGGCGCCGAAAGCACATGTCCAACCTACTGGGCGCGTTTGACTTTGAGAATGTAAGACCCGGGATACGCACCACACGCTCTCCTCTCTCCCACCACACGCTCTCCTCTCTCCTGACGGGCGAACTAACCGACCTGCGTTCAGCCGGATTTCTCCATTCCCGAGTTCCCGCAACCCCCGACGCCCAATAAGGACAGCAACGGCAACATGATCGGGCTGGACGCATACTGCAACGCCGAATACGGCGGCGACGTGGTGCCTCCGATCCCCTATGGCAAGCAAACGCTCGAAGACGCGCTGTTCTACGAAGACGGGTTCAAGGGTGTGCGCGGCGCCCTGACTGAAGGGCGCCACCTGGTCTTCGAGGCCGTCGGCTACGCTCTGACCAGCGGCCAGGCCAAGCTGACGGGCACCAAGGCCACTGCGCAGCACGAGAACCCGGACCAGCGTCTCGTCGTGCACATCAACGAGCTCGGTGGCAACCAGTTCAAGATCTCCAACGACAAGGGCGACCAGTGGCTGGGTGAGGCGGCGGATTGGTATCCGTCCGAAGACCAAGGCTGCTGGTATTACATCAACTACCTCGGCAATGGAGCCTACAACATCCAGCAGGTCAATGGCGGCAAGTACATCAACCTCAAGGGGGCCGGCCATATTTCTATTGCCCACGAGCCTGTCAACTACAAACTCTACAGTGTGTCTTATCACGACTAGGAATGCGTGTGTCTTATCATGACGAGGGGAAATACGTGTGTCCTATCATGACTAGGGGATAATGCGTGTTTCCTATCATGACTAGGGGCAATGCGTGTGGCCTTTCACGACTAGGGGACAGCGTGTGTCCTATCACGACTAGGCGACATGCGTAGTGGAGGAATAGGCATGCCGGGAGGGTTCCCTTGTATGGGGGGAGACCAAGCTGCGAGGCTACCTTAGCCCTTAGCCCCGGTGCATGACCCAGTGGGAGCCCCGGAGGGGGAGGGCGGAGGGGGGAGGGCGGAGGGGGGATGGCGGAGGAGGCAAAAGCCCTGGTGGTTTCTTTCCTTTGTTCTGTTTCTTCTTCTACTTCTTCATCCACCGGGAGCACTTTTTCATTCTCTTGCCTTCTTCTTTTTTTGCCGTGAGCATGACCATCGGCAGTTGGCAATTGGTATTTCATGTACAGAACAGAGTACGGATCCTCCGTAATTAGATAGATAGTAGATAATTCGCAGAGTCGAACATGATTTTCTCAGACTGGCCTATTTGATGCCGAAAAGAACGGACAAGGCTCAACCGACTGTGACTATAGATGCTAATAGTATTTACCAATACTACAGAATAGAGACATGTAATCGTGAGGGTGGTGCCGGTCCAAGGCAGAGTCACCGTGAGCATATTGTTGTCAAACTTAGGCATTCCCAGCCTTGTTCTTTCACGAGAAGGCTGGTTTGATTTAGGCATACTATACACTACCTATATAGCCTGGGCCCCTTAGCCCCAAGGTTCCCCCGATAACCCTTTGATAGCGAACGGGGAACATTTCAACCTTTGACAATCATAAGGCTGAATTCGGGGCCAGAGGCTCTGGCTTAAAGCGGCGTCACGACAGGCTTGGCAGGCCAAGTGCAGCGCAGTGCGGACAAGGCTGCATCCAGTACCTTACATGTATGTAGGCCTTCAAGGTCTACACCGTACGGAGCATTTTAGCCAGCCAGCCTCACTCCTTTGTCGCCAAAGTGCAAAGTGCAGAGTGCAGAGTATTCTTCTACTTCTACCTCCCCTCCATCCTGTCACCAGCCAGCCAGTCAGCCAGTCGTGCGATCGGCTCCATCTGTGATCTGATCTGATCTGATCTGACCGCGGCCTTCAACGGCTTCATTGCTTGTCGAAGGTTGTCAACACATTGACATTGACGTTGTCATGGCTGGTCCTCGCCCGAGCCCTCTTCTACGGATACCTTGAGGATCGCGAGATCACAGACTCTCGACCCTCGAACCTTGACACTCGACCCTCGACCCTCGACCCTCGCGAGACCACCGATATATCGACCATCGATCTATCCATATCGATAATACTTGCCTCCCTTCGCCCGCATCCGCATCTTCATCGGCTTAACAGGACTTTGGCCATGGAGGAGGCAAAAACTCTCATCCGGACTACCGTCCGCACCTTCTTCCCCCACCCTAAACAGATCCTCATCGTCGACGCCATCATGCTTCATTCCGTTTTACAGATGGACGACCTTGCCGTCCTCGTCTCGGCTCAGCCCAAAGACATCCGAAGCCTCATGAACCCTCTGCGCGCCGCGCGCCTGGTCCAGACACATTCCCGCCTGGAAGTCAGGGTCGGATCACAACGAGGCAGCCCGAGAGAATACTACTACTGTCCCTTTCACCCGGCAATCGACTCGATTAAATTCCGCATCGCCAAGCTCCGTAAGAAGGTCGAGGCGCTGTACAAACAAGATGAGACGAAGCGAAAAGACTGGCGTTGTCCACGTTGCAAAGCCGAGTACGAAGAGCTGGAGATACTAGACAAGATCGGCGACGAAGGCTTCTACTGCGACCGATGTCACGCCACGTTGGTTCAAAACGAACAAGCCACCCAGGACCGAGGCAACCACGAGAAGATCCGTCGTCTGAACGACCAGCTCAAGAAGTTCGACGATATGATCCTCAAAATCGACAAGAAGAACGTGCCGGAGAACGACTTTATTGCCGCGTGGGAGAGGAAGAAAGACGTGCCTCGGGAGCGTGGCGGGAAGGCCGAGAACCAATACGTTGAGCTCAAGCGGGACAACAAGAACCAGAAACGCGGGCCGGAGATGGTCAAGGTGGAGAACCTGGCAGTCAATCTGACCAGTGGCGCGGAGCAAGACCGTGAAGAGGCCGAGCGCAAAGAGGAACGGAGGAAATTACTGGCCAAGCAGAATCAACTGCCCGTATGGCACACGAACAGTGCAATTGGAGCCACGGCCGGCACCTCTGGTGTCAAGCTGGAACCTGAACCTTTGGAAGTGGACGGACTGGTCCCTAAGAAGGAGGAAGACATGGACGAGAAGAAACCCGACCTCGGAGCCTTGTCCGGGCCCAACACGCTGCAGGATGAAGTCGCCGCTTATATGGCGGAGATGGAACGGGAGCGTGAAGAAGCGGCTAAGCGGGCGAAAGAAGAAGACGACGAGGAAGAGGAAGAGGACGAGGACCTGGAGTTTGAGGACGTCGACGTGGCGGGAACCAGCCACCTGGGTACACCACCAAGTTCGCTGTCTCAAGGACAGGGTCAGGATCTAAAGTCGATCAACGGGGTCAAGAGGGAGTTGGCCGAGGATAGCGGACCTAGCAGTGATGCCAACACCCCTGCCAGCCTGGAGAGAGAGAACAAGAGAGTCAAGTTCGAGAACGACAACGAGAACGAGAACGGTTCTTCCAATCCGAATGGCGATGATGTCAAGGTCGAAGCGGCGGAGACCTCGGTTGAACTGAAAGATGACGGGGCAGATGGCGACTCGGAGGAAGACGAGGATTTCGAGGATGCCATGTAACAACATGCCAGGTACGGCTATGGGTGGACATGGTATTGCATTATTAAGTCACGCATGTGCCATATGCTATGTGCTAGACAGCATGCCGGGTACGGTTATGGGTGGCTACTAGGGACATGGTATTGCATTATTCAGTCACGCATGTGCCATGTGCCATGTGCCATGTGCTAGACAGCCACTGGATCGGGATTGAGGCCAGGAGTACAGGTTAGGTTACAGGTCACACAGTCTACGATACATGAGCAGGGCCAACTGGGTCCTTTAAAAGCAAGGCGTTGGGTGGGGATTTCAGGGCGGATTCAGTTTCGGATTCGGATTGAAATTCGGATTGAAATTTGGATTCGGATTCGGATTCGGTTTTGGTTTCGCCTTCATGTGAACTATGTGAACTTCAGTCTCGGTGTTAGCAGCCATCTCGACAGGCTGGTTCACAGGGACCGTTGGTGTTGAAGCTGGGAAGCTGTATTGCAATTGCAGGCGCTTGTCTCTCAATGAAACGTTCTGCTTCGGGCTTCGGGCTTCAAGCTTCGGCTTCAGGCTTCGGCTTCAGGCTTCGGCTTCAGGCTTGGGTCTTGGGGCTTGGGGCTTCCATTGACTACTATCTACTATCCACTATACTGCGGCAGACGGTAGCGAGCAGAGCAGAGAGGATGGAGGATGACGAAGACGAAGACGAAGACGAAGACGAAAACGAAGACGAAAACGGTGTACGGATAGCAATACAACACCAACACCAACACCAACACCAACACCAGTACCGACACTGCGGGAGACTGTTGTGGTGTAGTAGTACGGAGTATGTACTCTGTATCTGTACAGAATAGGTACGGAGTAATCAATCACCTATAAGTGTTCGTCCCTAGTAACTGCCACTGTAACTGCCACTGCCACTACATGTCCAGCGACATACTGTACGATTCCTCAACAGCATTCCAAAACTGTTTGCCTTTGTCCTCGCGGAGGCTTGCCATGACGATGTTGGACAACTGTACGGATATGGATACGGATACAAACTCGGATACGGATACCTTGCAAGCGCGATGAATGGACCTCAGGTCAGGGCACCGACATGGGATATACACATGGACTTCGTTCGACTCTTGTCTTGCTGGCTCCCGGTCTGCCAGATCCAAATCTAGATCCAGATCCCGACCCAGACCTTGACCAAACTCTCTAGGTCTCAACACTTTCCCCTTCCGTCTCCTCACTACAGGGGCAGGGAATGAACGTCCCGTGCACGTGGTTTCCTACCGCGTCCCACGCAGGAAACAGCCGAGGACAAGGCCGTGGCAGAGCAGGGCCGAGCAAGTCCTAGGTAGGTAGGTAGGCAGGTAGGTAGATACCTAAGGTATAAGCGCCATGTCGGACGTAGGAAGTGGGAAGCATGTGAGACGGGATCTTCCTTGTGTTGTGTTGTGTTGTGTTTGGGCTGGGTTGGGTTGCGGATGTAGCTGTAGGTGTAGGTGCTGTGTTGTGTTTGAGTTGGGTTGTGGACGCAGGTACAGGTGTAGCTGCAGGCACGGATATCGTCCATCACGACAGCAGACAGCGTATTGACCAACCTAGACCTAGACATAGACGTGTCTGTGTCTGCGCAGAATAGCATAGAACCGTAGAAAATTGGCTCCTGAGCTTGATCCTACACCTCAGCTCCTCTTCTTTGCATGGCGAACCTGCACTTCTCGACCCTATGAACGCACCCGCTGTTCCTGTTTCGGCGAGCCTGGGACGGCTCGCAAAATAGATCTGTCCGTTTTCTTGGACTCTTTGTCAACCTCTTCCCTGCTCTGCTCTGTTCTAGGTCCATCTTTCTTCCCGTATCTCGTCTTTCCGTTCCGTAGTTGGACCAGTCGTGACTCGAGTCCAAACACAAGATGCAGCAATCGAATCTGCCACCTCAACCTCCCCCACCACTGCCACCGTAGCATGCCTCCCTATTCTTCTTGATCATCACACCAGGGATTAGCGCCGTGTGTATGTCGTTTGCCCATACAGTATTGGAGTCGCTGCCACACCTGACCAAGTCCCAAAAGTCGGTCAATGTATGTCGACGTCCGTATCCCGTTGATCAATCAAGCCCTGTAAATGTGTTGTTGTTGTGCGTATACGTCTTTGTCCAAGTGATTGTCTGTGTACTTGGACATCTACCGCCCAAATATCAAGCCCAGAATCCACCCTCCAATCCAATAAATCAGCAGCACAGCAACGACCAGTATGGCTGCCACCTTCAGCACCGCAGTCTTGTCGCCTTGTCGCGCCATGCGCGTCAACCGGCCCGCCGACCCGCGGATATTGGTGCCCATGTTGCTGAACACTTCGTTGGTATGGTCGAGCGTGTCTTGGGAACGGGCATTGTCGTAGATGTCGAGCGTGATGTGTTTGAGCGCCGCTGTCTTCTGGGATAGAGATGAGAGGAGGTCGTTGTTTTGTCTGTGTGAAGCCGTAAGGAAGTCCCCGTTAGCAGGCGTACAACACATAGGTAGATACAGTCATGATAACGAACATTGCCATCTGGCAGGGCAGAACAGAACGGAACAGAACGACAGCAAACAGGAACTCAATTTTGATGGAGATAGACGACTTACTCTTCGCGTGCGTAGGCGTCCGACATGGTGGAGGGATGGCGGTGAGTGTGAGTGTGAGTGCGACCGTAGATGTGTGGATGCCAGATGTCAGGGCTATTCAGGCTGCCGCGAGCACAGGAACTGGTTCTGCTGTGACGAATCGAGAGTGTACAGAGTACAGTTCGAGGGCACGGATAGGAGTGATGTGGTGGCTGGTGGTTTGGACTGCAGATGGCGTCTGGTCTGGACGGGCTTCGGCGGTGATGTTACGATGGATGTTAGGAAAGCCGGATTTATGATCTAGATCGAGGTGGGAGAGTGATGGAGATGGAGATGGAGATGGACTGTGGACGCAGTGTGGATAGTGAACGAGTAGTAGTTAGCGACGATGAGCTGGGGAGTGTTCTGATCATCCCTGTAGTTAGCTGCCTGGTACGTGTGGAGTAAGTCGTCTGACAGCCCGAACAGCACCGCCAGCCTGCGCGGGAGATATGTCAAATATTACTTACTGTGCTCCGTACATGTCTACCTACAGAGCACCCAGTACTCAGTCTTCAGTATCCGTACTCAGTATCAGTACTCAGAGTGGTCCATACTCTATGTAGATCCATCCAACCCCAAATACTGAATACTGATTACTGTATACTGTACACTGTATACTGCATACCGTATACACCACTCGTGTGACCAGCTGGATGAGTACTTAGTGGCTGCTTTCTGCTTCCGGTCCAGCGTAGACCAGGCACGATGCATGTACATCGGCTGGTAGATCAATAGCAGGTCAATGGCACTAAACCTGGCCATATATTGTTGGGCTCCCTGTCGTGGGATGTTACAAGTCACCCTCAACCCCGAGGAATCTCCCTTCCTCCCTCCCTGAACATGTCCTATACACTCCCAATTCGCTATGCTCGCAACCGAACCGGAGAAGAATACAAAAGAGAACCGCCGCATCCAGCTTTTGGATTTGGATGAAAATCAACATCTGTCTGCTATATCTCAAGTCAGAGACCAGATGTTCCACCACTCCACAAGACAAAACAAGACAAAAAGAAAAAGAATCGAAAAATCCTCGGCGATCCAGGCTTGGTTGAATATTACCACATGTCGTCGTCGTCATCGTCGTCGTCCATTTGAGGTCCAAAATGGCCCTGCTGTCGTTGATTGTTGTGATGATATTGATTGTATCCTTCGCCGTTGTATAAGGCTCCATTGCCCTCTCCCGAGTAATTGCCACCCCTTGACCCTGGCCTTGGACCACCGGCTTCGCTTTCGTAGCTAGTTGTATCGCTGCTCTGGTCCTGGTAGGACATGTGTTGTTGTTCACCAGTTTGCTGCTGCTGCTGTTGCTGTGGCCACTGTCAGCAATCGCGTTCGCCCTCGCCAGCAAAGTCTCCCGCACTCACCTGTTGATACCGCTGGTATTGCACGAATTCATCCGGCTGTTGGTCCTTTTGTTGTTTTTGCCGTTGCTGCTTTGCACTAGTGGGCAGGTTCATTTGCGGGTGCATTTGTTGGACTTTGGCCAAATAACTGTACATGAAATTACTCAACAGAACCTGGGAATAGAGGGCCCGGCGAGGGTTGGCCAGTTTGATATGCGCCATGCGGTAAATGGCCCTTTCTTCTAGAATCGAAAACCGGCTCCAGTTGTAGTCGATGTCCGGTTTCAATTCTCGATAGGGTGGCTCGGGTGACAATCCACGATCGCGCTGTTTCTTGTAGCTGTTTTCTTTTTCTGCTTTGGCTTTCTTTCCGCCAAAGATGGAAGAGAACAACCCTTCCTTTTCCTTTTTGGACTCGCCACTGCTCGACGATTTTCGCTGGCTCTCTTTCCTGCGCTCCTCCTCGAGCTTCAAGCCGTCCCGGTCCAACACCAGGCTCTCGCGTCCCTTGCCGACGCCATCAATAGATGCTTGGAGCACATCAAGTCTAGTGTTGTCGTGTTGCTGAGGGGGTTTGGTGATTTTGGCCTTTGGCTTTTCCGCCTTCTCCTTGTCTCCGTCCTCTTTACCCAGCAGCCAACTCCAGCTAGACTTTTTGCCATCTTCCTTCCTCTTGCCGTCAGCCCGCTTGTCGACCGTGAGCGTCGGTATAAATGATAGATTATTTGTGTTCGTGTCGTTTCCAGGGAGTGGAGAGGGCTGTTCAAGACTTTGTGCAGGCCGTGACGGTGGCGGCAGGTTATTTGTCGATGTCAGGCGTGGACCAAGGCTCGGCAGGGATTGTTTGGAAGGCAGAGGAGGCCTCTGTGGTGATACTGTTTTGTGTTTGTCATCTCGAGATGACACTCGTTCTGGATGTCGGGCTGGAGGTCGTTGGATAGGAGAGATTGGCGACTGCATGGACGAGGATCGTGGAGGCTGAATGGGTATTTGCGGCTCCTCTGGCGGAGGGACTTCTATGATTTGTGGTACAGGCTTTCGCTCAAAAGAGCTTGTCGTCGGTGGCGGAGACTTGGATACTGGGAGAGGTTTGCGCATCTCCGGCATACTCGCAGTGCTTGTTTTCCTCGCAACATCGTCGTTTCTGAAAATCGAATCGATGGTGGATGGGACGGAAGAACCAAAATTGGTGGACAAAACTTCGCGGCCGGCCGGTCTTGAGAAATTTGGAGCCGTCGTCTTTGCGGCAGGCGACGAACTTGTCGGGTCTTTCAACGTCTCCGCCAGGTTGGACACATCTACAGACGCAAAGCTCGGGACGGGGGGGATGGTGGGGAGCTGAGATTCGGGTGATTCTGGTCTGCTGCTGCCGGGGCTTTCAGCAGCCGCTCTTCTGGCTGCTCTTTGAGCATAGGTCCCTCGCTCTGCTCCTCTCCCTTTGACACTACCACCCCGCCTGTACGTGGTCCGGGTGGACCTCTTCAAACTGGAGCCTGGTACGGAGGGCAAAATGATGTCGCCGGACTCATCCTCGGCCGGCTTGCTCGGACTCGTGTTTAAAAGACCTGGCGTGTGTGCAACCAACGTTTCCAACTCTTGCAGGTTTGAATCTAGCGGAGCCGCTCTCCGGGACTCTGACTTCTTTCTCTCCAATCGTTCCGCTCCATCTTGATATCCCACCGAACTGTCAATTTGACGGGATAGCATTGATTTTTTCCGGCGCAGGCTGCTACTTCCGCCACCAGGACTGAGCGAACTCGATCTTGAGGACGAGGGAGATGAAAAGGCTGACAACTCCCCAGACCTTCTGCGTATTTGCTCTGCCTTCCCCTCGAGAAATGTCTTGAACTCCTTTGGGGCCAATTCAGGGTGTAAGCGAGCAGGCACCCAGAAAAGCCGAGAGGCGTCGTCTTCACTCGCACTGGCCGAGGGCGCATTAGGCATTCCAGCCGCGCTCAGTTGTGGTAGATCCGGATCATCGGTGGCTCCAACACTCATTGACATTCTCCTCAAAGCTTGTAGGTTGCTCAGCTCTTGTGCCAGCCCCGCCGGACTGGATTCATAGTCGACATTATTGAGAGGGAATTGTGAGGTGGCAGTATCGGAGGGTGAGCGTTCACGGGAATCAGAAGCCGGTGAAGGCGATGTATGATCCTGGTCCCAGGAACGGCCCGGTCTGGATGAACCGGTGGAAAAACCGTTTGGGTGTGCGACGCCCTTGTCGTTTGATATATCTCTGAATGGTAATTGCTTCCGTGTCATGGAAGTTCTTCCAAAGCCAAGTTCCTCCTCCATCTGTGTGCCGTTCACGGAGACAGGGGGCTGATAATTGCCATGTTGGTGTGAATAGACTGCGTGATGTCGGGACTCGTTCTCGGGGTCATCGTCGTAGAGGTAACCGATAGTTTCGGTAACATGATGGCTTTCGTCGCTTATCGACAACTGTGGAAGGTGCCGCCTCCGGGCTGCGAAGCTCGCGCCCGTGTCTCTGCTCCGTGTTGAAGTCTGTGAGAGTCATCACGTCAGTCAGTTACACCAACGAACGGGACATGCAAAAGGTTATCGCCGTGAAGGATGTCCAGACACCCGACCCACCGGCGAGCGTCAGACATGGCACCGACGATGGTGATGGTGATGGTATGGAATGATGATGACCCGGGCATTTGGACAAGACGCACCTGCATGGAGTGGACAGGGGGCTCAATATGTCCAGATCCCAAATCAAAACCCTACACGATTGACCGCACGTTGGACAACAGGCAAATGCCTTCCTCCAGGCCCGCCTCCTGCGCGCAATGGCCGACAGGTTGGTGCTCCTGGGAAAGCTCCTGTAATCATCGGACTGGGCACTGGCAAAAATCGCAGGATAGGGATTTCGGGAACGAGTCGTGGGCGTGGGTGCAGGCGTAGGCGGCGGCGGAGGACGAGATGACGGACCTTGCAGCGACGGTTGAAGTAACAGCGTGTGCCTGTGCCATACCCTCCAGCACGTCCGTCCTGGTGTCAAGGGAGTGGGCTAAATCAGGCTTGTGGTGATGTGCAGGGTGGAAGTCAGTGGCCGCGCCGCTGTAGCCAATGGTGCAGGTTGATTGCGGCGGTCAACACCCCTGTCGGGCAGCCCCAAGTTCAAATGGCCAGCAAGCAAGCGCCCGGTTCTGACGGTGGCGTCGGAACTCCACATCAGCTTGCATGGGCATTGGGACAGCACGAGCAGTGAACACTGAACACAGCACTATCATGGACTCCATACCAAAGGCTAAGGAGTAAGGAGCCAGGATCGGACTTGTGTCAAAATACGGAGTACTCTGCGCCAGTGCCAACTGCCTGGGACGGCACAGTTCTAGACGTTTGATCTACCAAAATGTTCATGCTGCATAATCACCTGAGCCCCTCCGTCCATCGTCATGTTCTCGACATCATATCGTAGCCATCGCTCTTTAACCCCACGGATTGTCAAATGGATCGGCCGCACCTCCAAAGCCACTACTAGTCCCTTTGGGGGGTGCTGCCACTGGTGTCGGCGCCGAGGTCCATCCTCCGAAGTCCTCATCTGCGGTCACTGTTGGCTGTTGAACAGGCTTGCTCCCTGCGGTTGATATGGGTTCAGCCCATCCTCCAGAGATGTCATTAGGTGTGATATGTGCCGGAGGTCTCCCGAGTTCAACCTTGGGTGCACTTGGCTTTGCAGGTGCTGGTTCCGGTGCTCCCCAAGGGCTGCTGTCGTTGCCCGAACCCCACGGATCAAACATGGCTGCACTGCTCTGAGGTATCGCTGGAGTTTTGAAGGGTTGCTCCGCTGGTCTGGGTGCGGGTACGGGTGCGGGTGTTGGCTGTGAAGACAAATTGAAGGGAGAATTCAGGGCTACAGACGCGCCAGCAGGGGAAGTAATCTTAGGCGGTGCTGGCTTTGGCGGCGAAGCAGGAATGGAACTGGCAAACCCACCAAACTCCTCGGCTGCAAACAAGTCGACCGGGACCGACGTGGCAGTCGGCCTCGGAGGTGCCGCTTGCACCGGTGCTGGCTGAGGAGACGTGACCTTCTGCGTGAAGGAAAAATCCAGTCCGTTGGAAGCTGAAGCCGAAGTGACAGTCGGTCTGGGAGCGGAAGGCTTTGACGGTACGCTGTCGAAGAAGCCCCCACCGCTCAAAGGTGGTGGAGAAGTGATTTGTGGTGCCGAAGGAGTCGCCTTCGCAGGAACTGGACTGATCATGCTGCCAAAAGCCGAAAATGCGGATGCTGATTGCGTTGGAGATGTCGGCTTCGTTGTGTTACTGTCGGTAAAGCTGATCCCGCCAAAGGCATCAGCCAATCCTCCAAAGGCATCTTGTTTCGTGGCTGAAGACGCTGTCATTCCACCAAATGATGGTTCACGGTTATGCTGAGGTTGAGGTTTGGGTGCGCTTGCATATAACGACAGGATCGAGCTCTTCAAGTCACCTCTGGTATTTGTGGACTGGGTGGGGTTAGACGCCGCACTCGAAGGGCGGCCGATACCAGCTGATGGTGTGTTCCCGAAGAAGTCCAGTCCAAGAAGTGAATCCTGCGGTTTCGGCGCTGCCCTGGGGGCCGGTGCTGGCGGCCCAGTTTGAGTCGGCCTCTTGGTGGGGATGTCTGCAGTATTTGGTCTCACTGGCGGAGGAGGGGCGAAATCGTCAAAGAGGTTCACATTTGCCGCCGGACGAGGCTGTGGTGGCGGCTGGGTCGATGCTTGTCGCTGTGAAGCTGATCTCTCGAGCTTGGCCTTCTCCTGGACAATGTTTAGGGGTGTATCATCGTCACCGTTTGCATCCAAAGAAGACGGATCTGGCATAGGACCATCCATCACCCATCTCTTGGACTCGTATTTTGTGCGTATAAAGTTCTCGATCTTTGCTTCAGATGGCACATGGCCAGGCGCCAGCTTTGCTTCCCAGTACTTGTTCGCCCGTGAATTGCCCCATTTTAGTATACTCTGCAGTTGTTCATCTGTCCAGGCATCGAGGTCGACGGACTTGACGCGGCTGATATGGGTGCCCATCCCTCGGTGGATGCCTGAGCATCGGATGCAGATGAAAACGCCCAGATTCCAACTCGCCCATCGTGGGTGTTTGTTTCTCTTGCAATCGGCACACACCTTATTCCCTTCAAGTTTTACCAGGGCCTTCAAGGTTTGTGCATTCTGTGCCGCCCTGTCGGAAGACGGCCGTCGCGACATCGAACACAATGTAACAGGCCGCGGGGTTCAAGCACGCACGCTCGTCGGGGATTGCGGTGAGAGGTGGGAGATAGAGGATGAGGACTTCAGGTTGGACACTTGGCTGGAATCAAAGACAGGTCAGGAGCGGATGCGGTTAGGGGCTGCCAGAAAATGGATGATTGTTGGGGACACGGTATTTAGAGACGTCAGTCAATTTCACGGTCAACCTTGAAGTCGGCCAGCGGAGGCAATCGCCAGATGGCAGATGGCCGACCCGAAGCCAGCATAGCTTGGCCGCGCCGCTTTTACGGATGGATGTAAACCCAACTGACTCACTGGCAGCTTCCCTCTCCTTGCTCACCTCGCTCAACTTGCTCACCTTCACACTCATCCTCTATCGTATGTTTCTAGATTGGTGGCGTCCCGACGGATCCCTACTTTCCAGCCTTCGAGCTTTCGATCGCCTTTGGGTCCCTCTTGACTCTCACTTCGGCCTCCAAGCTGATAAAGTACGAATCTCCTTTCAGACATTTCGGACTAGGGGCTCCTGCACAATGGCGACCCTCCTCGAACAGCGGCCCTATCTGGACCGTTATCATGACTTCCCTCCATTTACATAGGTGTCAGGATCGCGGATTCTGCCCAGGCGGATCCCAACATCAGAGGTAGCTCGAGGAGCGGCAGATCAAATGAGAGGATGAAAGTCAAAAAAGCGCCGTGATCTGCGATCTGGTCTGGTCTAAAGACAACGCGACGGCGCACGACAGATCAGTATCAGTATCAGTACGAGTCTCATTTGTCTGCCTGATATATTAATTCATGTTTCATAGTCTTCCATGATTTCTCCTAGTCAACTTCATTTACAAGTTGCATGGGACCTGAGTTTGCATTGACAATATTCGTTCTGACATTTCCGCTACTGCTTTGGTATACTACATCCCTTTGTCCTTCCACGTATCAGCAAACTCTATTCAAACCCATAACCTCGCGGAACCATTCGTGACACATGTTTGATCACAGGACAGCGCAATTGATTGACCATATCTGTAACTGACAACAAGCCCAAGACTACCAGTCCCAGTATATGTACTAGCTGATCATCTCTGCTGGTGATGGCTGCGAGCTATCTGGTATCTGGAGGACACGTGCTACAGTTACCTGAGGTCTCATACTCAGGCAACTACCTAATACACTGTATGACCTCGTGTACAAGATATACCTAATATAGTACTATTGGAGTATAGTGCGGAGTACAGAGTACCAGGGAGCATGTTGATTGGACATACCTGGTTAATTAGTCCAAATGCGGTCTGAGTCAACCACCCTATGTCATGTGAGAGCGATGGAAACCAGCAACAACAATGAACATCGGATCATACGGAGTTCTTAGGCGAAGCACCAAGACCTCTGGTTCCTTTACTACAAGTCATGCTATCATCATAATTATGGTCTTGTCCCCACCCTGCTCCCGGTTGAGGCTGGTACTGGCCACCGGTAAGTCTTTCGTGGTCTGACCTTCGCATAGCACAATCACTGATCTACTCCCCACTTGGAATCTGGCTACAGGCCAAAGTGCACGTTCCAGATGGACCCGACCGATGTTGTGTTAGTATTAGAAGCTTGTGCTGCTGTGAAAGTGAAACCGAAACCATGCTCTTTCAACAAGCTACCTTGGTGTCTCGCACGCTCTTCCAGGCATCAAGATACAAGACTGCACGGGGAAGGTTGAGGCTGATCAAAATGTCGAGTCTGGCTCCCAATGGCCAACTGGCCTCCAAACGGATCATTGTCACCGGCGGAGCCCAAGGCATCGGCGAAAGCGTCGTTCGAGCATTTGCCGCCGAAGGAGCCATCGTCACGTCCATGGATCTGAACGACTCGCTGGGAGCTCGGGTAGCGGCCGAGGCGTCCAAAACCGGGCCAGGCAAAGTCTCGTATCTCCCGGTGGACATCTCTTCCAAAGAGTCGGTGACCGAGGCGTTCAACCAGGCCGCCGAAGACATGGGCGGCCTCGACGCCATGTTCAATGTGGCTGGCTACCAGAGACATGCAGCTCCCGACGACCCTCCACAGGACATTCTGGAGCGCATCACCAAGGTCAATATCTGGGGCACCATCTACACCAACGCGACGGCTTTTGCCATCATGAAACAGGGAGGCAAAGGTGGCGCCATCGTCAACTTTGGATCGGAAGCAGGCCTGACTGCCGAACATCACAACAGTCTGTACGGCATGTCGAAAGGCGCCGTCCACACCTGGACTCGCAGCGTGGCTCGAGAATGGGGCCCGTTCAATGTTCGAGTCAATGCTGTCTTGCCCTATGTGGCCACTCCCATGTACGACGCATTTCGCGACGCGCTCTCCCCGGACGAGTTGGAGCGTCACAAGCTGCTCTTGAAGGAACAGTTTCCTCTTGGAGGCAATCTGGGAGATCCAACCAAGGATCTGGCGCCGGTCCTAGTCTTCCTAGCCAGTGACGCCTCGCATTGGATGACAGGTCAGCTCTTCCCAGTCGACGGGGGCTATGTTGCCGTACGTTGAGCCAGCCATGGAGGACAAATCTGGTCGCCATTATCGAATGCTATTGGTAGATACATCACGACATATACCTGACGGGTCCGAGTCGTCCTTTGATGACCCCATCGTGTCGATCATCAATCAACTACAGGTTCACGGCCTGGTCTGAGAGGATTATAACAACGTGGAAAGGTCACACATAAACAGCACGATAGATTATTGACGGTGATCCCAATGGACAGCATTGACGACAACGAGATGAAATCTGGTCAATAAAACGTCAACGGAGCGTCTTCAACTCATGTCGTATCATGTCCCTAGAACGCCTCTCGACTTAATCCGCCATTGTCACCGCCCGAGGTCTAATCAACCTCATGACGAACTCTGAAGGCTGTCCCTAAAATGAAGGGAGAGTCTTCCTAAGGGTGACCGGCAATATTGCTCCCAAAGCACATTCAAGCTTACGCCGGGGCGGTGCCTTGAGTAAAGGACCAACCTGCTCAGATACCATCCAAAGCGAAATATGAAGTGCGCAGACAGACTGGACGCGAAAGGGCATTTTCTGGTGTTCCTCGTATCTTATGTCCTAGGTGAATTACACACAACAGCAGTCGAGACGCATTTCGGATACATATCAAACATATCATTTTGCCTCGCCGTTCCCCGCTGCCTTGTCCTCCTGCTCATGAAACTTCAGACTGATACTATTGACACAATGCCGCTCGTCCGTGGGTGTAGGATAACCTTCGCCTTTGAAAACGTGGCCTAAATGCCCACCGCAGTTCGAACAGACAATTTCCGTTCTCTCCATGCCGAAGGTCCTGTCTGTGTGTCGCGTCACGGCGCCAGGAAGGCTGTCGAAGTACGCGGGCCAGCCACAGCCCGATTTAAACTTGTGGTTGGCCTTGTAGAGAGGTGCGTTGCAGCCGGCGCATGTATAGACGCCCTCGGATGGGTAGTGCTTGTCATATTCGCCGGTGAAGGGGGGCTCGGTGCCTTTTTCACGAAGGATACGGAATTGTTCTGTGATGCAAAGCCGTGTTAACATAATGCACCTTATATTGAGGGGAAGAGGGCCGGGGAGGGGGGGGTTGACAAGGATGTTCGTTACCTGGGTTCAAGACGGCCTTCCACTCATCATCCGACCTGGAATCTGGGTGCGACATCTTTTGGGATGCAGAGGTAGATGTGCCAAACAGAGAGCCCAAGAAAGGGATCGATGGCATGGAATTCAAGACAATGGCGCGATGGACGGGGGCGAAGCTGGCGGTGGCCCGTGGTAGTGATTGAAGTCGGGCTGTTGCGTTACTGAAGGTGAAGAACGTGCGAAAGATGCTCGAGAATCGTGGGAGACGCATATGAGGCGAGGAATAAATACACCTCGGCTTGAGGGAAACGACTGGAATAAAGGTTGAAATATTATAAATGGAACAAATGGTCATAGGCATCGATCGCCTCATCAAAAGTTGACTCTCCCACCTCCCACCTCCCACCTCCCGCTCCGGCGGCGAGAATGATGACATACTGTAGGCCGGCCCCATCTCCGGCCGACGATCATTGGGCAGGCTGGGGAGATGCGGAGAATTGATTCCGGAATCATCATTTCACACAAATACACGCTGGTACGAGGCTGAGATTTGGATTTGGAATTGGCCTGATTGCATCTAGCAATCATGCTTGTGGCTTGGTGTCGGATTGGGCATGTCAGGAGCAAGCGTTGCCTATACCCAAAATGCCACTTTCTGCTTACATGGTTCACACAGCTTGCAAGTCATCTTACATCCTTTCCAGATAGATCGCCCGAGCGTCGGTTCTTGCCCTTCACAATCAACTCTCCATGTCCAATCTCAACTTTCCATCCCTCTCGGATCAGCATCTTGCTGACCGCGGGTCCTATCTTAGGAGCATGATTTTTACTGTGACTGCCAACTCCAGTTACAATCCTGAAACCTGCTCTGAGGGGACCACCTCCGCCAGTGGTATATTTCGCATCGCCTAGGCTATCCCACCACTCATGTACTCTGGTGGCGGTGATACGGACAGCATCCTGCACGCTTACCCCGTGAAGGTCGAGCATTGTTGATGAAGACTGCCTTGCCACAAGCGAGTCGGCTTCAGCTGCTTGGAGTGCCTTGGCCGTCCTGACTCGTTCGCGACCAATCTCTGAATGATACGCGGCGACCCCTCCATAAAGACGATCAGATTTGCTTCTTCTGTATGCAGCAGAGGCTTGCTCGAAGCTTTGACCCGCAGCAAGTCTGTAGGATGCCGCGGTCACTCGGCTACTACCAAGTTTCGCAGTCGTCCAAGGCGATGGTGTGGAGCTCGACAAAGGTTCGTTTTCCTTCAAATTCGGAGGCGCATATTGAGCAGCTACCTGCAGTTTTCCGGGAGAATGGCTCTCTGTAGATGTTGTCATAGTCTTCAGAAGCTCATAGGCTGCAGAGGGAACATGTCGAGCTAGAATTAGGAGACCGTATATTTGAGATTTTGGCACTTGCTCGAATTCGTCCTGAAACTCAGCGATTTGAAGCTCAGTTATGAGGTCGACTTCTGTAAGGCTGTCGTATGCTGTGCCCTCTTTCTTCGCCAGGGCCCAGATTGTTGGCCCAAGACGAGCCCCGTTTGCATGATATACTGATCTTACTATTTGTGGTTGAACGCCTGTCCTCGAGCATATGTAGTCGACATCATCAGACATCGTAGCCCACACATTGGAGGGATTGGGTGCTGGACCCTGCATGACAGAACGGGTAGAGCTCGCCCCGGACGCGTCATGGCGGCGGGTCTTCCGTTTCTTTCTACCTTTGCGATTCACTTGTGACTCTTCTGCAAATGCCTCAATACCTTTCGATACTGGTGTCTCTTCGGCAGGGAATACCTCATCTTCCTGTCTGAGGAAAGAAAGGTTTAACAATTCGTCAGTCGCCTTATCGAGAGAGCCTTCGTGACTCCCGAGGACATCGGTGAGCTCGCGCTCAGGAATGTCAGGAAACAACCGTTGAAGCCATGCTGTTTTTTGTTCGGACGTAGAATCCTCCAGATCATGACCCAGGTTGTCTGAAACCTGCCATCTCAGATCCGAGAGGCCAGTTGTTATGCTTGTGACTCCGTTGGACACTGTTTCTTCAGGGCTTGACCTGGTGGTGCCGGTAGCATCATTTATAAGTCGAGATCCTCCTGTCCCTGATGGATCGAATTCTGCATCCTCTTGCTCTATTGCACTGGTCTTCAAACTGTCAAGCACTCTAGTCAAGATCTCGCGGTCCCGGGGGAGGTCATAATCGGAAGCGATACCGTAGAAAAGGGCATCATCTAGAGGAGGACAGTAAGCTAGTCGTAATTTCTACTCGGGCTTAGCGAATGGCACAGGCGAATGAGAAAAGTGGCTGACCTCGATCTCAGGTGCGGAGCCGTCCATGTCTCAAACCCAGGATCTTTCTTTGGCGGAGTCATGTTTGGATTAGGAAGATACTTTGTGGAACTTATGAAGGAGATGTTGACCGCAACGTCGGTGTGTTGCCAGAGCTAGAGAGAGACATATGACATATTTAGTGAAGATGGTCGAGTTTACCTAGGTATTCATGAAGGGGCAAAAAGAAGAGAGGACTTCCGAAGACCGCAGGTGGCAGTGTACCACCTATCAGAGTGCGTCATAGGCTGTGGTCGTCTCTCGAGGCGGGGATCCATTGTATGGCTACCTCCACCGCATCCATGTCAGTCTCACCGTCCGCGACAAAGAGCGACTCCTGCTTTGGCGGCTTTCCAGGAGTCCGCTGGTTTGGGTGTTGGCCTCCGTGGAAGAGCTATGCACGATGTAGCAGGCAGGAGCACAGCGGGCGTCTGGACACACGGTTGAGCCAAACATGAACGACCGGCAGTCATCCCAACTCTACGGCGAAAGCAACAGGTCGCGCAACACGATTAAGAATCTCCGAATTTTGGAAGCAGATCGAGGTATGGCCCCAAGCCAGAGTTGAGATGTAACATCACCAGAACAAAGTGATGGTCACCTACGGTATCACCAGCAGCACATTTGGGTGGACCACCGCTTCGTCGTTTTCCCGCATCTCCTTCGCTCGTCACGCTCTCGTGCCACCGCTAGGCCGCTTCTTCGTTACAATTCCTTGATCGCAGTTATCAACTCCAACGAGTCGACGTATACTTCGTAGAATTTGGCCTGAAGTTCTCCTTGGCCGTTGTCCGCAAACACCATCGAGCTCGCAAAGTCCGCATCCACTCGTCGTCCGTTCTTCAGCTTATACCAGATCGATCCAGTGAGAACAATCTCCTGCCGCCCATTCCCAGCACCTCCGGCGACGACGAAGACCTTTTCTAGCGTGTGCTGAAGACTAACAACTGGGCCATTCGTTGGATGCACCATGGCGCCTCGGAAGGCACGGATGGCATCGCGGCCTACAGAAGGTGTTGGCCCAAAGACCAGTTTGGCGTCTGGCGCGAACAGATTCAAATACGCGTGGTCTTGTGTGTGTGCATCATCCCAGGACCGGAAGAAAGCCGAAAGTCTCGGCCCCAGATTGTCTGGGATGGCTGAGTGATTGGCGGCGGTATAGTTGTCTCGTGAGGTCATGGCGACAGGCGGTTATGTGGTTGGAGGATCTGGGAAGAGACAACTACTCTGATTTCTCGCTCTCTTGAAAATATACTGCGTCCATCCAGTATGCGCAGGACCTCGGGGGGAACGTATACCTACCCGAGGTCTTTGACACCCGAGGGGCGGGGTACTAGTGTGAGTACGTCCGATACTGATATAGTTACCGCGGAGGATTGTATTTCACGTAAGAAAGCCATTGACGTAAGATATCCAATTTCACGGTGGTGACGGAAGATATCCATTTCAAGTAAGAAATCATCTAGCGGGTTGCACCTAAGGTAGACTAACAGCTCTATCTTATGCGCTTCAAGATTCATCAAGATTCATAGCTTCGTGCCCGCGAGGGGGTCTCTGCCTGATAAGCTGGTTGCAAGATCCTACGAGCCCACTGGGATCATTTCTCTCGTACCAGACCCTATACTTCTCGCCATGTGTAACCTTTCTTACCCAATGCTTCGGGGTCCGGCGTATTCATCGCGTTCTTATCACCGAACGGATCGTCGGGATCGTCGTCGTCCACATCACTATCGCTCCCGCTATCCATTTCAACCTGTTTGGCCCTCCAGTTGGATGTTGGCCGCGGTGAAGGCAGGGTGATATGTCCTGGACCGGGCCGTGGAGGCTTGGGCGGGCTGGAGATGCTCAGACCTGCAACCATTCTCTCTGCGTCACGGCTGGCGGCTTGCTCGTTTCGGGCTGCTTGCCTACTTAGATGCTGTGCTTCTTCCAGCTCGCTATCCGAGTCGTCGTCCACAGACTTGTCCAAAACTTCAAAGGCCATTAGTGCATTGACCAGCTCCTCATTAGCATGTATCAGACCGCCAAGGAACTCTTCAGACTCGACAAATTGGATGTATCGTAAGATCTGGCGCCGTAGTTGTTTGCACGTCTCGAATCGTTTTAATACTTCAGGATTGTCGGAAACTCGCTGCGACTCTCGATTGACCAGTCTCAAGGCGTTTGTGAGGCCAGTGGAGGCGACGGAGGAGGCGGCGATTGACTGTAAGATGGAGGGCTTTTCCCGTTCAAGATCGAACCCTTTCACTTTGCCTTTTTTGTCCTTCTTCACCTTCTTGGCCGCGAACGTCGACGACTGGCCTAACGCGACTGGCGAACTCTGTTTGCGCAGTACTGTGGGACTGGAAGGCTCTCCAACTCTCTGAAAACTATCAGATCTGCTCCTTGCTACTTCTCCTTCCTGCTCGCGCTGTACGTCTTCTTCCGTCTCTCGGAGGACTCTGCTCTGTTCTCGCCTCTGCTGGACTGGCTTGTGGGTCTTGGGTAGCTGATTGTACAGGGACTTGGCCCCCTCAAGACCTGGATTGTCTTTGGAACTGGCCACCCACTGGCCGAAGAGAACTTTGCACTTGGATCGCACGTCCGGATCAGATGTTGGATCTGCGGCAGCTATCCGGAGTCGTTCCAGGAGCGGTCCGTCTGAAAGAAGTGCCCGTTGTACCCGAGATCCACCATTTTGCAGAAGCCCATCCAATATGGTAAGCGCCCTCAGTTGTCGATGGACATTGCCATACTTCAATTTCTTCCTCAAGGCTCGAGCAACTTCTTGCGCGCCGGTAGCTTGGAGTTTGACAACTTCGAGAAGATCGGGGACACCGGCGAGATCGTCTTCGTCGTAGGTTTCGGAGGTCAGTTGTTCCACGTGAACCGAGATCGAGGAATATGGTTTCTTCTGTTTGTGGTAACGATAACGAGTTAATAGCTGATATCTCCTTCGCGAGCGAACACAACACGCGAAATGCAACAAAGCAGCAACGAGGAGCTTGCAGCCCCGTAAGTGTGGAGGATGAGGTCGTCGAGAGAGGACAGGGCGAGAAGGGTTGTCAGGATATGCGTCAAATGACCCCCGGCGCTTCTTCCGGCCACAGCATTCGCACTCCTCCGGCCGTCGTGAGTCGAGCAGCGAGTCTAGCTCATACGTAGTTGCTGTGGCTGGGATCTCCTGCTCCTGCCTAGGGGGGTCGACAAACCCAGCATCAGGAGCACAAGCTGGGGTGTGCAAAAGGAACAGAGACATGGCAGGCTTCATCAAGAGTGTGATATGGCGGGGTAGAGGCATGGGGGCCTTCAGGTAGGCGGAAGAAGCAGATGAGCAGAAAGACAGAGAACTTACTGAGGCGGTAAACATGGCTGTCAAGGTCCTATGTAGGTCCGGACACGGAGGCGGACAGGTAGTTCGCGGTGGGAGAGCATCCAGATGAACAGGTGCAAATGCGTCCGCACTGTGTACGGATACTGTAGTTGGAGCAAACGCGGGATACACAGACAGGATACGGGATACGGACAAGCAAACACCGCGTAGGACTCACTACTCCGTAGAGGGGTTAGCCTGTCTTTCGCTCCACCACTGATAGTCGGTGCTACAGTACGGATACCACTGCCCAACTGCGTGCCTGCAAGTCACCTGTCACCTGCTGGAAGACTTCAAGACAACGACCTCCCTCCCCTAGTCCTCGATCGCCATCCCCGCCCCAGTTGACATGCATCTCACCTTGCGGACCCAATTCCCTACAGTCACCCAGAAGTCAAATTCTATTTCGACGGGTCCATCCTTGATCTATCTTAGGATGACCGCGACCGCGACCGCGACCGAGACCTAGGACGACGACAGCACCCCTTCAAACGTCCCCGCTGCTGTGTCCCTTGGTGGGATGGTGATGTGCAAACCTCTCCAGCATACATCACACTTTCACGAGCAGGATATGGATTAGCAGGCACTGTATTCGCATAGGGTGCGCTGCCAGGCTAAGGCGCCGTTGCCAGGACCACGAGGGACTTCTTGCTGAATTAATAACTTACCATCTGGATCCAGCGAACGGCAGTCCCGCGAATATGGAATCTATCGGGCTTTGTCGATCTCGAAAAGTATAAGTATGCGCAGGATTTATCTTCTCGACCGCCAGTCATCTTGGTTCCACCGTTTGGGCGACTCGGCTGGGTACATTCTCGATGATCATGATGAAACCGGACAGCCTGAAGCTGTGTCATGAAGTCGAAGGATCAAATCGATGGTGGACTACCACATCGCCCAATACTAAGTAAGCCCATATTCTCTCGTGGCTGCGCTGTGCAGACCTGGTCACACGGGAAACGGGGCGATGCATGAGCAGGCCCTAAGCCCGCAACTGGGGGATTCCTGGCCTAAATCACTTACATTTCCAGGGCTTGAGGAGGCACCATTCGGCCCGGCTTGGGTTAGGGCTAGGGAGCATTTATCAACGTTAATCTGTTTATAGAAATAAAACACCGGACATCAGATAGGCCTTGGTCAATGCAGTGTTTTGATCCCTCTCACAGGCGTTTCTATAATGTCCTAGTCGCCGAAGATGCGGTGCGTGTGCAAGGATGGTTGTGCTTTGTACTTCGCTGGAGCTGTACGGAGTACATGTACATGTAATACGCCGTAGTGTTGGTGTGGTTTGTGCCCGAGTGATCGAACCGTCGAACTCGAACGATTCAACCTGCCACTCAACTCAGGACGAGAGCATCCCGTGCCGCAGACTCTCCAGCCTCAAGAATATTGAATGCCCGGGGGATTCTCCTGGTGGGGGCTAAGGCTGGGCTGAAGGGTCCTTGGGCATCTCCTCCTTTCTTTGGCATGGCGTGATCACAGACGGTTTTCTGGGCGCACAAGGAAGAGATTAGGCGAATCCCCTGCATGCACGATAGGCCTTCTATAGCAGAAGTACATTATTGTCCATGCCATAATGCAATCACCTGAGATATACGGAGTAGTAGTACAGTATTATGGTACCTAACATGCCAGGGTAAGTACGCCTGCCAAGTCAAACCCTGCACTGCATCGGACATTACCATTGATATTGTTTTACTTCCATTCTGTTTTCTCAACCAGGCGGCGATTATCAGCAATTACAAGCCATCACAACTCTATGAGAGCAGACAGACGCATTCTTGGACTCATTTGCGCGATCGGCGTCGTGATCATCGCCCTCATTCTGGCATCTCCGCCCCCTCAGCTGGCGGTTCTGGCCTCGCACTTCCACCCCACCAGCATCATATCCAGGCTTGGCGTCAGATCTCTGCATTCAAGTTTAGCACTGGCCGTAGGATCTCCGAGCACGAGCCGTCGTGGTCCTCACAAGAGTACTGCCTTCCCAGACACCCACCAGAAACCCAGAATGGCGTACGAGAAGGAACTCAAAGTCGCACAGCTGGCGGTTGTCCGAGCGGCCATCCTCACCAAGGCGGTGTTCCACGAGAAAGCAAAAGGCACCGTGTCCAAAGACGACAAATCGCCCGTGACTATAGGCGACTTTGGGGCGCAAGCGCTCATCATCGCGGCCATCAAGCATAACTTCCCCTCGGACGAAGTGGTGGGCGAGGAAGAGGCATCGTCGCTTCGAGAGCAGAAAGACCTCTCTTCGACCATCTGGAATCTTGTCAAAGACGTGAAGCTGGACGACCCTGAGAGCGATGCGCTGCTTGGCGGGCCGATCAAGTCGGAAGCAGAGATGCTCGATGCCATCGACATGGGCAACAGCGCGGGCGGGGACAAAGGGCGCATCTGGGCGCTCGACCCCATCGACGGTACCAAGGGATTCCTCCGCGGCGGCCAGTACGCCGTTTGTCTGGCGCTCATTGTGGACGGGGACGTCAAAGTCGGCGTCCTGGGCTGCCCGAACCTGCCAGTGGACGACCGGGAGCTATTGACAGAAGGCATTGGCGCCGCCGCTACTGATGCAGAGGGCAAAGGCGTGCTCTTCGCCGCCGTGCAAGGCCAGGGCGCGACCTCCCAACCGCTCACCCGTGGCGCCGTCACCCCCGGCCACCCCATCCACGTCAGCCAGATCTCGGATGTCAGCGAGGCCGTCATGTGCGAGAGCGTCGAGCCCGGCCACAGCTCAAAGGGCGACAACGCATTGATCGCCCAGAAGCTCGGCATCAGCCGCAAGCCCGTCCAGATGGACAGTCAGGCCAAGTACGGCTCCGTTGCCCGCGGCGCCGGCGACCTCTACCTTCGTCTGCCCGTGCGCAAAGACTACGTCGAGAAAATCTGGGACCATGCCGCCGGTGATCTCATCGTCCGTGAGGCCGGCGGCCAGGTCACCGACATCACTGGCAGCAGACTCAACTTCGGGCTAGGCAGGACGCTCACGGAAAACAAAGGCGTTGTCGCGGCGCCTGCCAATGTCCACCCCCAAGTTCTCCAGGCTGTACGCGAGGTTTTGGATGCCAAATAGACCCCCACACGATCATGGCACTAGAGCGGACCGCAGGGGATCCCTTTGATGATGTCGATGAAGAGTAGGCAAAGCCTCCCGAATAGGGACACGGGATTAGGACAGGTTATATGACATAAAAGAGTTACAATTGATTGATTAGTACATGGTCCGCGGCCAGAGCAACCATGCCCTAGCATTTCTGCACCTGTGGACTGAGCAGTGCCCATCCATTTGACTACTTGATCTTCTTCGCCTTCAGCCGTATCGTCTCGTCATTGACAAAGATACCTTTGCCTTTGTACGGCTCCGGCTTCCGCCATCTGCGGATCTCGGCTGCGAACTGCATGATGGCCTGCTTATCACATCCTTCAAGCAGGATCCGCGTCGGCTGCGGCACGCTGGCCTTGACACCTTTGGGCACCGGCATCTCCACGGGATGCGCGTATCCCAGCTTCAAGTTGACAAACTTCTGACCCGGATAGGCGGCTTTCTTTGTGAGGGCCGAGTCTTCCACTGTCGCACGGTACCCCACGCCCACCAGGCGCAATATGCACAGGTGGCCTTCCGAGACTCCCGACACCGAGTTCTGTACAAGAGCGCGCATTGTGCCTAGAATCGAAAGGCTCGGGTGTCAGTACTAGATCACTCGAAATGCATCCGACCTCCCTCAGGATGGAGCGGCAGGGTCCAACTCACCCCACATTGATCGCTGATGTTTTTCCGCCGCATCGCTGACGCTGATATTGAGTTTGTTCGCGAATTCGTCGTGCTCGGCTTTCAAGTACGGTGGTAGCAGAACGGTCATTGATCCTGTTGTAATCAGCCAGTGTCTCCTCCAGCTCTTCGCGGTCACTTCGTACCCAACGGGCCCTTGACCTCCACCGCAGTGGTCGGTGTGTCTGGGTTCCTACTCCGTGCATTCAATTTTGGCAGTTCATAAAACCGTAACGACACCTCGGGTGGTACGTTGATTGGCGTCCGGCCTATTCGTGATTGAGGGACGTGGGCAAGCGTCGAGTTGTGTCGGGAAGTCCAGCTGTAAGAAAGAGCCGGGACGAGGAATGATGGGACCTCTCGTGAGCGGCCTGCATTGCGGACGAGTTGGCGGAGAGGGGATTGCAGGCCGGGGCAGGCCATGTTGAAGAGGTGTGATGCCTTCGAGAATGCTGATCTTGAGAGCTGATCCTGTCGGTCGCTAACGCATTTCTGTGTCCTCTATTGTGTTCCGAGCGTGATCAGTTTCCAGGCCGAGAGCGTTGTTGCGTTCCACTCGTCAACGCATCTTGTAGAAGTCCATTGCATGAGGAACGCAACATTAATTTGTGCAAGTCCGCAGCTGTCCCGATTCGGTCTGGACCGAGATGTCACGTGTAAGGCTGGTCGGTCTACCTTCCGAGCTTCAAGATGTCAAGCCGGCTTGGATCTGTGTCCACCGCAACTCCAGGTCGAAATTACCTTGCAACCCTCCATAATTTCCTCTGGCTGTGAAGAACTGTAAGGGCCAGAAGTCAATGGAGCTGGAGCAGATGAGGATAATCTACAAGGAGGGGATCCTGCCGCATGCGCATGCGTGAGATCTCCATATGGTTTCCTACGCTGTAATGAGGCACAAAAGACTCGCAAGACACTTCCGACTTCCGACCCTGGCCAACTGCTTACTCGAATGACTTGGATGCTGAGCTGATATGATAAGGCTAATTTAGCAAAACGGGCAGGGACTCGACTCAAGGAGCCAGTCGACAATAACAATGTGCAGATAATGGCTCACAGTCTCAATCCATGTCTCTTATATGCCCAGCCCGCCAGCCTTCCTGGTCGTGAATACGATAGACGCAGTGTTTGACTTATCCTCCTAGGTATCCATTGCTTGTGTCGAGCCTTGTTTGTGCCAAAAGTTGATTGTTGTTGCGCTATCACCCGCAGTGCTCTCGGAGGTGTCAGATGTGAGGTCAAATTCTCGAGGTCAAAGCAAGGCGGTGGGGGAGGATGCGTGCATTTGGAACGACCCAATTCTTCCGGGAGTCACTGTCTCGTTTTTATCGGTGAAGGGGCCTCATCGGCTTCTGGACAAAGTTAGTGAGTGAAGTCGGCCACACTGATTGCCAGGAAAGTAGTAGGGGACCAAGGACCGCAAGTCTGGTTGGTGACGAATGTGGTGATGGTTTGCTGCGAAGGTTGAAGTGGAATAAGGTGATGCTAGACCTCCTCGAACACTGCGCTGCGACTCACCCAACAATTCTCTTCCCAAACATACATTCTTTCTCTTCGACCATTCCCCATCTTGTCACCCATGACTCAATCAGTCGCGCTCATGCAGCGCTCTATATGATTGCATGCGTTTCCTTAGACCCGTTCACTTGGGTCAAAGGTGAGGTCGTCTGTCGCAGTGAACCTACTAAGACAAGCAGTCCACCTTCTCAACCGTCATTTATCGTCGCCCTCCTACACGGCGCCTCTCTTTCTACAACAAAGAGTTGAGTCGATCTACCTGCGGGGCTACTCTTACTCTTACTACTTCGCTCTCATTCATATTTCATCTCTTTGCAATACCTTATTTCTTTGTCGCTGCGCTCTATCTCCTTCTCTCTTCAAGTAGATTGGCCTGCGGCCTCGATCGACACCATGGGCCTCGCCGAAGGATTTCGATTCTCGTTTCTTATACGTTTCCTCCTCCTCGTCGTCTTCATCCATGCCAACATCGCTGAAACCAAGTCATTTTTGAGAGGTAAGCCCATGCAAAGACTTAGTGCTGGGACCTGCCTCTAATCCCTATCAGGCGATATGGCGTGGACTGCTCTCCGGAAACCGAATATTGACTTACAGCCGAACCTAACCGATCTACTCGCATTCAGAGACCCCAACCAAGACCCGGTCCTCAAAAAGGCTATGCAAGTTATCGACAACCTTGCTATACAGTCAACGTGCCATCAAGCCGCCGCGGCTCAGTTGCTAGTCACCTGCAAGGCAGTTGGAAAGGATCTCGCGGGTGATCAAGGCAAGCATGAGCTATTAGAGAGAGCCAAATCTGTCTACGCGGTGAGGGTTGCTGTCTGTGAGACTCGTGAAGGTCGGGCGGCTGTTCCTACAGCCTGCAGATCCGTCTTGGATATTCCACAGCGATCTGACCGAGAGCTTGATGTGGTCAGCGGCAAGCTTCTGTCTTCCTGTTTGCAGGTTCTGATGGTCGAACACTATTACTGGACAAGCTACAGTAACAGCAGACAAGATGCCAACACCTTGTGTCAAGCCGGCTCACTAGAAGCGACAAGATTGGAGGCACTTCGGTCCTACGAGAAGCTCGCTGAGCTCATTCCTGAATTCCGAGAAGCTTTGGTATCAACTCAGTCTCAGTGGCTGGAGTTCACGAAACAGCAGGAAGCGGCTGCCAAGAACATCAAGCAGCTTCAGCAAACGAATAGAGCCGAGCTGAATGCACAGCATCAGATGGAGCTCGGGGCATTGCATCGTGCAACGAGTGCTGCTAAGAAAGGCTTGGATGAGGTGTCTCGAGCTTTCCAACAGTCCGTCGCAAAGACTGGTTCGGATATTGGTCAGACACATAAAGTGAGCTCATTCCTTGTTTGGCCCTGAAATCAAATCATCGCTGACGATATCAGGCACTCGGACATATCTTGACCGATTTCGCAACCTTGAGAAACCTGCTGGCTGATGCTCTCCAGAATACTGCGAAGAACAATGCCGAGGTCGCTGCAGTTCAAGCAAAAGATATGCAAAGTGTCCATGAGCTTGCTTTAGCCACTACGGAGGTTCTGAAAGACCTGCAAGAGAGCGAAGTCACTCAAGTATGTTGGTGGCTCCATGGGCAAAACGAGTGAAGCTTACCAGATCCAGAATGTCAATGAACTATTTCATCGTATCAAGGTCCAGCTGGACCAGGTTGTCAGTGCGCAGACCATTCAGCTAACGGGCGCGGAAGATCACTTGAGACTGAGCAAGGAACTGTCTGAAGCTCAGAAAACTGCGTTAGTTTGGGGACAGCAGATGAGAGATTCGTCCGCATCACTGGCTCTGGAAATCGACAGTGCCAATGTGGTTGCCGGGCGAGTCTCATCCAAGCTCGACAAAGTCAATCAAGCATTGACTCGCGTCGAGAAAGCGTCCTCGGTACTGACCACACTTTCTGCCATGTTATCGATTCCATGCCAATTTGTGGAGCACCTCCATCTGAGAATTTTGGCCCTATTCGCGACGCCTGCAGTAGTACTCTATTTCTGGAAGCCTCACAGATATTCATACAGCTTGATGGCCATCTATGGTAAGTCAGGCCCATTCGGTGTCACAGAAGAGGCTGACAATCTCCTAGTCTTTCTCGAGACTCTTACATCCTTCGTCACAGAATACCACGACAGAATCTCGGGCGTCATCGGCCGACTAGAATGGCTAAGTCAAGATATAACGATGCGGAGCCTCCATATCCTGGGCCAGCACATACCAACCCTGGTATTCTTATGTGTTGTACTTGCCTGCTTAGCCGTTTGGACATCCTACAGAGCTCCCAGACCTAAGGTGATCCGCCTGGACGAGGGCTGCACAGTCGCGAATCAGTACTACATGGAATACCGCGTACGCAATGGTAAACCTCTACGACATCCGCTCGACCGCCATCGCCGAGCTGCCACCGTCTGCTAAATTGCCACATCACTTACGATCACTACAAAGATTGATGACTCTGAAATCCACCATCTCGTTAGCTGACGTACGCTGATAGTCTGCATTATCGGGGAGGAAAAGTATGCGATTTGTTTTCAAGGGGTTATCATTTTCACCGGCACGGATGCGGAAATGGAAGATCGGGGCAAGGACTCTGAGCATTGATCCTGCAGGGGTTGACGATCTGGACCAGAGGATAACAGACCCTGGACATAGTTTTGGGGACCTGACTCACCATACAGCGAGGCGGCCACAGAATACTTTGCAAAAGAACACCGGCCGAGGGTGGCGAAGCCAGGGCAGTGGCATCTCTTGAGAACAACAAGTTCATATGAGACATGCAAATGAACTTCATTCTTTCCGATCAGGGTCAATTGGAGTCCAGTTCCAGCAATTGGCCAACTAGTGTGTGGGCTATCATTGGAGCGCCTCGTACAGGCCCCGAGTGCACTACATGTTATTCTTGGGCTTTGGTAGGACTGCAGATTGAACTGACGAGAAAGATAGGTTTCTAAAAGCTGGCTGCGACAAATTGGGTGTGCACACAACATGTGCGGGCCTCACCCTTCCATTCTTCGTCTCCCCAGGCTACACCGTCCCCTATCTCACACTAGGGTGACAAGCCATCGGGCTCCGGCGCCAGCTCAGCATTGTTCTGACGATCCCCTTTGGGTACGGCAGGGATTCAATCTCACCGTTGCATTCTCACAAGGCGTTCTCGACTCTCCGGCCCTGTGGTTCCTGAGCGAATTCTCCGTTGACCTTGACTTGCGCCGAGTCAAAAGAACAATCAGGTGGGGGTGAGGTGTTTCCTACGACATCCTCCTTCTGATTGGCGGGGCGAGGGCTCTCCCCCTGTCGCAGCTGAGTTCAGGCCAGCCCCAAGCCTCCAATTGAGCTGCGAACCACGGGCTGGAAGAACCAAAATGATGCCTCTAGTCCACCTCACCACTCGCTTGAGCGTAGCGGAACCTGACATGCGGGTGACATACAGTACGACACAGTTCGAGCCACGCGGCGGTGTGAGGGGCCGATGTCTGGACTGGCGGCCTGACCTGGCCACAAAGTCTGCATGTCGCATGCATGTGCACATGCGTTCGACCCGGGCCATGTCTTGATTGGTAGAAGGGCCATCATTGTAGAGAGCATACTCACCGATAACGTCGACAAATGAGGTCCGGCCGTCAAGACATTGTCGAGACTTTCTCCTCACCGAGCCGATCGCGCGGCACTCCAGGATTCAGCTCGGGCGGTGATTACCTTCAAGTCCCTGCAGGTATGCAGAACGCGAAGGGTCGACGCATCGGCAAGGCCTCCCAGAGCGGTCTGAAGCTTTGCGACTTTCAAGATGCCTGTTTTTGGCCCTTCTATCGATGCCGGACGAGTTCAAAATACTGTTCATAAATACAGGCTCAAGGTCCATCGAACTGGCTCTCGTTCACCATTCCATCTTATCAGATCCAGCATTCCACTTCGAGTCAGATCGATCACCAAGCCCTGGCCTTGAACATCATGGGACTCTCAACTCTCCTCAAGACCTTCACGGCATCATTGCTTCTCTCCACATCTGTCTTGGCCGCCCAGCATGCCAGCAATTCCTCCCAACAAGTCGTCGCCAACACGCTGGCCGACGAGAGCATCGACATGAGCAAAGTACAAAAGTACAAGTCCCTGCTCGACCAGTCTGCACCCAAGCCCATCCATACCAACATTGTCGCAGCAGACACTGTGGGCGAACCGTTCGACTCGGCCTTCAAATGGAGCGATGTGCTCGACAGCGCCATACCCCTGACCGCGAATGCTTTCTGCCCAGAGAGGTGTCTCACCTGTGCATCGGGCTGTGACCCGGTCTGCTGTATCGTCAGTGAGACCAGCTCCCGGCCCAATGGAGCAGGCGGCACAGAAGCACAAGAAACTGCCAGTCCCGTCGACTCCCCCACCCCTGAAAACCAAGAATCCAAGCAGACCGGGGCCCGTCCTCCGGGGCCCATCCTCCCAGACCCCCTCGCATGTCCATGCAACTGCGAGCCCAGCTGTCCACCCAGCGTCCAGGCCATCTGCTGCTACACGGGCGGGGCCAATTCGGCGCGAGACCCTAGCCAGCCCAGCCCTCCGGAAGACGATCACGGCCGAGGGCAGCATGATCCAAACCAAAACCAGAAACCGATCGTCAATAACGTCGACAAACTGAGTCTGCGCGAAGACTTCCCGAGCCGCCCCAACCTGCCCGCAGCTTGCCCATGCGGCTGCGAGCCCAGCTGTCCAGCCTACATCCAAGCCATCTGCTGCACCACGGTGGCGGCAGAAACTGTAGCCAACAACAGCAACAGTAGCAACAGCAGCAGTAGCAGCACCAGCACCAGCGCCAGCACCAGCAGCGGCGGCGGCGACGACAGCAAACTCAGAGTCGACAAGGCCGATGTCACCGGCGCGAGTCAAAGTGAATACGACGTGCTTGCGCTAGTGGCGCAGTCTGCGGCGGGCGACCCGGTGTCGGTGCTCGCGGGCGTCAACCTGACCATCTTCGACAGCTTTGTCACCTTGGACTTGGTGAAGGGGCTGGAGCGGGCCAGCGAGATCGCCTTCAACGCCGACCTGAAGACGTTTGAGATCGTGCTGACCCTGGTCGTCGGACCACACGGCCGAGAGCAGTCACTGCGCCAGAGCTTCCGCGTCATTGACGGCTCCCGGCTCTGGGAGAGGGAACAGATCATGCTCGGCTTGGGCGCCTTGGCCAGAATCAGGGCCGTCCACGTCAACAAGGACTTTCTGACCGACCTCGAGTCCGGCCTGCCCGTTCTGACCGGCACCAAAGCATCAGTATCAACATGAACACCCTAAAGTCACCGTCACCGTCACCGTCACCGTCACCGTCACCGTCACCGTCACCGTCACCGTCACCGTGGGATTGGGATTGGGATTCAGATTGAGATTGAGATTGGAATTGGGATTGAGATGGGGACGGGGACAAAACGACACAGCTGGTCTGTACGCGAAACGGGAAACGGGACTACAGTATGATCCAGGAGCAAGCAGAAGAAGACCGGACTGGCTGTTTATGGGGGGCTAGACCCCGAGATCAGCTGAAACTGTGAGGTTGAGGTGCGAGAGAATCGAGATGTTGGAAAGACAAATGTATTTGTAATTGTGATTGTGCCAGGACTGTTACTATTACTATTGCTATTACTATTACTACTACATCCCGTCGTCATAATCTCGGAGAAAATGTTGGTATATCTCTCAGGAAAAGATAAGATATAGTGCTAGCCAGCCCCGTCTGTGACCTGTGGCCCTGAGAGTAGAACTGTAGAACTGTAGAACTGTTGGTGGTTGACACGGGGATGGTCCAGCCTGACATATAGATACAGATATATATCTCCATGCAACAGGCTGGAAATAAATGCCATGATGCGTAACGTATATCATGTGTCATCTAGGTCTAGGACTAGGACACGCCGTACACACAAGAACGAGAATCGATACTTTACTTTTTGAAAGGGAATTCCCCTCTGTCGTGGGCAACGCCGTGTCATCCTAGCCTAGCAATTCGGCAGTGGTCGAACAGAGTGGCTTATGTACAAGAACAGAAAGAGTGCATGGCATGGTGCGGGCGCCGAGAGATGTCTCGCCAGCGAGCATCGTCCTTCTAATGCTTCCACAGCCTTCCTTCTCAATCAGAGGCTCTGCCCAGCATCCCTACTGGCATAATAGTAGTCATGGTGGACTGTGGATTGTGGACGGTGTCCCTTTCCACGCCAAACTCCCACATCTATCGCTGGTGGTTGACTCCGTGACTCGGCTCACTTTCTATCCTAAACCAGGCTCTTCAATAGATATCCGGACTTTGGCCCGCCGTCGACCGCTACCCGCATGGTCTCCGTTTTGACATTGGTCTCGTCGAACACCCGATGTCCGGCCCCATCAATCTCCCAGGCCACCTGATCCGTGACGGGGTCGCGGAACGCATGCAGTCCTAACGCAGGGAGGCTGAATTGGAATGCGAGATCACGCACATCAGCATGACTCAAGGCACGGTAAGCCCAGATCGCGGCCGTGACCCCAAACAGCACATAAGCTAGACAGCAAGCGGCGAGGATGGCGAGCGGAGCCTTGGGGACTTTGGCCACGAGCAGCGGCGTGCGGGTCTGTTCGCCCAAGTTGGCGCGGCTTGATAGGAACGGGCCGATGACGCTCATGATGCGCGTTGAGTAGCTGTTGGCGAAAGAATCGGCCATATCATTGGCATTAGAAGCTAGAGCTGCCTGTAATACCATGTCTTGTAGCTCATTGTCGAAGGCGCTGGTGCTGCCGATCAGGTTGTAGCCGTGGTAAATCTCGGCCAAGGTCCCGTTCGGCGACTGGGTGAGCTCGTTGATGTGTGCGGTCGAGTTCACCCAGCTGTAGTCGGCCAGGTACGTCGTATATTGACACCGCAGGACAAAGTCGATGGACGATGTCGGACCCTTGTGCACGCCTGGGTCGGACGACATGTTGACACCTGCCCGCTGCGCCGTCGAAGCAAACCGGCCCGCGATGCCTAGGTATACCGGGTTGATCAGCTCGTTGTCCGGCATGAACGGCCCGAGGTTACCCTCACTATCGTAACGCTTGTTGAGTGCCTGGTCCATATAGAAGCCGTACTGCAGCGAAGTGCCAGACTTGAACCCTAGAGGCGGCACGTCCGCATCGCTGACTAGGGCTCCCGTATCACTGACGTTTGCGGCTTTGCCTAACACGCCCCAAAACTCATCGCTGCAATTGAATTGGCTGTACATGTCTGAGGGCCCTCCCGTCTTCCACTGGCACTCGGAGCTGATGGGCGTACATGTCGTGATGACGGCCGTGGTTTCGGCACGAAAGTCTTGAAAGGGCGAGAGCTTGCCACTTCGGGGTACCAAGAGCGCGGCCTGCTCTCTGGTCGATTTCGGATTTGTGACTAGGAGGATTTCGGACTCATTGGACGTCCCGTGCTGTAGAAAGAAGATCTCGTTCTGGCCGGCGACGTAGGCGTCATAATCCGTCCTAGCGACGTCCCCATTGCGTGAACATGGCAGACCGTAGTTGGCGGAGCGGTTGAGTGTCAAGCATTCAGACGACAATTCACGGCCGTAGCTGTTCATGCGCGATGAGATAGAGACTTGGTCGAAGTTGATAGTGCTGGTCGTGTAGTGCAGTACGGTGTCCGCGGCGAAGACTGTGCACGCAAGAACGAGTGATAGGCCCAGCGTTAGAGCCGCGCGGCGCAGAATAGGTGGGATGATAACCCCGTCGCAATGTGAGTAGGAAAAGTATCTCATCAACCGTCCAGTCGAGGCCAGGCAGAGACCGACCAGGAGACTATACTGATAGGGTGTCGGAAGATCACGTTGGTCGGAGCCTGAAGACGAGCGATACATGGCAAGGGCAAGCCGGAAGCTGGACAAGCTCATAATGAACCCAGAAAGAAGAGGCGCCAGGGTTGACGCCCAAGATGCGACAAACACAATCCGAGTAGCCGAGTAGTTGACAAGGACAACGGCATGGTCTCGCAAGGCTTCGGCATTCGATACTTGGACGAACAGGCTGCTGTCGGACTTGACTCGATAGCCAAAGATCAAGGCCAGCAATCCAGCAACAAGGGCCGCCATGGGGAGGACGACCGCCGCAGTTGGGACAAGTATCGTCTTCCACAGTATCGGCGGTGGACATTGTAAGTTCTGACTGCCACTGGACAACGAGTAGTACTTCTCACGGGATGGCCAGTCATCGAGTTGGGAGGATTGAAGGTCATCCAAGCTTGTCACCTTCGCACCCTGGGACGCGTCAAAGGCGAACGACGTCTGTGACCACTCTGGGCTCTCGGAAGGGGTATAGACATAGTTGGGGGTATCTTGTTGTGAGGACCCTCGGGTGTGTTTGCTAAGGGCCAGCCGGTCGTGGAGACGATCGGCGAATGTGGTGTGTGGCATCCTCGCAGTGCTGCTCTCGATGGAGGTATTCTAGAAGAGACAACCCTCTCTGGGTATGAGGGCTGGAAGCTGATCAACGTCAAGATATCGTCTTCATTATAACTCTCACCGGCTGTCCGTGGTAGAGAGGTCGAGGTAGGTTATGGAAGCCACATCTAGAAGAAAGCGTCAGCTTTCTACCCGCCACGGCTCGGCTATCTGCCTGCACATGCAAGGAACTCTCTCTCTCGATGAAGATGCACGATAAGAGTCATCATTGCAAGGAGGCGATTCTCAACCCCGGATGACAGGAGGGAGCTGGTGGTCGCCTCATGCAGGACGAGGACGAATCAGTGAGAGCGGAAGGCATGTGGGAAGAAGCCGTTATGATGCACGACAGCTCCAGGCAGAGATTGGCTGGGGAGATGGGATCTAGGTCCAGGTCCATACTGGAAACAGGTTCAAGTCCATCTCAGCCGCAGAGACGAGAGAAGCAGGAAGTAAGGGAAAAATGAAGGATACGAACGGTGCGAGGTTCTTTTGCTAATTTCTTACTACTAGGTGACTACATTGTACATACTGCACCGCAGGCGGTTCCGCCCCTAAGCCTTAGGTCTAAGGCAAGCCTATCCTTCGCCTTAGGCGCCCCAGGCCCCCAACTTTGGCCTGGGCCTTCCCTGGCCAGCCGCTGTGCTGCCTCGGGATCCTCAGGCCTCCTGAACCTCTAACTCTCACCTAGAGTCCTGCCATGACAATATTCAGGCCACCAACTACGCGTATCTGTAACACAGCATGGCCACAATAACGTCCCTGTCTTACCAAAGCTCTGGGTAAGGTTGGCTGGCAGCATTATAGACCCCGGTCCGGGCCCATCGGTGACACAATGGTCTGGTAAGCTACTGGCACATTTCCTACTCTGCTCTAGCTGTCATATCTTCGTAAATGCCGACTCCCTTCAAGGCACGGGCCCAGGTCGTGTGTAAATTGTAAATTGATGGTGGGTGAGAAGGCAGTCCTTTGCTACTGACCAGACAACTCCCATCTGCCGTCGTTGATTCTGGCACGCATCCTAAAGTACCTTTGTTTCGTCAAACTCACCTATCCTGCCAGTCACGCTCTCGAGAATCTCTGGCACAATCGTGGCTGCGTCTCCTTCAAAGAACCAGTCGTGCTTCGTCATCTCTCTGGCATCCCCGGGATCCATGTTGATAACTGCCACCCGCGCTCCCTTCTCTCGCGCCATTTCAGTGTATCCTGCCGCCGGATACACTCGAGAGCTTGTGCCAATCACCAGGATGAGGTCGATATTTTCTGGTTGTTGGAACCAGCGGCTCACATCACTGAGGACATCTGCAGGCAACGTCTCTCCAAACCACACCACTCCTGGGCGAAGGAGGTTTTCCTTACACTGCGGACAATGAGGTAGGTCATCTCGTCTAAGGCTCGGAATGTTCACGTTGATGTCTGAGATGTCAGCTCCTCGAATTAGGGCATGGTTCTTCTTCCGAATCGCCTCCTTCAGTTGTGAATCGGCGGAGAGTCCTTCGTCCACCGTTGGCAGGGCTAGCGCAGGGACAATAGGATCGCTAAAGTCGTTCCTACGGATATAGCCACATCCATGCTCATCCCAGCATTTCACGTCGAACAGAGATCCGTGAAGGAGCTTGAGTTGCTCCGGAGGGTGACCGGCCCTCGGACTCAGGCCATCGACATTCTGGCTAAGCGTAAGGAAGTTGGAGTTGCGGCGGGCTAGCTCGGCCAACGCAAGGTGGGCTCGATTTGGTTTGGCATTAAGGGACATATGGCGTCTATAGGAGTAGAACTGCCATGAGAGACCCGGGTCGGCTTTGAACGCCCCTGGAGTGGCTAGCCTGGTGGCATCGTAGGTTCGCCAGAGTCCTCCGGCACCGCGAAAAGTAGGTAAGCCGCTCGAGGCCGAGAGGCCCGCCCCCAGCAGAGCGACGATGCGTCTTGCGGATTGCAGATACTGCACAAAGGAGGCGACGTCGGTTGAAGGCATTTCATCGGGTGCTGTCCAATTCATCGTGGGACTGGGACTGTAGTCTCTGGCACTTTCTGGCAAGCACAAAAATTCACCAGGCTGCTAGCAGAAGGTAGGGAGGCAGAATTCTCTATCTCTGCCGGGTTGAAGTGCTGCCAGTCCAGCGACCTCCTTCAAGTTATACCCATTCAAGGGCAGTCCGCATCGACTCCAAGACCGAAGACCTGGGGCATGCCACAACCTATCCATATACTCCGCAGTAGCGGCAAGACCACATTAGACTCGGTTAGTACTAGCGCCAGAACATCCAACTATGTGGACGGATACCTACTCCGTCCTCTGTACAGCGTACAGTGTAATTACAGGTAAGGTAGGTTCAATTCAATAAAGCACAAAGTCAGGGAGGTACCTTGGCTAAAGGGCCATGCCACTCTCTGTAGAGTGCGAAACTGGTTCGGCCGTGGAGGTACAGAGTAATCAATTTACAGATTACATACCCAGGTGCCGGGACCGGGTCAAGCGCAGAGGTTTGGCCCCAACCAAAAATACCCAAGCTGCACCTGCACGCCCCTGCACCTGCAACTGGCACAGGCGTCGGTCGAATCGGAAGACGCTCCGCTCCGCCTGCAACGCCAGTCGCCGGCCGCCACATGTGACAAACGAAACCTCGAATTAATTGAGAAATGAAATGCGGTGATGCCCACAGCTTTCTACTCGTGCGTCCAGCCCGCGTCAACGTCAACTTCCACACTCAACCACTCTTGTACAGACAGCATCACTCTCCTGGGTTCTCAGGCTCTTCACCGCCCTTCGAGAAGTGCCTGTCATCCTCAAACACCCCTGTGCCCTTGTCACACCACCCCCGGCAGTGGTCCCCAGATAGAGAGATAACATGATCCTCCGCTCCCATCCCTCAACCCCCGACCCCGATTTCGAATTGATCTCGCCACTGATGTCCCACCGAACAACGCCCGTCTATCCCTCATAGCTCAGCGCACAAAGACAAGGGAATTACTAGACTGCTGAACATACAAACCACCCACGAGCAAGATGCGGCCCCCGACAAAGCCTCGCCTCAATCGCAGACGGGTCAATGTCCTTATCTTCGTCACCGAAAAGATCGGCCCGGAAGTGCTTCCCTACCTACTGAAGAACCCCGACCTAAACCTGCGTGTGATCTCAGACAGCCCCAAGGCCGAGTTTCAGGAGTATATGGACCCAGGAATCAGCCTGGATCAAGTGCAATGGTTTGAAAATACCCCTCAAGATCCATACCGCAATCAGGCCATGATGCAAGGACACCGGCTGGCCAGGTGGGCCGATTTGATGTTCATAGTCATGGACGCCAGTATGATTTCTCTCATGCTGAGTGGCTTGACCACCGATGTCATTCTCCATGTGCTGAGGTGCTGGGACGTGTCGAAGCGGATCGCCCTCTTGCCGGAGTTGAGTGTCGATCAATGGAAACACCCGACCTGGAGGAGACAACTGTCGAAGCTGCAACGTAAATGGGATTGGGTTCACGTTTTATCTCCTGCCTTGTGGGACTTCGCGACCAACCCTCAAGATCTTACACAACCAGGACCGAACCCGCTCGGCCAGGACGGCGGCCCGGAAATCGAGTGGCAGTGGGATGGTCCGAACGAGATCATCGAGGCCATTGACACGGAATCACAGATTCTTCTTCGCCTCACCCATTCCAAGCTACATGCGTCCTCACAGCATCTGCCCCAAATGAACGGCGTCTCCCAGAAACCCTGTCTGCCGGTCGAAATCTGGACCCTCATCCTCGACCATCTGGGGGACTGGGAACTGGCAACCGCCCTTGGAATCTACACTCATATTCCTACACCCCACGAATGGGAGGCCTTGGTTCCCAAATTAGGATCCAACAGAACCAGATCTCTCGAGTACACCATCCTCACACAACCGCTGTCGCAGGTCAAGGCTTGGTTTACGAACAACACCTCGTCGCAACCGCCCACCACCCTATCCCCAATTGCGACGCGTCTCATCTTCCGCTTCAGCATGACCGATCTTCTGACCTACCTTGCCCTGCACCAGAAGGACATCTTCTGGACATCCTTCGGTTTAGCATTGCTGCCGCACAAGGCTTCCTTGATCTACAACTCCCCGACCATTCTTCAATGGTGGCTCGACTGCCCCGCCGTGATCAAGAAGGAATACGGTCCCGAAGCCATGGACGGGGCGTCGCGAGCCGGATTTGTGGAAGTACTCGACTGGTGGCTCAACTCGGGCCTCAAGCTCACATACACGGAAAGGGCACTGGAGTCTGCTTCGGCCAAGGGCCATGTCGAAGTCTTGGAGTGGTGGCGCGTCAACTCGATGACGCTCGTCGGTACCTCGCGCGAGATGCCCCTGAAGGTGGGCAAATCAATCCTGCTGGCCGCCCAGTCCGGGCGGACAAACAGCATCGAATGGTGGGAGTCTAGCGGCATCCCTTACTCGCACGAGGAGGGCGTTGCTCGCCTAGCTTCGCAACATGGCCATGTCCCTGTTCTGGAGCTGTGGCACCACTTGAAGGGCTCCAAGATGATCTTCGACAACCAGGTCCTAGTGGGCGCCACCAAGAACGGCCACGCGGGTGTTCTACAGTGGTGGAAAGACGTCAGTCGCAAGCATGGCGTGCGAGTTGAATACAAGACGTGCGATATCGAGGAGGCCATGGAGGATGCCGTTGGCGGCGGTGGCGAGGGCGAGGTCCGGGAATGGTGGGGGCGCAACGGCTTGAATCTCGGCGTCGGCACAGGCGAGTGGATGAGGGTCAAAACCCTGTAAAGGTATACCTCCAACGGATGTTGTTCCAGTTTTGCTGGATGCTGGATGCTGGTCTCGACCGTGACCGGCCTGATGTTGTGCAAGGCGCGGGAGGGATTGGATTGGATCGGCTTGGCTTGTCGAGTAGCATCATGCCACGGCGTCGCACTGTCAGAGTGGGTGATGAATCATGGCCATGGTCACGGAAAGCTTGCTACCCACGCTGATTTGATACGGTTGGTTGTCCTCGCACTGCTATGACGGCTGGCAGCGTACCATTCGAGCATCTTGCTCTCTCCATGTCGGACATCGACATCAGCATCCAACGTCTACAGTCTACACGGATGGACCTGCCCACACGAACTGGGTGCAAGGATGTCTTCTCAGTTCGAGGTGCTCCTAGTCACGAATTGCAAAAGAAATGAAATCTATTTGCCGGCACTGGGCTGCGCACTCGGCAGCAACCTCTTCCTACATAGTTCTTCGTTTTCTTGGTCGGTACTCGTCATTCGTATCATGCTAAGAAAGCCCTCTTTGCACATCTCTCCCAACTCCAATCACCTCGCTTCCCATCCAACGCACGTCTCGGCGCCCTAGTGTCGGACCAGGTACACAGACATACAAGCGTGCAGTGATCATCCCAGCAGACTCGTCGTCGACGTCCCCAACGCCTTGGGGAAAACTCGACACCCAAACAAAAGAAATCTGTCTCCATTGTTCGCCTTGGACCTCATCGTCCCCATGCATGTCGTTCGTCGTTCATGTTTTCGTCGATATTAGCTTTCTAGTCATTTCGAACCATCCACCATCGCCGCCACGTTTCCTGCTCCATAGCTGCCCTATGGACTCTTCCACAACAACCCGGTGCATGACGCCTCGCCTAACCTCTCCAATTGTTCCGTCTCAACAACTGAACGTCCTCGGCCCCTTCATGGACTGAGCGCGTCCTCGTAGTCCTCTCCACTCAGCTCGGCCATCTCACTGCTGTTCTCTTGCCACTCTGCTGAGCTCAGTGTTTCAAGAGCAGACTCAGCTTTCGCCCTCAAGGCAGCCATGGCAGTCTGGATCTCGCCAACTTTTTCCTCCTGAATCACATTGTCGACGTCAAAAAAGTTCAAACAATGCTCCACCACATCAATCAGTTGGCTCGCCTGACCTGGCTGGAGGATCGAAATATCTCGGCTTCGGGGATTCAGAAAGGTGCCTTGAACGAATGTGTGCGAGCAACATGCGAGTTCCTGACAGACCGTACGAAGGGCCCGAACGACTCGCGGATCTTGGTCCTCGGCAGCGTGTAGAGGATTGAATAGTATCCGTGTCAACATGTCCACTGTTGCGAGTCGGATGTTGCCTCGATTATCGCTAGGTGCAAGCAGGAATATGGGTGCCCAGTGCTGGACGGTTTGCAACACTATTTCCTCCATGAAACCTGCGCTGGCATGAATGTACGGATTTTCAACTTTCATCAGGGCATCAACAAAGTCAAAATAGTCCTTAGCATAATCCACACCCACCGTGGCAATGCTGTCCAGCGCTGACTGCACGAGGTCAAGAATCTGATTTTCCGAATGGCAATTCTCGCAGAAGACCAAGACCGGCCGAAGGAATCTGATGGCAGTATTGATCATCCGATCATTTAACCCTCTGAGTAGGACATCCGAAAGAGACCCAGCAAGACTTCGATCTCCGGCCAGATACGCCACAAGACTGTTAATCGCTGCGGGATCCTGACGCCCAGCGATGAGACGTCGTAGCCACTCCAAACTGGGAGGTACTCTCGCGATTCCCAGAATATCAAGCTCACGGGGAGTTAGACCGATCTTCTTGTCAGAAACGCGATAATTTCCATCCGGCATGTGGTGTAGATCAACCCTCAGCAACAGATTGACCAGAAACATGATGAGGACTCCATGGTTGAATGGTCGGTTCCTCTCGCGTGCCGCCAAGTAAACACCGTATCGTGCTCTCAATCTCCTAGATATCGAAAACTCCATCGGGTTGTGGAGATGCATCATGATTATGTCGAGACATTTTTCAAGGTAGTCCTCGTCAAGAAGGAGCATCGCCTCATCATCTCCAAATTCCTGAATGTTATTCAGAATGCTGAAGTATTCGGTCCAACAACGGCCACTCCTGGTCACCACATCCCATGCGTGGGACAGTTGAGCGACGCAATCCGAAAGAGACCTGCTATAGTCGGCTGCCAACTGAGCATACGCTTCATCGGTAGTACTCATCATCTCTTTGGCCAAGTGAAGGCGATTGAACACGACATAGAAGAGATGAGCAAAAGACTTTCTGACGAGCTGGTACGGGCTCCGGACAATCACATCCTCGAGAATTCGATTACGAGAAAACCATTGTGAGATGGTTTTGGCGCAGTCCAGACACTTCTCGGAATATTGGATTAGGGCTTTGATGGTGTCTTCAAGCGACGGACACTCCTTCCAGCGACCCGAGATCTGTCGAACATACTCTAAAGCCATTTCGATGGTACTGGACTCGAGAGTGTGGTCATCACTGCATCCGTCTACCCCGGCTCTCATCCGATCAAGCAACTGACGAATGAATTGTGCGTGCGCACCGTCCTGGGCGCAATATGACCGTAAGAATAGCTCATTTTGTTGGGCAATGTATTGCTCCATCGCCGGCGGTAGAGGAAGACGGATAGGGTTGACGGCATCATGCTGACGATATTGCTCTTCGACCCTCTGAATGCTGGAGGTTCTCTGATAAAACAGCATGTATGCGCTGTTGAACTTTAGCATGGGGTAGAAGGGGACGTCAGAGCTGCCACCAAAACAGCTCTCCCGCATAAGGCTGGGGTCAAAAACGCCAACGTCCTGGTCGTTGAATTGGACCCAGGATTCGTGAGTTGGTTTCGCAGATGGTCGTTGACGGATAAATGAATAGTAATGTCCTGAGTCTGCCGTACCCGAATGGACGATTACACCTGTAAGTTGGAAATAGTCTGGTTCTCCCGGTTCCTCGTCGTCGCTGAGTCTTGCAAGAGTATATGGAGCAATGTCAAGTGTATCAGGAAACTGAAATTCATCGTTGATCTTTGCTCGCGTTCCATTCATGATGTCGTAGTCAAAGCGTTTGAGGTTGAAAATGAGATTGTCCGGAACATCTTTCAGGCAAGCCCGTTTCACAGCGTCCACGTGGCGCCCGCAAGAAGTGCAAGAATATTTGTTCTCGCCTTGTAGAACCTCACCTTCGACATAAGCACGAAGGCTGTCTTCTAGTCGTGCTTTGCCTTTGATCTCCACTTGCACTGCAGAGAAAGGTTCCAGTCTTTCTGAGATATGCTCGCACTCCTTGGATTTGACTTGCTGAACCAACTGCCCACCGTACATAGACTTGAAGACATCCCTCGCTTGCTGGTCGATCTGTCCTTCGAGCCGGTCAAATAGTAGATTGAAGAACTCGTCCACATCCATTTGCACCGAGACATCGATTTGCTCTCCTTCATAGGTCGTGATTGCTTCGACTGCGCCAGATGGATCAATGGACTTCTCGTACGAGTTTTGCATGTGAGCAAACACTTTTGAGAGTTCCGAGACCAGTTTCTGCTTTGGATCATGCAGGCCTGCTCTGATAAGGAAAAAGTCCCGAAACTCAACGTTCATGAAGAGTTGCGAAAAAAGGGAATTGAGGTAGCATGTATTGGAAAGGTTGCGTAGACCAGCATAGCCAACCTCCGAGCGAAGACACTGACGGTCGTGCCCAAAAAGCGGCTCGAAAAAGTCATCTGGAAGCAAATCGTCGCTCAGCTTGGTTACAACAACCGCGATGTCTTGAGAATCCTGGCACAGAGCTAGTATGAGGCTGTACAGATTCTCCCGCACAGTGATGTCGAGTACCGGCACCATGATGGTGTCCTCTGTCGCCAATCCGGCCTCAGATAGTGGAGGGAAAAGAAACCGCGATATAATTTTGTCGATGACGAGGCTGCTCGATGGTAAAGCATTTGCATTCTTCAACAACTTGGAGCACTCAAGCAGAAGCTTGGTAAGAGTGGCGACAACATGGTCCTTCAAAGGTTGACCCACAACCTCCACATGTTTGTGTTTTACCAGCATTGTACTCCACTGGTCAAAGTGTCGACGCAGACTCGGGATCGAAAAGGATTTGCCAATTCGTCTCAGGATGGAAAGCATTGTCTCGCAAACTTCGGAACAGCGCTCGGGTTGCTGGCAGGCGTTCGGTAGAACAGCGAGCAGGGCTTCCCAGATATGCGACAGGCAGCTTTCAATGGTCGTGGGCGGGAACCGAGATCGCGGCGCCCGGGGATTATTGACCTTGAGCTGCAACTTGATGCCAGCAGCGCCAGTTAAGCCCACCACAACCTCAAGGAGTGAGTGTCGTACCTCGACACGCGGATCACTGACAAAGGCAGTCATGGCCAAATCGCCGAACGTTGTCTCAGCACCCAAATGATCCCAAATGCGTTCGTCGTGCAAGCAAGCTTCAATGAACGTCTCCATAATCAGTTTGACCATGGCTGGCGTTGACAGTTCACCTGTGCTGCTAGTACAGTTCCTCAAGGAGAAGCGCAGAAGCCTTGACATCTGCACCGCAAACTCTTTATGGTCTTCAATGTATTCACGCGAGATCTCTGGGGATACTTTGGCCCGGAACGCAAGAAGAAGCGCTTCAATTAATCCATGGGTAATTGAAACTTGCAGGGCATCGCCTGGGTTGCTCAAGTCCAGCCTCGGGAAAACGGCCACGATGGTCCGAATGCTGTAGACCAGAAACTGAGTTTCTGGGCTCGAACTGAATGACTCATCTTCGATACAGGACCTCAGTGCTCTTGCACAGTACAGAAGCTTGAATGGTTTGTTGGGAGGAAGGAGATCCGTAGGTAATCTTTCTCGTGATCGCACGATCCGAACCACTTCATTCTGGGCCGAGAAGAGGCTGAGAAAACTGTAGACTTCCCTTGAAAGTCGTTCGTCTGCATCTAAGAGATCGTACAGATCGTCAAAGTGATGCATAATCTTGTTATCCACAGGAGACGTAGCGCGAGCCGGGCGCGTAGGAACGGTCTCTAGGCTATTGGCGGTCTTGTTGAGGATGAGAAGTCCCCGAGACAGTTTTAACTCTGCTATGGTGGAACTTCGACCTTTCAGAGGGATTTGACGTCCATAGTGGTAGACGGTGAACTCTGTAAAGCCACTAGCGTTAGACAGATACTTGAACAGTTCGTCTCCAGTATTTTCCGAGCCAACGGCGAGCTTTTGCATGTTGTTTGAGACATATTTGCTCCCATAGATTTGAACGTTCAATTCCACATATTCACCCTTTCTGTCCTGATACTCTGGCATACCCTGTTCATGTTGACCAGGGACTGGGCTGTACCGTGGTCTCGACTTCATGCCTTCCAGGAACTTTCTCAAGAACAAGAGCGACCGGTCAAATCTCAATTCTTCAGCGCGAATCTCGTCTTCAGATGCAATGATAACCATAGGCTCGTCTTCACCGCTCATGGTGCCATCGGTGTATGATTTGAGCTTTGAGGCTGATGCTATAACCTGCTGAACGCAGCGATCAACAAGAGAAGAGTGAGTTGCATTTACCGCCGCCTTTGAGCACCTCGTGACAAGAGGATTGTCCAGATATTGTTTTATTATGTAGTCCGTGGCTTCATTTTCGACGGTATTTGGTGGTGCTTCAAGCATCACCTTCCACAGTCTCTCGATTCCTGGTACGATGACGACGTCGCCAGATTCCTGCGGGGCTTGCGGGGATCGTCGAACGGTGTAATAAACGGAGGCTTTGATGAAATCTAACACTCTTTCGCTGTAATCCTGGGGGCGGAGAGTTTGCAGATATTTGTCAATGACCAAATCTAGAAAGGCAGTTTCCTGTCTAGGGCGCATTGCGAAGTTCAGGGTTTCCCAGGCCCCCGCTCGAATAGAAGCAGAAAGCTGATGTGCAGCGAAAAGCGACGACCAGAGTGATCCCACCATATCGTCAGAGAATGTCTCCGGTGCCAGGGCGATGAGATGGTAGAGAAGTGACGATCTGGTTTCGTACATCACCTCAAACGCTGAAAGTGGTTCATTCCGCTCGCTTGCAATACGATATCGCTCGTACAGATGTACAAAATCGGCGACCAGGAGGGTAGACAGCTCGAACTTCTGAACCAGCTTCAAAATAGTGCCTTTTGTCAGCATCTTCAAGAGACAGGTAAGGACTTGCACGTCGCCAGTGGATTCGTCATTGTGCGCCTCGATGTTGCTGGCAGCATCTCTGAAAAGCGTTGTCCGCTCGTCCTCGTCGACGGTAGCCTCGGTGGCTTCAGCTCGACCTAAGGCGAGAAGGTTGATCATTTGTTGAGGAAACTCTCGTCGGATATAGACAGCATGTTCCAATGGGATATTTTCCTCCTTTGACGCCTCTCGCAGCAATCTGATACATAACTGACGCGAGATAGGGGTTGTCACGATGGTAGACTGCAATGGTGCTGAACCGAGATGACCTTTGAGGTTATCAAAGACAGTGATAATAAAATTCAGGGCGTGGATGTCAAGGCGCTGAAAAGGGTATTCCAGGAGTTTCCTGCAGATGTAGTACAGTGCATGAATGTCATACACGTGAAAGCACTGCTGCAGGAGGTTGAACACTTCATGCACGGTGTTAGGATCCTGACTTTCAACAATTGTCTTCCAGATCATGTCGGTATGGCTTTCGGTGTATGTTCCAGAGACACAGAGAAAGCCGACAATATTAGGGGCCCGGCGGATTATTTGGGGGTGTGAGTCAACGCCGACAATATAGTCCACAAGCTGATTTTCGTCAATGAATTTCACCAAGAACCGAATCAAAGGATTTGCCGTTGGAGGCGGCGGCTTTCCCAGGATGTGCTCTCTGTAGATTTGGATGAGATCGTTCGACATAACATCCACGCCGTATACCCTGAGCTCCATCCGTCCGTTCGTGACGAATTTCCGTAGGGTTTTGAACTTCCAGGCGTGAGGCATTGTGCTGGGTAAATCCGTAAGGTCAGAATCAGCGAAGCCAACACCGGCCGAGGAAATGATGTCCCGACCGATTGCCGGAACCTCAACGGCTATGCATGCCATCAGTGGGCTTAAGAACTCGATGATCTTCGGGGCGGTCTCGAGGTTCAGCCAGGAGGCTTGCTTTACGATGGCCTGCTGAACAATGTCGTCAGCCTTCAGTATGATTCCGGCGGCATCATCCCGGATGTAATCGAGGTGTGAAAATGCCGAGTAGTCATAGCCCACGTCCCCAGTGACGGTCCTCGCGAGAGGGCCCATGAGATGCATGGTCAAGAGCAGTAATGAGGTAACGTGTCGGAACAAGTCAGGCTTCTTGGGTAGGACTGCACATATTTCTGACAGTAGTGCGGAGATGGATGGCAACAATGCTATTGCTGAGTGGTCTCCCAGTCTATCGAGAAGGAGTGTGAGGAACTGCAACACATGGAAATTCAGTGTTGTTCGCAGCGATTCATAAAAGGGTATTCTGCTTTGCGAGAGCCAGACTAGTGGTTGTAGATATGTCCCAGACACCAACACCAGGGGTTTCAGGCGTCGTGGGTCTGCATTTTCCGAGAATGCCCGTAGGCTAAGTGTGTCGTAGTCCATGAGTAGCTTGGTGAGTTGTCCATACGCGACAAAGAAATCAACAAGATCATCTGTTCGAGCCTGTGCAGGGGGGCCAGCTTCACGTCTTAGCAAGCTTTCGACGAGGTCTGGAAGCCGCTGCCAGAATTCCCGATCCTCGTCGTAAATGCTTGCCGTGAACTTGTCGCATGTAGAGACAAAGTCGATCATCCACTTCCTGACCTGCCGGAATATGTCCCCATCCTGCGGGCCAGCATTTTGGAACCGATCTGCCATTCTAGTGACCATGCGATGAGTACTTCCAGGGGCCATCTCGTGCGCAAAGGGAAACGTGCGGTAAACATGTCCGGGCTGAATGGTTCTAGGCAGTGACTCTCTGGCACCGGACCCGACACGACCAGTCCATCTCGTCTGTGCAGGGTCTTGGTCGAAATCTTCCACCTCAGCAATCTCAATTTCAGGGCTTTTGCTCCCTGCAGAAGGGGTTGAGATGGTATCTTGGGGATCAGCATTTGGGGCAGTAGGAGTCTTAAAGTCTTGAGTTCCATCGCCACAGATAGAAACAACTTCCGAGGTAGGTGAGGTCGACAGCATGTTTCGTGAAGTTGGCTGTGTGACAGACTGAGAGGATAGAGGACGGGTGTTAATGGTCACTTTGCTGGTAGGAGAGATGGCGGTGACGGCAGCAGCGGGGACCGTAGCTCGAGGGGGTAATGGGGGGTTATGGATATGACCTCCTTCCTCATGACCATTGCTGTCCTTGTCTGAGGCGGCAGGCGCAGGATGAGTGTCAATGTGCAGAAGATCGGACATTATATGTGTCTCATCAGGCTCCGTGTCACTCAGCCTCGGACGCTTGTGCTCATGCTCTGGCAGCTCGGAACTTTCGCCGGAGTCGCTGCGATTGCGCGTCGACAAGTCGGTCATTGAGGACGGCATGTTAGAAGAGTGGCATCTGGACAGTTCGCGATGCAGAGCGCGAAATGTAGGGTGACTAGACCAGTATAAGATGAAGTCGTAATCCAGTCAGGCAGTGAGAGGTCTTGGCACAGCTGTAGAAGGCTGCCACCAGCAAACAGGCTGAGGGGTTGATGAATGTCAGGTTGTCCGTCTAGAGGGCGAGACCGCACGACATACAAGGTCCGACACTCAGAGAAAGAATGGTCGGTTGTAGAAGGATGGAAAGATGTCCGCGGAATCCATTTCACTAGGAAATAGGTAGGCAGAGAGAGGAGAGGTGGTGATGAGGGGCGGGGCAGAGGGTTGAATGTTTGATGCGGGTACAAAGCGGAATTCAAAGTTATGATAGGGGCCTTTGTCCGAGTGATGAACTGTCGATATGAGCCTAGGAGCGAAACGCCCAGTGATTCCTGTGAGGATGGAAGAGAAATGCAGTGGTTTGACCAGGCTACCGTTTAGTTGGCTTGAATGGGGCGTTGGATAAAAAGTTCAAGGACGTTTGGCCTTTGGCCATTGCCCGGTGGCGCGCTTTGGGACCGCGTTTGGCGCGACAGGCGGATGGCCAATTATGTGCAGTGCAGTTCTATGGTTGTAGCCTATTCTCGTCGCTCAACGTCATCCCTCCTCCAACTTTCATCTCAGCATGTATCTCACCTGCGCATCTTGACAATGAGCAAACCGAAAAAGCCAGTGCATACTTTGTCGTTGCCGTATCCCGATCCACCATGGTAAGTGTTACTTCATGTACTCCGTAGAATGCTGCAGCTAATCTTCTGTCAGGCCCTCTGTTTCGGCCGATCAAGAACAAGCAATCCTGCGACTCCTACTTCCTCTCCTCCAACCTATTGGTGAATTCAGACGGGACTACATTCCACAGTCAAAGGGCAGAGGAAGGGCGGGAAAGACACACAAGACAGAAAATGGCTCGGTTCCAGAATGGATGCCGGAACTTTACAACCATTTGACGATTGGGTTTAATAGTACAGTCCGAAGACTAGAGTCCTTGGCTCATACTCGCAAGCCAGCCAACATTGCACTGACCACAAGCAATCCACCGGGGAAACCAGAGATTAATCTCTCGGTTGTATTCGTATGCCGCCAGAATCTCCCAGACATCATGATCTCTTCATTGCCACTGTTGATGGCTACTTCGGCTCCCAAATCTAACCGCTCCAAACTGGTTGAGCTGACCTCCCAGGCGGAAGCAAAAATTGCACTGGCGTTACAACAACCACGAGTTGGAGTACTTGGGTGTGAAGAGGGGGCTCCTGGCGCAGAGACTTTGCTTCGTTTTGTCTCTGAAATGGTTGACGCGGTTGATGTTTCATGGCTTGAACAGCCAGGGAATCCTGTCTACTATCCTGCCAAGGTCAAGACCACCGAGGTCGAGGCCAAGGACAAGGCCACAGCTCGAAAGCTCAAGAGGAAAAATTCAGAGGAAGGCTGAGCATATCATCGAATGAACGGTATTCGAACGGGCGTGCGTTTGCGGTATTCGAGATAATCCTGACCAAAGAATGAGACGAGGTGTCGTTCTTCGTCTGGAGAGAGTGTCAGCACAGCAGGAGGCTAACTAACGCGGCCACACTCACGAATGATCCGATGGTGGAAGAATTTCCACAGTACCACCGCGTACGTTACGAAGCAGATCCGATTCTCCAGCAATATCTGTGTGCCTACCCCCCACCAGAAGAAGCCAAAATACGACGGATGTCTCGAGAAGGCATAGACGCCGTCGGTCACCAGGGTATGGTCTGCCCTTTTGGTCCACTGGACCACATGGTTGAAGTTTGTCCTGGCCTTTTTCATGGCAGCACTTCTGACGAGCTGGCCAACAAAAATGAAGAGTAGCCCCAACCCGACGGTTAGCGAGGATGAGACCGTCGGCAAGACTTTTGGAACGTGGAAGGGCAACGTCAACCACCGTGGCTTGTAGTCGGAGTACAGCCAGTATCGGACGAACAACTCCAGCATCGCCACTGTGTGGGCGGCCGCGTAGGCCACGCCATTGGACAACAGTAGGAACGACGAGATGGACGCGTCGGGCGAGTTGTAGCGTGCCGTCATGTCGAATTCTAGATAATGGAATAATGCAAGTGTTGCAACAAAGCACGGAGCCCTCCACAACCCGTAGCCCCAGTAGGCCAGACCCAGAGTCAGGATGAGCGACACGCCCAGCCCGATGCCCAGCCCGAAGGCTCTGATTGCAACGCCTGAAAGTGATCTCTTCCCTCCAGGCAGATACTGCGGCGGGACGTATATTGTCGGCGGGGCAGAGTGCACCGCGTCTCCATTCTGATGCCCATGCCGGGCATGGCCATGCTCACCCCGATCTCTGGCGAATTCGTGGATGATCCCGGGAGAAGGAGGGGCTGATGAGTCGGACATCATGATGGTCACTGATCTCGGCTGGTCGAGAGTGCGGTAGTGTCGGTGGTCGGTGGTCGTGGCCCGAGTCTGGAGATATCAGATTCTAAGGCCGCGAACTTGAAACGCATACTATGGGTAATTAGGGGTAGGGGTGCAACATGGAGGTCACAGAAGGTCACAGACGCAAACACTGTCAGGCTGGAAACGAGGGACTGAGGCACAGGGGCAGTTATTTGAGAAAGAACAATATTAATAATAATAATAATAGGATCGGAGTTCGAGTTCCAAGGCATGTTAATTACGAGATTGCAGATGCCTGGCGTTGGTCGTTGGTCGGCGCGTGACAGCGTCATCGGACCGACCCTGGCCTAAGCCGTTCTGCCGGAAATATGTTTATCCAGCTCCGAACCCCAGTACGAGTACCTCAGGGATCTTAGACATGGACCTGTAGGCCTTGAATGTGACGGGAGCCTCGACGCGAGCGACATGGCCCTCGGCCGCAAGGGTGACACTGCCAGCAGCCATTTCGAGGAGGTCGAACTATATGTTGACTGACCGATGTTATCGAACAGGAGTATAAGGAGGAGAGGAGGCGAAGCGCTGTTGCGAGAAGGGCTGCAAGATACAAGGCTGAAGTAACGGATTACCGGGAGGACAGGAAAGCGACGAGCAGTTAAGGAAGAGAGAGAGTGTGTGGGAGCAAGGATCAAGAAGGACTGCAAGGCACGATTGAGGCTCAGGGCTCAGCCAACAAAGTCACAGTGGACGTTTCTCTTTGTCAAGTTCGAGGTCCTCGCCTCACAGGTCGCATGGCACCAACACAACCTGCTTGTTACGACCTGTACGCAAAAAGAAATGGGCATCGAAGTCGAGGATCGAACCAAGAGAGTGACACCTCAGCAGTACTAAGTGTCGATACCTTTGCACTCAGATGGGTGACGGCGGCCTCTACCTCGACAGTGAATGAACCGAGTCTGGACACAGTCACCACACCACTAACCCAAGTCATTCCCTACCAACCTCAACGATCGCACGAACCAAAAACCACTGCGAATTGAACCCCATTCAAAGGTGCAAAAAACTTTTCCTTGAAACCAGCCACAATTCTTTGCGGTGGGTTCGAGGAGAGCGAAACTTGTCAAGATGAGTGGTTTTCAAGATGAGTGGTTTTTCCGAACAGATTAGGGGTCATCCACATGCCGTCGTCGCTGAGGAGTAGGATCAATACCAATACACCAATGGACCCTAACAAGGAGCCGCCCCAAACAATTTAGAGGTCATCCGCATGCCGTCGTCGCTGAGGAGTAGGATTAACCAATACACCAATAGACCCTAATAAGGAGCCGCCTCTAATTGTTGAGGAGAAATGCGCGGGAATAATATATCAGGCTGCCTTTCTGCAGGTGACTAGTGAAGGTAGTGAAGGCGGTGCCGGCAGAATCGCTTGTCATGTGTGGTCAGCGCGTGTTCACAGCCTTGTGACAGGACAGGGGAGGAACTAGTAACTTGGGTTCGAACACTCTTCACCGGTGCTATGTTAGCAAACCCGCTGATGGGATATAGGAATGTTATCTTAGCAGTATGGTCAGCTTTGACACTCACATACCTTCTACGACGCACCTTGGCTTCCTGGTCGCTCATGCCCTGATCTCAAGGCTCTACAAATCCTGGATTTCATGAAGAGCAGACGACAACATCTCGAAAGTACACTAGTCTGGTCAATGCAATCTTAGAAGAGCTAGGTCGTTGCATCTGCCGGCAGGGAGACAAGTGTGGTCTGAGATTTCTCGATTCCATTTCGGCATATCCTGGAGCGGCAGAGACTTAATGCCCAAGACTAGAAAGGACCAACTCGACCTCATCATCAGCGGCCTCGAGAATATGGTGAGGTGGATACTGAGGTTTCCAACCAATCTGTTCGCCGTGTTTCGCCGTGAACGTGCACCTGGAGACGACGTAAGCATGTTGATGATCGAAGAAGAAAACGTCAATCGGAGACTCACTCTCCTCCCAGAGCCCAATGAACAAGCTCCTTCGGATATCCCAGAGCGGCGGCCATCTGTGCCAGACCCTCGTCGGACGCCTGTTCGACCGTGGGATCATCAACCAGACCGCGCTTAGCAAGGCTTCTCGCAATGGCGGCATAGAGGTCGGCCCACGCAACGCTGCCGGACGAGGCCAGATAGTAGCCGTGTTTACCGCTCCCTGGGTTCTTGCCAGCTAAGATCGCGCGCAGGAGTTCCAGGTAGAGGGTCGAATTGTCTATGACATGGCAGACGGGCCACGTCTGGTGAACAGTCAGTCTCAATCTTGAGAGAGGGGACCCTGTTAGGATAGGATAGCATGCACATTGCACGCACCGGACGTCCAGCATCGAGGCTGTAAACCCGTCTAGCCCCCAGCCCTGCTTTGATGATGGCGACCGTTTGGATGGATATCGGGTTTCCGAAGCCTTCGCCCTTGCCGTCTGCAAGCGACCGGATCAGTAAAGGATTCGTATTCCTGTTGTGCGAGAAAAGAGAGTACTCACACACTATGCAGGGCGCAAAGATGTATGTCCGGACACCCAGGGCCTCGCCTCGCTCAATGACGGCGTTATTGGCATCGATCGCCTATTGTCACCGATTAACCCCTCGTCCATAGTATGCCCTGGCTCGCAGCTTGCGACCTACCTCCTGCATCAACGGCACAGGCGGCCTCTGCGCCTTCTGGATATCATACAAGTCCTCTTCCGTGTCGTAGAGGGGCCGATCCGTCGGCGCGCCGGCATGGCTGGAGAAGATCTTGGCTCCGGTGGTCTTCAAGTTCGAGATAGTCAGATTCTGGACCAATTGATCGTCACATTAGGCTGTTCCGACGCCTTGGCCACCTACATGCAAGAAATGGACGTCAATGCCCGATGTTTCCTTCACTTCGGCGAGGGCCTTGATAAAACTGGCTTGAGGCTTCGCCGACAGCGCATCCACGAGGTAATAGACGATGGTGATCTTATTGTTGACGATGGCTTCGCGCACTGCCGCGTCGTCGTTCACCTCGAAGCGGAGAGGCTCGGCAGAGTATCGCTTGACGGCTTGGGCCTGCTCGTCGGTGCGCACGAGCGCGTACAGCCGGTCGTATGGCGGAAGGGCCACGCTGCCCCAGCGAGCCAGCAGTGAGCCTCCGAGATAGCCAGAGGCCCCGGTGATCAAGATCCGATGTGACATGGCGGGCTGAGTAGCGGGTGATGAGCAGGACCACGTTAACAGTACTGCAGTGGAGAAGATGTCGAGGCGAGGGGAGTCGGTATATCTAGATGGCCGACAACTCGGAGTTCATGTCCGATATTGACACGACGCCGTAGAACATTGACATTGATTTATAACGTGATTTATAATGATGGATTTATAATGATACCCCTGGCGTATCCTTCACAATCGGGATTCTCTCTACCCTTATCAAGTCAGCGTGCCCCAAGTCTCACCCTTGTACCGAGATGTAGGAGAAGCAGAAGCTGGGCAAGGCATTTCAACATCTCTACCAACTGATTACTAAGCCCAATAAACTGGTTTGAATCTGAATAGGGGCGATAGCCTTGACTCGGTTGTGCTGGACAGAGTATCCGTACGGAGTGCGGATCGTGGCTGGTGCTGGGTGACAGTGACGAGTTCGTCTATGACACCAACGACACTACGCAGGGTCCTGTCATAGCAGCTTAGGCTCCTAGGACCACTGGCGGAAGGCAAGAGCACATACTACAGGTAGTGTGAAACGTACAGAGGACCCCGGATCGGTCATGCGAGCAACCTTTGCTTGGGAATGGGCAGTATATGGTTCTTCAGGCGGTGATTTATCCAGGTAGAAGCTATGCCTCGACGCATTGACGCCCATGGTGTAGGCCAGTAGGTTGGGATGATTTGCTGGCCAGAATTGCTCGGTGACTCCAGAGTGGCTCCGACATTGGCAATCTAATATCTATAACTTGGCCGTCGGTGGCTGCTCCTCCAGTAGGTGCAGACCGGTAACGGCCTCCAACTCTTTGACGGCTTCGTTCGTCCTACCGAGAACGACCCTGATGGTCCTGATACCCAGACTCTTTGCGGTTTTGAGATTCTCGCCAATGTCGTCGAGGAAGACAATATCGTGCGGCGCGATGTCGTGGCCCCACCTCTCACGAATCAACTTGAGCGCAAGCTCGTAGATGTCGCGATTCGGTTTCCTCATGCCGACGTGGGCGCTGCTCACAAAGATCTCAAAGATATGCCGCACATCATCCGGCCCGACCACGTTGTACTCGTGGCCGTCGGGGAAGATGGTCGTGTTGGACAGTGCCGCCAGCTTGTACTGGCCCGAAGCTTTCAGCCGCTTCAGTGCCGGGTACATGTAGGGATCCGGCTGACGGGCGGTGCTCATCATGGTCCAGTACAGCGTCTCGGCGTCGATCGTCGGCACCGGAGGCACTCTCGACCGCTCCTTGACCCCGAGCCTCTCGCGCTGAAACTTGGCCCATATCTCCGGCCGCTCCAGGTCGGCCTTGAAGCCGCGCATGAAGTTGGCGTCGTTGGGGATCTCGCCGCGCTCTAGCTTGTGCCATGCTCCGTTGGGCGTCAGTTCGCGGATCGCGTAGTTGATGTATCCCTTGGGGATGCCGTGCTGGATTTCGTAGTCGAGAATGGCTTGGAAGGGGGAGACGACCTGGCGAAGAAGAAAGAGAGGAAGGTTAGTCCTCCGTACAACTCCGGAGCCAAAAGAATGCATGTTCTTGGTGCTGGAGACTCGAGCCATGAAATAACCCTGCGACAGCCTGAGAAGGGAGACTCACACAGACACCACCAATGTCGAACATCAGCACCTTCGGACGAGGTTGTGAAGCCATGTCAATGGAGGAAAGAGATCCGTTCCCGGAAAAGACGCCCACAAAGCCAACCCAGCTGTATCACTTCGAAATCGGAGTCGAATGAGCAAACCTGTACTATCTCTCACATGCTCCGCCCAGCTATATTGATTGTGAACATTGGCTGCTGCAAAGAACCAAAGAACCGGTCCCAGTGACAGAACATTGTTTGTTTAGCCGAGTTGACTGCGGTTCTGTGACGGTTGAGCCGAGGTGAAGAGTAGATGATCGGACGAAACAACCCCGAACGCAGATTATCTTATCTTATCTTATCATTCACCGGCAGCCGCGCAGTTCAATCAATATATTCTATGAAGCGCGTCTTGTCTGTCAGACCGCGTCGAGGGGTGCCCCCAGCCCGAGCAAGCCGGCCGTGCTTCAACAAATGAATTGCGTAGACCGACGCTGTTAACCACCCATCCACAATGGACGAACACTCACAATCCATCACCGCGGTCAAGGCGGCCTTCATCCGCGCGCAGGTCCGCCAGCTCTCTGCGCCGCTCGAAGCGTCGACAACATGGCGCGACCTAGCACCACGGGCCGAAGTCGACGGTCGGCTCAGCGACAGGGCGATCCAGGATGTCGTTGCTAAAGGTACGTCGCTACGCCAGTGCCGTGGTGGTCCCCTCTAGAACATCGGGGCAAACTCAATGCCGCCCGGTTCGGTTTCCTGGCGTTATATGAGACGAGACCAAACACTGACCATTGCGGCGTTTGCAGTCAACGACAAGATCAAGCAGCACAACCGCATGGTCTTTTCGCAGCAGTCGCAGCGGCACGTCGCAGAACAGATCGAGACGTTGTATTGGAACCGGATTTCCACAGAGTCACAGACAGACGCTGCAGATGAGCCGGGACCGGCGCTGGAGGCGGTGGCCATCAGAAAAGAGATGGAGCTGACAGACACGGGCGCCATCGGGAGTCTGCCGGAACAATACACCCATCTGCACCTTGATGCAGGTTATGAGGGCAACACAGCGGATGCAGAGGCCTACACCCGCCTGCGCGGACAACTGCTGCAGTTGAGTCGCAAGCGGGATGAGCTGAAGGAGAAAGTGGCGCGGTACCGATACCTACAAACGCTGCTGGAGCCACTCGACGATGCACAGAAGAATGTCCAGCCAAACCTGATCACTCGAGATGGCGAGCTGAGCAGAGAGCTGGATCGGATGAGGATCCTGCTTGCACGTGTCACAGGAAGAGTGGCGGAAATACAGAAATCGTCTACGATGCGGACCGAGGTCACAGACTCGTCACAGCCACAAATTGGACAGACCGACAGACAGAAACTGGAACTGTTGATGGACCTGACTTGAACCACAACCGAAATGTTTTGATTCAACGGCAATGCCGGCTTGTCGATACAGATACAGCTTTGGATATGCGTTGACCACACGATACCCTCAACGCCGAGCCATGCACATTCAAACAACTCATTCATCGTTAACTTCCTCAACTGTCGGCGCAGCATGTCGCTTGGCCGGAGTGGATTCGGATACGGGTTCGACCGACGAACTAATGGCAGAGCCATTTGTGGGAGAGGCAGTTTTTGCACTTTCAGTCGGGCCAGCAGGTGCAAGATCGGTTTTACCAGATTCCGAGGCAAGCTTCTGGGCCTTTCTGGCCTTCTTCTCCTTCTTTTTCCGCTTGACGTCGTCTTTCGTTTCGTGCCATCCCCAGAATGGACGGAAACTGTCGAAGAAACCCACATCTTCAAAGAGGTTGGGATATAGCCAGAGCCCGGGTGGAACAAGGAAGAAGGTGACGACGAAGAGGATGAGGCGGAAAATGGCCATGGCGAAAAATAGACCGATCAGTCCCATCGCACCGACCGAGAGATACCACACGCCTTGCCTGAGAATAAGTGGCCACAAAGGGAAGAGGACTGCTGCAAAGACTGCAAGGAGAACAACACCAGCCCAGATCTTGGTCTTCCATTGTGGACCTTCGTACAGCCAGACATAGTGCATCATGGGATCGAAATCCTGCTGTTGTTCAATCTTGACTTCCCACAGTCCTTTCACTCTCTTCTCCTTCTTGGGTTTGGCATGGTTGTGTCCTTCATGAGGGTCTTTCTTGGAGACTCGAAGGGCTAACATGGAGAGCGGTAGGAGCTGTAGGGCAGCGCGGGCTTCCAGGTCGTTTTCGACTTTGGGAAGGAGAGTATTCTTCTTCTGGGCTTTCTTGTAGGCATCGGAGTTGAGGGCGCGGAATGCGCGTTTGACTGGGGACGGTTAGCCGAAGTAGATTGGATTGCAACCCTGAGCCTCTTCACCTTTAAACATGTCCTTTCTCTGTCCGTTGAATATGCATGTCCGCGTCTTCAGATCTTGAGAGCGGAGAAACTTTGCGACTGCTAGAGCAGCTGGCGTAGGTTCGACATTGGCGTTGACAGGGATATGTTGGACCTGTGTGGTTCCTTGTGGTGGTTGCTTCTGAGCCTGCCCAGGTTGCCCTTGACGTTGGGGTTGGCCCTGTTGTAGCTGTTGCTGGGCTTGTTGCTGTTGCATGTACACCTGCCTGGCCTCCTCTTGCTTCATCTGAATAAATTGCTGAGGGCTCATTCCGGCTTTGGCTGCTTCGGTTTCGATATGTTGACGTTGGAAGGCCTGGAATTGAGGAATGGTCATGCCGCGTTTTTGAGCTTCCAGCGCTATCATCTGCTGGATCTGTTGCGGCGTGAAGGGTTGCGCACCCGGAGGCCCTGGAGGAGGGCCGGGAGATGCCATAGTGGTGTCTGATGCCCAGCCGCGCAGAACACCTTGAGGAAGAAGCCTGGTCTCGACGAGCGGGAAGACAGGCACACGTTGGACAAGTTTGGGAAGGATAAGAATTGTAGGTGGAAGGAAAGGGCACGATTCAGCGATCTGATCGTTCGGGGAGAAGACACGGTTTGGTTTACGGAGTACAGATTTAGTGAGGCGTCAAAAATTCGAGGTCAAGCCACGAGAGTGTGGCGGTGCAACACTGCATTTGCATTCAAGCCCATGCTCCAGTTGTTCGGTATCAACCATCACCCATCGCCCATCACCCGTCGCCCATTGAACATCCCTACAGCGAAAGACTTACTCACAATCGAACAGCCGCCTCAAGGAGAGTTGTGCTGGGTGTGTGCAATCTGCCACCGTCGTCTCGAGACTGCGCCAGGGCTCTACAAGACCACAACCTCAGGCACCACTCCCCTCCAGCCAACACTTGACCAAAGATGTTCTGAAGCATGCAATTTCCTAGCCCATGTCGCTCAACTATGATCCTGACCCAGCTGCCGTGCCAAATGGGCACTGGGGCACGGTTTTCCTGGTAGACTCCCACGAGCCCCGATGAACACTGTTGTACATCGCTGACGTCCAGCAGTCTCTCCGTGATGCAGCGGCACGAGTCCCCATCAATTTCATAACAGGCCCCGGAGCCCATCTGACAAAGGCATGCTTTTCTGATGGAGTCTACGACGACATTCCCACTCAGACGTGCATTTCCGACCTTCTAGCGAGCCAGTTCCAACATCTCATCCTCGATTTGTATTGGGACAACATCAACCGTCAATTCAATCTGTGTCCTGTCGAACTCCCACCACTGGCTGGTAATGCCACCAGTGGTTACAGTGTCGACCTGTCAGCTTTGTCTTCAATCACCGCCACCAGCGCCGCAGCCTCTACTTTTATCCCCGATGAAACCGTCCCGGCCATCAACGCGCTTGCTGATCCTCGGCTCGGGAAACGACAGACTTCGAGTAATGCTGGTTCCTCGACTCCCAGTCCGACGCCGACCGGAACCGAGACAAGTGCAGCGCCAGTTCCAACCACAACGGGTGTTGACGGCACCTCATTGCTCGAGCTGGGACCGTACAAGTGCAGCTTGGACTTGAATTTGGATGCGCTAATGTCTTTGTATGAGGACTATTTTGATCAAACCTCCGACACGATCACTGCGCGATTACACTATTTGACCATCAATCTTCACGCTGCTTCTCCCTTCACTGCCCCCTTAGATCCCGCGCGGACTCCCGCGAACGGACGACTACCCGATTCCGACGACCTGGTTGGCTCGCAGCTCAAGTCCAGATTTCCCCAAGCGCTTTTCACGCCTGACGAATTACAGAACGACCGTGATCACCTCAACCGATCCTGGTTCCATGATGACTTTGGTGCCAACACAGACACTAGTTATTTCAGTACGTCTGGGCAAGGGGATGATTCCATCACTCAGAATGGCTGGCCGGGTGGTGAATGGATTATTCTTACCGACAACAGGCGACTTCTCGTGAGTTGGGGCGACGTTGATCCACAGATGAAGGGATACGATTTTCAGGATGATTCGAATCACATCTTTGCTGCAGGGTATATACAGTCGAGGTATCCGAAGAATGGCGATGGTGACGGCAACCTGACAGACGCCTGTTTCTACAAACCAGGCGAAACGACTGTCTCCCAAGTCAATTCATCCTGGGCCACTGCGACTATCAGCGAGACAAATATGGACACCTTGTCGAGCCTCGGCCAGAATTTGACTTCATGCGGCATATCTCCGATATTGAACGTCACCCTCGGAAACTCCGCTGTGCAGCACAACTTAGACCTGTACCAGAGGTTTGCTCAATCCACTGCTTTCGGATGGGCCTCCGGAGAGCCACTCAACGTTTCTGATAATGATTATCGATGTGCTGTGATCGATACGACCAGCGGATATCTGGGACGTTGGCGGATAGATCCATGCTCGAAGAAGCACCGGGCCGCCTGCCGCATTGCCAGTCAACCATATGCCTGGCGACTGTCCACGTATACAGTGCCCTTTGACGCAGCCCCAGATGCTTGTCCCGAAAATACGATATTCGATCTACCCCGGACGGGGCTGGAGAACACATACTTGCATCGTCAAATCTTGAACGACACCAACACAGGCGGTGACGATGTCGACTCCATCCTCTCTGGAGTGTGGATCAATTTCAACTCCCTTGACCAAGTCAACTGCTGGGTGACGGGAGGGCCAAATGCGACATGTCCATACGTTGGCGAACAGGACATGGACCAGAAGCGAGAAGTCCTTATTCCGACGATTGCGGCGTTGATTGTGCTTGTCTTGACGGTGCTGACCTTGGTGGTGAAATGCAATGAACATCGAAGGAACAGCCGAAGTCGCAGACGAGGAGATGATGGGTGGGAGTACGAGGGCGTGCCGTCCTGACCAACATGACGCCTTCGAAGCAGCATACACGCCAGTGTATTACTCACACACGAAGACGCGTCCGCTTCCGATGGTATATGCCGACGTACGAGGCTCTACAGTTCGCGGCCCTGGACGTCGGTCGGCCCAATTTTGCTCCGTCTTGGCCGGTTCGGAGACTTTTCTGCTGTTAGGAAGAGAGGCAGAACGCGTATCCAACATCCCCCGCCATCTGCCGACTGGCGCCGAGACTACATCTTGACTCAGCAAGGCCAGATTGACCCTTAGGCCCCTCCCTAGGTACCGTAGCCTTGCCCAGTCACTGGCATTGTCGGCCAACAGATGCGCCCTGAGGGCCTGCCAGGGTATTTTGGATTTCAAAACGAGGGCGGAATCTATTGCGCCACACTGCACAAGGCATCTTCGGCAAATATGGGGCTTGGCTAATATTCGACAAAGATGGCGACATTACACTCAGTCCATGTTGCAATGGATCCGGATCGAGAGACCACAGGGTCCTTGTACATACTATGATCGCGACATATGAGCTCCTCCATCATGTATAAAAACCAGGGTGTCCTCCAGCCTACACTGTCACCACAGTGTCCATTCTTCACCTCCACATTACCATTCCAGTCTCTCATCAACCCCACATTGGAACCTGAACAGCAGTTGACCTCCCACCAACATCTGCTCTCGATCTATCCTCCGCAAACAGGCTCAAGCTCTTGCCCCCAATCTCATCCGTCCTCTAGAGTCGGACCTACAATATGGCCACTAAAGTAGCACTCGCAGGCGCCACTGGCAACATTGGCCTCCCTGTCCTCAACAGCCTCCTGGCTGCCGGCTTCCCAGTAACGGTGCTCACACGCAAAGGCAGCAACAGCACGTCGAGAATACCTAAGGACTCCAAAGTGACGATCCGCGAAGTGGACTATTCGGACGTCTCTTCTCTGACCGAAGCATTGAAGGGAGTTGACGTTGTCGTCTCGACCCTTGCCACCCAGGCGGCCGGCGAACAGACACCACTTATCGACGCTGCGGTGGCCGCCGGTGTCACAAGATTCATCCCATCGGAATTCGGCAGCGACACGGCCAACCCCAAGACGGCGCAGCTGCCAGTGTTCAAAGGCAAAGTCGACACGGTGGCATACTTGAAAACCAAGGTCGAAGAAACAGCAAAGGCCGGGAAACCCAGCTTCAGCTACACGCAGATCTTCAACGGACCTTTCTTCGACTGGGGCCTGCGCGTCGGCTTCATCGTCAACCCAGCCCAGCACAGCGCGGTCGTATACAACGGCGGCGACGTGCCCTTCTCCACCAGCACCCTCGACACCATCGGCCAGGCCGTCGTCGGCGTCATCCGACATCTGGGCGAAACGGCAAACCGTCCCGTCTACGTTCAGGACGCCCTGGTCACCCAGAACCAGCTGATCCAGTACGCCAAGGACAAGGACGGCATCGAGTGGTCCATCACCCACAAGGACACCGAGAAGGTCAAGGAAGAGTCTCTGGCCGAACTGGCCAAGGGCTTCAACGGGCCCGCCCTGGGCGCCTTGATTTCCACCGCCATCTACAATAAGGAGTATGGTGGCAACTACACCGGCCATCTTGACAACGACCTGTTGGGCATCAAGGGCCTCAGCGACGCCGAGGTCAGGAAGCTGGTGGAGAGTCTCTTGTGAGGAAGCAAGACATCTGGCTGGTTTGGGCCATGCCGGTACCAAGGATGACTTGGAAAGGAAGGACTGGGACTGGGCCCCCAAAGCTACAGAGCCACTTGACGTTACTGTGTTTGTGTCAGGGCATAGCATAATCAGTTCCCGTGTTTGTGTCAGGGCATGTATAGCATAATCAGTTCCTGTGTCTGTGTCAAGGCATAGCATATTCAGTTCCTTCAGTTCCTCGCCGACACTTTGGTACGATAGCACCTCAACTACTGTAACATGCGCGTGTGCTACTGCGAAGATGGGAAACGGCATGATGCCCCTGAAGCAGGAACGGCAGAATAATGAATGAGAATGAGAATGACTTTCTATAAGTTGTAATGAATGAGAATGGCTTTCTATAAGTTGTTTCCTCGGTGTAAACCTCGTGTTCTGTGCTTGTTGCTTGTTGCTTGTTGCTCAGACGCACCAAGAGCCATTGAATGCAGTTGGAATTCCTCCCCCACTTTCAGCGTACTTTCAGCGTACCATTCATTGTACATGCAGTATACAAAGGGGGAAAGTTGGACGTGGATATGGTCGCGGTGATTATGGTGCCAAAATGGCCCACTCTAGCCTTTATCTCTATCTTTATCTCTATACCTATCCTATATCCAGCTCTGCCCGTTCGCATCCAGCACCGTCACAGGGACGATGAACGGCAGCTGGGTGGCGATCGAGACGGAGAGGGAGGCCGAGAGCGCACGGGAGAGATTATTCGCATTCGCGCCACATCGAGTCTGAGTCTCGGAGGAGCCTGTCGTTGTTGTTGTTGCCGTGGCGTCCCGGTGCACCGACGCACGACTGGAGGGAGGAATATCAGGGTCGTGGTCGTGGTCGTGGTAGTGGTCAGGGTCATGGAGACGAGGATGGAGTTTGGGCCCCTCGACACCCAGGGTCCCGCGTACGCTTGGGTCGGAAGCGGCGCCAAAGCTGACACTAGGCTTCTTCTCCGCAGCGCACCGAGAGTGAGAGTGAGAGTGAGAGCGAGGCTGGGTGATAGAGTCGCCGTGCTGCGTTCGGCAGCAGCCTGGCCGGTCTCGTTCAAGTTCACCCTCACCCTCACGCCCGTGCTCATTCTTCGGCATCTGTGTGGACCCATGGTCGCCTTGTTGGAAGTACATGTCCAGGATCTCGTCGATCTCAGTCACGAGTCGCAGCTGTTGACCCGGATCCTCCCTGCCTTCCACGTCGTGTGGGACCAAGGGGCTAGAGACTCCGGGTTCGTGTCCATCTCTAACGTCCAATTCCAGTGTATGACCATCCTCCACACCATTATGCCCTGGCTCAGCCTCAGACCTTGAGAGACGTGCGGAAAAGGGTTGCACTGGTCCACGCTGATCGTATTCGACTCGCTCTCTCTCCCCAAGAGCTTTCACATTGGGACGGGAAATGGGCGCTCGCTTCGCCCTCTCGTTCTCGACCTCACTTGGACAAGAGATGGAGGACCACGAGGCCGCCTTCGAGTTCGGCAATTGCTCCCAGACCAGCTTGGTCCAGCTATCGTGTCGAACCGGAGGTAACTCAGATGGGCTGCGCCTGTTCCCACATGCTGTCGAAACAGATTGATCCTCGGTTCCAGACCCTGACTGAATTGAATGATTCGGACATGCCGCTTTCACTCTTCCTGTGACCGGGCCCACGGAGTCCTCTGTCTCGAGCCGGCGCCTGGTTCTCAGCGGCAGCGGTATCAGTGGGGATCGATTATGGTGGAGCCAAGAGTCCCGTCTACTGTGCTCTTCAACTTTTCCCTGATGTTCTTCGCCATCATTGGCCATGGCCGACTCTAGAGCCGACTCCAGAGCGGACTCCATAGACTGCGGCGAGTGATAGAGCCAACGGTCTCTGTGAATATTCTGGCCCTGTTCAGGTCCTTGATCGGAGGTCATAAGTTCGTCGAATGTATATCCAGGTATTCGTCGGTCTTGTCGCTGATGTGGATTCTGGATCAGGCTCACACCTGACCATGCTCCATGCTCTGTGAGAACGTCTCGAAGAGCTGTTCTGGACTGCTCAAAGCATCGGAGTCTCTGGGCCTCTCTTTTGTCGCTGTACGCGGCCGGAGGAGTACATGGAAGGGCTTGTGGAGCAGAGGACTTGTCTGTGGGTGTGATCGGAGGTGTTCCAGTTGCAGGATCTGTTCTCGCTGAAACTCCTTGGTCACCTTTGTAGCCATGCTCAAGTGCATCGGTTCTTTCATGCTTGTTCGGTACGCGGTGTACGACAACTCCGTTTGTCGGATTTCCTGATTGCTGATGCGTCTTCCTTCGACGGCCGAAGTCACGAGCATTTCCCTTGCGCCTCCTCTCCTCCTCCTCTCCGTTGTCCTGACTATACAGGCTTCTGGTTTCCTCCGTGTCCTTACTATCATTCTCGCTAAATTCTTCTTCAACCCATTGCCTAGGCAGGATTTTGCACCAACCGTCAGGATGTATTCGCTCAAATGCCTCTCCCCTCTTGTCCGGGTCCAGATCTGCCAGCCATGTTCCGTGTCTCCATTCAGGACATGGTGGCTCGGGGGGAGTGGTGTACACCTTAGAAGGAATCTTTCTTCTCAATCTCACTCCCTGTGCAGATTGCACCGAAGGCTTCGAAACGAGCAATCTCCTTTGGAATAGCTGTTCCTCCGGCCTTACTGGAATGGGAGGACCGATCCTCAGTCTTGCCTTCTCCGAGGAGTCAGTGCCGGATCGGTTCAGTAACTTCCAATGACTCTTTATGCGCGCCTTTTTTCTCTTGGTACTGACTATGTCCACGCTGGTCAAGGAGCTCTGACAGTCCAAGACCTTGGCTTTCCGCAACGGCCACGGCAACTTTGAGCTGGCTCGTCTCAAATTGGAGGCTGATGTAACGGCAGAGCCGAAACTTCTCTTCACAGGTGACAAGCTCTCCACTGATGTGGTGCGGCCTGGTGAACTATGTCCAGGGCAAGGCGTGCTTTCTGGACCACTTGGAAAATTCGACAAGGATCTCCATGATGAGGGTACCTGGGACGTTTCTGGAGATGTCCAACTAAATTGACTTTGATCTTGTGGAACGGAAAAAAGAGTCATCGAGATTCTCGTGCCCCAGGTCGACGGAGGGTTTGAGATAGAAATTAGTTTCCAACATAGGAAACCCCAGGGTGCTGTCGAACCGGAGTGAGTAGAGAAGTTGACATCGGTTTAAGGTGCTCGGTTGCCATAGTTTCAACCTCTCTTCCAGAAGATCTAGAAGACGCTGTGCCATGACGGCCTTTGACAGTGACAGATCAATGTCACAGGGGGGTCACTGGCCGTTTGAAACCATCGGATTCATGCATAGCAAGATTTTCTTGATCAAGTCGAATTGGACAATGGACATCGTGCGTGACCCAGAACGAGGTGAAGACAGATCGAAAAAGCTGTCATCAGGACCCGCTACGACCACGAGACCACGAGACCACGAGACCACGAGACCACGAGACCCCGGGATGAGTCTCATCATAACGGCTACACAGTCAGATTCTCTGCTCCTAGTGACACCGAAGCTTACCTCTGGCAGACCGACCGATAGAAGTCAAGCAAGCGCGAACGTTGGCAACAAACATTGAAAAATGGGGAATTTGCACAGTAAATTCAATTGAGTAAACGTGACCCAGGAACGTGTGAAAAACATCACAGCTTTGCTTTCAACCATGACCTGATCGCTTTTCCTGTTTCAATCTCCGTGGTATTGCCAAACTTTAAGTTCATGATCGCGGCGATATGTGCTTCGTGTGAGCCTACCACATACGTAGTGGTGTCCGGGTTGACAGACTAAATCGACCATACATGTGAGTTGCTTTTCCACACGAACTACCCGGGGCAGGCCATCTCAAGAAATGGAGAGCATACCTTGTACTTGTCCACCCATGCATTGATGGAATCAATCAATGTCTCATCCGTTCCTGCAACGGCAAGCAATTGTTCAGCTTTGGAGTTCTTCCACCAATCCGCTGGTGCAAGCAAGGCCTCAGCGTATGGGCTCGTTTCTTTCCCGGCAAGATAGCTGTGTGACCACTTGTGTCCGGCATATTCAGTAACAATGTCTTTGTTGGCATTGCGTTTGACACTAGGCCAATCCATCCGGAAAGATATCCACGGAGCAACGAGAACAAGAGCCTTGAATTTTTCGTCATGGGCCAGCTTAAGCTCCGGGAGCTCAGAAGAAGGATGCATGACTTGTGATAAAACCGCAAGGCACAAGTTGCCGCCGGCAGAATCGCCAGCAAGGATAATATCAGACGCTGGTCGTTTGAGCTCGGTCACGACATAATCTACCGCCTCGATGGCTTCAATAACCTGGGTCGGATAGGTCGCGTGAGGTACAAGAGTGTACTCAAGGAAGAAGAAGGCGACGGGAATGTTGTTGGCTTTCAGCTCCGTCTGGACAGAGTGCCAAAATTTGAGATGACTATCGTCGCCGTCGAGGGAGAATCCGCCGCCTGAGTCAAAATGAGTTCAAGACAACAGGGAGAGCTTCGAGTGGAAATCTACCATGGTAATACACTGCAATGTATTTGGCAGTTTTGTAGTCGCCTACCCAGAATGCTTTACATCCTGACTTCAGCGTAACAACTTCGGGGTTGCCACCGTTGCCTGGATACCATTGTTCGTAGACCTTTGAGAATGGCCCACTAACGTACCTTGGGCTATCAGTTGTTTGTCTTCGGAATGGTATACGGGCGAACGCACTGAATTTGGAGCGTGCTCAATCTCTTCACCATCTTCGCTCATCAATCAGTACGCTGGGAAGTTATTCAAAGAGATTGACGCACTTTCCGGATAGCGGCGTGACTGACATGCTGCCCCAAGGTATATGCTCCCGCATCACCTCGGAAAGGAGCCGTGACTGCGGCGTAGATGGCAGTGCCGACTAGCTACTTGTCAGTTGAGGCCATGTTGAGCTTTGCCTGCACCGTAGGGTAGGGATACCGATCGAAAGGAGGCCTGGAACAAGGTCCAACTTCTCCAGCAGCGAAACTTGCTGGATGCTGGTTGACGCCACCTGGCTGGCACTTGGAGGAGCCGTCATGTTTATAACTTGAAACGTGACAGAGTGATCGATTCAGAAAATCAAGTTAGATATACTCGGTCCGGATACTTCTGGCATTTAACAAGAGAAGAAGCGCGAGAGGTTTAGGGGCCTGGCTAGCTTATCGACTGATACGAGCTCAGCCGAAGTGAGCCGTTAGCCAAGATGGGTCCTTCCGTTGGCGGCTGTTGGCGGCAGCGTTGTGATGTGAGAATAGTCGACAACGGTTGACTTGATGGCGGAGGTTGTCCAGGTTGGCATGTTCGGAGTACATACTCTGTCTGGCATGATGAGACCATGGCCATGGACCGAGGCCAGAGTGGTCCTTAGGATCCTAAGGGTGTCTCTCTGCAGAGCCTGGAGTCAGATAGATGCCGAGGCCGAGGCGCTGATCCAACCCGTTAGAGTGTGCATGTTTCCTCGCTCCATCCTGCTATCCCGTCATCTTCTCGTATTTCTGTTAGACAGCAGAGCGGAACGAATATCGCTGCGAATGGGACAGCATGGCAGCTGTTGTTGCCCAGGCAAAGGGCAAGTCGCTGGGTGGAACACGGAGAAATGTGGCCATCCTTTGTGCTCTGTAAACAAATGTCACATTTGCTACGAGTCTTCCTGCAGAAGGTACAGGAAACGCTCGATTGAAATGTAGACTCGAGGTAAGATAGTTTCTTTTTGTGGTGTTCTTGCTGCCGAGATCTTACGAGCGTGACGAGGGAGGCCACGCCAATGAGAGAAGAGAGAACGGAGGGCCGAGAAGGTAAGACTCTGATAACAGTGCCATGCATGGTAGGTCCTTTCGCAACCTAGAATCAGTTTGGAGCTTGGTGCATTATACTCACCGGTTTGGTCTCGCCCATCCTGAGGTAGGGCAACAGGTCTGCTCTGGTGGGCGGCATGGCATACGCAGAGATTGCTGTGGGTGTCGCACCCTCATCGGACCCGTCTGGAGAGCGTGCAGATTTCTTGCAACATAGTGAATGCTAAATGCGTTAGGGCGCAGTCAGGACAATAGACAGCACAATGAGATGAAATCTAGGGAATGTTGTTGTTCTTGGTGCCTGCTCGTCGCGCAACCTGACTACCAACAACTTTCACCAACATCCACCACATGTCAACTACCAGCATGGCGCAGGTCTGCGCATATTGTCTTCACACGAATTCACCTGGCTGCTGGCTACTTGCTGCCTTCTCCATGATCAATGGCTTCCTTTCCCACGTCTCGGCGTCGCCGAGCATGCACCCACGCACGCTCTTCAAAGTCGGTCTGTCCTGACCCTCCCACCAGAGGAAGATTTCCACCAAACAACCCTCTTGAATCCATCAACAGAAGCAAGCGTACGTCTTCTCTCCCAGGAACATAAACCGATTCCATCACATCGAGCCCCTGAATCAACATTCAAAGAAGGTTGCGGTGTCAAGTTCATTGCTTGAATCGTGAATCACACCCCGAAAGCATGTCTCCCCCCATCCTGAAGCCCGCCGATGTGGAAGGCCAGACCAAAGAACCCGCATCTCCGGACAAGGAGCGCAACGAGATCGATATCCCTGCTAATCCCGGCACTGAACTCCCCACCAAGAAAATCCACGCCCTACCTACCACTCCGAGCGGGCCATCCGGGTCCATCACGGCTTGGGGAAGCACCACTGGCAAACTGTACCTGTCAGACCCTCGACTCAACGATCCACAATCGCGGTCGGTCATCACAAGATTTTTCTGGAAAACTGAGGCCGAACATGCCGAGAAAGACGGGAAAGGAGAGGAGAAACAGGGAGGGGAAGCAAGCGAGGCTGGGAAGAGTACGGAGTAGTGGAGCCGGTTGAAAGGGCTCTCGATGCGACAAGACAATTGGGCAGGAATTCGCTAGAACTGGCTGTAGCAGACGTGACATGGTGCGCTTCCAAATGGTACACTGCGTGCTGCTATGGCTATCGATGACTTTCGAGTTGGAAGCAGGCTGAACAAGAAAGGTGGTGCGTGAAGCAATGATCCTATCATTGAGACCACAGCAGGGGAGCTTGTACAAAGAAACCAGAAAATCCACATCACTACGCTGAGACAGATAAGGAGAGAAGGACAAAGCTACTCTACAGCATCACGCTTTCTTCAGTCCGTGTTAGGTCCACCTAGCAAGACCGATTGTCATCATAAAGTCTATCTACCGCAGGTGCTCTCTCCAATCCAGACGGTTCATTTTTGACGAAGCAGAAGGAGTAGCTGGATCCTAGGGGGTCGGGCAGTTGAGCCCGAGCATCGGAATAGCCCATATAGGACAGTTTGCCTTTCGATTTGTCGCAGCCGATCCGCCCCCCATCCGAGCAAGTCGCCGCGAGGAGGCTGCGTAGTTCGCTGTCCGAACCATAGCTCCAAATGTACCCATCCGCTGCTAACATAACAGATAGCAATCATTGCTGTCCCGCCGTGCGTCAAATCATAAGGGTTGCACTGATTTGCGGTGCTCAGTAGCCAAAACTCGCCAACTCCGATGCCTGGTAAGGTCTCTCCCCATGGTTGATCTGCAGTGTTTCCCAGACATTCCATCGGTCCAGAAACCTGACCATAATCTTACATGGGAGTGCCCATCGACACCAAGTCTGACACAGACCCATGTTCCTCAACCATTCACGCCAATGGTGGTCCATGAGAATCCAGGAAAGGCCCGGCAAACTAATTGACGGCCATTCACTCCGAAACGATTGGTGTCGGGTTCTGCATTAGGGAGGCTATTGGACTGCTTGTCCATTGATAGCTTGAGCTTCCTCGACCGACAGCGCTTTACTTGCTATGTCGTTTTCCTGATTGTCAATATTGTGGTAATCGAGAATCTCGGAATACATCATGATCTTCCAGGTATCGACCGGCAAATCGGCATCGTTGAATGACCAATCGAACTTTTCTTCTGCTACCGGTTCGTCGGTGGGATCGTGATATGGTGCGAGATATTCGTGCTCCAAGGCCTGGGCAGCAGAAACTCGTTTCCGTGGGTCGAAGACCAGCATTTTTTCCAGCAAGTCAATGGCGGCAGGATCGGCATTCTTGAATTTGGAACTCAAAGGTTGCCGCTCTCTCTTGGGAAGTGACTGAACAAACCTCAGGGTGTTTTCGCTGCAGATGGTCTCGATGACATCCTGAGGAGGTGTGCCGAGCAGTTCGGTGATGATAGAGAATTGGTTGACGTGGTCCTTGCCTGGGAAGAGTGGCTTCCCTTCCAGCATCTCGGCAAAGATGCAGCCGGCACTCCAGATATCCACCTCCACATCATACTTCTGCCAGGTAAGCATGATTTCTGGGGCTCGATAATACCGGGTTGATACGTAACCCGTCATCTGAGGGTCCTGAATCCGGGCTAAGCCGAAATCACAAATCTTCAGGTCGCAATTCTCATTGACAAGGATGTTGCTAGGTTTCAGATCTCGATGGACTACGCCAGCCGAATGGACGTACTTCAACCCCCTCTGCTCGCGACAAATTAGAGCTGAATGGAGCAGTAGGGGGGTATTCGGGGGATATGCAACGGACCAGGATCTGATAGAGGAAGTACTGGATGAATTGCTTCTCCAGCGGTCTGGAGGTCAGCAGGCGATGAAGATCAGTTCCCAACAACTCAGTTACAAAGTATCTAGCTCAAAATCAGCATGGAGGATCGCAGCTGTGACGCGGAGAATATGCGCACATGTCCTCCAGCGGGGAGATGAAGATGTCGCTGAGCGAGATCACCTAATCCCATCAGTATGTCCGTTGTACACGTCTCTTTCAGATCTCACATTTTCGTGTCGTAGATGCTTCAGAAGCTTGAGTTCTCGGTAGGTGCGCTTTGCGAGAACGGGCGTGGAGAATGGCTTCATGATCTTCTTGACGGCAACCGACTGAGCGGTCAATTGATCTTTTGCAGAGCTATGAGAAAGCGTTAGCGGAAGGGTTTCGCTCCATCTGCGATTGTCCTCACCAGACGAGTCCAAAGGCCCCCATGCCTACAGGCTGCAAGTCGGTGTACCTGCATCACAGTCAGCCTCGTCTTTTGTGGTCGGAGCGAGATTTTATCCATATACCTGCTGGTAATCTCGAAGGTGGTCCCAAAGATTTGGGCTCGTACGAATTCCGCCATGTCGGTCAGAGGATAGATGTTTCGTGGCAAGCCGGGTTTCGCGACAAGTTAATCAATGGGAAGAGGTAATCCGGCGGTGGCTGAAAATCGCCAGGGGAGAATCGGTGGGAGGAAGATTTGGCACTTGATGGATGAAGCCGCGGTGGATGAAAGGCGAGGAGATGTGTCTGAAAGAGGCGATGAGGGCAAACTTGGTCGTGCAGAGGCGGTTTCAGGTGTCTTGGGTCGTGGTAAGTCGGAGAGGTGACAGGCGATGTGACAGGTTTTTCGGTCGCAGGGGCACGAGTAGGAGGAGCAGGAGTCGGATGTGGCTGACTGGGGGTGATAGATGACGGAAAGTTGGTAGATTGGGTGTGTTTTGCTGAATTGCGGGCGTGGGGCAGCAAGCCGCGCACCAGGCCTGTCCTTTGGTTAGTAAGATGAGATTGTGGCCCAAGTCGACTTTCCCAGAATGGCGATCCAGGTGCTTTTCACGATGGAGCACGGGGGTATAGGGGGGACTGCTCTGGCTGTGAGATTCAGGAGCATTTGCTCTTCTACGAGTACGGTTCTAGAGTACCGAAGCTGGTTGCAAGCAAGCCGCGCCGTAAGCCTGGTGAAGCCACTTCAAGTTTGCCATTCTTCTTCTAGGGCTTTAGCCACAAAGTCGCACCTGCGACACTGGACGGAGATGCCTTCCGCCCTCCTGGCCACCTCAGAATCGGCCCCAATAATTGTGGCGGGCGTCAAGGACCTTGCGGCCATCAGCTTATCAAGGAGCCTCCTGCGTGCCTCGCCTCCTATCTTCTTCCGTTCTGTGTCTTCCATATGCTCTCAGACGCTTGCTTGCTTGCTTTTTACTTTCATTTCGTGCTTGCGGCGGATCTGGAAGTGCAGTGGTTTATGCAATGCCAATGCAATACCTACACCCGGTCCACTCACCAATCGATGGCCCCGCCTACACCATGACCTCACCAGACAAGCTTGACCCTTCTAGTCGAAGCGTCGACTCAAGACCATCTGTGGTGGCTTTGCACTTCTGTCAATAATAACTGAGCTGCCTGACTTAGAAGCTCGCCATCTGCACATAATATTAATGGCCCCTGCGGCCAGCACGAGCTATCGATCACAAAGCTTCAAAGCAGCTTCTCATATCCTCTCTCATAACAGATCTGGAACAATTGATGGAGCCAGAAGTACCACAACCAGATGCATACAGTCAACCAGAAGGCACCCAGCAAGTCGACTGGGCCAAGGTAGTCATAATGGCAGCATAGGGACGAGTTTGTCAGCAAGGTGGGAGTGAACGACAATTCTAATATGCCATTCACTACATTCGACCTCGCGACGCCTTCTCAAACGTGGCGACAGCCTCCGCTATCACCATGTTTACGATTGGTGATATAGTATCTTTTATGACTACCTGAACCCTCTCAATTTCTAGGTGACCCCGTGATACCACAGTGTGCTGCGAGCAACAGATTTGAACTTCTCTTCAGATTTTGCAGGCTAAGCTATCTAGTCCAACGGTTCCGGGACCAAGTGCCAGCATCGGACCTTTCCCATTAGCCGGCACCACTCTATACCAATCTGACGCACAACAGCACTTTAGGTAGTGTATCTCCCATCCACAGTGCACCCATGTTTCGGCAACAGGCCTGTTCTGTTGTATGAACAGGCCCCATTACCCCGACGATGTTAATGCCGCGTCGAGCGAGCATTGAGCATACTCACCAAGGGAAGTGCGTTGATTGGTGCTCCACTACCGTTTGGTCAAATTCGAAAGCTGTCTTGTGTGGTTGGTAGAGTTGCGTCCGTATCTGCTACAGTTCCTCCCTTTCCTAGTACCATGTGGTGCTTTCCAGCTGGCCATGGATGTGCAATTCTGGTTGGAGACCCATGAAAATTTTGAGAGACCATCAATTGAACTTGAGCAAGTGAAATCGATCCTACAGCAAAAGACAGGTGTCATTCAGAGGACTCTTCATCGAGAAGGGTGGTTGCGAGAAGAATCAATGATCAATCAGGAACAAGCCTGCTCGCCAAGGGGATCTTGCTGACCTGACAAATCTAACACTACGATGGGTGATGGCTGCGTTGTCGAGCGATGAGGCTGTGTTGGATGCTTGACTGATTCAGGATTCCCAGTTTAGCGACCGAGACCTGTGTGACCGGGTGTAGGCATCGGCGAATCTCCAGGCCGTGGGACGTGACGGTGTAGAGAAGTACCTGAGGCAGGCTGTCCTCGGTACTAGGTTGTAATGGCACTGAACCGGCGGCCCCTTGTCGCTGGAATGGCGGGGTATGCTCGCCCTGACACTGTACATACACTTTTGTTATTTCATTATAGTATGTATCTACTAGGTTAGGTGCCTATCAGGTAGACATATAGGTACGAGAGCAGCCCACTACGACGTACTAGGATGCTGGGCCACGCTTCTCGGCTACTCCACTCCACTCGCTCACTACGACTGGCACTCCACGATCGTCTCGAAGTCAGCTATCGACCAACTACTAGTACTGTAACTTCCTTTGCAACGCCTTGACTCGACTCGTCTTGCCTGCTTGACTTTGTTCGTCCACAACTTGCTACGCGCCGATGACATAGCATCAACTCTGCACATTCCTGTCTTTAAACTCGCCGTCGGTTCACCAGCTCGTAGCGGCGCTCGACCCTCTAAGCCCGAGCTCCACTGCATCCTGGCGTTCGGCCGTTGACCTAGGTGTAATCGAAGGTCTCAAGCCACCATCATCCACGAGGAGACCTCAACCACCACCGATCTCCCACAGGAGACTGCGCTCTGCTGGCCACCGTTGCTTACGCCAGCCATCGTATCGTTAGTTCCCGAAACGGCGGGCTGCAGACAAAAGAGGTCACCTGCGCAGCTTCCTTTGCAGCTGCAGCCGCAACTTGCGCTGCATCTGCAGCGCTGTCGCTGCCTTACGACTAGCATCCGTCCTCCGACATGGGTGCTTGTGGAAGTAAAGAGGCGTCCGCTGAGGATACCGAACAGAAAAAGAGGAGCCAGGCCATAGACAAGAAACTCGAGGAAGACTCGCGGAGATTACGGCGAGAATGCAAAATCTTGCTGCTTGGTAGGTGTAACATTGACATGCCTCCGGCAGATCACTGATCCACGCTGTAGGGTCCGGCGAAAGTGGGAAGTCGACGATTGTGAAGCAGATGAAGATCATCCATCAGAATGGCTATACACAGGAAGAGCGGGCGCTTTACCGGCTTACAATCTACAAGAATCTGATCGACTGCATGAAAGCGCTGATCAGCGCCATGCAGCAATTTGAAATTGAACCAGAGACCCAAACAGTCAGGGACCACATCGACTTCCTCATGGAATATAATGTGGACCCGGATCCCGACAAGTCTTTGGAACCTAAGGTAGCCGAAGCAGTCGAAGCCATCTGGAAGGATGAAGCCGCATCGAAAACGATGGAACGCCAGAGTGAATTCTACCTGATGGACTCGGCACCCTAGTATGTTGTACATGTTATTTGTGCCACACCCGCTAACGCATGTTAGCTTTTTTGAAGAAGTCGGGCGGATCGCAGCTTCTGATTACATACCGAATGAAGCCGACGTCCTGCGAGCACGGACAAAGACAACTGGCATTTACGAGACTAGGTTCACAATGGGTCAATTAAGCATACAGTCAGTTAAGCCGAGTTTTACCATAGTGGGACAGGTCGCTAACAGCAGGCAAGTATGTTCGACGTGGGCGGTCAACGAAGCGAACGCAAGAAATGGATTCATTGTTTCGAGAACGTCACATCGATCATTTTCTGCGTGGCTCTGAGTGAATATGACCAAGTTCTGCTAGAAGAATCAAACCAGGTACGAGGACAGTCCTTCACTGCCGTGAGGCCCTGTACTGATGGGCCTGTAGAACCGGATGATGGAAAGCTTGGTGCTCTTCGATTCGGTTGTCAACTCCAGGTGGTTTATGAGGACCAGTATCATCCTCTTTCTCAACAAGGTCGACTTGTTCAAAGAAAAGCTCGGACGGTCGCCGTTGGGGAATTACTTCCCTGATTACTCTGGTGGCAACGATGTCAACAGGGCAGCCAAATATCTGCTTTGGCGGTTTAACCAAGTCAACCGCGCCCAACTCAATCTCTACCCTCAGTACGTACCTTTTCAGTTAACGTCCACGTGCCGGGATATTTTGCTAACACATTGCAGTCTTACGCAAGCCACCGACACGACGAATATTCGGCTTGTCTTTGCTGCCGTCAAGGAGACCATTCTGCAGAATGCCCTGAAAGACTCGGGGATATTATGAGCGCCACGAAAACCGATTTCGTTTCTCTTGTGGTTTTGCATAGTCTGGCGTCCAGCGTGGCATTCGGTAAATGGGATTTATGACGGGTTTGGAGGGAACCCTCATCTGGGCAGGTTGAGTTTCCACACGGCTTTGCTTTCGACAGCGGTATACGCCACATGGTTTCCTCCGGTGGACTTTGAGGGTTTGTTTTGCTGCAAAAGTTTCCCCTTATGGATCACTTGTTCTGTTGTTGGGTCAAGAGCTGGGGCCACATCACGAAGGCTGTCGTATTCTTTTGGGACTGTTTCGTTTGGCAGGCTGGTTGGGTAAGGGAGTTTCAGCAACGACTGCCGGAGGCCTGTTCCTTGGTGGACGATGTCTTGACGACGACCCTTTTTGAATTGTCCCCCTTTGCAATATGCCGAAGCATCCGAGCGACTGCGCTGGGGGATGCAGGATAAGGAGGGAAGATTGGGAAAACAAAGACACGACAATCTATGCGAGCAGAGCATCGCCGTGTTTCTCATAATAGCAAACTACTTTGAATATGGACGTTTTGCCCAAAACCCGCACTCTTGCTTGCCGTTTGGCCTGGGTCTCGAAATTAGGCTGGACTACCAAATGGGGAACAACTCATTCTGGCGAAGTAGTGGTTGGGAGATAGTGACGAGAGGATCATCGCCAGGTATATTTAGTGGAATGTGGATTCGGTGTGGTGTGATTCGTACTGTACGACGATACTGATCTAGACTAGGTCCTCGACACCATGGTAGTTGTAGATCGAAGATGGTGGGATTGGAAGACGACAGAATGGCAAGTCGCAGGCCCAGCGACGAGGTCTTGAAACTGGCAAGAAGAGGGCTCTGTGAGTCTTCCAATAATGCTCGCTTCCATGTGCTTTCTGACAGCCAGCATATCGCAAAATGAAGCAAAACGAGGTACCTAGGTACCGGCATATTTGTAGAGCGCTTGTACTGTCGGTACCCGTCCCGGTGGAGGCGGGCGGCTGTAGGGGGGTCAGAGTATGGAGTGGGTGGCACCTAGGTGGAATCTGGATGGGTGGGAATGGCGCCTACGCACGACGGGATCCGCCTATAGCAGATGGATATCTACACTGCTAATCCTGCATCTCGGGGTTTACAGTAGGAGGCTTGCGGCTCGCCTACTGATGCCCAAGCCACAATGAGTATCCGTCCACTGTCCAGGTCTGATATGCCTTTGCTTACCCCTCCATCATCCCCCTGCCGCCTTGTTGATGGACTTGCCAGGGCCAACTCTACCCCGCCCCTCTATCAGTTACCGTTGCTGCCCACCATCGTCTATCGTCTCTCCGTGTCTTGCGGCGGCATGTGCTCCTCGCTTCCAACCGTGAGTCTTGATCGCTCGTCAAGACAACCACCGTGCTGTCGTTGTTCCTGCATCCGCTACTCCCGTATCAAATTCAATCTGAGCGCCGTCGCGGGGTCCGCGGAACCAGTCTGACAGAGGCGGGGCATTGTTAGACATGGCCGGAGGAGCAGGAAGCAGGGCCTAGGGTCTGGATCTGCAGCAACGGGCCCGGTCATTGTGACCAAAGCCTCGTAGTCAACTGCTCTCTGGGGGGTGATGTTCACCTACATATGTAGGGAAAGAAGGAAGACGCGGCAAGGACAAGATCAATGTTGACACAGTGATGGGATCTCTCTACCATGGTCACAGCATAACAAGCTACCACTGCTATGCGAAACAGGCCTTAGGGCCCCCTGGCCTTATGCATGTTTGATAGCGTGTGCTCCGTACATAAATGCTGAATCATGAAAACAGGATCAAGATAATTAGCAAGAGAGTGGGTTACACTGGCTAATAATCAGTGACGGGCGCCGGGCTGCCCGGGGCAGGGACACATGTCATGCCATGCAATTCCGAAGCTCCAAGCTCCAAGCTCGATACGTACTATATACCCTGCTTTCGAGGTTTCCTGACCGCTTGCTCTTCCACCACGTTTCCCCCTCGCAGTCCTCCTCCTTGCCCTGCTCAGTCTTTCCCTTTATTCTCAGGACCTCTATCTATTTGCCATTTGTCTAGTGGTGTCATACCCACAATGGCTGCCGCAGTCTCGTCCTCCCCCAGAGAGCGCAGGCCTTCTGTTGGGGTACCCATCTCGACTCTGCAAGGCCCTGTTGGTCCTGGCTTCTCCCGACCAAAGCACAAGCGCACAGCCACCGGTTTTGCGGCCGGAGACATCAAGGCTGTGGAGTCCAGCATTCCCGAGCATATGCGAGAGGCGTAAGTTGCTGCCCTCACCATTGCAGACGATCTATACAAGCACAAACTGACGTTACGAACCAGATGGAGGAAATTCGTACGGTATCCCACACCCTTGCCCGCTCAGCATCACTAAGACGGTATCATAGTCACCTAGCGGCTTTAAGACAAAGGATGAGTTTGAGGCATGTATCACCGACGTTGGGAATTCGGGACTGCGGGCTGAAGATTTGATCACAGGCAGAATGCGTCCGGCATGTCGAGACCACATTGGCAAGATCCCTATACAACTGTGACGAGCTGTAGGTTGCCCCAGTGCCTTCAAGGGCCCATCTGATCAGTGCGAAATAGTGCCGCATATTCCGGAACAGCGTTGGCGTTCCGAGATCGTCTCATTATCGACTGGAACAAGACTCAACAAAGGCAAACATTCGATGACCAAAAGAGAATCTACTGTATGTGGGAGGGGAGCCAGAAGGCCTGTATGGCTGCTGACAACATGTGCAGACTTGTCACTCGAGTTCTTGATGGGTCGAACCTTGGACAATGCAATGCTCAACGTCGGTCTCAAGAAGGTCGCCAAAGGTTTGTCCAAGGCCTTGATGCAACGGTTCACCCGCTAACAGTGGAAACAGAGGGCCTCGACGATCTAGGTTTCCGCATCGAAGATGTCATAAACCAAGAACACGATGCGGCTTTAGGAAACGGTGGTCTTGGTCGATTGGCAGCTTGCTTCCTCGACAGTCTCGCTTCATTGAACTACCCCGCATGGGGCTACGGCCTTCGATACAGATACGGTATTTTTAAGCAAGATATCGAGAACGGATATCAGGTCGAGATTCCAGATTACTGGCTGGACTTCAACCCGTGGGAATTTGCCCGACACGATGTGACAGTAGACGTGCAGTTCTATGGCTGGGTCAACAAACACACCGATGACGACGGTAAACAGGTGGTGTCCTGGCAAGACGGCGAACTTGTCACTGCGGTGGCTTATGATGTTCCTATTCCAGGGTATGGAACTTCGACCGTGAACAACCTGCGTCTCTGGTCCAGCAAGGCCTCGAGTGGCGAGTTTGACTTCTCCAAGTTCAACTCGGGTGACTACGAAAGCGCGGTGGCCGACCAGCAACGTGCCGAAACCATCTCAGCGGTGTTGTACCCAAATGACAACCTCGAGAGGGGAAAAGAATTGCGTCTGAAGCAGCAATATTTCTGGTGCGCCGCATCTCTCCATGATATCGTGCGCCGATTCAAGAAGACTCAGCGGAAATGGTCCGAGTTTCCCGACCAAGTTGCAATCCAACTGAATGACACTCACCCAACCCTTGCGATCGTGGAGCTGCAACGCATCTTGATTGACAAGGAGGGACTGGAATGGGATGTGGCCTGGGGTATTGTCACCAAGACCTTTGGGTACACTAACCACACGGTTTTGCCTGAAGCATTAGAAAAGTGGTCGGTCCCATTGTTCCAAAACCTTCTCCCTCGTCACTTGCAAGTAAGTACTATTTTCCCATATCTGTATCTGTTCCAGATGTTTCGGCCTCCTCTCGGAATCGCGGCGACCCTTTCCCCGTTCATCCTCACTGGGTCGAGCCCGCCGGCACCTGGATAGGATGGGTCTTCTACTTCGACTTGCTGGACCTGTGGTCTCAGACACTGTCGTGATCTTCAGGACTCGTCGGATGAAACACTGGATATCCCTCATTGTTGCCGTTGACTATGCTAAAGGACATGACTAATATACGGAATGTTTTGAACAGATCATATACGACATCAATTTGTTCTTCCTGCAAGGAGTTGAGCGTCGCTTCCCCAAGGATCGCGAGATGTTGGGCAGAGTTTCAATCATCGAGGAGTCGCAGCCCAAGATGGTTCGCATGGCATATCTCGCGATCGTCGGGTCTCACAAGGTCAATGGTGTCGCCGAATTGCATTCGGATCTGATCAAGACTACCATCTTCAAGGACTTTGTCAAAATCTATGGCCCGGACAAATTTACCAATGTAACCAACGGTATCACGCCTCGGAGATGGCTGCACCAGGCCAATCCCCGCCTCTCTGAGTTGATTGCCTCGAAACTGGGAGGCTATGATTTCTTGAAGGACCTGACCCTCCTGAACAAGCTTGAGCCCTTCGTTGACGACAAGGACTTCAAGAAGGAATGGGCAGAGATCAAGTATGCCAACAAGGTCCGACTTGCACAACACATTCTCAAGACCACCGGGGTCAGCGTTAACCCCAAGGCTCTCTTCGACGTCCAGGTGAAGCGGATTCACGAATACAAGCGACAGCAGCTCAACATATTTGGGGTGATCCGCCGCTATCTCACCATCAAGGCCCTGAAACCAGAAGAGCGCAAGAAAGTCTTGCCTCGGGTGTCCATCTTCGGTGGCAAGGCTGCTCCCGGATACTGGATGGCCAAGACCATCATCCATCTCATCAACAAAGTTGGAGAGGTTGTCAACAATGATCCCGACGTTGGAGACCTGCTCAAGGTCATTTTCATTGAAGACTACAATGTCAGCAAGGCCGAGATCATTACGCCAGCCTCGGACATCAGCGAGCATATCTCCACTGCAGGCACCGAAGCCTCAGGAACGAGCAACATGAAGTTTGTACTGAATGGAGGCCTGATCATCGGCACACTGGATGGAGCAAACGTGAGTGGAGATGTTGGACTTGAATCCACCAACGCGGCTAACGGTTCTAGATTGAAATCACTCGGGAGATTGGAGAGCAGAACGTCTTCTTGTTCGGCAATCTTTCAGAGGATGTTGAGGATCTCAGACATAATCACGTGGGTTTCGGGATCATGGCCCTTCAGTTCAATCGTACTGACCTGGTGCCAGTTTTATGGTGAATCTCATGTCGACCCTGAACTCGCCAAGGTGTTTGATACCATCAAAGCTGGGACCTTTGGCGATGAAGGTGCTTTCAGCGCCCTCATCGCCGCCATTGCGGAACACGGCGACTATTACCTTGGTAAGATCCGAGCGAGACTATATTGATGGTGACTTGCTGATGGGTGCTCTCAGTTAGCGACGATTTCCACAGCTACTGCAGTACGCAGGATCTCATCGACGAGTCATACAAAAACCAAGACGAATGGTTGAGCAAGTCGATCTTGAGCGTGGCCAGAATGGGCTTTTTCACGTCGGGTATGTTGAGTTGGTCCATATCTGGGAAAAGCTACTGATTCGCGATCTAGACCGATGCATCAACGAGTATGCCGATAGCATCTGGAACATCGAGCCTCTCCAGGTCAAGGACGAGGATGAGGTCAGGGCACGAACTGGACTTGCCAACTAGACAAGTACGGGGCAGGTGATGTGTGCTAGAGTCTCCCAGGAGGTTCTGTATGCATCGCAGGAAAAGGGAGAGGGAGAGGGAGAGGGAGAGGGATGAGTCAGTATGCTGACGAAACATGTGTCGGGCGGCCATGCAGGGAGCGTCGACACACCCCGGCTGGTGCAGGCAGGACCGGGCCGGGGAGGTTCAGACAGACGAACAAGACTATCTAGAAGACATGCGTAATATCCAGCCATACGAGTAACGGGAATTGGACAGACTGATCCGTACACATGCTGTAGTTCGCAATAATGCAGGGAGCTGTACAGATACACTGATGCTGGACTCGGTGCAGGACTGGTGTATGTATGTACCTAGGAGATGTGGGCGCAGGCGCAGGCGGTGGAGGTGGCCGAAGCCGGCCATCTGCCATCTGATATGACAGCACTGAAACTGCATCTCATCTTGCCAACCCATCCCATCCCTTCCATCTACCCTCCATCCACCGCTTCTTACTCTACGCTTGCATCCGCTTCGCCACGGCGCTTCCTCGCCCATGTCTATCTCCAGCCATTCAAGGAGTCGGGTCGACCCATCTTCTAGTTAGTCGCATCCCCAAGATGACGGCCATTACGCCCCAGGTCGCCGTGGTTGATTTCCACCATGCTCGGTACGTGTGCGCTGGAGGGCGATTGTGATTGATGGAATCGATGGCCGCCCGCTGACTCTCCAGCTGAAGCGGCCCCGAAGTCGAGTTCTGGGTGGACGATGAAGGCGAACAGCTGGCGCAACGCAACGACTGGTCCTTGTTGCCCTTTATGGCTCTGTCGGACGGGGCGCACGCCATGACCGAGGAGTTTTCCTACTTTACCCTGCTGCACGGCGGCGGCAAAAGCGCGACCGCCCGTACCCCCGGCGTCCCAGCCAGAACGAGCCTGTTTGGCATCGCATGCACCCGCCAGGTCAGGGCGGACCGGCTGAAGCGGCGGTCGGCAGACGTGACGCGCTCCACGGTGCAGAAGGCCGTCGTGGTCATTTCGCCCACCGCCCGAGGCTTAGGTGAGCTGAGACAGCGACTCGGAGCGGTCACAGCTGCGTGGTTTGCACAAGAGTCAGTCAACCCGGATCTTGCCTGGTCCTTTGTCTGTTTTCCAGCCATTTGCCTGCTGGAAAGCCGTCGGTGGCAGTAAGTGTTGATGCCATGTCGCTTCTACTAGGGATTTCTCCGACACCACGATCTTGAAGGTGTGTCACTCTCCGAACACGGACAGCAGCAGGAACAGGAACAGGAACAGGAGTCTGCCGGCCCAAGTATGGGACAGATGTGCTGACGGAATATGACGTGTTTACCAACAACAGGAGTTTCATGCGAGCCTTGCCCGATCGCCGGCCGTGCATGAGGAAGGCAAGGATCATTACTTTGGTCTGTGCCTCCGGGGGCTCCATGTCGTCTGGAGTGTCTGTCTGTGTATACTATGTGCTCTGGCTGACGGCCTCGCAGGCCTCTCGTTGAGAGAGTTGATCTACGAATTTCGACATCACACATTGGCGCTGGTCAAGTGTCTCTTGCTGCAACGGAAGGTGAGGGAGTGGTTGATTGATGGCCGGCACTTACTCCATCCCCATCCTCCCAGCACGTCGTTATCGGCTAACGGCTCGACCGCTCCAACTGGCAGATGCTCTTCTACGGCTCGAGATGCGAAAGACTGTGCATGACGCAGTTTGCCCTCATCTCCCTCATTCCCGGCCTCGTGAAGAACCTTCAGGACGCTGCGGATCCAAGCCTTGACACCTACGCCCAGACGGCCACGAGAGCGACGGCATTGAGGACCAGTGAGAGGGGTTCATGTACGAAATTATTCCCTCTTCCGATACCTGTCCTCTCCAACGTGCTCACTCTGACATGGGTGATGACAGTGCTTGCATATATGGGGTTGCCTCTACAGATATTTGGCCGGGTAAGATAGACACTCTTCTTGCCTCGCCCGCCTCGCCCGCCTCGCCCGCATAGGGAGGGGTCAAGGATAAGAAAATTAATGCTCGATCGATGTTCCTAGGGCTCATTCTTCGGCCCATATACACCCCTCCAGCAACTCGATATCCTTGCTGACTACGACACCAAATCATACGTGGTCGGGTCGACAAACAGCCTGCTACTACAGCACAAAGAGCGGTATAGCGACATCCTGATCAACCTGGACGAATCCAACAGCATCACCGTCACGTCACCGTCTCTGCGCAGCGCCCTGGTTTTGTCTCCTGCGGACAGGCGATGGATGGACCAGCTCAGTCAGACGGTGCTGGACACCTGGGACCCGGAGAACCCGTCACGACCCAAGAACATGGGCTACGCGGGGTCCGAGGACGCGATCCGACTCCAATTTGAAGAATATCTTCTCTCGCTGCTCTCCAGCATGGCGTATCAAGTTTACCACGAGTCCCAGCCCGAGGCGGCAGTCCCGGCGTCTGTCGCTAACACAGAGCAGTACCCAGATCCCGGCGACACTGCGGCCGACTTCAACCCGGAGTTTCTGGCCATGTGGCGGGCGACGCACAACTTTGCCCTCTTCGACCGGCTAACACGCGACAACCGGATCTTCGACATGATCGAGCCCCGCCACCCGACTGCAGGCGGCTTGAGCGTCGAGGACGTCCAGCGCCGGCTGCAGCAAAGCGTAGCCGATTTACATCTCGACGAGCGCGTGCGCGGGGGCCGCGAGCAGCTCGGCAAGACCTTCGCCGTCGGCCGTGAGCGAGTCGGGGCCGGCGTCGCGCGCTTCTGGGCAGAGGTCGAAAAGGCCCGCGAGCAGCGGCAGGCCAAGCGGCAAAGCCGGAGTCCAAGCACTGGTCACGCAAGGCTCAGTAACGACGTCGAGAGGGAGGAGGATGCTGGTTCTGTGCAGCCACCGGCGGCAGCAACGTCCACAATCACATCAACACCCACAACGCAGACGACTTCTCATCAGCTAGCCACGGCCACGGACACTCCGCCGTTGTCGCCGTCGTCACCTATCAAGGCCTCAGGGGCCGGGCCCGGGTGGGCTGCCTCTCTCCGGGACCGCACGTCGCGCTCGCAGTGGCAGAAACCTACGGTCGACACGGCCCAGCTGCAGGCAGCGGCGCGCGAGAACGCCGCCAAGGCCGGTGCGTATCTGAGTAGCTGGGGATCATGGGCAAAGGAGCGAGTCCAGCAGGGAAGAGGAGGAGAAGCAGGCGGTGGTGGTGGAGGACCAGCGCTGGCAGCTGGCCCAGATTCGGACTCACTCAGCGATGCCGGCACAGGCAGAGGAAGCACTGCCAGAGAAGCAGGCCGGTAACCGACTGCTCCTGCTCCTCCCAAACCAACATCGAGGACATCGATCGAGACAGGGTTCGAGGCCGGGACTGGACGGGACTGGACGGCTAGCCACCAAGATTGATTGAAATGGGCTTGCTTGACCGACCACCACAACCACAGCTACAACCACAATTATAGAGATGGCAGACAACAGACGACAGACCACGACGCCGAACGCGGCAGCAGCACCGGCAGTGACTCGAGCCAGGCAACACAGACAACAGACGAGATAGGTTCCTACAATGCTTACGCCCACGCCACCGCACGCCACGAAGTTCCAGAACAGTACATGGTATATGTAACTGTCCTGACGACCCGACCCAGTCAGATCACAAAACTGATTGCTCTCTCGGTGGTGTTACTGCAATACAGAGAGGTATGGACGATCGATCGCAAGAGTGGGATTTATTTGAGGGTTGGGATTTCAACCGAATCAACGAACAGGTGACCTACTTACATATCACCACTTGGCGTGTCTCAGATTCAGAGTGTCATCCGGACAAAAAGAGGAGAGATGTCACGAGGAATCAAGGAGAGGAGTTTGACAAAGTTTGGACTCATGCCATGTGACTCATGCCATGTCGTTGGCCTGTTCCATCTTCAAGATATCGCGTTAGGGCAACGGCGGAACAGGAAATGGAATGGAAATGGTTTTGACAAAGAATGAATTCATTTCGTGTCAGGACTTTCAGGACTTTCAGGCCATCTCTGTAGATAGCCTTTTGGAGTAGTGAGGTCGGCACTTCGCCCTCCTTCCTCGCCAGCCAGTGTCAGCCCGTTTCAAGCCCGTCTGCTCACGTAGTTGCTCGTCCTCGCGCCTTTCTATCTGATAGGTTAGAACCCGCCGTCAGTCAACCTCGACCCTCGTCTAAAGCTCCCCGGCCACGCCTCGTGAATCGTTCTACTCGTTCCCCGGTCGTTGCCGCGTCTGCTTCCATCCTCGGAGATGGGCAGAAGCGCGTGAGAAACATGAAGCGAAATGATTGAACCCAATGACCTCCCGTGCAATGCTGATATGAATCAACCACCTCTGTACTCGTGTCATTGTCAATATCCTTTTCCATACACTCTGGGTTGCCAGCAGTTTTGAGTCAAGCTCGAGGCCAGCAGCACTTCGGCGACCCCAATCCCCCATGCAAGCTGATGATAACAATTCAAATACGCCAGTTCACTGGGAGTGAGAAGATGGCCGTTCCTGGACCCACAGATGATCTTGGGAATAGGCGAATGGCTTGAAAGCAACACCGCTTAAGCAATGTAGGCCAGTTCGTCGTTGTCAAGGCGTTCAAGGTAGTCCTTCTCCATGAGAGCATCAATGTTCTTCTTGATATCGGAGATCTTGGGGGGAAATCGACTGCGAACTTGATTGATAACCTCTTCAACAAGAAGTACGTGCTTAAGCTTCTTGCGACCTTTCATGATACGAACGATAACAGCCTGAGAGATGGTAAGCAAGTCAACCGGGAAAACAGTGTCACACGTACCTGGAGCAGTAGCTTTCTATCCTCCTCGATGGTTTTGTGAGTGTCTTCCGCTTCAACCTTCTGCTCTGATTTGACAGTGATGTTCAAATTGACCTTGACCTTCTTGTTTTTGAAATTGTGATTTAGGGTGTACGAGGTTCCCGGGGTTGGCTTCCCGTTTTCCGGCGTTGTCACCAACACGCGGGCTTTGCACAGGATACCGATGGCCGAATCAAGAGTCTCGTCAGTCAGTTTGGTCAGTTCCTTGATTTCCGCATAATCCAATTTGTCCGAGTCGTTAAAAAGCAGCAAAACCGCCATCTGCCATGTCGACACTTGGAACGTGTAGGGCACCTTCTGACTCTTGATATAATTGGCACGGATTTCTCCCTTGCATAGCTGCCACAACCAGGTGAGCTTCCGGCCGTTATGCTTCTGATCGTAGAAGCGTGTGAACGATTCGATGGCTCTGCCAATTTCTGCAGGAGGTGCGAATGGCGTATTAGGAGCATTGAGCGGCCAGAAGCCAGTACCCAATATCTGGAAGGTGGAGTCAATCGTGCGTTTCTCGTCGCTGTCTTCGAGGATCTTCTCATGCCACTCTTTGTAAGCAGTGTTGAGATCCTTTGATATCTGAACATCCTGAAACATCCTCTGAAGCTTGTTGGTGTATTCGTAGCCACAAGCTTCCTTCAACTTGCTGATCATGCTGGTTTCGGCGTCGTCGGAGACGGAACTGCTGTGAACAAGACGTTTGGCTAGCATGCGAGAGTAGAACTTCTGGAACACGTCCTTGTCCTCGATATACTTGAATACCACCATGATCTGAACGAGCAGCTCTTCCAGTTCAGTCTCATCGGCGGCCTTGGCTCCTTTCTTGAGAAGCTGATCCGTGTATTTGGCGAGAAGCTCTGGTGATCGAGTGGAGTTTGACTTGCACACCTGGTTATGATTGACGAATTCCTGGCAGGCATTGTCAAGTGAACGGACAAATTCAGATTCTCCGTTGAACGCGACATTCACCAATTGCTGATACTTGCCGTGAATCTCAAGTAAGGCGTCGACATATACCTTCGGTTCGAAATTGTCACCATTGGCAGCCACCTTCTCGACAGCGGCAGTACCGGCCTTGCGAACGTGAATTTCGAAGCGATTGCGGAGGGGGTCCAAGCCGTCTTTGATCCGAGATAGGAGCTTGTACATACGAGCGAGATCTTCGGTGCGTTCATTGTCTAGAAGCACTTGAAACTCGTCTCGCAGGAGGGTAGAGTGGGCACTGATGAGCGCTTCGTTGCAGGTCTCCATCAGCTTCTTCATGATGTCGGGATGGAGATAGAGTCCGACACGTTCTCTTTCCTCCTCGAGTCGAGATTCGGCCTTCTTCATGTACTCGACGACACTATTCTCGGCAACGAAGCGTCTGGATTCATTCCTGTAATACTCCTTGGTTGCCGCGATGAACGGGCGCTCGAAGTGGAGGCGATAGACATCCAGGGTCGATTTTGTACTATCAAGCTCGTCCAAGCCGAGGGACACGAAGGAGTCGACAATGGCCTTGATCTGCATCTGATCGATTGTTTCGCCGTTGCGCTGCTTCTCAACAAGTCGAAGCACAGCATCCATGACTTTTGACTCCACAGCCTTAAAGAAAACATCCTTCCATTTCACCAGGTGTAGAGTGTAGACATCATAGACGTTCTTCTTCCCCTCATCGATCTCTCGTTTCACCCAGTGCCGATTGAGGTATCTGTACAGATGGTTGTTGTATTTGGCGGCATCCGTGTAGCGCTTCCATTCTCGGGTATAAAATGCGAGGAGAGCCTCATCGGTGTGGGATTCGGAGAGAGCAAGGACTTCTTTGAGATGCCGCTTGAGTTTTTCGCCGAGCAGAATGTAAAGTTCCTCGCCTAGAAGATGCGCGCCACGATGACTGTGACTGAGCGATGGTCCGGAAACGGGTTGCGCCTGGCTACTCGCGGCCTTTTGGGAGGTGCAGAAGTTGTGGACTGCGGTATAGACACCCCTATTGCGAAGTCAGCCGCGGGTTGACTGAAATGTTTGGAGATACCTCGACGCACATGTAAGTCTTCATATCCAATCCATCTTGCAACTTTGTTAAAACATTATCGACGTTTTTCTCCAGGTATGTCCAACTATTGATCGGTTAGATGGCGGAGTCTGCAAAAGATCGGTACCTTACGTTGAGTCGAGATCGTCTCGCGCTCGCAAGGCCGGGGCTGCGGCTGTGTTCGTAGGAGGAGCCATATCACATAGGTGGATGTCCTTTCGTTCGAGCCCGATCAAGGAGGAGTCGAAGAGCAAGACACAAAAGGGTGGCTAAAGTGGTTGACTCAGCCACCAGGACCGTGTACCGGTTGTCGGACAGGTCTTGGAAGAGCTCGACGGACGAGGTAAGATGATTCTGAGCTGCCGTCAACTGCTGCGAGCCTGAAAGATCCACTGCACCACCGTCAAGGGATGAAGTGAAGATTGCACTGGGCCTCAGGGCGATGAGGATCGGGATCAGGGTGAGGTCACGCAATCTTGCGTAAGACTATCCCTCATCCGAGCGGGTCTGTCGACCCAGGGAAAGGCTGGAATGGTGAAGGAGGGGATATGTGGAAAGCAGAGACTTCTGCCGTGTTCTTCAGAGGACACAAGAGAGGACTGGGTAAAGACACGGTTGGGAAGGCTGTTCCGTTGTTGTCACAGGCTTGAGTGAGCAGCCTCACAGGCACGGCCAGGCCTCAACCGACTTGGCATGTTTGCCGCTTCGGATTAACTTCCAGTTCATCCGGCTGCACCAATCAGTAGTCTGATACTCAAAGGCGGTGAGCGGAAGGGGGATCTCTCTCGATAGGCGTGGTGACGTCATCTGTTTGCTGCGAGTGACGGTAGCTTGAGGTGAAATATGAAACCAGCGGCGTCTGAGGGGGAAAGGCAACGATGCCAGAATTGGAAGAGGAAGGATTTCTCATGAGTAACCAGGTAGAGACGCCGCCCTCAAAGATTGCTTTATTTGTGACTGCGGGAACGTTGACCACAGCATGCAGATCAGATATATGCTCCGAACTTGTCTGTCCCCCAACAAGGATCAGGCTACGTTGACATGTCCATCACTTCTTTGAGCACCTTGCGTGTGTCAACGCACCAGATCCCGGCATACAAAGGTACTCCAAACACATCAATACAAGGCAAACCTTTGATGATATATCATTCCGTCTTTCCCAACCCAACCACCTCCAGCATCGAGTCCCACCTCAAATCCGTTGGGGTTGTATCTCCCGCATGGAGATACACCATGTTCAGCGAGACACACTTTCATTCCAACACCCATGAAGTGCTGAGTATTGCGGCCGGATCCGCCAAATGCTGCTTTGGTGGCGAGGACAACGAAGGCCGCGTGGAGCCAGTCCTGCAAAAAGGTGATGTGGTTATCGTACCCGCCGGGGTTGGTCACCGTTTGCTCGAGGACTATGGAGGCTTCCAGATGGTCGGTTCTTATCCAATCGGGAAGAGTTGGGACATGTGCTATGGACACGCCGGAGAAGAGGCAAAAGTCAAGGCAATTGCGTCGCTGGACTGGTTCAAGCGCGACCCCATATACGGTGAGGATGGCCCGAGTTTGCATCAGTAGGAATATTGGCTACGGATGATGATAAGTAGGACCGGTGTCTATCAGCCAGAGTTGCCCCTTTCTCGAGGTGGCGGATGCAAGGTTCCCCAATCAAACAGTGACTGTGGCAGTTTGAAACCCTTCAGACCTGTATGACCACTCTCATTTGGTGTCTATTCTCTCCACCAGCCTGCGATCGATCAGCACTTGGGACGTGAATTTTCAGAAGGGTGAGCATACCTTAAAACACTGATGGAGAAAGTCAGCAGCCATGCTACCAAAGACACCAACAAAACCCCGCTCAGTGCTTTTGCCCGATCGCAAACATTGTCGAACCGGCTGGACGTCCTGGGTTCGTGGCCTACTTTGCAAGCTCCTTCATCGACAGTCAACGACTCGAAACTCAAGGCAAGGTTTGCCGACTGGAATACGACAAAGAACAAATCCAAGAGGACGAGACGCACTTTCGCCCGGGCAGGTCGCAGTCCTAAAGGTTTAGAGAAGTACTCATCGTACGTAATGTATAAGGTGTAAGCCAGAGCGATGGCATCGACAATGACGGCCATGAGTCCAGAAGGATCTCGGTAATAGTCCAGTTCTTCTGTGCCCACCAAGGCCACACACTGCTCGCTGCGCGGGTGTTGGTGGATGCACTTGATGATCTTCCCAGTCTCATGGAAGATTGATGTGCCTAGCGCAACGGCTATGAGGGCGAACAGGAAAACCGTCAGTCGGAAAGCCAGAGGGATGAACGGATTCCGGAGGATGGTGAACTGAGCCCGCTTGTACCACACCTGCCTCTTTTTGCGGAATGCGCGATACCTGCTGGTATCGTCATCTGCGTTCTCCTCGTCGCGACCGTCGAGCCAGGGTTTGGAATAGTCGGTAAAGTGCTGGTCGAGATATTCTGGATCCACCTTTTCGCCATTGAAATCTTCATGAGGATAGGCACTTGCCTGAGCAAAAGTTATCCATCTCGACGTCCGTTCTGGCCGAAGATGGCCAGAGGATGTGACGAATTCATCGTCATGAGGATGCTCGCCCGAAAGAAGCGGCTGTCGGGCTGTCGACGGGGAGTGGTTATGATGTGCAACCAACGCAGCGTGCGGCGCGCCTGGAAACTGAAATTGAGGATCGACGAGGTCATCCTCTTCTACATCTCGCACCCATGCTAGAGCTACATTAGTCGTAATGTTACGTGCTTCATATTGAGTGAACTCACGCGGAATGGTCCGAACTGGCAGCGGGGACTTTGGTTTTGATGTTGATGTAGTGGTATCGGACAGAGACCTCAACACTGGTGTTTTGACCCTTGGGGGGGCTTTTGATGACCCATTCCAACGTTTCCCATGCCCTATACTTGGCTTCCTTTGTTGAGAATGCTCGGTGGGAGAAGCGTTTTTTTCGGATTTTGGGAGGTCGCCTGGTTTCCCTACATCTGGCCCAGCTGTAGCCCTGCTCTCTTCTGGTATTATTATCAACTCTTTCTCATTGTCTCGTGCCTGGGAATTCCAGGGAAAGCCTGGCTGCGGCATGCTCAGTACCGCGAGAGGCGGAGACGGTCAAATTGCGCCTCGGACTCGATGTCCGAGGAAGAGCATATCGGGGTGCTTCTGTGTATCTTGTGGTGGCTTAACGATGTCTGTAAAGCACTTGTCAGCGACACCAACTTTCGATGCTGTCTGGGTCGCTGTGGAACATCGTACGAAATTGTCTTCAATAGGGCCGAGCAGCAGTAAACAAGACAGTCGGAGTCGCCGGCGAGCTGAGTTGGCGAATGCCTGTGCCTTAAGGGTTTAGGGCCCCTAAGCCCTAATGCCCTACTAAACTACCCGCTCGCCAGAACCCACTGCTCCCGCTGCCCAGCCGGCGAGCGGCAGGCCAACGCTGTAATTAGTAGCGGACGCCGGGGCCTAGGGCTCCTGAGGCCTAGGTACATAAACATTCTTCACCATGACGTCTGGATGTGCATGATTATTCGCGGCACATGGCTGGACAATACATTTATGTACCACGTCTAACTTCTCGGGACCTTTTCTTGAGGGTAAACAGGAGTGCTACAAGTCACTCTTTTCCGCGCCGCTATCTCTCTCCATTATGGTCCATGTTCAAACATCCTAAAGGCACAAGCGAGTGCAGTTCACAACCTGATTCCAGCCGCAGCTCAAACCCATTGCTATGCGGATCTTCGTCCTCCCTCTCACCACGCGACAAGCCCTAATCTACTGCCAGCGCGCTGAACAAAAGACCACAGCCAAGGCAGGCATAGCGGATCGAGTCACTCGCAAGGCCGCTCAATTGTGGGCAGACTGGGAAGCCGCCGATAAAGGCTGGAAAAAGCAGATCGTGAAATATGGAAACCAAGGCCTACAGAGAATACCATACCAGGAATGGGCATTAAAGAGCTTCCCTCCTTCGAACCCAAAATTGCAGGCAGAGGAGATTGCAGCGAACAAGAAATACGACGTGACCTACCCTGGAAATGTCATACGGAAAGACGATGTTCCCAAAGTCATGGCTAGGCTTGCCCGAGAACGGAAACAGTTGCACTGGAATCGGTTTGTCGCAAGTTTGGTCGCCATGCCCTTCACTATACCATTCGCCCTGGTGCCTATGTATGAACGTGGTTCTGTCATCGATGCCAATGAATCACTAACCTTCTCTAGAATACCCAATATCCCCTTCTTTTACGCTGCCTACCGATGTTGGTCTCATTGGAGAGGTGGGTCTTCCAACAACGCTCTGGAGATGGGGACTAACTGCCGAATAGCTTTGAAGGGATCTGATCATTTGGACTTTATTCTGGATCACCGACTCTATCGACTACTTTCCACTCCCGAGATCGAGGATCTGTATGAGCAGATTGCTCCGGACGCTCCTGACTTTACCTTTGTGACGCGAATTCAAGTTCTTGATGGCAGTGCTCCACCGGAGCAGATCCTCCTTCCCTTAGGCAGCCATAGTCTGGTTGCCAAAGTGACTGGCGTCCCAGAATTGAGTAACGAAGTTGAGCGTGCACTGTGGCAGATAGGTCGACAGTCCGAGCAGGAGAAGGCCCAAGAAGCTCAAGGACAGCCGGGAGAACAACCGGGGAAAGGTGCGGAAGAGTCAGACAAGGGTAGCACACCGAGATGAGCCCCTGTCTGATCTAAGAGACAATCTTCCATGTTCTATGAAGATGGACAGCTAATGTACATTACGTGAATGAAGACACGAAGACAACAGTCTCTTTGCAGGGAGTCAGCGCTGCTACTTCACGGCATCAGGTCATCAGGTCATGTCTGTAGATATTCAATCTCTGATATGAGCATTTCACAGGTCCCGTCCATCCCAGTTTCTCTGTGTCGCTGCTTTGGAGAGGACCAAGCCATTGTCGCGGCCCTTGGCGGCTGTTAAAGCGGCGAGTGTGGCGTTGTGGCTTTCAATTGTGGTCATGGCCACTACTTTCATTGCACTTCAACGTTCCCACCATCTCATTGTCAAACAGGTATGCTAACCCTGGCCACTTGCTGTCCATCGTCGACTTCCTTCAAGCCTCATTTGTCTCTCTTTGTCTAGTGACATAGCAGGCCCTTGAGTTGTCACTTCTAGCGGACAGCCTGCTCTTTGAACGGTGGTTATCATTAAGGGAATTGTTCCCATCCCAGTCCTCTTCCTCGTGGGATGCTTAGATTTTCCCAGCATCTTTCTTCCAAGGCGGGGCGGGGGATTCTATTTTTCTGTCTGTCTGCCGCTGAAGGAGGGGCTTGTTTGGCCGATTACATACATCAACAAGAGCTCATTACCTTTGCAGTGGCGGCTCAATCGTCCGAGTCAGACCGAACAGTTTCTGATTTCCCATCAACATGGCTGCCCCCTCGGACTACCATGCCGACCAGAGCACCACCTACGTTCGATCCTTTCCTTACCGCGACGAACGGCCATCCCGGCTGCCACGAGTCCTTATCTCCCCTCCTCAACTCGACTATAGTCACAGCAGGCCAACTTATCATGTCTTGAGCACGCCATTCGAGCTGAGGTCTGGTGAATATGGGGATCCCGTGTTTTTACGATCCTTGACTGCCTGCTACGACCTCAACATGCGCCACTCGGGGCTTACGTGGCAATATGAAATGCGCAGAACGGCTCAGCCCATCCTCCCCTTTCTCTATCTGGGTCCAAGTAGTGCTGCAAAAGATCCAGAATTCATAAACCGCACTGGTATCACTCTACTTGTCGCAGTCCGCCATACCAGCTCAGTCAAAACCAGACCCAACCTGCCAGATCCTGCCCTGTTCACTTCAAGCGCGGGGATATCTACGCTGACTCTCGACTTTGGGTCTCCCTTCGACTTCATTCCCAGACTCCGCCCAGTCATAAAGGCCATCAATGACCACCTGGCTGCAACATGTAGCCAGACACCCTCACAAGGTATGCTCGACATCAGAGGCAGGGTTTTGGTCTATTGCGAGTCTGGAAATGAGAGATCGATGGTGCTGATAGCAGCGTATCTGATGGTGATGTTCGGCATCGATCCTGTATCGGCCATTCATGTCATTCAGTCACAACGTTACTCCGTCATTACATCCGCCGAAATGAACAACGTGCTTTTTGATCTACAGGAGATCATCAAAGCTGAACGGCAAGTTGCGGCAGCTTCACCCTCAGGGTTGCCTCCAAGACCTGTCAAGCGGAACATCGACTATATGTATGACTCGGATGATGACGCAGGACTGGAGTATCAACGCTGTGATAGCGCTCAAGTCAGGGAAGGAGTTGCTCCATTTGCAGATGTCGACGACTGGGTTGTGAAGGCCTAAGATCCTGGTTGATGAGCTGGCTAATAGTCAGCTGCAACCAAGCTCACTCCCCTTCTGAAAGCACCAATAGACACAATCTGTTCTAGGTTGCTACTGAAGCTTTCCCGGCTAAGAGACCGATTGCTTGTCGTGCTGCTGTGGATGCTTCTCCTCAAGCAGATCGTTCCTCCCGCCGAGCAGCTACGATAATAGACATCTGCACGAGTCGAACACGAGGCCCTCCATTCCGAGCCTCAAACCTTAGCAAAAGGAAGTCTTCCTGTCACAATTATGATCCATCATATGTGGATCAAGCAGGACGGAGCGTTGAAGCTATTTCCTCAGCTTACAATGCTAGCATATGCAGTTAATGGTCACTTCTGCTTGCAAAAGAATCACTCCAACCGGCTTATTATGCTGTAAGTCACAAGTCTTTGGCATTTTGAGCTCAAACTGAGCAAGAGCTGATCGTGTCAGTCACGCTCTTTGCAAGCAGACATTGTTCGCCGATATGATATATTGTCACGAACTTTCTGCCGCACTCATCAAAGCCCGGAACACAATGGTCGCGTACGGCAACAATTCATATGCCGTACCCCTAACGTTTTGCGCCGTGATCAATTCACCTCTTCACATTTCTTTTTCGTGTCCACTCATTTGTTGTGCTTAGCCTTTGCATCACTGTTCATCTCTTCAACGACACTCTCTCCTGTGGATGCAACATATCATCGCTCGTCAAAACCATGCATCTTAGGAGCATTATCAAACCGCCGGCTCGCTATGAAGACCTTGAGGCTCCAGCGACTCAATCACCAAATGCCACGAAACCAGTGTATCCTGCTAAACTTAGAGCGCGGATTGTCCCATTCAACCCAAATCACCCGCCCGCGGCCTTCCCATCTCTCCCATTAACGGCACACCAACCGCACGGATCTACCATTAACACTCCTCCAGCCAATCTGTCCGAGGTGCCTACAAATACGACTTCACCCTCTGAGACATCTCTTGGCAGGAATCTCGTCCATGCCACCGATCCCGTCAAGGGCCCCTATACAGCACAACCCCATCCCAGCTCTTGTGAACAGCTCAGTGCCACTGGCAGTGATTCTGAAATGGACGATGATGATACAGACACGGATGTGAGTGATGTTGTTCTCTGCGTATTTATAGAAGGGCCAAAACTGATGCACACATCTACAGGATGATGACATTCCTACTTGGAATTCACTTCCCTTGTCTCTGCAATATCACATCTACACACGCCTTTCTAGCCTTTACTCCCCGCAAGATTTGGCGGAAGTTCTAGGGTTGAAAGACGATGAAGCGACAGAAATCGCGGCCGCGGTGCACCTCCGCCATGTACATCCCGCATCACTGGCAGAGATATGGAACTATTGCTCCCGCAATGGCGCCCAAGTCCCTGGACTTGATCAGTCAGTATCTTGGATAGATCCCGCTTTACTTAGCACCTTCATGGATTACATGTTGTTCGCCAGCAAATATGAACTCGCCTATGGATCCGAAGTTCGATTGGCTGCAGACTTTCTGTCCCTTTGCTCACTTCCGGTCGAACTGCTTGGTACATGGCTACCAGACCCTCACGAACCCCGTGGCAGTGCGTTCTTGACCCATGCCTCTGGAATGCTAAGACATGATGGTGATTCGACTCGACTCGACTCTGGCTACTCCTCCTTTACAGAAATTGACCATACTGACAGAGAAGGAGAACGCGATCAAACCATCAAAAGTGCAGAGTCAAGGGCAGAGGAGAGCCTGGAAGATGGTCCGGTGACACGAAAGAAGCAGCCCGTTCAGCAGTCTACACCAGCTCGTGTCATGAAGAATCGCGAGGCCAAGAAGAATAATCCGAAGTATACGGTTCCTAAGTCACAAAAGAAACAGGGCCGCCATCCTCTTGCTATTGTGACGATGCCTGATGCATCGGCAAGCCCGCCACGAAGCAGCTTCGAGAAGACACAGCCCACAGATACTCGACGCGCCGGTTCCAGAGAACTTCGAGCTCGTATCAACCTCAATGCCACCGCAGCAACGCCTGCTTCGGAGACGAGTGAAAAGCAGGAATATTCGGCGAGGGCGCGTCCGGGACACTTGGTTCTCAAATTCAAGAACAAGGTCGGTCTTGCTGCAATGCGCAAACAGAGCGACAAAGAGAGCGACGATGTCTCGAGCGAGAAGGGCTCTACCTCCTCTATACAGTCCAACAAGACAACTTCCGTTCCCAGCAAACTCTCGGGACATGCTCCTCCTGGGAAGCTCAGGATTGACACGAGAATGTCTTCTTTCAGCAGGAGACTGCTAATGAATGCCGGATCGCCGAGATCACCTTCTTATTCTCCCATGTCATTGTGCTCGCCGAGATCCCCTTCTTATTCTCCAATCTCCGAGAATGAAGACTTGCAAGAGTTCCAGGCCCTTCTTCGAGGCTCAAGTGCACAGAACCTACGGACTGGCGCGCCTGGTCGGAATTTGAACAGTGTGTCGGCCCACCATAGCAATCAGGTCTCCTCGGACACACAGAGTCCCAGAAATATCATCGCAGCAGTGAGTGGAACTCGACCTCAAGACCAGAGTGAGAAGCCGCACCCAAGAATCATGCTCATCCTGAGACAACCGAAGACTGCTGGAGCTGCCGACCAGCACGGCGAACCTGGCAAATTTGATAACAGACAAAACAAGTTCCCCGGCCATCTGCCATCGGACGGTAACGACGGAATCGGTACAGCCACATCAGTGGCACGCATCTCGGCCAAAGCGAAGACAGGCAAGAGAGGCGCAAACCCTGGAACACCGGCGCGTAAAACAGCTCCGGTCAAGAGAGGCCCAAGAGGTCCGTACAAAAAGACGCGTGAACGGTTGGCGAGAGAAGCCAAGGCAGATCAAGCCAGGACTCGGTCTGCATTATTTCCAAAGAAGTAAGAAAGAACGATCCAAGGTGGATCAAGGAGAACAATCAAAGTGTTTAGTTTGTCAGACGGCGAAGCTGCCTCTCATCCCAGGCCGAGTCACGACGGACGGTGCGATCAGAACCCAAAAGAACACCGATCCCGAGACGAGACCCAGGATAGTAGGCATGAACAGTTCGTGTCAGATTCCGTTCATTGTCAGAGTCAGGGAGCCATGAAAAGCAAGAGCCAAAGCAACAGCAGAGCAGGCATTATTCGGAGCTAAGATTCATCGTCATTGCATTCTTGTCAGGAGGACCAGGGCCACGATATTGCGGAGCAGACAGTCTTCGGGGCCGCATCTGGATACTAGGTGGATATGCCGCTGGGCTGGGCTGGGCTGGGCTGGGCTGTGCTCCGCATTCATGTTGTTGGCAAATCATCGAATCACCCCTACACCTTTTCTTGGCTGAGATTTGCTGGGCAGGGACTGTGACATGGCAGGGACTTTTCTTCATGTTTTTTTCATGATAACAGACCCTGCAGACTCGCTGCTTGTACTTGAAGTATTCCGAGTGGTAGTCGGTCACGAGATACGACACCATTCAATGGAGTTCAAGTCCAACGTTGCTGGTATGTTCAGTTGACTTGACAGTGCACGTTCATGGCTCAATAGGTAGTAAAAGTCATCCCAGCCTTGCGTATTACCTCCATGTATTATATTAAAAAAGGGCTATCAAGTCCAAAGTCCAAAGTCGTCGACCATACAGCAGTACTCGTAGATGGACTAAGTTAGTCCGTCGGTCCCTCCCGAGGCTCTACTGATTACTGCTAACTTGATTGGTCTAGTACTATGACTAGTTCAGCCCCGTCACTCTTGACATGGTTAGATCCCTTGAAGATCTAAGCCTTGGACATATATAGATCCAGCTACGGAGTATTAGTACTAGCTAAGCTTGGTCGACACTAGCAAGTGGCACGTACAAAAATAGGTAGACGAGTAGACTGCGGGTATGGTGAGAAAGAGAAACACAGTCTTCTATATCCGTCTCTATATGCATCTCTATATTTCTTTCCGGACAAAATCTCTGTAAAGGCCGTAAAGTCATCAGGCCGCCTTGGATACCTGGGACAAGATCACCAGACTATGGCGATGGCTATAGCTACGGCTACACCACCGCGACTGGAACGGGCTGGATAGCGGTGGCACCCTTGGTGAACGCGTCGTCGGCGTTGACACCATAGTCACTGTTGTCTTTGGAGCCGCCACTGTGGCCGTCAACTTCGGTCTGGTCTTCTGCTGGGGTACGTCCAAGAATACCCTTGGCGCGGCCTCTCTTCTCTAGCCAGGCAATCAGAACAATGAGGGGGATTGTGGCAGCACCGGTGGCCAAGCTCGCGATGTAGCCTTTGCGATAGTTCGGAGCGTCCGTGACGGGATAGAAGATCAGCGGCCACCAGCTCACAAAGGCGAAGTCGAACGAGTTCATAAAGCCGGTCGTGATGGCCCGCAGCTGCTCGTCGTGTGATGTCAACTCGGCCATCCAGGTGTACCAGACTGCCTGCGGGGCGTATGTAGTACCCATCAGGTAGAATGCAAAGAAGTATGCTCCGTTGCTGCTGTACGGGCCGCCCAGGAGGATGGCGCTTCCGATGACGAAGGTGAAGCCAATGGCGAGGGACACCTGCCAGCGAGACCGGATCTTATCCGAGATGTAAGCGTAGAGAAAGGTGGCCACGATCCCGGTAGCGAAGACTCCTGTCGGATAGTTGTTCTGCTGGATAACGGTGTAGCCTCGGGAGGCCATCCACAATGGCATGACGTTGTTACCCAGCATCTGCACCGAAAGAGAGTACACTTTGTGGCAGTCAGCATCAAATTCTTTCCTTGCCAGGGGAAGGGAATGCAGAGCGAAACATACACATGAAGATGGTGGGAAGGAGCCAGAACTGCCAGCTGAAAAGCACCCGCCATAGGACGGAGAGATCCCAACTGTGTTTCCGACTGGTGCCCAGTCTAATCGCAGCATACTCTCTTTCGTCGGGGGTTAAGAACCAAGCGTGTTTGTGGGATGGGAGGTCAGGGATGAAGAACCAGCCTAGAAGATCAGTCAGTCATGTTTTCCTCGTCTGGTGAAACTTTCTAAGCTCTTGTCGTCTTACCGAACAGCGCGATTGGAATCGTGGTGACAGAAACAACAATGAAGATCAATCGCCACGCCGGAAGGCCGTGCTTGCCCGACAGAGAGCCCAAGAGGCCGGCTTGAATCCAGCCTCCGGCCATGTTGCCTATATTGCCAAAGGCGCAGAAGATGGCGGCTCTCTTGCCAAGCTCGGACTGTTTATACCAGGATGCGTAGATGTAATGTGCTCCGACACTGGCCAAAGGGTAAGTGCAAGTCCATTTCCCAATTCAGTTGGACGATCGGCTTACTAGCAAATGGCGGAGAGGGCGCCTTCGAACCCATTGAGCACAAAGACCTGCCATACATGGTCGACGCGGAAGGTAACGAGGGTGAGGATGGACCAGAGAGTATTTGCGGCGACGAAGACGTATCGGGGCCGGGCGATGGTCAAGAGCGAGGTCGAGGGCATCTGAAACACGGCATAGGTGACGGTGTAGATGGTGTGCATGTAATTGAAGTCTTTTCCTTGGAAATTCAGGGCCGTCTTCATGCCGCTGATGTAGGCCGTGCTGTAGCTGGCCCGATTGATGCCGAAGAGGAACCAGATAAGCGAGAAGTAGATGAGGACGGTGAAATCAAGCTTGATCAGGAGCGACCGCTCGACTCCCGCGGGGCCCCATATTGAGAGCTTGACCTTCTCGAGGAGGGGTTTGATCGGCGCCATGGGTCGACGAAGGCTTCTAGAAGCAAGAGGAGTATGGATTACCCGTACAGGACAACAGACGCCAAACGCCAGACACCACTGGCAGGCTGGGGGAGGGGAGAGGAGGGGAACGCCTCGAGACAGGTAGGATATCTACAGCGTAGCTTTCGAACTGCTCCTGCTGGGGGAGGGCGTCTGCATCGAGCTATTTGTAGCTGCTCAGCGGCGGGCGGGCGCAGGCAGAGGGGCAAGCCGCGGTGAACACATTTCGAGGGCTGATGGTGCAATCGCAGTCGCAATCGCAGGGATGGATATAGGACGGGACGGAGGGCGGGACTCCAGAATATGGTACAGTAGCAGCGGGCGAGGAAGTGAGATCAAGCTATCGGTTTGATATTTGATGGCGCCAGTCGGTGCCAGTGGTGGACCTGTCAAACGCTCGTCGTTCGTATTAATCGCACCATACTCAAGCCTGGTGTGGTGGTACATCCCGAGCACACACTACTACTCACTGAATATACGTACGTACTCAGGACCCCTGTGGAGGACTTCTCCGTCGTAGTGATACTGTACTTAGTTCTGTACATAGCTACTCTGTGCAACCTCCGCTACGCCAGCTTCCCACGCCGCCGTCTTCAACCCCCGCCGGATTGGCTGCCATGTACGAAGCAGTTCAACCCCCAGGCCTTCTAAGCCCACAGCTTATACCGCATTGTTCCTAGACCCGCCGTCTCTGCGGTCGGCCCTCCTTCCTCGTCCCCTCCTGCGCCGGTTTAGTGCTGTATCACGACATATAATGGATACAAGGTGCGAGGGTGGTTACGAGACAGGCAGCAGACTCGCAACGGGAACGATTGCCGTATAAGGCACAACAAGAGATCTTCGAGAAATAAAACTGGCCTAGGCCTCTGCGAGATATCCGAGCACCCAGCATCCAGCATCCAGCACCCGATCGCGCCACTAACAGCAGGACTATTACTATTGCTGTTCCTCTTACCATGGCACAGCGTACAACGCTAACCTTTGGCGACTCCGGGATTCGGACATCTGGAATCTTCAGTCGTCCATCTGATACCCTCACCAGCGCACGCCAGCCGCTGCTCGTCCTGATCCATGGCGGGGGCACCAATGCCTCGTACTTCGACAACGACGAGTTCCATTCGTCAGTTCTGCCATCCCAATCTAAGACCTAATACCTAGCAGTCTATAGAGAAGACTGACCGCCCGTGGCACAGCGTTCCTACGGATTTCAACAAGCTCGGCTTCGATGTCTTGAACATCAACCGCACCGGCTACGGAGGGAACCCGATCCCCAATACCGCAACCCCGATCTTCGATTCCATCCCAGTGTATGCCGACTTCATTGCCCATGTCTACCAACTCCACGGCTCTCAGGGCGGTATCGTCCTCATCGGCCATTCACTTGGCGCAGCCATCTCCCTCATCATCGCTGCACAACACGGCAACCGTCTGCCTTTGCTTGGGGTCAGTGCCCTTGGAGTCATTCCCAGCAAGACCCGGCCCAAGCTCGGCATTTTTGAATCTCTCAAGAGCAATCCGGGCAATGAAAGAGTTCCACGCACCGGTCCGCCGTCGGCACAGGATCTGCGTGCGTTTCTGGGCGCCCCAGAGTTCTTTGACCTGGCAAAGGCCCCAGCCACGCTGCCTATCTTCGAGGATGGTGAGTGCTGTCTACGGTCAGAGAAGGCAGCTTACTGACACACAGACAGCGGTGGTGAAGGAGCTGCTGGAATGGCTCGATCCTGCCACTCAGGACAGGCTTATCACCGAGATTGGTCCTGCGGTTCAAGTACGTGGCCACTCCCATCTCATTGCACATGCCACGGCGACTGACAGAAAGCAGGTCCCGTTACAATATCTGGCCGCCGAGATTGAGATAAGTTGGAACAGCCTGGAAGAAGGTCGCCCGATCTTTGACGAGGCCAAAAAGATCTTCACCCACGTTCCTCGCTTGGATAGCGACATCCTTCTCGGAGGTGGTCATAATTACGAATTCTCCGTGAACTCCCAGAGGCTGCTGGATCGTCGAGTACAGTTCATAAGGAGTTTAGTAAGTAGTCCGAGCCCCAGCGAGCAGTAGCAGTAGCAGCTGGGTTGATGCCAATCAAATAGATCGGAGATAGCCATGATCATGATCATGATCCTGATCCCGCTTCATTCCAGCGAGTGCCTGTCCTCGATCTCGATCAAGCCCAGAGCCCAGACACGCGACCATTGTTTCTGCAGCAGCTTCGGAATGCACTGCTGCACGTTGGCTTCTTCTATCTGAAGAACACGGGGATCTACCAAGAGCTCACGCACGCCCTGATCTCCAAGACGCGCGAGTTCTTCGATCTGCCGCTGGAGGAGAAGCTCAAAGTCGAGATGGTGAACAGCAAGCACTTTCTTGGCTATGCACGACTGGGGACCGAGATCACGGCCCAGAAGTCGGACTTTCGCGAGCAGATTGACGTAGGCGCGACCCCCGGCTGTTCTGTTCTGTTGGAACATGGTGCTGACCGGAGATCCTATACTGTAGTTTGCCACGGAATTGCCGGCTCCAGGACCGAGCGAGCCGGTCTATCGTAACCTACGCGGCCCCAACCAGGTAGGTCTGTCCATGGTCGACCTCGACCGCGACCGCACCCTTAAAGGCAAAGACAGTTGCTGACCTGACCTCACCGCCCTCCAGTGGCCGGCTGAGCATGGAAATGCAAACTCAATCCTCGGGTTTCGCGACACTATCGAACGATATCTTTCGCAAGCGACTAATCTGTCTCAGCAGCTGACCCGGTTGATTGCCGAGAGCCTCGAGATCTCGCCCGACTCATTTGACGGCTTGTTCGACACTCCCAACCACAATAAGCTGAAGCTGATCAAATACCCGCCGCCGAAGCCCGACGACAGAGACGTCCAAGGGGTTGGGCCGCACCAAGACTATTGTTTCCTGACCCTTCTCCTTCAAGCCTCTGACCATCGAGGGCTTGAGGTGCAGAACAAATCAGGGGACTGGATCCCTGCCTCGCCGATCCCGGACACTCTGGTCATCAACATAGGCCGCGCGCTCGAAGCCGTCACTGGTGGTCTGTGCAAAGCCACCACACATCGAGTGAACTTGAACGCGGAGAACTTTGTCGATGGGCACGGTCGTCCACTGGGGCCACGATACTCCATGCCCGTGTTTCAGGGCCTGTCGCTCGACTTGTCCGCCAAAGACATTCGTCTCCAAATTCCGCAGCATGTGAAAGACCTGGTGCAAGATCAGGAGATTCAGACCAAAGCTGAGAGGACTTTCAACGACATGTTCCAGAGAAAGCTGGGCGAAGGTACTTTCCTAGCTAGATTGACTAGTCACAAAGATGTCGCCCAGCGCTGGTACCCAGAACTCCTACAGGAAGCTTTGCGGGCGCAGCAGGTTTTTAAAGAAAACAAACGTGTCTCGGCTTCAGCATAGAAAATGAAAAGGAATTTCTTTGCCTACGTACTGTACCTTTGTGAAGTTCCATGCCTGAGGAGCGTGACTCTTCGGTTTCCGGCTTCGTTGGTGACGGGAGAGCTAGACAATCTCTTTCCCTTATCCTGGCAAGTACCAGGGAGTTTCCCAAACTAGGAGTCCTAGTCCATGTTTCCCAAGGAGGAGTCCTAGTCCAAGTCCATGTTGCCGATCGGGATATGAGAGTGTGGTCCGAATGCCGTACAACACCTCTGAGGTTCCGATCGCATTCCTCGGCCGAAGGTGTGCCATTGGATCCAAGTTGCCACTGATCGTCGATGGTACGGATAGGCAGCCATATCCAAGACATGCAATGAGGCCGAGAAACAGCTACAGCCTCTAGAAGACGAAAAGAAACCATCCAATGAGGCCGAGAAGATGAAGAGGAACCATGGTCATGACTCATAGTATGCACGTGTAGTCAGGACTCGTACCTACAGTCAGGCTCGATTGCTGTGGCGCATAGACAGGCCTACGCGCCCAAGGGTGCATAAATGCCTCCAAGCCTTAGCCTCCGGACAGACTATTCACTCGCACTCCACACCGCAAGTCCCGTTAGTATATCACAATCACATGGATTTTGTATGTTGAAGAATCAAGATCCAAACCCAGCTCGCTCTAGGCATGGGATCATAAGGAGGAGAAGAACATGCATTGGAAAGGTGGGTGTAGGAGGAGAAGAACATACACCGGAAAGGCGGGTGTTTGCATAGCATGCTTAGTATCATCTTAAGATGCTATGTAGTTCGTTCACTTCACGCCTTGTCTCGACTTCTTTTTCTTCTTGCTTCCCCTCTTTATCCGTCCCCTCCCCCTGGTCCGTCACCCATGTCGAGTCTGCCATGGCTATATAGTATATAGTATATAGTGTATACCAACCTAGGAGGATTAGAGTGGACCGGAGGCTCGCTAGCTGTTATGGCACCAGAGGGGGGTGAATGAATAACCGACCCCAAATCAGAACCAGAATCCAAGAGAGATATCTTCTCTTGCATCTTGTCCAAGTCTCGAAACAAGTCATTCATTCTACGCCCTTTGATCGTTCGTAGTCTGTTCAGTGGCCACAATTGGGGCTTGTGAGGCACGTCTTGATGGCGACTACCTAATACCTATACTTACTCCTTAGGCTTACTCTCAGGCAGGTTAATAGCTAGCACCTTGAGGCTTGGACAGCACGTCTTCTCAAACCTGCATACTATATAGTAATCAAAGCGCCCTCTTCGAGCATGGTGAGAAGTGGATGTTCGCAGTTGGTACTAATTAGTAATTAAATACACGCTAGTGCCAACCACTATGCTGTTCTGGGTATTTATAAGCTATATACGGCTAGTCTGTCATAGGGACTAAAACCGGTCCACTTCCCAATATCGCGTCGTGTGGACTCCGTACAGAGTATCCGTCCTCCATACCTACCTAGGTACTCCGTCCTTCGTACTGAATGTACCTCCTGTATGGGACGATTCCTCCAGCTTGATCCTGAACCATTCCATTGTAAGGTTGGTACCAATTAGCTCGGGAGATGCCTTCCCTCATCATCATTTCTCCCTTGTAGAAAGTAGCAGTACACACAATCATCAACTGATATAAAAGAATCAGTCCCGGAGCCTGAAGAGACGTCGGCTCTCAATAGCGACAGACAAGGACAAGAACCTTCCCCTCCAATGCTGCCCCTGGCAAACCAGCCTCAAAGAATGGACAATTGAGGTGCCGTCGCCGCTCGAGGAAGGAAAAAAAGAAAAAGAAAAAAGATACCCGAATAGAAGGATATGTTCCTGGGCAAAGACAGCGGATCAATAGATCGGTCTGCCCTCATCCCATCTCCTGATCTCCAGGTTCGATCGATCCTCTGCTCTCTCGATTTTCACATTACCGCCACCCGCCCCTGCCCGGCCATCCATAATCGCTCCTCCAGACCTTCGTCCCTCCAGGCCTGGTGCCAAATCCACGGGCCCAATCCATTCCCACACTCGACTCCATTCACCAGACTTTCCGCCCTCCCTCGTGGCTGCTCTCACGTTCGAATTTCCCTCCACAATCTTCCTCACGTTCTGCCACACCCGTTCCCTCTCTGACGCGCTGAAGACATTTCTCAGTACGTCGTCCCTGAGTTGGCTGACGCTGATAAATGCTTCTGGAGCCCGTCCATCTTCTTTAAGGGCTGCCTGAGTCGCCAACCGGTCCAACGTGGTGGCAACCAATCCTGGAATTTGCGCTGTAGCTTGTCGATGGGCCCTGAGTTTGTTGCGTCCGTACGCCACACTGGAGAGAAGAAGCATTAAAATTGCAACAGAGCCTCGATGTTGCGCAAGCGTTCGGAGTACGGATCGTCGGACTGCGCAGGCGAGAGGGAGTCTGGCGAGAGAGGAGCTTGAGAGGAGGATTCCCCCAGACCTGATGGCGAAACAGAGACACTTGGTCAGTCAGCGATTCGCAAAGTTTGACATGAACGAAAATTCCGGTGTCGAGGAATGAATAAACCAACTTACCCATCGTGAGTCACTGTCACTTCCTCTCTGCCCAAGATATCCCCCAATGCACCACGCCAAAGATCTTCGAATTCATCGGGACTCATTCCCTTTCTCCTTGCGCTAGAGACGGTCTTCTTCAGATCTTGCTCCTCAATTTCTACCTTTGATGCTTTGGATTTCGTCACCGTCTGGGCGGCTCCTGTGGAAGACTGGACTGGCTGTTTTGAGCTGGTGATCTGGTCACCACATTCATACGCTGCTCGTCTTTCCCGGAGTTCTTCGACAGCCCGGTCGGCAACGGCCTTGATTCTCCTCTCTTTTTCACTATCGGGCTCACAGGTGGGAGGCAGCGGTACTAGGCCATTGAGGCTTAGTGGATGAGGCTTGAGAACGAAATCACTCTCGCACTGAACTTGCATGTCGGGATAGCAGATCGCATGTTGCGGGCAGGGTTCACATGCTGGCTGGAGGTTTTCGTGAACCCAAGAAGGAATGTGCGGATTAGACGCCAGAGACCAATTGGGCTCGCCCACTCCACAATACCCGACGTTGACTTTTTCTTGTCGATACCACGCTCCTAAAGCTGCCAGGGCCGTGGTGATGACAACCAAAGGCGCAGTTTTGGCAACTGTACTAGGTGGTTGTGTCTTTTTTCGCCGCACTAGTGTCGAAGTCCTGGCTGGCACGACCTGGCCATTCCTTTCTTCTTCGGCAAGCTCCCGAGTGGCATCTGGGGTAAACTCTTCGGTCACTGGTAAGTCGTCTTCTGTCTCACTTGAACTAGTTCTTGAGGTTGGAAGTGAATGCCTCGTTCGTGGTTGCGCAGCCCCTCCCGAGGTGGTGGATGGTGAAGTTGTCTGTCTGCGTTTGCTTGGGCTTTTGCTCGTGCTTGTCACAGGAAGGGATTTTCGTGATCTGGAGGTGGATTTTCGTCGGTCAGACGCCGAAGGTGGACTGGACCCTGATTGAAAGGGGTTTTCATCCGAGAATGGACTGGTCCCCGATTCCAAAGATTCCCTCTTCAGTCGAATATCAGGCTCTTCAATCTTGACGAAAGGGTCGGGTACAGCTTGGATTGGAGCACTCTTTCGCGACTTGCGAGGCGACTTTTCCGCTTCTGGTTCAGTGTCAGACACTCGTGGCGTCCTGGTTGTTCTCCGTCGGCTTGTAGATTTCGTGCGCAAAGACGTTGAGGGTGTCGCGGCCAGTGAATCTGTGGCGGACAGATCGGACTTGCTCTTTCTGCTTCGCGGTGTTTTCGGAGCTGGCGGAGGAGGCATCAATTGTTTGCCACCTCCATCCTCCCCATCGACTGTACTTTCTTGACTGCTAGGAACATCCGTTATGCCTTTGCTTGTGCGCCGGACTCTGGCTTGTGCCTTGAGCAACTTGTTCGCGTGCTGTACCACGTCTTGCTCTAGAATCTCCAGCAGCTGGCCCTTCTTTGCCGACGCAGGGTACGCGACATTGTGCGACACGAGGATCGATCGTATTTTGGGGATGGTCAGAGTGTTGAGGTCGAACCCTGGTTGGAGATAGTAGAGTTCGTCCTCTTCCGCCATGGTTATGACGACTTGCAGTCACCGAGCGGTCGATGTCAGGTCGCTGAGTCTGGATAGGCGGCAGACGCAGGTGGAGGCTGCCAAATGTGCAGAACAGAGTGATGAGACAAGAGCAAAGGAGGCGAAAAGAGAATTGATTTTCTCTTCCAACTTATTGAGCCACTTAGCCAGGCCGGAGCACCCTGTAAACAAAGGAACCCCACCCGGGCCTGGGATTGCGCCAGTGGGAATTGCGGCACACCCCAACCCGGGTCGGTCATGTGACTGCAGCCTGGCGCTTGCCGGTCACGTGGCAGACCTCTCCAAGGCAGCCACCATTTCGGTGGCGGTGGCGTTGGCGTAGGAGGCTGAAGGCCGTCAGCCATCATGATCAATGGCACCTAGTAGTTGGGAGTCATTAAAGCGTAGAGTGATGCTATGTGTGTCTCAAGATGCGTCCCAGATTGTTCTATACGCCTCTTGGGCCTGTGTCCTCTGAACAAGAAATAGAGTCATCTGCTGTCGGATAAGAATTAAGTCGTGATCATAATCATACACTCGCTTCGCCCAAATGCCCGTATAGTCGTGTAATAAGCCTTCAGAGACCCCTCCCGTCCATGCAATGAAAAAACCTACACTTCACCCCACGCGCCGCCTGAAGCCAGTATACTTCCACTCCCAACACTCCCGCCAATGTCCCAGTAATTCCGACTTGAACCACTCCTCACTACAGAAGCCTTCCTGCTACTCCGAACGCTTTCGCTGGCACAGCTGCTTGCAGGTCTTCTGATGTTTGTTCTGGATTCTCGTCGTATTCTCACTGGAGACCGCTGAGCCCGAGCAACCAGAGGGTGATGTTGACGGATGATTGCGGCGCGCGTTGCTGCATCATCCGTAGTTTGTCCTAACGCTTGTGCCGATTGTGTCGGGGGCCTTGTGACAAACTTGTCTCTCAAATATCTGAAAACCATCTTCAAGTCGAGCTCTCGTTCCCAGTATTCTCGCTCGCGCTGAAGGTTCACAGATGAATCAAGTGGCGATGCGACAGAGACAGGATCTTCCTCGAAACCCCAACTCTCAGCGTGGGTCGTGTCTTGCACAGTAGGTGGAAAGTTGGGAGTCAACATCGAGGTTGTAGTGTCTCTTGTTTGTGCATTCCCAGTAGTTGAGGCCAGGGGTGTGGGAGACGTGGGTTGAGGCATGGATACCGGCATGCCCGCGTAGTCAGGACTTCGGGAGTAAACAGTGAAAGCCCCAGGATGAGGCGAAAGTTGATGGACAAGAACTCCCAGTTCTCGAGCGATGCGTTGGAGGAGCCGATCCCTCCAGGAATCGTCATCTGTATTGTTGCTGCCCTCCAAAACCTGCTCGGGAATCGTGGGCAGACCACCCGAAGATGCTGGGCTGGCCTCGGCGTCCTCTGGGAGACTTTCGCCAAATATCACAGAAAGAAGTGGTTCATCAATGCCAATGACGTCGCGGATGAACTTCCTGGTGATGCGTCGCCAGAATGGTTCATAATCTTGAAGATCTTGTGTAGACTTGGAGATAAAGTCACTCTGCTTTGGTGTCGATCCCAATACATCTTCATTGTGAGAAGCGAAGGTGTCATGATAGCCAGACTGACGTGAGTCCCTGCGCAGGCGGCGACGAGTCTCCTTTTCCACCTCTTCTATCAATGCTTGACTTTGCTCAATGCGCCATCTCTCTATCCTCATTCGTTTCTCTTCTTTGGCCTGGAACTCAATCTCGTCGATAGTGTCTAATCTCCTTTGAACGCTGGACGGGCGCCTATGATGTCCATCATACTTTCTCTTGGAGTTGTAAGCCTCGTGTTGCCATAACTGCTCCAATACGGGAGGGCTCGACGCAGGAAACGTCCCCAATCCGTCATGTGCGGGTAGAACAGCACCCGGCGTCTGATTGGTAACGGTCGGATACAAAGGATGTTCGCGGAAAGCATGCAATCCGTCGTCGAGGCTGTCAAGGTCACCATCTTCTGTGACATCCTCATCCAGGACTGAAGATTCATGTCTACCGGACCTGCCCGCAGTATTGAGGGAGATATCGCTTGTTCTTGATAGCCCGACCGTATGACTCGTTTGCGTTCGGGTGACAGTCGACTCCGCCTGGGAGGGTGAGAAGAGCACCCATTCTTGAGAATCCTCGACTGCCGGTCGCAATTGCGATTGAGACGACGACTCTTGAGATGGGTTTATGTTGATGGCGATAGGGCGCGGTGCAGCGGATTGTTGGAAAGCCATGATTCCCAACCCGCGAACGTACGGGTGGGCCGTGCTGCAGTGAGCACGAAATGTAGAGGGCCTTTCGAGAGGAGCGTTCAGTCAATGGATGAAGAAGGGCAGGCTCTTTGTCTCATCAATTACCCTCCTCGTTTATATCTCCCAAGTGAGGGCTCTTGAAGGTGGATAGGTCGAAGCCCTGCTCGTGTCCAGGAGGTGTAAAGTACGTAGTAGGTAGTCTTCGGGCGTAGTCACCGGGTCGGGTGGGGATGACGAGGGCGCGGGTCCAGATGGCGTGGCTAGTACAGATGCTTTCTCGTCCGGGTGGACTGTAGGATGATTGAGAAGAAGTGAGAACTTGATATTGGGCACGGAAAGGTTGAGTGACTAGGTGGTATATGCGCCCGGCTTGATTGAATTAGGTAGTGACAGGTCAAGGCACACTTGATAGAGGCGGCGGGCTGAATTGGCTGAGGTGATTCTTTGAAGGGGGGTTGCGACTGGGGGTTACGGGGGCCGCAGATGGCCGGACTGATTGCATCAAAGGAATGGGAAATGCTGCATGACGAAGATCCAAGCTTGGACTTTCTTTACATGGCTAAGGCCAGGTTTCTGCTGGGCGGCTGAAACTTCCATTCCGGCCGCTTTGTGCTGCCTCAGGAGCCCAAGTGGTCTCCTATCTATCAGTTTGCGTGTCATCTTCCTTAAACCGGCAACGGATACAGCGCCGGCCAGTTGACTTTCTTCAGATCTAGTGTTGTAACAGGAGTCCCCTTTTTTCCGCGTACTCCTTGACCGGGGTTGTGACTGTGCTTGTTACCATACCTGCACCCTGTACGCTTTATAATCACAAAAAGTCAGGTAGAGTCGCAGTCCAACTGATGGCGGCCGCATATTTCCCCATAGACGCTGCGAACTAGTATTGCGGCATAATCGAGTTTTGAGTCATCATAGGAAGGGTGTTAGTAGCCTTGTTCACGTTTTCGCCACTCATCTTCTACTGTGAGGGATCTCCTGGATCTTCGGAGAATAATCACATGGGGCATGCGCGATAGTTCATTGTGTGCAGCGATCTAGAGAATGAAAACCTCCAGGTGTGGTGCAAGCCGTATTTCTCATTCGACAGGGAGGCCAGTTCAAGGCACATGTTAGAAGTGCCTACTCAACGACCGACCTCTCCTCTTTGCACGCTATCTAATTCTTCATGACCCGGAAACACACATTGCCGCTTGCCCGAACAAGACATCTATGCTCCCACCTCGACCTGGTAGGCCTGGGGGAAGCGACGGACGTTGTCGGCGATTTTGCCCCGGTTCCTCAAGAACTGAACGTATGCCCCGTCGATCAAGACTCGGCCCTCTTGCTTCAGTTTGACGTACTCGTCGCGTCTCAACGGCGTGAAACCCCAGTTCTTGCTGACGATGATCTTTTGGCGACCAGGGAACTTGTACATGGATCGTCGAAGGGCTTCGATGGCAGTGGCTCGGTGAGTGTCTCGGGTTCGAACGGACATGAGAATTTGGCCAATGTTGACACGAGCGACTGAGCCGTTGGGCTTACCCCAAGCACCTCGCATTCCGGTCTGAAGTCTATCGGCACCGGCACAGGACAACATCTTGTTGATTCGGACGACATGGAACGGGTGGGCTCGGACGCGAAGATGGAAACCTTCTTTTCCAGCGATCTTGACGAGATATCTGTGATTGTGTTAATATTTTGGATCTGCACAATCGAGGATATTTTATCAACATACTTGTTGGCACAGATACGGGCGGCTTCGAGGGCTTCGGAGCTCAGTTGTTCGTACTCGTTGGACACCATGTGGACGCAAAGAGGGAATTCGTCGACATTGGCACGCTTTCGTCCAAGATCGAAGATACGGATCTTAGGGTCTGGTACACCACGGTTGAAGCGGGACTTTGGGTACGGCTGCAAACAATTAGCCACGATCCTGTTTTTGGCATGCGCGATGGTTCCTGACCTTGTTCTTGCAGTATCTGTAGCATCTCGCAGGTCTTCTGGCCATTTCGACGGTATTTTATTGTGAATGCACTTCTTGCGAACGTTGCGGAAAGGAGAGAGAGATGGAAGAGTCGACGGCGAACTTGTATGCCTTGGCCGGCATTTGATTTCAAAGCGAAACGCCAAGACCCCGTCTGACCAGAAGCCCTAACTCGAGATTTCACGTGACCTAGACAAACTCCGATACTACTAGGTGACCGTATGCTTACAGAACTACGAGATAGACAGAACGAGTGTGTGCCAGGCGCAATTGCTTGATTTCTCTGGATATTTTAAAGGCACAGAGATATTTAGTCTTGCGCTCCACGCTTGCAATGTCCTTGCAGAATCGCCGTGGGACCGCAACTGGGCTGCAGCTGATCCTCCCGCCCTTTGAAGTGCATGATCCGGGTATCAAATGGAGCACAGTCATTTCCTTGTGCATCTAGCATTATTTCTGTGGCCTATGATGCGGCGCCCAGGATATCGGAGTCACCAGCATCAAGAACGGCCATCGTGGAGCATCGGTAGAGCTTTCCACAGGCAGTGCCCAATTCAATCTGGATTCATGTGCGTTGTTAGCCGTTGTCCCTCCGAAGCAAGAGCTTCTTCTCAGGGTCTCTTTCAAGTATCACTCACGTTGTTTCCGGCGAAGTGGTGGACGTTAGTCTTAGACAACATCGAGTAGTATTCCAGTTCGCTCTTGCGCAGAGGGGGAGTGTTGCCGGCAATGATGACCAGCTTGGCCTTTCCAGATCGGAGGGTTTTGAGGGTCGACTTGTAACCGAGAGTGACTGGTCGTATTTGTTAGATACTGTTGGTGACATTGTAATTGAGGAGAAACCAACCTTTGCCGGATTTCATCACAAGCGCAAGGCGCGAGTTGATGCTGTCCGTAGTCTTTCTCGCTTTCTTTGGTGCCATCGTTGCGCTCTACTGTTGCTGTAGTAGAATTTGTGTGGGAAGTTGCGCTCCGGCGGGTTTACTGACAGTTTGGTCGTGGTGAAGAGACGATGATTGACCTCGAACCCAAGACACGAAATTCTCGGGGCAGCCACTGCAGTGGGTGAAAATCTTGGCAGTCGACACAAGCGCTGCAGTCAGAGTCACGTGATCGTGGCTGCCTGGAGCGGCCGGGCTGCATTAGGGGCCTCCTGAGCCTCCTAAGCCCTGGCTGACATGCCCAGGGGGGGCTCGGGCCCTGTTTTGTTTTATTTATGGCTGGATTTCGTGGTTGCTTGCAGCCATACGAGCAAGTGCCAACCACGCCCTCACCACCCTACCAAATGCTTCTGCACACCTCCGCCATGTCCGTCCCGGAGATTCCAAGTGGCATGTGCGTGTTTGGCATTTGATGTTGTTACACACATATTGAATATTGAGATCGCAAACTGTATCAACAACCTGGAGTCCCTCCTCCTCCGAACTGCGGCGATTGATCAATCAAGCGTCAACTTCCACAGCGAGGCCCACGCTCGCTTAACATCCACCCAATCTTCAACCAACAGCCTGCATGCAACGGAGACGATTTGTGTTACAGCTGAGCATTGTCATCAGCTCATTTTTCCAGTAGTGCAGGCTCGCCCACGTTATCAGCACAGCCCTCAACACGCCTCTTTGACACCTGTCTGATTCCCACGAACCGCGAACGGATATGGCGACCCCGAACTCGAAGAAACCGCTCGCTGACCGCTCGAATTCTTCACCATCGATGCGAACCCCCTCCGGAAACGGTCCTAGTAGGTCTCCGGCGGCCAGCTCTGTGCCGGCAACCTCAGGTCAAGGCCTTGCCCGTACTCCTTCCATCCGACAGACCCGGCCTTTGCGGAAAGCGCCCAACCGCATGAGCAGTTCTGTTCCTTCTGCCACTGACACCGACGCCGAAGACGAGGAGGTCAAATCTGCAAATGCGCAGTTGATTGCAGACTTGAAAGAGCAGGTCCAACGTGCTGAACAAGCGTCCGAACAATATAGAAAGCAACTGGAGATCATGCAACGACGGTTGGATGAAACTGCGGCGGAGCAGACCAGCGCTGAAGAACGTGACTACCAGAGACAAACAGAATTGGACCGCCTAAGGGCGGAGATCAAGGATCTCACCAGACAGCGCCGAGAGCTCGAGTTGACATACAATGAGGACAAACAAGTGTTCCTAGAAGAGCGCGAAAGACAGGCGGTCAAGGAGGCAGATCTCCAAGGTGTGATCGGCCGGCTCAATGAAGCACTGCGGGCTCGGGGCGCGGAAAGGGTCAGCGCTAGTCGGTCCGGTATGTTGACCATGGTCGAATCTTTGCGTATCGTGAATTGACAATTTAGCAGCAAGCAACGGCGATTCACAGTTTCAAGACGGAGGTGTTTACAGCGATACCAGCAAGCGGGACGATCCGGCTTCAGACTTGGTTCAGACACTGCGACAAAAGGAGTCTGATCTGGAGGCTCTCAGATTTGACCTCGCCGAAGCCCAATTAAAGCTCGCTGAACAAGAACATATGGGGGACGGCCGTCTCCAGTCACTAGAGAAAGCACTCATGGAGCTGAAAATGCAAAATGCAAGGCTAGTGGAGGAGAATGAGAGTTTTCAAATGCTTCTGAGCGAGAAGACTTTAAAGGGCGACTTCATCCACCATCATCACCGGGAAGAAGATGTCAGTGGAATGAGTACCCTTGCCGAAGAGCTCGAGTCAACCGAGGAGGACACAACGGAAGGCCAGAGTGAAGCCTACAAGAAGGTCGAGGCGGAGCTTAAGTCGGCGAAGGAGGAGAATAAGGCTCTTACATTGTACGTCGACAAGATCATCGGGCGTCTCCTTCAGCATGAAGGCTTCGAGCATATCATCCACGACAAAGACGAGCCTCCGCCACTTCCGGCCAAGATAACGTCAACCGAGAAAGCCCTCCCTTCTGTGCCAGATCAGCAGGCGCCTGGCCCGCATGCTGCACACACCGCAGCCGGAGTCGCTACCAATCTGCTGCAGAGAGCCAAATCTGTTGTGTCACGGCCGGGGCCACGGGCGCGTCCCATGTCTTACGCGCAGCCGCCCGCAACGCCGTCGGCAAACGAAAATCCGGAGACGGCGCCCAGCATCCCACTGAATCGGGGACATCACCGGGCTCGATCTGATCAGGCCCAGGCGGACATGGCAGCTGCCGCACTTGTTCAACAAATGAACCGCGCGTCTCCCATGCGGACTGCGTCTGGAGGACCATTGAGTCCAGGCATTCGACCTCTGAGTCCGCAATTGGCACAACAGAGGCGGGGTTCATACTTTGGAGCGCCAACTACAACTCCTCGCGCACCGTCGGGCTCGGGTCCCTCTGGGGCCAGCCCGGCCCACAGTTTTACCAGCGAGACTAGCGAAGAAGTCAAATCCAATACGGATGGAAGTTCCACAGCCGCAATGGCGGGCGGACACAGTCAAGGCCTGGGTCAAGGCCAAGGCAACCTTCCTGGAGCTGTGATGAAGCAGAACCAGTTAAGGCCACTTCGGCTGGTACAGGAGCAAAGCCAGATGGACGAGGAAATGCAGAAACGGGCCAATAGGGGAAGTTGGATAGGATGGCTCCGAGGCAGTTCGATCGAGGCCCAGCAGGAATAAATTGAAGGGCCGGCAGGAAGACTATGATTATGCGAACATACAGTGCATAGAAGTAAAGGGGGAGTCAATGTGTCTCATGTCTCATGTCTCACTCCCTGTCATGAAGCATTTATTTCTCCCCCAGCAGCTCTGTTCGGGCCCTTCCCTTCTTGCCAGGAGGACACCTCGATCGACAGTCGCTGGCAGTACTGAGAAGTCGACACTGATGCTCAGCCTGGGTCTTAGTCAGCCACCAGCCAGGATGGCGGGATGCCGGATTCGGACTTAGATGCAGCGATCTCGGGACTCCACCGTAGAAGCGAGTCAGAGTCACAGTCACAGTCACGACATGGACGAGGCAAATAACAAAAACACATTCCATCTTTGCCTTGCCTCGCCTCGTCTCGCCTTGCCTCTGGTCTCTTGAATACCCTATCAAGACACGGCCTATCTTTTCTTTCTCCCCCTCTAGACGACGGACCAAGTTGCTTTCCGCCCGCTTCCACATTCGTTATTTGCAAGACAAGAAGAAGCTACGCCACGGCATCGACGTTCACAAGCAGAAGAATGCCGGCTCAACCCCGAATCCATCTGGTGCGCCACGCCCAAGGCTTCCACAACCTGGGCACGGAATTCCACAGCCTCCGCGATCCACGCCTGACGCCGCTGGGCGAGTCGCAATGCGCGACGCTGCAGGCGACGCACTTCCCGCGTGAACGACAACAAAACATCTCGCTGGTGACGGCGTCGCCGCTCACGCGGACCATCCACACGGCACACCTGACGTTCTCGCCGGCGCTGGCCAACGGCAAATGCCAGCCGGCGGCGATCCTGGCGATCCCGGACGCCCAAGAGACCAGCGACTACGCGTGCGACGTGGGCAGCGAGCCGGCGGTGCTGCACGCCCTCTGCGACGAGCAGGGCTGGAAGGTCGACCTGTCGCTGGTCAAGGACGACTGGACCGTCAAGACCCTCGACAGCCGCTACTCGCCCGCCAGCAGCGCCATCATGGCCCGCGCCCGCGCCGTCCGCCTGCTGCTGAGGCAGAAGGCCCGCGACCTGCTCGCCGCCGGCGACCCGGCCGTCGAGATCGTGCTCGTCTCCCACGGCAGCTTTCTGCATTTTCTGACCAACGACTGGGAGGACGCCGACAAATTGACCGGCACCGCCTGGGAGAACTGCGAACACCGCACCTATGAGTTCGAGGACGGGCTCGTGACCGACGCTGACGCTGACGTTGATCCGGACGCCTATTTCGTCGAAACCCGCGACTCTCGTGCCCGCCGCGGCAAACTGCACCCCATGGCACCTCGCGACCAGCAGAACCGTCTGTTCCATAAGGTCATGCAGGCCTGGAAGGACCAGGGTCTAGTGGACCCGGCCCATCTCGACCTCCCGCTGGAACCGGACGACGCCGTCGCCACCGATGTCTCCATCGATCGAGCCTCGGACAATGTCCGAGTCATGGCTTGACTTAAAGTCTACAACCAGCCACCAACAACACTGACCACAAACTACAAACAACACAAACAACACAAACCACAACCCCGAAGAAGTGATGGCGGCATTGGTTGCACACTAGGTAGGCACACTAGGCACCAGCAGTCACCTTCTAATCCCAAAGATCGGATACGGCTCCGCGATATACAACACATACATAGCATAGGGACAGATCATGCATGAAACCAGAAACAGAATAGAAATGGAATGGAACCCAGCTAGCATTAGACCAATTAGATGGCGATAGAGATAGAGCGAGAGAGAGAGAGATAGAGAGAGAGGCAAAGCTTCAGATACGACCAGATTTGGGAGTTCGGCACGGCCAGGCTTAGGGCTTCTGAAAATCATACCTAACTACAGGATCTTAGTACCTTAGTAAATATGGATACCAACGCCTGGCACCGTGGCTATTTCAAAAAGAAGAAACAGAACAGTCTTGAAGGTCGGCTTCAGGGCCGCATATGCAGTCCCGTATCTTTTCTCGTGGCTCTGCAATTCCATATCTAGTTGAGCAAGTCTGGGCTCATTCCATGCTGCTCCGCACATGTCCCAGATGTACCTGTACCTGATCGAGCCAAGTCGTGCGCGACGCCCACCAACTTGAACGGCGCTGTTGCTTTGCTGTCATGTCACTATTGCTATTGTGGCGCCAGACTCGGGGCATTTTCCGTCAAATACAGAACGCCACTGACAAGGCAGAAGACCATCCTACAACGTGCCAAACCCGACACAGTTCTCAATCGCCTTGGCCAACTTCTCCTCGAGGACGTGGCGGCTGGAATACTGGGGCAACAGCAACCGTCCGTAACAGGTGCTACTACTAGGCAGCCGAGAATCGTCGTCGCCGTTCTTCTGCACGATGAACTGGATGCTGCTCAGGCCATTGACAGGCACGCGGTCGCTGGCGGTGACGAATTCGAGCAGCTGCTTGTGCTGCTCGGGGCTGAAGCTGCGCACCACGTGCCAGAAGTCCACAATGGTCGGCGACTCCCGGTCGTAGTCATCGTACGTGGCCGTCCGCTCGAGCTCGTCGATGTTGATCTGCGGGTATCCTTCAACCACCAACTTGAGGGCCTCGGGCGTGAAAACGGACAACGCCGTGCGATCGAGACAGGTGTAGAAGCCCTTGGCAAAGGCCTCGTACTGAGGCTCGATCGACTTGTGCGTCAGCCAAAGCACGTAGTCTTTGACGTATTGCTCGCGGTTCGCGTTGGTGACGAGCGCAGCCTCCTCGAGCAGGTCACTATCGATGCTCAAGGGTGTTGAGATGCCTTTGATATCCACCGACGGCGTTCGGCTGAGCGCCGGCACTATGGTAGGTTTTAAGTCTGGCGAGCAAGGTTGGGCCGGCGGAGTTAGTGACGGTTCGATAGGGAGCTCGAACGATGTTGATTTTGTTTTGCCGCTGCTTTTCTTGCTACTGCCCGCCCTCGCCGGTGGCCAGGGATCGTCGCGGCCGAACTTCTGCATGTCGACGGTGACGGCGCTTCCACAGAGGTCGTAGCTGAATTCGTAAGTGCGTGCAATCACGTCGCCAACGTCTCCATCATCCCACTCTAGCAGAGCTCTCAGACCTCTAGTCAGATCGGGCCAACCGTCAGATATGTGGTCGAGGGTTTTCACTTTGAGCCCCAAGAGCTTGCGGTAGAAGGCGAGCGGGAAGGTGACAGGTACAGTGATGCCATTGTAGACAGCAATGGACATCAATATACCCATAGCTTCGAATCTGTAGAGTGGCTCGAAGGATCCTGGTTGAAACCAGGTCATTCTTGTCGAGCTATCCACCACGAACATGCCATAGTCGGGTCTGAAGGCCTCCGCGAACACGACTCGGAAGAACTCTTGCTGCACTCCACCGTGATCGAGGCCCTCCTCACCTTCATCTTTGCCGAGCCTGACACGCAGAGGACGCATCAATTCTCGTCGTTGCCGTCGCCATATCTGGTTGATGGCATCATTCAGAATATCGTCTCTTCGGATGGTCAGCACAAAGTACTTTGCCATATGAGGTCGGAGGCTGGCGAGTACTTCTCTCGCCCCGTAGACTGGGATCGCAGGAGCCCACATGTAATGCCTCGTGTCGTTATACACAATCGTAGCGTTCTCGTGGGACTTGCGCATTATCTCAATGTTGATTGCCCGAAAGTATCGGACCAGCGTAGGGGGTTCGAAGAGGAACGAGAACGAGAGTAGGTGCATCTGCCTTGTGTCCGCACGAAACGATAACCATTCAACAGGCATGGTCATCTCGTCGAACGTGTCGGCAATGAAAGGCATGTAGAAGGAGGCCAGTTCCAGGTTGAGATCCTTCCTTGCACGATAAAGACCAGCCAACAGCTCCAGCGCGCCGCCAACAGCACCTGCCCGCTGGATCACTGGGTGACGATCCCAATTCTTGAGCATCACCGTTCTGGCGAGCTCGATCACAGCCGTTCCTATCCAGCTTGCCCTCTCGTCGAAGCGGACCCATCCATTTAGATTTCTGCGGTCGAATCGGCTTATCAGCAACTCGACAATGCTTTTCTTCCTTTTCGTCTTGTCTGAGCCTGAGTGTCTCGTAGTCGCGGCCCACTTGGCCACTATGAGACGGTGGCTAATGACGTCCATTGTGGCAGCGAGGACGCGCAGAACAGACCAGTCTTCACAGACGTCAATGGCCTCGATTATCAGGCCCATGAGATGGAAGGCATGATCTCGGACCACTTCTTGAGGGATTTTGGGCCAACGGGAGTGGGCAAGACCACTGTTGCGCAACGCCGTAAACCCAGCAAATGCTGCTTTCCCGCTAAAGGTCTGAGAACTACGACTTTCAAAAACCAAAGAAGCGATCGACACCAGAGCGACTAGACACACTTCTGCGGCTTGATCATCGCTCAACGGCACAAGTCGCTTCTCATTCCCTTGCCGCTCCCCAGGCATGACCGACTCATCCTGGACATGATCATGCATACCGTCAGTACCGGGAAGCTCGCGCCCGTCTGCTGATGTTTGTTCTGCACTTCCACTTGTCGAACGACTCTTCTTCCGTTTCTGTCGACGTTGTAACCATGCTGGTAGGCGGTATGAGTGCTGGAGAGCAGTAAATATGCTGTCGAGAACAAGCTCGCGCTGCTTGAAATTATCAATGAAGGCTATGCTGAAAACGAGCGCGCTCATATCAATCTGGGTATCGGTTCTAATCCTTGGCCAGGGGCCCGAAGGAGAATCGAGCGCAAGATCACGTTGCTTCGTCAGCTGCGAATGAACTGTTGCGGGAGCGTGGGTAGGCCTGGAAACTCTGATTCCGGGCAAATTTGATGTTGTCGACGCATCGAAGCTGTCTTGAAGATCCTTGATTGTCTGAACGAGTCGTTCAGGATCGCTAAAGCAATATGCGAAACTCTGCTTCAGAAACGGAAGAAACTTGTTGTGGTAGACCTCAGGGTCGCTGTTTGGGTTGGCCGATCGGAGCCATGGAACACTGGTCCAGGTGAGGGTTCGGAGGGTGTATGTTTGGCCATCACAATCATTCCTGGTTGATTTGATTTCCTGACCATCCGTATCTTGGCCAGACATACCAGGTGCATCTTCTGTGGGACTCGAAGCGTCTGAGTGAGCGGCACCAGGTTCATGCTGTTGATGCTGCGATGGATGCTCTGTGGATTCTGTAGGCTTGATAGGTTCAGCGCCGTCTTTGCCTGGCAACCAACTTAGAAGGCGCAACGGAAGCAGATCGAATAAAGTCTGTGTGAACGAGGCAATATCTTTTGGCTTGGCCTCGGCTGAGGGCTGTACGAGGAGGTCCCCATTGGCATGAATGTCTGTCTCTTGTTCAAGCGATATTCCGCTAGATCGGTTGCACGGGATGGAGTTTAGTACGTCGGTAACTTCTTCGGTGATTTCCTCGTCGTTCTTCGAGATATCAAGCGTTCGTAGACGTCGACCAGCCTGGACGACGCCGTCTTGACAAGGCCTTTGCGGCGGATGCTCGAGAACTGCGGCACCCTTCGGAGGTTCCTTGATGCGCTGTGCCGGGGAGGGCCCCTTCAATACAGAGCCATTCTCCCGACGTTGATGTGTCGATTTCTCGAGGCTGTTTCTCCTCCTCTTGGTGACGTCGGGATCCTCATACCAGGGGACGACCGGCGGGTTCTGGCAAAGCCCGGCAATTGAGTCCTTGCCACCTCGTGTGTATTCTTCAACCAGCTGACAAGCCAGTGTTCTAGCGCTGAGTTCCGTGTATCTCCTCAACGGTCCAGTACTATTTCTCTTTCTGTAACTCAGGCATGTCGGCGTCGTGCAGTTGATATTCATGCAGCCGTACTGGATTTGATTTGTGTAACGACGGATCAGAAGGCGAAGGCGGCGGTCGCGCTGCGCATGGATGTTGGCGTAGACTAGTTTGGGATCTGAGATCGGGATGATATCAGACAGGACTTGCTCGGGCACATCGAACCCTAGGTCGGACGCCTTGACTCGAGCCGGTCTGTCGGGGCCCTCGTGGGCGGAGTCGTCCAGACTGCCGGTCCTCGAAGGATGTTTTGCATAATGCATAGCCAACAGCGGAACTGACGCCGAAACAAACAGACAATTAAATGGCCAGAATATTGCCAAAGGATGATGGCAACGGTAGGAGGAGCAACTGGCTGCGAAGGGACTGCGGAGATGGGAGATGCCAGAGGATACCTAGGCTTCAGCCTTGTGACTCCACCTTCATTGGACAGGGCTCAGGCTTCTAAGGCTGCTGTGGCAAGCAATCCTTGACCAGTCCTGAGCGGCACAGTCGACAGCGTCTACGTTCTTCACACAAGCTATATATATATATATATATATTCAGGCAAAGAGGATTGTGTACTTTTTCATCATACACTATATTACAGCGTTGGGGTGATGGAAGGGTCACTCACTTCAACGTTCGACATACTGCCACCCTTCGAGCGGTCATGCCGGCTATCAAAATGTGGAGTGCTAGCTTCAACAACGAAAAATACCTGTCTCGCAGCTCAGCAAGTCTTCCCAGACGAAGCATCCACCTGTCCTTTATGCCCATACGCCCGCTATGCACATGAGGTCTTCAATCGTCTGCAGAACAAGCCAAAATCTCAGGGGAGTAGAGTATCGAGGAAGTAGAAACCATTCCGCAATCGCAACTCCAAGAATACTCCTTAAATGAAATGTGGAGTGGTGGTCATTTCCAGTCACGCAGCCATACGGCCAGAATCTGGGGGTGCTGTTCCGGGGGGAGGGAGCTGGAGGATGTTAGCCTTCGACCTCGCCCGTGGCTGGCGCGTACTCACATCAAGTCTTGTGTTTTCGGCCATCAATCGTTGGATACCGATACCGACACCTTCAATCACAGCTAGGAAGATTGCACACATGATGGCACCGTTTCTCGCCGCCTTGTAGCCTCCTCGCACCGCCAGTGCGCCACCTGTGAAGAATCCGGCAATAATAGAATTGTATGGATCTTCCTTCTTCCTGATCCCCTTGACTGCGCAGTCAAATGTGCTGAACATGCCGCCCCATACGCCGAAGTTTCCTCCCGTCACAGGTGCTCGAGCTTTGATGGCTGTTAACATGCCTATCCTTCGTTCACCGTAGGGCGAGTTTCTGAATCCCTTGATACCGTGCCACACTGTGCCTATAGTCATGTCAGAGGCGGTTTAAAAGTGTAATCATCACCCTGTCTCACCTCCCAGGGCGCCCATGCAGAAGGCGCCGCCAAAGTCGGAGAGGGCAACCCAAGGGCAAGGATCTCGAGAGTGATCCATTATGATAAGATATATTCGAAAGAGAATCGATGAACGAGTCTATTTTTAGGACAAGGTGGAAGTCGTAGGGACGGAGACCATGAAATGGAGAAAGCGTCCAAGGCAGAGATCTAAACTGGGATGGTTGTTGCGACTTCGAAATCGAGGCCCACGGACGAGGCAGGGTGTGGGAACCGCTGAGGACGGCAGTAGGTATGTCTTCAAAGCCGCTGACAGCTCCAAATGAGCAGTAAGGCTAGATCAGACAGATGACAAAGTGAAGACTGGCAACGCAGGGAGGAAATGGTCGAGTCCGCAGTTGAGTTAAATCGTGAGAATGTTCCCAAGGTCGAGCATCCGGGCACTTGGAAATTTCGCCGCAGGCCCACGTGACCTCAAGTCAGATGACCGTCCCTAGGTACCGATCACCATAAGGTACCTAGTAGATACAGAAGCAATTGCTGTAAATTTCTGCGTCGTTGTTTCAATTTAACAGGATAAGTGTGCTTCCAAAATGTGCATGTGGTGTTTTCATGGATGTCATCATTCATAATCTCGTACTCGTCTATATATGCATCTTCCAGATGTTATTCCAAAATATGCTCATAAGGAGACTCCCAGCGTCTCAGTTTCAACATCACCGCCTGGACGAGGCCTCAGCATCCTTGCTAGTGAAGAACTTCCTCAATGGGCTTGGCTTCTTGACTTTCACCAACGCTTTTTCACGTTTCTGCGACTTGCTGCTTTTGCGTGATTTTGACCTGTTGCTCCCGACCAGAGTCCGGTCGGGATCGGTATCGTCGAATACGTCGTGCTTCGTTCTGCTCTCCCCTCGTCTCTTTTCTCTGACTTTACCTTCCCTTCTCTCCCTTGGAAGTGGCAAATGGCCCATGCTCGCAGCTGCCATAGGAGTAATGAACTCGCCTTCAACGCTTGTGGCTACACTGGCGGTTTCGGTGTCTGCTATGCCACGCCTCCAGTGCTCGATACGGTCAAGTTCGCGCACATCCAGCATCTCGTCCACTGGTTCCTCATCCTTGTCACCGATTCGGGCTTTGATCCTTTTGATTATCTTGTAGCCACCGAACATTACCACGGTGAGGCCAACGCCTACGCCAACAGCAATGAGAAACTCTGGTGCTGCGAGCATCGCAAACACTGTTGGTGCACCAGTCTTGAAGGCTGCAAGAGCAGCGGGCGCCATTTTGCTTGCCAAGTTGCTGATCTCGGCCAGTGTGAGGGCAACTGCTGCCATAGCGTCTGGGTTCTTCTGCAGATGTGCGATGATTGCTCTGACACTGTGCTGTGCACAGTTCGCCTCTTCCATGAGGAGCTTGCATTTTGTAACAAGGCTAGACATTTCTTGCTTCTGGAGCGTGTGTTCCACTTGGGGATCCAACATAAGTGACTCGGCATGAAACTCTCCATACGCAAGATCCATGTCAATGTGTGCATCCATATCAGAAGTCGAGTGAGACCGCATGGGTGCAGGACGATGTGACCGATAGGGGTCCAGAGGGAGGTCCGTAGCCCGGCGGACGAGGGCGCCGCTTTCGTGAAAGTTGGTTGGGGACGTGGGCGCAGAGCGGTGGCGGCCATATAGTTCCTCGTTGAATTGTGCTAGGTTCGGACGGTCAGCGCTGGCGACTTTTGTCCGTGTAGCAGATCCCTGGGCGAGGCTCTTTCTTCCCTGGGATTCGGATGAATAATGATGCTCTTGAGCACGGTCATATTCTTTCCTGTGACTGTGGTGCCGCCGGGAACGTCGAGAAGCGTCCGACCGTGCGTCTTCGGCAATCGTCACTGCCTTCATGGCCTTCCGCAGTTCTCTCTCTTCGTTGGCTCTCCGCTCTGCCACAATCTCTGCCTTTCGCTCCAGGTATGCCATCTTTGCCTCCTTGAAGACATTTTTCAATTGTTTACTTGTACTGACAATCTTGTTGGATCTGTCCACAATTGCGATGGTCTGCGTAATGGCCGCCATCGTTCTTCAACGACTAGGGAGGTATAGCCTGGGATCTCAGTTTGCACGGTTATAAGAGGGCCAATAGTTGAAGGGCAATATCGTAACAAGGTGGTGTCGGTATAACTGCAAATTCGGGGTCAAGGATACTATCAACGGGAAGGAAGACTTATGCCGACTCTTTGGCTGGCATGGATCACAAAAATAGCATGGCTGGAGGAGGAGTCGGTCAACAAAGACCTACGACTTCCCGACAAAGAATGTCACAGAGGAGATTCACCGAGTCTTTTTGTTCCTGTCTGAAAGGACTCGACAGAAGAGGGCGGCAAATCCTGAGGCATTGTCGCCAATCAATGGAGGATTGTCGCAGGATGAGTTGCGTGGCCCTGCTTCACTGCCCGACGAGCTGGCCATGGAGGTTGGCTGATAGTAAGCACAGCCACAAAGTGACTTGTGGCTTGTGCTTGTGGCTTGTGGCTAGATATTGTGGCTTTGGTTCCCAGTGGCGCAGCTCATGCTGAGAGGCGCTCCAGACTGGCCTGTTGTTACTCATGTCCACTCTACAGTGTAGCCAGGTTGGTGCCAGGGTTCTAAACCGGCAGTTCTACGTTCATCGAGCTGGCGAGTTGACCGGACCGGATCAGACAATGCGCATCCCGGTGTCCTGACACATTGATCTCATCTCCAACCAGATTCCGCTCTGTCCCTGGTTTTCTCGGCTTCCTCGAACTCTTTTCTGCTTTCACTGATCACTTGCAAGTAGTTTCTCCACAGCAGCGACCTTATCCTCCATGGTCTGTGCCTTGTCTGTCCGACTTCCAATGCGGATATCCGTCTGAATCCGTACAATGCCCTTTTCGTGTAGGAGTGTATGAGCCTGCCCAATGACACGGGTAACATCTGCCCAGGATCCTTCTGTTGAAGAACAACGATGAAAATCAGCTCAGCAAAGTGACGGAGAAATCTGCATACAATGCTGATAGGTGTAGAGGATCTGGGTGCAGAACTAGGGCATTTTGAAGGACCCGGACTTGCTCTCAGTTGAACATGGTTGAATTGCTCCCGATGTGAGATCTGCATGATCTACCATACAGAGCGAGTCGGGACCGCATCGTCCAAAGCAGACAAATAGTGAATGGGGAGAGGGGACAAAAGTGGCCATGGCCTCTAACTCACCAACCGTGGTGCCCGCCGAATGCATACTGTATTTCAGTCCGCTCGTCTTCATCAGTCGTTGAACATCTGCTATTTGAGCCGACACGGAAGCGGTCGGAGTGCCGATCGGAATGAGACAAAAGTCTGCCGTGCACTTTGACGGAGTCTTAATACCTTCGAGGTCGGAAGCCATCGCGCTAGCAGGAGGGGATTGCGGGTGATACTCGCGGAAAAGTGAGGATGACAGGGCGAGGTTGAGTACTCCGTATTCTCGATGTCGGTGAAATGGCGGCCTAAACCTGCTGCGGCGAGCCGACCCCGATCGGGCAGTCCAGCCGCGGCGATCCCTCGCCGCTTTGACGGAGCCTATATCTTAGACCTACGCCCGCCTTACCGGGCTGATTAAAGTTATTTCCTCTCGTTATTCTATTACTATTACACGACGCGGTATTAATAAGACCGTTCTCCCTTTCTCCTATATCTCCTTCCCCTAGGGCCCCGCTCGGCCGCCTAATAGTAAAAATCTCGTAAGTACGCTGTTACGCCGATCTAGGTAGACTAAGACCTTCCTAACGCTGATAATTAGAACCGATTCCTATTACTGGCTAGCCCGTACTTATCCTTAATTCCTGAGTACTAGCGTCTAGAACGAGTCGGTAGGGACCGTTCGAGCGCACTTCTTAGCACTTCCTAACGAGAGACGGAAGCGCGTATAAATTTTAAGAGTAAACGAGGTATATGTCACAAATCGTTCCGCGAGGTCACGAGTTCGATTAGGGTTACTAATAAGTAGAAGGTAGGATAAACTTTATCCTAATAGGCTTAAGGGTAAGTTAGAATAATAGCTGTTAATAATAACGTATTACCTAGCTTATAAATGAAGTTTATTACGAGAAGAACTATAGAACTATAGAAGATAGACGACTATATAGATATATGAAACTCGTAGTACTCTACTGCTCTAAGTGCTCTATATAGAGTACCGGATTAACTAGAGTAGTTATCACGGTGGCATAGAGCAACGAGCAAACGTGTCATGCTATTATAACATGAATACTAAGACGAGAGAGAGTAAGAAGGAGAGTTGCGAGAAGCGCAACGAGCATAAGGCTCTCTCTCGAGGTCACGTGTGCAACAGGCTATGCCAAGCCTGTTGCCAAGCTTCCATGGTCACGTGGCCCACCAAGTCAAATGTCTTGTGTGGTGGCCTAACCGTGATAGTAGTTACGTGATCACGACTATCTCTTATGGAGTCCTCGTGGTCTCGTGCCCTCGACTAACTTTCCCTTTTCTCTATTAGTTAGATATTATACGCCGAGTGTCATACATGAATCCTAACAAGCTGTTAATAGATAACATCTACGTCGAGATAGCGAGAGAATTTTATACGTAACTCTAGGGGAGACTAGGCGGAGGAGAAGCCGATCGACGGGTGGTAGAGGCCGCCTATAAGGCGACACTATAGGTTCGGACGAGATAGAAGGGATACCTATTACGGTGGGTACCCTACGTGTATATCGTCGTATAAGTTAAGGTGGTATGATAAGAGGACTAGTTTTCTAGTGAGGCTGCAAGAGGGCTTAGAATTGATTGTTCCCGCTATGACAGCCAACAGCTAAAGCTCTCGGCGTTGTTGCTGTCTGTCTGTCATGCACGGTAATGTATCACGTGCGCGAAATCGATACTCTATACAGAATAACACTGATTGTCGGTGAAATGGCCATCGAAAACGGCTATTGTAGGCGCCGCTTTTGGCCTCCGTCGCACCTTGGCAGCTTAAGCATAGTGACATCTGCTCAGAGCTTACGTACAAATGTGCTTCCCTTAGGCCGTGCCGCTTTTAAGACGACCTACTCGCGACTTACCCTTCTCTTAAGTCGGACCACCTCGTAACGCACAACCTACGTAATATACAACTATTCCTCGTATACCTACTACCTCTTTATACTTAATATACATATTATACTATATCGTTTATATACTACTCTATATAGAGACTCTCGAAGATAGTCCTTAAGAGTACCTTAGACGCCGCCTATATCTTCTTAACTCTATCTGGACGATCCTACTTCTTCTAATATCGCGTAACTCGCTCCTAAGCCTTCTTAATATCTATAATAGAAGTAAATATCTTATTTAAGTCTATTCGAACCTTTATACGCTTTATAATACTCTTCTCTTATAGACTAATAAATAACTATTATAATTAGAGCGATTACTTAATAGTCTTCTATAGAAGTATATTAATCGTCTTCGCTATCTTATTAAGTAATAGACGAGACTCTTTATTAAGTAGTATATCTTAATAAATATTAAATATCTATAATTAAAGATATTATCTACTTATAAATATACTTTTAATAATACTTATTATCGCGAAAGCATACGATAGAGTCTCCCATCGGAGGCTCCTCCACGACCTAAGGAAGAGAAGGGTGCCGGAACTCCTCATTAAGTGGGTGGAAAGCTTCCTGGGAAACAGGGAGACTTCCATCAGACTGGGAGACTATGTCTCCCTATCAAAAGGAGTCCAGGTAGGGATACCGCAAGGTTCCCCAATCTCACCAATCCTCTACCTCTTCTACAACGCGGACCTCGTCGAGGGTTGCGCGGTAACGAGACTCCATTCTAGCACGACGGCCTTTGTCGACGACAATAACGTGCTGGTCTACGGAAAATCAGCAGCGGCCAACTGTGGGCGACTGCAACAAGTGCACGCCATCTGTGAAGCCTGGGCGGAGAAGCATGGATCCAGCTTCAATCCTAGCAAGTACCAGATGATTCACATGGCGAGAGCACGAGGGGCCGACCTAGAGGGAAACCTCGAGATTCAAGATATCACGGTCGAGCCAAAGGAAACAATTAAGGTGCTCGGGGTACACCTCGACAAGAAGCTGTCAGGCAAAGCACACCAAAAGAGGGTACTGGGAAAGGTCCCAAGCCTTCTGGCGGCGTTGAGATCACTCCAGGGCTCGACCTGGGGAGCCACGCTGAACGCAAGCAAGAGAGTCTACCAAGGAATGGTCCATGCGGGACTCACCTATAGCTCTCTGATGTGGTATAAACCGACCGCCCTTGGAGGTGCCACTAAGACGATCGCTGGCAAATTCGAAGCAGCTCAGGGCAAGTTCCTCCGCGCCGTGGCCGGCGCGTATAAGGCCACGTCGACGGAGGCGCTCGAGGCAGAGACAGGGGTCCAACCATTGGACCTCTTCCTAGATAAGCTGACTCTGAACGCCGCGGCGCGATGCACAATATCGGAAGCGTATAAAGGTATTAAACGTCGCGTGGCGGCAATTCTCAGGGGGAGAGGAATAAGAGGAAGGACCCCAGAGTACATCGGTCCGATCCAAGAGATGTCCCTCTGGACGTCAGCAATCACGCCTATGGTCTCAGCGGAAGCGGAAGGCCAGGAGGGTGAAGACGAGCAGAACAGCGCCCTTAAGCGAGCAAAAACAGCAATCCAAACCGACTGCCGTCGAAGGTGGCAGGAGAGGTGGAAGCGAAGCAAAAAGGGGGCACACAGCAGGATTATCCAGCCATACCTTGACCCCAAAGTGAAAAAGATCCATAGGTCACTCAAGAGACACCAGTCCTCGCTCGCAATTCAACTAAGGACCGGCAAGGTGGGCTTCAGGGCTTTCCTCTTCAACAGGAAGGTCCCCGACATCAAAACGCCGTGGTGCTTAGCCTGCACCGGCAAAAAGCTAGAGACCGTTCAACACGTGCTCCTACACTGCCCGACCTGGGTAGAGTTGAGGGAAGAATGCCTCGAAAGCAGTTTAAAGGAAGGCATCCACCCTTCCCTCAAAACGCTCTTGAGTACAGAAAGAGGTTGTCGGGCGGCAACCAGGATGGTACAGAGAACCGGACTGCTCAGGCAGTACGATCTCTGTAACATCGAGGAGAATTGGCAGGAGCCAGCGGAGCCTGAACCCGAAAGCGACAATGAGGAGAGACTTCGTGGTTGAGGGAGAGGGTGAGAGGGCTAGGAGGTGTCTAGTCGTGGCTAGCTGAAGCCATCTGAACCCAGGCAGCTGGCGATAGTGGTGAAGATGGTCAACTTTGATAGACTGAGTCTATAGAAGCTGGTTGGCTAGGGTCCTAGTTAATCAGGAAGAGGAGGAATCGTAAGGGATTTCCAGTGGAAGCTGGCGTCTACGTGGGACCTTAAATGTGACCCGAAGGACGTTAAACGAGACTAAATAAATAAATAAATAAATAAGATAAGAGCTATTACGTCTCGCGAGCCTATTAATAAGTATTTTCTTCTCTTAATCGACGCGTTAAGATATAGCGACTAATGTTAAAGACAATAGCGACGGCGTTAAAAAAGAGGTATTCGCCGCGTTCGTACGCGTAAATCGCGTTCTATAGAGTTTACTCGAATATAATAGGTATATTAAGATAGTTATAGAATAATATATACTATAGTTAGTTAAGAACGAGTTACTTAAAGTTATAGTTACGCGTGTTGGTAGGTATAATGAACGGTTGTGTATTACGTAGGTTGTGCGTTACGAGGTGGTCCGACTTACCTCTTCTTACCCTTCGACTCACCCTTTAATCACTCGCGCCTTCGTAGTCTTATTTCTGCTGTAGTCCCATACGCCTCTTCCCAAGTCTGGACCCGATGTTGGTGAGCATTCTTGGGTCCCTGTGATCGACTCTTAGTATTTGGTTCGCTCCCAAGCTATTCCGTTACTTGACTTAGCCCAATCCGTCCAAGGCTTTCCTCGGGTAACTTTCGCTTGCTGTGCTTACAACTTTGTCGTGACTATGCCGCAGGCTAGCTAGGTACGTAATAGCGAAGTTGGTTGAGGGTAGGGTACAGTGTCAACTGCCATTCTTGAGTATACCAGGATGAGTTGGTATTCTCGCAGACCCGCGGGGCAGTAAGTATATACCCTCCTGGAATGGGTGTAAAGCTACTGTGAGACTGTCGCATAGAGCACTCGATGTGAGGTCAACTACAAAGACCTTAGGGTGAACTTGCCGCTATGCCAGCATTGCTCAGGACGTCGAGGACATGCAGCGGATTTGGCAGACGTATCCGATCTCGGAATAGCTTCTATAGGGTAATGAATATGGGATGAATCTATCTAAGGAGGCCACGGTAGTATTAGAACTGCTCCTACACCCCGCATCTCCGGTAAAAGAACTTGAATGCCAAGTGGGTATCCGGAAGCCGGCCCGTTGAGTACAAGGTGAAGATTCCTTATAGTACGGATAGATGCTACTGCTCCTCTCCGCATCTCTCAACGTGAGACATGGAACGGTTACTGGCTGTGAGCTCCTTTCTATCTTAACGATTGACCAACCTCGCAGCATGGCTCCTCAAACATCAATACCCCCCGCAGCGAATGTGCTAGGGACTATCGGCACCATCTGCTGGTGCGTCCAGCTGTTGCCACAGCTCTACCGCAGTTATCGCACCAAATCCACTGAGGGAGTGCCGCCAGCCATGATGTTTCTATGGTCTGCCAGTGGTGTGCCGTTCGGAGCCTATGCCATTTCTCAAAAATTCAACATTCCTCTTCAGATACAGCCACAGTGCTTCTGCCTCTTTTGCCTCATGAGTTGGGGTCAATGCAAATATTACTCAAGGTACGACGACTGTTTTTTATTGATCGCTATATATCGTTCTTGGATTATGGAGAATGGTATTATTATCTCACTAAGATGTAAACTAACATCATCGACGGAGTATAGTGGTTGGAAGAAAGTCAAAATCTTCTTCACTTGCGTAGCTATACTACTTGTCGACGCCGGTCTTCAAGGTGTTCTTATCTTCGGCCTGCGTAAGGGCTACAATGACAAGCACCTGGAGTGGCCGTTAACTCTTGTTGGGGCCGTGGCATTCATTCTTCTCATCTCCGGCTACATGCCTATCCCGTTTGAGTTGATCAGGCGGCGAGGAAGGGTGGTTGGGATAGATTTCATCTTCTTGATCATAGATTGGTTTGGTGCATTCTTCTCGTTATTATCCCTAGGTTCTTTCAAACACTACTTCGGATCTTATTGATACAAAGCTAATATTATCTTAGTCGCACAAAACACATTTGATCCCCTCTTCGGGACTCTATACGCTCTGTGCGCATGTATCGAGATGTCCATGTTCGTGTCACACGGAATATGGCTTCTGCGCACCCGCCATCTACGCAGAATGTGCACGGAGCTGGGAGTGGACTTTGACGCATACCCTCCAGCTGTAGAGTGGCAAAACAGCGGCATCAAAGTGCCCTGCAAGCAGTATCCGTCGTCGACAGTTCACTGCACAACGGATACTGAAGCGTCAGCAGACACCGCCGCTGTCAAACAGGAGTCGGGGGCTGGTCATTCCGCCGCAGCTACTCTGACGGCATCAGAGGTTTGACGGCCCGTGCTGTTCCCATGCCATGGAATTCATGTATACTAGTAACGAAACCGAATCAAAATCAGGGGGCAGATACAGTGTTGACAGTGTTAAAAACCTGCATGTCTTCAGTTCTGTACCAAGCTGTTCCAGAGCTTCCAGTCACGTTGGCCGTGCAGCCCAACTTTGTTGTCTTATGCTTGTTTTCTTCGCTCCGCCCTTCGACCGCGTCTGATGGTGTAAAATAAGCTTCCTTCGTAGCATCCTTGAAGATCAGCCTTTGATATCTGTCCATGCTCTTGGATCAGTAGCCATGTCGTGAGGAACTCCATAAAACTATAGAGCCAGCCTCCCGGGTCGTTACGGTTGCAGTTGGCTCTCCACATTTGGAAGAGCTCAACCGTGGTCAAACGTCCTTTGCGGGCCGTATCGAACCGGTCAAACATGGCGTCGAACTTGCCCTGGTCGAAACGACCGCTGTCGTCAAACACCCCAGTGTGACTGCTGTGAATCGTCCGGTCGACGTTCCGCACGCAGATTCGGAAGCGTGGATCTCGTTTGGCGTGGTGAGGGTGGCCTGGCTGTGTAGCATACGAGAACAGGAGGGGGATCAAAAGGCTGACGAGGCAGTATGGGATTGAAAACCCAAGGTCGCGGAAGCCACGCCAAATGTCGGACGCATGGATGAATCCGTCGCCATCACCGTCCCAGAACATAACATGCCTCTCCAGGTCGGTGGGCTTGCGGCCGTGGATCTCGCGTTGATTGTCCATTCTTGATAGTAGGTAGATTGGTGCGGGCGAAGGCAGAGTAACTTGAAGTTCTGGTACGACACCACTTCATTGACCACTTATCTCCAGATTCTTTTTCGCCAAATATAGTACATTTTGTACGGTATTGCATGGCTCAGCTACCAGCATGTCATTTCCGAGGACTTCCACCGGCGGGCTGCGTGGTTCTTGGCCGGGCCGTGGGTTTAGTCTCGTGTCCGGCGGACCTGGGTTGCTCTCACGAGTTGAACGATGCATGAGTCACATAAGTTCATCCCTTCTTCGATGTTGATTCGACCTTGTGTTATCCCGGGCCGGAGCCCGTGGCCTTGAACGACGGCCTCGATAGAGCAGGCAGCGAGAAAATACTGCCTATAGGGATAAAACCCGTTCACGTTCATTGACTTTAGATCAAATAAAAACAAAGCTATTTTTATGACCAACTTCTCTTATTCACAAGCAGCCCAACAGTATTTATCTTGACACCTATCAGGGGGCTTGGGAGTAGTAAATTTGGCACCAATTTTCAACGCACACATTGGCCACACAGGATCTCGTCACCAAATCTGGACATAAAACTTTGGTACATTCAATTCGTGCTGTCTGCATGAACTTCGAGCCAGCTTGCACGAAACCACGCATGCCACTTTTTGTTGCGCAGCTCTCCAGCTCAGGTCTCCGGGTATGTGATACATGGATGGCAGATGCAGCATAGCACTATTGGCTTACACTGCTAGATTCAGTGCAGCTGGTGTGCAGTCCACCGCAAGGCTGGTGTTTTTGCAGCGTTGAACGGATTAGACGAATCTCGGCCGTCAGCAAGAAAACTCTCCCAAGGGTCGAGCTCAAGGTGGGTTGTCAGGTCCAATTCAAGGTCTTGCTGGATTTGTACCACGCCATCGAAATCGGAATCTTTCAGTACGATGCAGCCATAGTCGTAGGAAGGGCCTTCACCAGCAATCTGTACGATCTGATCTTCTGTTGTCGGACGGACGTCGCTCGATGACAGTTTGGGGGGTCCTGAAACACCCTCGCCGTCCAAAATATTTGGCATTCCATTGTCCTCGCAGGATAAAAAAGGATTTGGGGAATGAACTTGATCTGTTGGAGCTCTGTCATTGACCGCCGGAAACTTGAACCGGGCCGGGTCACGGGCCGGGTCAGAGAGCCAGCCGTAGTCAAGGAGGTTCTCCATCGACTGCAAGCTGGGATCGCTGCAGAGGCCCGTAGACCGTGTCGCGGCAACGAGTGCTCCTGCAACCACAGGATCTGGGCTGAAGTTCTCTAGTGCAATGGCCTAACAAATTGATCAGTCAGTACAACGTTGATCTCGGGCAACAAGACGAAGGAGTCGACCTCACTACCAGAGAGAGGTAAGGTTGACGGGAAAAGGGAGTCCTACCATTTTTGGATAATGTCCCCAAAGGCGTCGCCCGTGCTCTAAAAACTCCATTGCGTATTGACAGAGCTGCTTCGCTGCACTAGATGTCGCATTGTCGTCGTGGTGGGAGAAGAGTCTGCAAACGACCCCCCCAACTACCATGGCGTAACCATAGAATGAGCTTATGGTCATCCCAAGCTCCTGGATGGTTCGAACTGTGACTATCAATCGTTCAGCGTGCTCGAAAGAGCGACGCAGAACTTCCCGGACAAAGCTCAGCGGTGCCTGAGCCTTGCACGACTCTAGTCGCTTTCGAAACAGATAAGGATGATGCAGGATGCATTGGTTCATGTGGTAGAGCATCGTCGAGAAGACAAAATGCCCTGCTTTCTGGTGATCGATTAAGCCGTCGGTGCCGATGTAGTGGGCATTGATCGCATCAGAAAATGAAACGTCGGTAATTTTGGAATGCCCCTCAAAGCTCAACAGTAAGCTGTAAATAGCTGCAAAGTCACTTCGAGAGTCCCATGGAGGATAACGCTCGTTGGATCCTTGCTGCTGGAGCGTTTGCCGCTCCACCCGTCCTAATGCAGATGCCATCAGGATTGTGTGCACAAACGGATCCATGCTGCCCATCTCATGAATCAGATCCATTTCTTCCAGAAGGCGTAAACTAGGCACTGTATCACTCGTGTCAGGGCTGTCTGAAGGTAACAGAGTCGAGCAATCGCTATCCACAATCGTAGGAGGCCTGTAAACGCCACATGAGGCCAGTCGATCGAGCAAGTAAACAGACCAGAACGTTAATCGTCTCTCGTCTTGTTCCTCTAATGACAGGGTTTCTCGCGGTTCGGAACTCAGTTGCAGGCTCTGGGCAAACCTGACAGCGAGACCAATCTTTACCCAGCCCAGGTGATGGCGTCCAGCTTGGAAAGATCTGGTCAGTGGGACAAGTGGACTGAATGATCTGGAAACAAAATACCTGTAAAGTCTACCACCGCCAACATGTTGGTGGCTTGAACCATATGAATGTCCACTAGATCGTGGTCATCGTCGAAAGCCTTGTCGAAAATCTGATTCCAGGTTGTTCGGCCATATACCGTGGTAGCCTCCAGCTGTTGCGATTCAAAGAATGCTTCATGAGAAAATCGTGCGGCTAGAGCAACCATAGCCATAAGAAGATACTCCGGAAGTTCCTTCTTCTCGAATCTACGATAGAACGACGCTTGACGGAAGTACACGTACGGCTGATTTTGGCAGTATCGAAAAAAGGTGTCCAAGAGGGATTGAAGGACTGGTTCATGTGGTAATTGAGAGAATTTGCTCCTTGAAGTTTGTTTCAATGTTAGCAAGTCTTCATTTAAGTCGACGATACCTAGCGTCGTTGACATACCGCAAGGCGTAGGATGTTGAATCGGGGCCATCCCCCGAGTTTTCGGAGCAGGTGGAGTCTGTTGCTGACGAAGACTTCCTCTTCGTGCGATTGCTGAGGTCGTTCATGAGGCTCAGTCTTGCTTCTAATAGAGCCACCCTTGTGGTGAGGTCAACCTCCTTGGGCCCTTGGGTCAGCGAACAAGAAAACAAAAACGCACTGCCAACCTCCGACAGAACGGGAAGATCGTACAGTCATGCTGATGTGGCTCCTTGGAAGAGCATGATGGCAGACAAATGGGCCGTCACCATAGTTGCATTCTTGCTTCAGCCGGGAACAAAAACTGCAGGACGGCCGTTGTCCGTCGCACTTGGACTTTTTGCGGCTGGAGGTCAGCGTGAGTAAGCAGGACCAGAGTAAAGCAACCACAGAAGTAAAAGTATGCGTACCGACAGTTCTGGCAGGCCTGGCGGGCCCTCTTGGCTTCTCTTTGCTCAGTCATTGCGATAATCAAGTCCAGGGTCCGCAACGCTGTGAGGAACAACGATCTCAACTAGGGCATGTTTTGAGCATTTTACTTTTTCGAGGATCTAAAGTTATGATCGGAAGAGCATATCAATACTAGTACCTGGTCAGAAGGATTGTTGGGGGACACGGGTTTGCCGTCTGCCCCCTTGGTATTGCGGAGTTCGACCCTCTAAACTGGGGGGCAGGGAGGGGCCACGCTGCCGGGGAAAGTGAGTTCCAACCTACCTACTGTGTACTTGTCCACTCGCCCGATTGAACACCTGCACTGACCGACAGCTTCTGTAGCACTCTACGATATCATGCCTCAGATTCTGGGTTCCAAGCCTTCAAACATGCCCCAAAACGCGTTTTATGCTCTCACTCCTAGAGCAAGGTGGAATGAACACTCAGTGTCACACAAACAAGAAGACCCAGATTCGCGAGAAGATCGGATCGATTGCCTTCTTACTTGAACACACCTCCAACAACAACAATTCTTGGCAGTTAATGACGTGCATTTCTTTTGCAAAGTTGGCGAAGTCCGATGACCACGCCCAGTTGAATGGGGTTCTTTTGACATGGCGTGATACAGGACTAGGCGTAGGAGCAAGACTTCTATGCCTACCACAGTACGGAGTACTTGAGGACCAGAAGAATGGGCCCGGGTCATGCCGACCCCACAGCACCGGGGCTGATGCGGAGAACCGCAGGGAACGCAGCAGGCTGGTTCTGGCAGTATCATGATTCAGGTAGAGCAACCGGGCAGGCCTGTGCGACTCCGAGTCCTTGTCCACTATTCCCATTTTAGGAGGGCCAAGGATAGGATTTATCCATAGGAGTCGACAGAAGGATGTCAAGCTTGTAACCGCTTGGGCTTCATACAGGATAGATAGCGAACAATTCACTATCGATTATAGATTTGGTGGGAAGCTCTAGTTGCATTTATTGTCTTCGGGACTAGCTGGATACTCCTGGATTGTATGCATTGGGTCGGCTATCTTGATGACAACTTCATTAGATCTTGTCACTCAGTTCAGCGGCAAAAGGTCCTATCGAGTTCAGATCACTTGGTCGATTGTCAGTGATGGAATTTCTTCAGACCTGCCAGAAGGCTCTTCATTTATGATTCAAGATCTTCTTTGTTGGCTGAACCTCTTGTTGTCGTTCTTATTTCGCATCTATAATTCGCGGTATCGACCTTCATTGTCCGCAAAAGGGATTATATCACCGCAATTTAGCACACGTTGAACGTCCCTGAAAATGTAATTCCCATCATCATCACAGCTTCGCCTATGCTGTGTCCGGTCCAACTATCAAGTTCCCCATGTCTCTCAAGATGTGCTTCTCGTGTTTCCTGCTGCCAGTCTTGGGAAAATCTGACCCGATTCCAGGGTTGCTCAGCCAAAGGACATGACGTGGCGACTTCAAAGTTGTCCTGACCCAACGTCTGATGGTCTCTGCGTTCCCTCCTCCTGCCCCAGAAAACAGCCAACAACCTCGCCATAATCCACGTCCTTGATGCCCACAACACTCGCCTCGCCGATAGTTGAATGCTCGATTAATCGATCTTCGATCTCCTCAGGAAGGATGTTTTCTCCACCTGAAAGAGTGCCATATGTCAGCATTTCCCATGAACCCGGAGACCAAGGAGCCTACCTCTGACAATGATATCCTTGATTCTTCCAGTCACGGTACAGTGTCCCTACTCCTCACGGACACACTCGTCGCTGGTATGCATCGGTCGTCGACCACGGTCGTCGACCCTCATGACTTCGGCAGTCTTCAGCTCATTTCTTCAATAACCTTTTTGCAACGCATTACTACCCACTGGTACACAAATCGCCGCGTTTACCCAGTGGAACAATGCTGCCACTCCCATCGACGACCTTAGCCTGTGTATGAGGCAGTGTCGTTCCCACCGTGTGAGTTTTTGGTGTCCTGGAATCGGTCTTGTTTGTCATGAATATGATTGGGCTAGTTTCGGTCAGTCATGCCGTATGCGATGTACATGTACTTGATGCCGAAAGTGTTTTCTACATCTCCCATGACCTTCGAAGGTACCAGTGAGCCTGCGGCCAGCCCAACCTTGAGTGAGGTTATTGCGCGGGGCTATCTCTTCTGAGCTTCGATCACAGCGATAAACATGGTCGGAACTCCATAGAGAGACGTGCAGTCTTCCTGCACAATGGCGTCGAGCACCCGATCCGCATCGAATTGCTTGGAAAGACAATCGTGCTTCCGTGCACGAAGTTCGAAACAGTGAAACAGAGGAGGTGGACAACAAACAACGTCGTTGGATGTAAGGCCCATGCGAGATCCAACAAATCTGCCGTTGTTGAGAAGGTTTCTTCGTGACTTGGTTAGATACGTCCTTTGGTGGTCGAAATTGAACAACTTACGTGTGGGTGGGCATGGCGGCATTGGGAGAACCGGTGAGTTCGTTATCTCACCGGCGGTAGCACGCCGAACGTTGGGCGGGCTGACGAGCCGGATCACTCCGGGATCTCCTCCGGCCAAGGATGACGAGGTACGACTTACAGACTCCCTCGGCGCAGGGACAGAGCATGACGATTGGATGGAGTGAAATGAACCACAAGAGCCGTCCTGACCTCTCAATGTGGAAGTGACCATCTGAATCTGGTGCGCATTGCTGAAACTATGAGTGTACAATCGTTTCCCCTGGCCGCTTCAAAGACCAATTGAACAACGAGCCACTTCGAACAGATACACAAGCGTGAAGCACGGTACTTGAGCAATATGAGAATGCCTTGAGTGGTAAATGGCTTGCGATCGGTCGCCACTCTCTGAAGGATCGTGAGAAGTCATCATCACCTATCAGATTCACAGCGCCAACCCACAAGCTAAGCCGGAACCTTCTTGAGATAGAGAGTTTGAGAGTTGCAGAAGGATTTCAAGCCGTCCACACCCCATTCAGTGCCAATGCCACTCTCCTTGTGCCCGCCGAATGGAAATCGCGGGTCGAGCTCGAAATGAGTGTTGACCCAGACGTTCCCGGCATGCAGTTTCCGCGCAATTCTGTTGGCGCGCTCAACGTCATTGGACCAGACCGAAGCACCCAAGCCCATCTGCGTATCGTTTGCCAACCGAATAGCCTCTTCGTCGTCCTTGAAGGTGAGGAATGGAACAATCGGCCCTGTTTGACAGACACTCTCTTAGCAAAAGATGGAACGATATGATTTCTTCAAAAGTCGAAAGGACGCACCGAATGGCTCGTCTTTGACGATCCTCGAATCCAACTGTGGACGGTCGATGATGGTGGGAGTGATGAAGTACCCTTTGCCCTCGGGACCCTTGCCACTGCCACCCACAGCGACCTTCCACTTTTCGGTCTGAATGTCTGCGAACAAGGTCTTGACTTTCTCGAATTGCATCTGGTTCTGGATGGGACCCAGGTAGACGTCTGGCTCGGTACCTGGGCCAACCTGTAATGTCGGTATCAGCGAGTCATTCAGCCGGCGGCAAGATAGCGAAGGGCGCCAACGAAGATATCTGTACCTTGAGGGTTTTCGTCGCTTCCACCATCGCCTCGAGGAACTTATCGGCAATGGATTCTTGGACAAAAATGCGTTTCAGAGCCAGACAGATCTGAAGAGTCATCATCAGTCGATTTGAGCGAACTTATTTAGCCTCGTCTTACCTGGCCCGAGTTTAGAAATGCCAACCCAGCAACCTGTTGATGAAATTAGTTGGTTCGTTCTTGGCTCCCGGAGGTTCTTCTAATTTCTCACCTTGGCAGCAACAGCAGCAATGTCGACATCGTCAGTGACAATCGCCGGATCATTGCCACCACTATTTTCCCCATGGTTAATCGACTGCAGTTGTGTCGGAGCTTTATCATACTCACAGTTCTAGAGTCACTCGTTTCAATGTCTTACTGGCCGACTCCATCACCTTCTTGCCGGTGAACGTCGAGCCCGTAAAGCTGATCTTGGCGGGGATTGGATGCTCCGTGAGGATGGGACCCAGGCTGTCGTCTCCCGACAAGACCTGCACCACTCCGGGAGGGAAGAAGGGCTGCGCGAGTTCGACGAGTTTCAAGTCTCCGGCGGGAGTGAAAGGCGACGGCTTGACGACGATGGGGCAGCCCGCCATCACCGACGGTGCGATCTTGCCCGCGGCGAGGAGGATCGGGTAGTTCCAGGGGACGATGCCCACGGTCACACCGAGTGGCGTGAATCTGACGATGATCTCTTTGTCGTCTTCGACCACTCTCTCCTCGGGCAGCTCGAGTTTGGCGATGGTCCGCATCCAATGAATAGCGAGGTCGACCTCGAGTCGGGCGAAGACCAACTAGATCCGTAAGAGACGAGTCCAGTGGAGGAGACCCAAACACTCACCGGCTTGCCTTGCTCTTGGGTCAAGATCTGCGAGAAATTCTCCTTCTCGACTTCCAGCGCGTCGGCGTACGCGAGCATGGCATTCTGTCGCTCCGAGTAGGGAACTTCGGACCACTTTTCAGAGGCCGCCTTGGCCGCGTTCAAGGTCCGTTCGACATCGTCCAACGTCGCCACCGGTACCTCTGGGCCCGGCTCTCCTGTGGCCGGGTTGATGCTGTGTCGTGTGTTGGTGGTGGTCTCGAGTTCTCCGTTGACGACGTTCTTGAAGTAGCTCCAGTTGAGAAGACCGGCGGTGTTTTTGTGACCGTTGACGCCATTTGAAACTGTCATCTTGATTTTGTTTGATAAAGGTAGTTCGGTCTCGGTGACTAGTACAAGTCGCAGCGTCGTCGCTGTACTGACGTTTTGGTCTTATGGTTCGCCTAGCCATACGAAAAAATTCCATGAGAGACCCCGGGCTCGGAGTTGTTGTTCGCACCACAAAGACAAACACGGGCCGTGAGCGGTAGCGAGAGAGACAGCCCGGTTCGTCTCCCCGCAGTGTGGACGCCCGGGGGAAGGCCGCGCCGGGGGACGGAATTCCGTCCCCTGGTTCACGACATGGCTCTACCCCGGATGAAGAGATTGCCTGCCATGTACGTGCACACTCCGTCAGTAGACGAAGCACGTCTCCCTTTTTGGGTGTCTCAAGGTCATTGTGAGCTTGGGAATTGCTAATTGACACTTGGCCATGAAAGAGAACGGCCCGTCCATGGCTAACCTCTCTGGTTGTCACCGACCAAAATATAGCATCAGTAAGGGAATGTCGCACTTCTAACAAGTAGACGTACCTGGTCAGACTGGGTCTTCAAAGAACTTGGATCTTAGTGCAATTTCAACTACTCAGTGTCTGAATGAGAAATCATGCGCGACGAGCACGATTACGAGATGGACCACATCGAGAAGGGTCATCATCCGCAACAGCACGAGATCAACCAGCAGGACGGGGGCGACGGGCTTCAGCACCTGGATCGCCTGCACACCACCATCACACTGTCGCCTGAGCAGTTTGAAAAGCTCTATCTTGCGCCTATTGGCCGGCATCAGCCGAGTCTGGCGAAAAAGTTCGGGAACCCAACGCCACTGTTAGTCATTCCCGTTCATCTGTAAATCATACAACGCACCCAGGCTTTTAATTTCTAACGGGACAAACCTTGAACAGAGCCATCGCAAGCTTTGTGCTGACCACAACTCCCATCTCTTGCGCGTTGATGGGCTGGAGAGGTGCCGGTGGAAATGGAGTGGCGGTCGAGTATGTCCTGTCTGATATCTATGTTCTCGCTCCGACTGGGCCACCAGGAGGCATCAAACTGACATCGGGTTATCAGCGGCGCCATGGTATTCCTCGGCGGCACATTGCTATTGGTTTCTGGCCTGCTCGAATTCGTCCTGGGCAATACCTTTCCCTTCGTTGTCTTTTGTTCATTCGGTAAGACAAGAGGTTCTTGTACAAGTAGCTCGGTGCTGACTCGCCCTCTTTTACCAGGTGGGTTCTGGCTTGCTTTTGGATGCACGCTTCAAGCTTCATTCGGTGCAGCCGGTAAGGAACTGTTTGACATCGTTGCTCACTTACACGCCGACAACAGACTGACCCAACGAATTGTATAGCTCCTTACTCGGCAAGTGGAACCAGCACCGCGGAAGGTCTTGCTTCGGCGGGTTTCATGAGTACTTTTGGTTGGTTCAGATCATCCAAAGAGGACGAGGCCCGTCACTGACTACGTTGATCCAAGGTTTCCTCCTGCTTGCAATGGACTTGTTGGTCGTGGTCTACGCCATCTGCGCCACAAGGACCAATGCGGTATTTTTCACCATCTTCCTTTCTTTGGTCGCCGTCTTCTCGTTATTGACGGCGTCGTTCTGGAGGCTGGCATTGGGTGATACCCTGGCGGGCATGAGGTTGTACAAGGTAAGAGCGAAATGCCCCATGATTTCCTTTGATACTTCCATCACTGAGTCTGACAACTCTGTAGGGGGGGGGTGGGAGTCTCTTTGTGACTAGCATGCTGGGATGGTACTTGCTTACGGTCCAACTCTTTGAAGCAGTTGGAATCCCTGTCAACTTACCTGTCGGGGATCTAAGCGGTCTTTGGGCTCCAAAGAAAGAATCCGCATAGGTCACGGCGACGAAATGCACACATTGGCACACGTTGAACCGGCAAGTGAGGAGGGCGAGAAATGGGCGCTCCACTCATGGATGTGTCCAGAACGGAAATCCCGGCGTGGACGTCGATGGATCAAAAAGTTTTCTGCCAATTGACTTCGAATAGATCTTGATCAGTCAAGTGCTACTATAGTCTTACAAGCCAGAAGGGGGATGGCGCGAGTCAGAGTGAGGTTGGAATGCGAGGACAAAAAGCTCGGCGCAAAACGGGCCGTTTCTCCTGGACAGGAACACTCTCTCGCCGAGAAGTCTTGGACCTCGGTGAGACTGTGTAGCTACAGCATTCGTGTATACACCGCACAGAGCAAATTTCTCTTTGCATAAGAGTGGCAGGGAGCATCATTATTCAATCACGTCTGACACCCATATGTATTCTCTATTTTTCGCAATGTTCTTAACCATAACAATTGGTGTTGCCAATGACCTTGAGAATAGCACAATGTTACGTCCTCCCAACGCGTCACTATTTCACCTTGACCTCATCGTCCCGAAGTCGGCTCCTCAGTCGAAGTGATTGCATTGTGATCATGACCGACGAAGTCGACATGAGACCTGCCCCGAGTGAGCTTTGAAACTCGGAAAGAGCAAATGTTAGCCGCGCTCACCAGATCATTGTCGGGCGTTGGCAATGTAATTACTTACGGAGTTAAGGTGAATCCCAGCGGCGTCACAAGGCCTGTGGCGAGGCTCAGAGCCATCAGGTTGTAGCAGATTGCCCAAGTCACATTGAAACGAATCTGTCGCATGGTCTGTTTGACGATGTCGAAGAGCAAGGGCAGGCAACCGATGTCGGAATTGAGAATCATGACCGATCCCCCAACAGTCGCAGCGGTCGAGTTGCAGGTCATGATGATTCCCACGTCGGCAGCAGCCAAGCTTGGGGCGTCATTCAATCCGTCGCCAATCTGCACAGACATGATCAGCAAGTTCCCATCTCAACGTCGTTGGAAATTCCCCTTACCATGGCAACTTTGGTACCGGATTTTTGCAGCGACTCGATGCACCGGAGCTTGTCCGACGGGCTAGCTCGGGAGGCCAGTATAGGCACTCCCAAGGTAAGGGCAACTCTGGAAGCCTCGGCACTCGTGTCTCCGGTCAACTAGAAATAGAGAAGTCAAGGGTTAGTTTTGAGACAATCATGGTAGACAGTTATAACTTGCCATGTAGCTTCGAAGCCCCCGATTCATCAGAGTCTGCAGAGTCTCTCTCGCTCGAGGCCTGATTTGATCCTGTACAATAGTTCAGTCGGAGGGTTTGGAGGACACAGAATGTTGCGCAGAGGACACACCTGCAAACGCAATGTTGCCGCACAGATTCCGTCAACACCGATTTGAACAGCAATGCCCGACCTTCCTTCGCCGCTCGACGGTCCTTTCAAGCCGAAGCCTAGGGCAACACCATCCTTTTCCAGGAAAGCTTGACCGCTGATACAAACATGGTGCCACGAGGATGACCCTTGGCCGGTATCAATGGCAATTCTACCTGCCACTCCTTGGCCGGGGACCGAGGCAATGTCAGACAACTTCGTTTGAGTACTGTGATTGAGCCATGTAGGGCCGAGTTCTTGGATGCCCTTCTTGAACAGGGCCAAGCCGACCGGATGTCCTTTCGCCTCGTGTTCTTCGAGAGCGCAGACAAGAATCCACAATTTGGCCTCCCTGCCTTTCCAAGCTGGGTGTAGCTCGACGCTTTCGACTTCAAAGGTGCCTTTCGTCAGTGTACCTGTCTTGTCAAAGACAATCTGCTCGACTCGTTCCAGCTCCTGGAGGGTCGAAGCACCTTTGGTCAGGAGCATTCCTTTGGAATGTGCAGCATCTATATACAGTCAGATGTGCTGTGGCTTGATGTCTGGATGGATCAACTTACCAACTGCGGCGATGACTGCTGATGGCACCGCAAGGCCAAGTGCGCATGGACATGCGCTGACCAGGATTGTCATGGCACGCTCGATGAATCGTGACATGGCGGTATAGAATTCGATCAAGTCCAGATCGGGCCCGTAGTATAGCTGCAATGTGGGCGACAGAACTGCCAGTACTACTACGCCCATGGAGAAATAGCGTGTGACCACGCCAATGGTGTCCTGACCCTTGAACTTGTTGGCGCCAGCCTGGGAGACGCTTTGCACGAGCTGGGCGTAGAATGATTCTTGCCGCTCCCTGTGCACGACACAGATAAGGACACCATTGAGATTCCTAGTTCCCGCCAGCAGGTAATCACCCGAGGATTTGGTCACAGGCAAGGCCTCGCCAGTGACGAGTGACTGGTTGACGCTCGAGGTGCCCTCGACCACGTAGCAGTCACAAGGAACAACGGAAAAGGGGGTGAGAGAGATGGTGTCTCCGTGACGTAGAAAAGTGCTTGGTACTTTCTACCATTGGAGCTGGTCAGCTGCATTTTACATTCCGACCACGAAAATGGGCAGTACTCACCTTCCCCCTAGGATGCATTTGCACATAGTCCGGGTCCGAAAGCGCTCCGTACAACTTGACCAGATGTTTGGACGCCTGTCTCCTCGACAAGATATCGAGGTATCTTCCGGCGACCACGACCAGGGTCAGCCCGGAGGTGGTCAGGGCATATGACGTTGACGCCAGGGGCCCCGTAATCAACATGTCCAGGAAAGTGAAGCCGAGACCGAGGAGTGTCGAGAAAGAAATGAGCGAATTCATGTTCAAGCTTCCCTTTCTCAGCAGCCGCCAACAGTCCGTGTGCATCCATCGCGCATGCTGATACTGGCCCATGACGGCGACAATGGCCGAGGCGACCCGCAGGGTCCCCGTCAAGAGTGCTGCGGCGGAGCTTTGAGAATGCCCCAGGCTCCCATTGATGCCACTGGCAGAGACAAGCATCTGCAGAACGATGCCGTATCGGCCCAAGCCCGAAAACGACCTTCGCAAAAGTGCGATGTCCTCTTTCAATTGCAAGAGTTCCAGCACCTCGCCGTGTGTCCGAGGGCCTGGCCGCCCTTCATAGCCAGCCTCGCCGACGGCGGTGACCAGGCGAGCTGCGTCAAGGGGCTCCCCATTCTTGCCGATTACCACAGCCTCGTGCGTCTGGAGCGAGGTGCGCGCCTCCTGGACCTCTTCCAACCCCTCGAGGGCTTGGTTGACGGTCTGCACGCATGCTGAACAGGTCAGCCCGTCGATGGACAGAATGGCACACGTCTGGTTCGGTCTGGTGTTATCGGGCTTCGATCCGCCGTTTTGATCAGTGGCCTGTGAACCATCATGGAGGGAGCCCGTAGGGTCGAGCTCATCATTGTACTGGATGGTTTGGTCAAGATCCAGAAACTGACACGTCTTGACCAACTGGCCCACGCAAAAGGCGGCTATGTAACAACAAGCCATGACTGAGAAAGCATACCACACGCAGCCGAGGACTTGGGTTTCTCCATGTCGAACGCTTTGGGGCCTCTTACCATCTCGCAGACTCTGATCCCACAGCGCAGGGCTCACAGCTTTCCTACTCTCAATGCGATTAGTGAGGGGAAAGGGGACCCGGCTCATCACGGCCCGAGGGTTCTCATTACCATCCAAAGAAAAGCGCTATGTTGGTCAAGTGTAAATCGGGGCCCCTCGCGGCACGGGAAAGCGGATCGAATGTTATTGGGCACGCCCCCGAGCATGGGCGGACGGGTGAGCAGAGTCGAGGGGCAGCCTTGAACCCGGACCGCAGATGATCTATCTCGGATGCCCCCAGGGGACTTACAGAACGTTGAAGGTCTCGCTCGGCTTTGGCCTCAGCTCGCGAGCTTCACAGTTCATTCTCAGCCTTACCACTTGTTGGAACTATACATCATTGTGAGTGACTGTGAATGAGTTATCAGACTCCATCTCCGGACACCAGCCTGGCAGTGGCATTAGCCCACGTCAGCACTGCTCGTGGTAATCATGCTCCCATTTCTGGGCTGGTTGCGAATGATTGTCTTGCTCTGGTGTTGTCACGTCCATCACATATTTATCTGAGGAGCATCTACGGTAAAATGTGACTATTGTCTCTTTCAAACACGTTTGACTCCTGAGGGTGGAACACATACAGTTTGCCCTGCATGAAGCCCGTTACCTGCCAAACAGCAGATGAATGATATTCCTGTCATGAACGCACCGAGAAGCAACAGCTGAATTTCATATGCATGTATTGTGTCAAATACTATATACTGCCTGCAACGTTTTCCTATGGTCCAAAGGCCTGGCTGGGGCTTCATTCCATTTGTTCCCAATGTCCACTCAAACTCTTTCGCACTCACAGTCTAAGCCTGAGGCTTGAGGGTGATCGGAGTCCGACCACTGACGGTAAGCTTGGCCGAGGCCTTGCCTGCAGCGTCGGCCACCAACGAACCACCTGTGCTCAGAGAATACGATGCGCCGGGGGCGAGTCGGCCGAACCCGAGCGTGAACGTCCCGGCGTCGCGGCCATTGTAAAGGACCAGGTCGAGGTCCTTGCCGGTGTGGCTATAGGCCTTGGCCACCAGCACGTCGGGGAACGGCACCTCCTCGAGCAGCGGGCCGTTCAAGACCTTGGGTGCAGGACCGTGCAGGGTCGCGTTGGCCAGATCGCGGCATTGGAGAAGCCGAGCCATCAGAGCAATGACCTGGGTCGTCGCCGAGAGGCCCTTGTTTCTCAGGGATCCCGACTTGGTCGTCTCCACGGGGAAGTACTTGGTGTCCAGCTGGTCCAAGGCCTCCTTGCGGACTTTCCGGTCGCCGAATTCGGCGGCCGTCGCGGCGATGAATGCGCGCAGCGGACCCTCACTAGCCTTGTAGTTGCCCGGGTCCATTTTGTCCGCGCCCTTGAGAGCCTTGACCGTCAATTCGCCGTTGTGGTCGTAGGTGAGGAACTCCTTCCGAATCATGGCCCAGTTGCGGTGCGCCAGGTGCGGGAGGTAGGCGGTGAGTAGCATGGCATTGATACAGTCGGTCAATGTACCACAGAGGCCCGGAAGCTAGTGGTGGTCAGGTCAGCTTGTACCATCGGGCTCGGAATATTCTTCCGACTTACCGTCAAGCCTGTAAATTCGCTGCGAATTGGTAGGATCCGGCCATCCGTTTCGGTGAACTCTTCCTCGAGAGACTTTTCGAATCGATTTCTCAATTTGTCAGCCAGATTGCGTCCCAGCACCCGGTCGGAGATGACAAGTCCGGCCATTCCTGTCAAGCTACAAATGGAATATAGGTCAGTCCAGTTCATACCATGGAGGGGGCAGCAAAGCAACATCGACTCACTTGCAGAGGGAATAGGTCCAGTTGGGCTCGCACGGATAGAGACAGTATGGGTTCTCAGTCATGTTCTCGTTGAGAGCATCGGCCAGGCCTTCAAAGTTGGTCTTGTAATGCTTTCCATCGTCAATCACAAATTCGAGTGCGTTCTTGTCCATGTATCGTCGATCTCCCGACGCTTGCGAGTACAATCCAATGGCGCAGCTCAAATAACCCGTTACCATCTAGTCCAGCGATTAGCAAGCGTATCTCCTCTCAACGAGAATCCAACGTACAATATTATCCTTCTTGATCGGGTCCCAGTCACTCAACGTAAATCTGCCGAAGATGGACTCCCATTTCCAATATCTGTAATTATGGTCAACTCTCCAATCGCTGGTGTGGATCATCATGATGAGCTGGGATCACTTACGACATGATTCGCTTCTGCAAGCTCTTTTCAATGCAGTTTTGCGAGGCTTTGGACAGATAACCGTGGAAGCTTGGGGCGTAGTGGCATTGATACAGGCTCAGAACATCAACCACTCCATAGAGCTGGTATCGGATGGCACCTGTCTGGAATTGATCGATGACATCGTGGAAACTGAAGTCGCTCTTTGGGCTGAGACCACGCTCGAGCATATACTGGACATGGCGAAGGGTTTCCAAATCGAGCTCCCGGCTTCCTGGAGCAGGAGCGGGATCCGCGTTGACGCGTTGCTCATGGACGGCGTCGACGAGGTACTTGTTGCGTTCCTGGGCCAAGGTGTACCCGGCAGCATTCAGCTGGCGGGCGTTGTGCATCAGCCAGACAATGCCACCGAAGCAGAAAATGGCCCAGATGGTGCCGGCCTTGTCAAAGAGCTTGTCCCCCGCCATTGCACCGGCGGCTACCGCCGAGCCCAGCCACAGCGCAATGGGAAAGAAGATGCCGCCCATGGCGAACCACGCAAAGACCGTGACAGGAAACAGGACCAGAGACAACAGGAACGCGCCCAAGGCGGGAACTGTGCCGACGCCGACGAAGCCTGCTCCAGGGAAGAGAAGACCTAGAGCGGCAGCTCTGTAGGCAGTGGACGAGAGGTTGTTGAACGACCAGAGACCGGTCAAGGCCAGAGCGATGTACTGGTATAGAGTCCGGCGTTGGTGGTACTTCTTGATCAATCCCCTACCGGCGTTGGCCGGGATCAAGACATCTGATCATTCGCGATAGCTGGTTAGCAATCTGGGCACTGGACAGTTGGAGGTCAAGCACAGCTCAACAGGCGTCACGTACCTTGGATTTTCCATGGTCCCCATTCAAAGTCGCCGGCTCCTGCGATCTGAGGCTGTCTTTGAGCCGGGACATTATCTTTGGTGGTAGCGACCTCGAATGGAGGAAAATCATCGCCGCCAACCAATGGAAAAGGCTGAGATGCCGTTTGCACCTTGGTCGCCTGGGTGTATATCGATCAGTCACACATTGAGCCTGCGTTGGGCAGCAAAACTTACAGTTGTCAACATTTTGAAAATAGATATTCCTTGTCCAGTTTGTGGAGAAGAAGAATGCCAGGCAGGTCCGTGTGTTGACAGACGGGTTAGAATCTGGAACTGCATGATCTTCGTTCAACCTATATCCTCCATCGCCTCTGGTTTAGAGCGGACCCCGGCCCGAGTTTGTGAGTGAGGGAGTCACAGGCTAGGCGTCAGTATACGGTCGGGGTTGTCCCGTGTCCCTTGCGCTTCCCCGTGTGGAAAAGATCACCCAGGGTAGGTATTTCGGCGGGGTATGAGTATGGTCCGGGGGTACCAAGGCTAGCGGATGACGGCCAGTGAAGTGTGGAGGTCCTTCATCGCACACTATGTCCTCCACGGCCCGGGAAAAATCGTAGACTATCAGGCAAGCGCACGGAGTAGAGGCCGAAATGTCGAACAGACCAGTGGAAATGACTGCATAATATCCATTGCTACGGCTCTGCGAATGACAGTATCAATCAAAGAGTAAACCGCGTCAAATTCCCAGAACATGGCACCAGATCTCGCACGAGCAATCGTCTCTCGACACCCACAAGACGGGCGTCGACAATGGAAAATCGAGGACGTGGAAGTCCACGCCCCAGATGCTGGTGAAGTTCTGGTCAAAATCATCGCCAGCGGTGTCTGTCACACCGACCTAGGCTGCGGTTCCTTTCCAGATGGAGTGGGATTTCCAGTTCCTCCTTATCCGCGTGTTCTCGGCCACGAAGGTGAAGACAGCCCCTGCACTCGGTTCAATAGAGAACGCAGACATGTTGACTCTGGCCTTAGGGGCGGGATACGTCGTCAACGTTGGGAAGAAGGTCACCAAAGTCAAGCCGGGTGACTCGGTCCTACTTTCCTTTGCCTTCTGCGGTAAATGTCACAACTGTGAACATGGGGCACCCGGCTATTGCGCCCAGTTCACGCCGCTCAATTTCTGTGGCAACCCAAAGGCGTTCGAGCTGCCCGGCAGTGACAAGGACAGGCCGGCGGTCGGAGGATCTTTCTTTGGCCAATCGAGTTTCTCCAATCTCACAAGAGTCCAAGAGACGTCGGTGGTGAGAATGACAGATCTGGTCAAAAACGAGGCCGATCTGAAACTCTTCGCTCCATTGGGATGCGGAATCCAGGTTGGACATTCACCCATCTCTCCCTACGGCGTGGCTCCGAAAACTATTAACGCATTCATCTTAGACTGGTGCGGGAACGGTTACCGAGATCGGTGCAGCCCGAGCATCGGACAAGGTCGCCATCATCGGTCTTGGTGGTGTCGGTCTCGCTGCAATAATGGTATGTCGCTTGAGCCATGGGACGGGCTGCTGACAAAAAGGCTGACTGGCTAACAGGCCGCGAGGCACCGAGGATGCCGCACAATCATCGGCATTGATCGTATTGATGCCCGACTCGAATTGGCCAAGTCGCTTGGTGCGACACATATCATCAACACCTCGACGGTCGGTGATGGACTCGAGAAAGCGGTTCGCGATATCACGGAGCAAAGTGGTAGCACGATTACCATTGATGCCACCGGAGTCGTTTCCTTGATCCAACAAGGGATTGAATTTACCGCCAACCAAGGAAAGATGATCTTGCTTGGTGTGGCTCCCATGGATGCGGCTCTCCAAGTGGCTCTAGTCCCCTTCATGGTGGTAATTACATCTCTGTCTCTGATCAAGCGCGAAGACCGCTCTGACGGAATGTGAAGACAGGAAAACAGCTGCTTGGAAGTATGGAAGGCGGTGTTCGTCCAGCGGATGTCAGTGAACTGCCGTGTCGACAATTTGAGGTTTACTGACACGTCGTGACATAGTACATTCCTCGAATGATCCAATGGCATCGCCAAGGCAATTTTCCCATCGACAAGCTAGTCAAGTACTACAAGGTCAGTCGAACATCAACCAAACTCGGATAGACACGGCAACTGATTGTTCACCCATAGGTGGAAGAATTCGAAAAGGCAATCCATGACATGGAAGAGGGAATCACTGTGAAGCCGATTTTGCTTTGGTGAGGTGTGTTTCGAGAAAATTAATTTTGGGGGCTTCCCGAGTTTTATATATTGTTGGTGCGTTGGTGGACGCGCAACAATGGTGAAAGACGTGGGCGACTGACAGGGAATGTCAGCACATAGTCACCACCACGCAGTAAAATCAAAGCACAAGCCTGGACCAATCTTGTTCGGTATCCAAGTCAACTGGCATATCTGTGTAGCCAGGATCAGGTACATCCAACCATGCGCCATCTGTCGCATCGTTGATGGTGGGATCAAAGTAATCTATGTCGATGGGAACGGCTGCGGTGTCAGGCATCAAGCCAGCCACACTGGACACGCGCTGCCCATGGTCCAAAGTCCTGCTTGTCGGATCCCAGGGCCCGTCATTGAACCATTGTTGGCATGTCTCTGGAGAGGATGAGGGTCTAGCAGAGTCCGACAGCCATCCGTAGTCGAGCAAATTCCAGAGGATATCCAGAGTAGGATCCGTCAACGTTTCGCTAGGGTTCAGCGCTGAGACTGCTGTCACAAGACTTTTGGCTGATGTGGGATCCGGATCAAGCTGCATCAAAGCATGCGCCTAAAGGACAGGATCATCAAAGGCTCGTTCGGGTTGAGAAAGTGGGGCTGGCTTACCATTCGTGGGTAGTGGCACCATACTGCTTGGCCGTGTTGGAGAAAATCGATCGAGCATTCGAACAGAGCCTTGGAAGTCCTTGAGACACGCTCATCGTCGTGAAAGGTGTAAAGCTTGTGTATAGTTCCAGCAACAGTACAGGCGTAAGAATAGAAACTGGCCAGTGACAGGCCTCTTGTCTGAACGACACGGAGAGCCAAGGTCAGAAGTCTTGCATGCTCTAGCGCTCGTCGCGAAGCATGTTTGAGAAATGTGGTTGGCACTCTTGTTTTGCAGTCTTTCACATGATTCTGTAGTAGGAACGGATGGTGGAGAAGGCATTGATTCAAGTTGTAAAGGACAGCCGAAAAGATGAAATGGCCAGCTCGTGTCTGATCGATCACACCGCCTACACAGTACCATCGGTCGAGTGCTTCCGAGAATGGAGCCAGATTTGCGTCGGAGTAGGTCTCGAAGTGCAGCAAGAGACCATTGATCTTGCTATATTCGCTGCGGTCATGCCAGAGTTTAAAAGGCCCTCTGGAGCCGTGGTTCTGCAGCGAAAATCTCTCGACTCGGCCAAGCGCCGATGCCATGAGAATCGTATGTGCGAATAGGCTCAAGTTCTCAGTCATCTCAGCATCGGGAAGGTCTTGAAGAGCTTCCAGTGTCAGCGAATTGGAGCTAGATTGGGCGCCGAAATCTGTACTGTTGGATGGAAGCCGGACGGAACAGTCGCTGTCCCGTATGGTCGGAGGCCGGTTTTTGCCACATGAAACAAGCCTATCAAGAAGATAGACCGACCAGAAAGTCCAAACCCTCTCTTGCTGTTCCTCGGGAGCCAAGTCTGCTGGTGGATCAACTGTCAACTGCAGGCTTTGTGCAAACCGAACGCCGAGGCCTATCTTGACCCAAGCGAGCTTATGCTTTCCAGCTAGACAAGTGCTGTTAGTCTCGATGGATCATGCATCTATCTTTGTGTACCTGTTACATAGTACTCACTAGTAAAATCGACTACGGCCAGCATGTTTGTTGCTTGGACAACTGTGATGTCTGGGGCATCATCTTCCGAGAAGGATTTTTCGTAGATCTCATCCCAGGCTGACCGTGCGTAAAGCTCAATCATGTTCTGCTGTTGCCCATGAAAAAAAGGATCTTGGGAGAAGCGTGCGGCCATGGCCAGCACGGCTTTCAGCAAATAAGACGGCAACTGGCCTTCCTGCAGCCTGCGTTGGAAACGGGTCTCGTCGAAATAACGATAAGGCTGGCTGTGGCAATATTGGAAGTACGTGTCCGTGAGTGCGAGGACGATTGACGGAGGTGGTAGGATTTCGGCATCGCTGCACCGGGATGTTAGCATTGCACCGCATGGCCGACACTCCTGCGCAAGGAAGAGGTTGTCTTGCCTTGCTCGTCGGTCTCGCTCTGCATCTGGTCCAGAGAACGTTGGGCGCCGATCCGATTTCCGGGCACGACTACCGGAGAGGTCACCGTCTAAGCCTGCACCAAGGCTGCCCCCATCTTTGTCAGTCTAGCTAGGCAAGAAGACGTCCAGCTTCTAAACGTACTCGATTCCAGTATTGTCGAGAAGGCTCAACTTGGATTCCAAAAGAGCGACCCTCGCGGCCAAAGTCATATCCTGTCGCATGTGTCAGACTCGAGATGGCGGCCTGCAACCAGCTTGTACGTGCCACTTACGTTGGGATAGACTTCAGGGCCAGGCCCATTGTCATAGTAACATTCTCGCTTCAGGCGTGCGCAGAAAGCGCAGGACGGCTTCTCTCCGGAGCAACGAGTCTTCTTGCGCCTGGGTACGCAAGCAGTCGTGGTTAGCACTTAGCACAGATGTGTCTTTTCGGAAAGCAAGTTCTCCAGCCTACTCCATACCGGCAGCTTTGACATGCTTGTCGCACTCGCTTGGCCTCTCTTTCTTCAACCATTGCGCCTGTGGCTGTGATAGGATGATTCACAAGGACGGCATGAATGGAACATGAATATTCGTTTCTTTGGGCACGAAAAAGATTCGCAGCGAGGACGTCGAAACAGACAGGTGTAACGAACTTCAGCCGCTGCATGCGGGGTCCGTGTCCGGGACTCTGTCACGGGATGGCAATGTACTTGGGCTCGTGCTAACCTCAAGGTCGGGAGTAGATTGCATGTTAAATTTTCGAGTACGGAATGTACAGGTACGCTGACACCCTACCGAAGGTACCCAAGGTCTATCAGGTTACAGATAGCCACCCAGGTCGGCAGGCACACAACAATAATAACCAGTGCCGATTCCTGAGGCAACAAAGGAAGAGGACTGGAGCGTCACCGGGCGTCACCGGGGATTGCGGGGGACTGGGGGACCGTGATTTCCCGGAGGCTAAAACAGGCGATGCAGGTGCAAGTTTCAAGACGAGGACAACTAACTACCTAGGTGCCCAAGTTGCAGGCAGAAGGGACATGTACTCGGTACACAATAGGCTTTCGTGTTCCAAGGGAGTCTTGTACGTGACAACAACGACTCGGGCAGGAACCAGACTGTATAACACAGTAGAATGTAGGTAGGGACAAATAGAGTATCCAAAATACAGGGCACGCGTCGGTGATCTATCGACCTAATCATAAGTGTTGGCTATTGGTGCCTCTGCCAAGAAAGCCTGTGCGCCACACACTCGCCACAATGCTGCTTTTACCAAGAATTATATTCACTGCCAAGGACGACTGCCTGATGCCCCAGCGGGTGAGTCACGGGTGATCGCTCTCCCGACTCGCGCGAGCCGGGGGTGAGCACAGGGCGGCATCAGCCTCCTTCCCCAACGGGGTGAGCCTCGGGTCCGGTTATTCTGTGCACACCTCTTTTTGCTGGGACCTGCTAATCAGTGCACATAGCGCTATGCAGTCACATGATCGTAAATGGAGCGCTCTTATTGGTCGGTTCAAGGCACTAACTCGTCAAAGTGCCTCTTACGCCTACGCTCTCCCTAACTTACGTGTGCACCTCGCTGTTGTTAGTGCTGTTGTGCCTTCTGTTGCGCCTCCTGTTGCGCCTCCTGTTGCGCCTCCTGTTGCGCCTCCTGTTGCGCCTATTGCACTCGCCGTTATGCCTCCTGTTGCGCCTGTTGCACTCGCCGTTGTGCCTCCTGTTGCGCCTCCAGCGTCTCTTGCCGACGACCGAGAGCGCCGTCTACCTCCTACGCGTCCTGGACGTGTCTAGCGCCCCTATAGGAGGAAGTACACAAACCTTGAGGGCGTCAGATCTCGATCAACGCAACGCCGAGCCTACCTATCGACAACGAGTCCATCATAACTAAGTTGAGTGTGCACAGAGTAGTAATTTCTATAAAGGAAGTGCACTTTTACACTAAAATTTTGGTGTAGTGTACACAGAATAGATTAGGAAATATTCCCGAGTGCACAGAATAACTAGATTATGTGCACTGTTTAGAAAACCACAGCGAAAATAGGTGTGCACAGAATAACCGGACCCGTGAGCCTCGAGCAGAGTTCAATGTGTATAGTAGTCGCGTAAGTCAGCACTTCTACCTCTTATAATGCGTCGTATTACTTTAGGCGACCAAGTAATAGAGGATAGCGACCTTCTTACAGACTACCGTGAAAGAATCTTTCCCAACTCATTCTATATAAACAAGACTATAGCGTCTAGATCTTCGTTAGGCTTCTTAGGTGGGTATTTATGTAGTGCCGCCAGTATCGGGGAGGTAATCGGGGAGGGTCGTCTACTACGATTTCAGAGTGTAGAAATATATCACGAATCGTTCCGCGAGGTCACGAGTTCGATCAGGGTTACTAATAAGTAGAAGGTAGGATAAAATATCCTAATAGGCTTAAGGGTATTATTATTATTATTAATTCCTTTTAACGTCCAGTAATCACCCTTCGCGGGCCTATGAAGACGGTTCTCTCTTCCCTATCCCTCCTTGCTTACTCCCGCTCTTGTTCGCTCTCTCCCTCCCTCTCCATCTCTTCCTCTTCGTCCCTTGTTGCTATCTCTCCTTCGTCGCCCTCCTCCCCCACCTCTCTGTAGTTCCTGTACTGTGCCAGCAGGTCTGTGGCCAGGACTAGGCGGGCCGCCTCAAGGCACCCTTGTCTTGTGCTGAGTATCGCGGCTAGGGAGTCCCCAGTGTTGTTCCTAATGACTCTTGCTCGTAGCTCGTTCCACCGCCGGCATTTCAGTATAACGTGTTCCACCGTCATCTCCTCTCCGCTCTCACACTGTAAACAGAGAGGGCTGTCGACCCCGGGCACTCTTCTCTTGTAGAGGAAAGTATTGAAGCCGATTTGTCCTGTCCTGAGTTGGACGATCAGCGCTGACAGGTGTTTCCGTAGTCCACGATGGACTTTGCATGTTTTCCTGTTCAGCTTTGGTTGGAGTGATCGACTGTGGGCACCTTTTGCTCCTTTCTCCCATCTTTCATCCCATTTTCGATACATTTCCTTCATCAGACTTTTCTTGGCCGACCGGGAGTCTTTCTGGTCACTCTCTAGACTCAGCACCACGTTAATTTCCCTGGCCTTACTCTCTACCCACTTCTTCAGGGTTTGAAAGGGACTATTTGGCTGTGGAGTCCTCCCTCTTCTTCTACCGGCTCGAAGAATTACTGCGGTCCTTCCTTCGATGCTTTGTAGCGTCTTTGATTTTATCGCCCTGGCTGTCGCTAGGTAGGTGAGTGTATCGGTGTGTAGGTCTAACGGTTCGACGCCGAGCTCTGCCTCTAGAGCCTCTGTTGCTGTGGCCCTATATGCCCCGGCGACCACTCTCAAGAATTTTCCTTGAAGGTCCTGGAGCTTTCGGGCGACGCCCTTCCTTCCCTTGAAGAGGTGACTTGGCTCGTTCCATAGGAGAGCCCCATATGTCAATGCTGGTCGAATCGCCCGGAGGTATACTTGTTTCCCTGTCTCCAGGTTGGCTCCCCAGACGGAACTCGTGAGAGTCTTCATGGCTGCTATTAACGCTGGCACCTTAGCCTCTATATTTTTAACGTGGGCTCTCCCGCTTAGTTTCGTATCGAGGATAACTCCTAGGAGTTTCATTTGAGGTTTCGGCGCCACCACGGTGCCGCCTAAATCCAGAGCCTGGTCCAGGTCTTTACGTCACTGTCTTGTAAGGTGTAGTAGACCATACTTGCCCACGTTTCTTTTATAGTTAACTTTATTTATAAACTAGATAATATATTTTATTAATAGTTTTTATTCTAAATATAGATACTCTTACTCTAGTATACGTTATCACGAATCGTTTCTTCGAAAAGTCACGTGTTTAATTAGAGTTACTAATAGACGAAAGAAGATATTTTAATATATATACTAGAATAAGAGTATCTATATTTAGAATGAAAACTATTAATAAAATATATTATCTAGTTTATAAATAAAGTTAACTATAAAGAAGAGCTATAAAAGATAGATAAAGTCTATAACTATATAGATATAGAAGATTTATAATATCTTATACTACTCTCTTACTCTACTTACTCTATTAAAGTACTAGAGTAACTAGATTACTTTTAATAACTACGTAATATTATAGTCTTACGCCTTATAGCTAAGTATATATCTCGCCTCGGTATATCTACCTTCTCTTATCTGACTATTAGGCGGTAGACAACCCTGCTAGTGCCTTGATCCTAATATATATATCGAAATCTCTTCTTCCGCTTATTAGTACTACTAATCGAATACGTGACTTCTCAGAGGAATAATTCGTGATAATATAGTGGATAGAGGGAAAGTCACCGAAGAATAGGAACGGGCTTTATATAATAATATAAATAGAAAGATAGGAGAAATTCGGTCGAGGGATGTAGCTAGTATAGTACAAGGGGTAAGCGATAGTATATAGAAAAGAAGATTCTTAATATTACGACGACGAAACTATAGAGCTACGTAATATCGTAGTGTTGGCGGGCCACGCGCGCGGGTGTAGAGGAGGCTAAAAGCGGCGCCCACGACCGCTGTTTTCGGCGGCTATTTCACCGACATGTTGAGATACTCCGTAATCTGAATGTCGGTGAAATGGCGGCATAAACCGACTTTAGCGACCCGCCTCCGATCGGGCAGCGCAGTCGCGCGGATCCCTCGCCGCTTTGACGGTTGGCTATATATATCGCGCATATCCAGCGGCTCTTGTAGGGGTTGGACCCGGAGAAGGAGTATCTGGACAAGGCTGCATGTATGTTCACAATCTGGTTTTACAGGGATGTCGCAGATGATCTGACCCGAAATCTCCCAGCATATATCGAGCAAGCTTGCAAGTATGTAGAATAGAGAGCGACAACTAGCTTCATGACTTGTGCCATTGCCTATGCCTCGTTGTTGATCTAGGACCAAGAATAAAGACGTTTGAGAACCCACTTCCATAATATCTTACCCTCCCCGTTTAAGTATTTATAGGTCCCTAAGTCTCGTCAACGCCACAACGCACGGCTTTAAGAGGCGCTCTTTAGGCTTTTTAGCAACACCCCTCCATACCGTAGTGGATTGTGCCTCACCCCAAAGGCGGTAGATATATAGTCAGACTTTTGGGCTGGGAGTATTTCGCACCCATGGGTGTTTATTTCGCACCCACGCTAAACTAGAATTAGTTATAACTTAGCTTATAGACTACCCCTATTATAGTGCCTATAGCTACCCCGGTAACCTCGCCTATAGCGACGCCTAAGGGCCTATAACCACGCCTATAACCACGCCTATAACCACGCCTATAACCACGCCTATAACCACGCCTATAACCACGCCTAAGCCTATAACCACGTCTATACCCAGCCTATACTATATATATAGCTATATAGCTATACCTATAACTATACCTATTCTTTATTTACCCGGGTGCTCGCGTGCTCTCGTAGCCTAAATTACTTTAGGGGTTGTTTTACGAATAGCTATAGGTATAGTTATAGGCGTGACTATAGGCGTGGTTATAGATATAGGTAAGGATAGTAATAATAGTATACTTTCGTAATAATCGCGGAGGTGTAAGCCCCTTTAGGAAATAATAAAAGAAAGAGAGCTAATTACATAAGCACTATTAAGAATATAGTTTAGCGTAGGTGCGAAATAAACACCTATGGGTGCGAAATACTCATAGCCGACTTTTGTCTTCAAGTATTAACCTCGCTCTAGACTCGGTGGTGAACAACATAGTGGCTTCTCATGTGGGAAGCTGACCTTGATTGAAAGAATCCCTTAAGCTGTCTGGTCCATAACGAAATTTCCCAGCCACTCTAACGGTTGTGGTTATACTTGAACAGTATGGGTCAAGACTAGAATCTGGCCATCCTGCAGCCCTTCCGATACCGCTTATAGCTCATGGACGTATACAAAGCAGAACTAGTCCGAGAAGATGTCAATTCTGCAGTACTACTTCAAGCTCAACTTTCTCGCTGACATATACTAGTACTATCTCAACTGGAGTAGGAGACTGTTCTAAGGAGAAGGAGAATTCTCAAGCGGCCACGTCGACAGCAGCAGCAGTAGTCTTTCTTTTCGCACCGTAAAGTCTATTGGCGATGTACTATACTCGAGACGTCGTCTTGTCAGTAGCGTTCTTTCTCATGTTTTCAACTTCCGAGGAAGGACCTATCTTGAACGGTAGAAGCAAACATGTACACCACTTACCTCTCCAGCAATGAAAGGCTGGAATTTAGCGGGGTTTTCATCATTGACACAAGTGTGAATCGCCTCGATCTGAGTGGTATAGTTCGGCCCGATGAACAATGGAAAAGAGTACCGTTCGCGGCCGGAAACGTTGTAGACGCGGTGCAAGGTCGAGCGAAAGACTTCGTTCGTCCAACGGGAAAGAAAATCACCGATGTTGACCACGAAGGTGCCGGGGATTGGCGTCACTTCGATCCAATTTCCCTTCTTGGTCTGAACCTGTAGGCCATTGGTGTCGTCCTGGCACAGAATTGTGAAGCCTAGACAGGCAGAAAGTTAGCGGAGCACAACATGGACGCAGTGAATCTTGTATGGGTCAAGAGCAATTGTGTATTCAGTGGCCAGCACATGACCATTACAGACCCAAAAGAGACGATGACATAACTTACACTCATAGTCCCTATGCGCTCCAATGCCGGGATGGTCGGGATCGAGTCTCGAGGCGGGATACCTCAGCAGCCGCATGATAGCGCCCGGGCGAGTGAGGATGGCGTCGAAATATCCTTCCGGGAGGTCCAGCACGAGGGCAAACACTCTCATCATCCGCCTGCCGAGGTTGAGGACCTCGCTGTAGTATGCGAAGACGTCTCGCTTCCATTCCTCAAGGAAACTCCTCGGCCAGACGTTGGGACCCTTCAGGCCGTCGTACAGCGGCCACGGCTCGGATGCAGGAGTCTGGGCATCGGCCGCAGGCTCGTAGCCAAAGTTGAACGCCTCTTTGAAGTCTGCGAGGCGTAGAATGTCAGTCAGCACGTAACTTTGGTTCCAATCCCCCGCTGCTTTGTGAGGCAGTCGTTCAATGGCGGAGGAAAAACTCCCAACTTCCACCGATGCCGGAAACAGAACGCAACTCACCTCCTTTCGTCTGCGGGTCTACCGCACCGTAATGGATATCCTCGTAGCCTTTGAAGCTCTCATTCTTGGTGACGTAAACTTCCATCTTGTCTTGGTCGGGCAGAGCAAAGAATTTCTTCGACACGTCGAACGCCCGATCAATGACTTCCTGGGGAACACCGTGACCCTTGATGTAGAAGAACCCGACACGGATGCAGGCATCGCGAATTTCCCGTGCAACAGCCAAACGGTCGTTGATGTCACTGCTGGTGAGGCCCCCTAGATCGATGACTGGAACCTCATTGAAATCGGCTGTTTCCAGCCTCATTGCCGCTTGAAGCAGGGTCTCACCGAGGAGCGGCTCTTGAACGCTGCCCATCTTCAGGGGGGGGGTGGCACCTGAATCTTACCAGGTGACGATGTAGAAACGAGTTGAACCTTTTGAGTTGGATGTTGACTCTATGTTGACGGCATATGGACTGGTGCATATATAGTGCCATGACACTTCTTATCGAGGCAATAAACGGTTTATCTGTGAGGCTTATCGACCCACTTCCTTTGCGAAAGGTTCCTGCATCCCTCCCTCTACATGTGCCAGTAATCCAGGCACTCTCGGCTACGCAGTCAGCCCGCTTCAAGCTTCTATTATGTCAAGATTTGGAATATCTGTCTAGCTCTGGAGTACACGACAGCAGTGCCCTGCGATTTCAAAGACCCCAACTCCATCAAGGTGTAGATAATAGCAGTCCGTCCTCTCGTCATTAGTCTCACACGGGCTTATCGCCCCATCACTTTAACAATCGAACCCACGGGTAGACGAGGACTGCTTACTATCTCGGCGGCACCTATCTCGCCCTTTCGCCTACAGCTCCAGCTCTATGTGACCAACCCCCCTAGAAGAACAAGCCAACATTGCGAATTCCTTGTCCGAGTCCAACAGGCCGGTCCCGCGGTGATCGATACGTCCCCTTGCGACATTGACACGACAAGTCCCGCAGCTTCCAGCTTCACAAGACGACGGCACGTCAATACCGGCGTCCCGCAGTGCCTCGAGGAGGGTCTGCGTCGATGGCACCTCCACCGTCTTTTTGCTCACCACCAAGTCGGCGGTGAATGGATCTCCTGTTGTCGGGATCGCAAAAGCTTCAAAGTGTACCTGCTCATCCGCCAGCCCATATTGTTTGGCGGCAGTCGCAACGGCGTCCATCAGTCGAGAAGATCCACAGCAGTAGATGTGAGTGTTTGTTGTCGCTTTCGATACTACTTGGGCAAGGTCCAGACGCCGTCCTGCCCGTTTGTCGTGAACGATGACCTTCAGGCCCAAGTCCGCCAGTCGCTCCCGGAAGGGCACATCGTGTGCCGACCGGACCGCCAGGTGCAATGTGAAGTTCTCCCCTGACTTTTTCATCTGCTCCGCAGCGAGGAGGAAGGCGGTTACTCCGATGCCACCAGCGATGAGTATGTGTTCGTCGGCGTCAGGCGCCAGCGGAAAGCTGGTGACAATTTGACTGACTGAGATGACATCTCCCGTCTTGACCTTTTGGTGCAAGTGTAGGGAGCCGCCTCGAGAATCGTCTGCCAGAGCCACACCCAGCTCAAAGCGATTTCTGGTGCCACTCACGACAGAGTAGGCTCGCATCAGCTTGCCTCCCAGCTTCAGGCGCACATGCGATCCCGGTTCGACATTGTGGTCTGGCAGATGCTGGTCGACGGCCTCAAAGACGAATGAGCATATTCGTGATGTTTGTCGAACCTTTTCTACCAGCTTGTAGTCAGACCATGCCTCGAGTGCCAGAGAGTCGTCGCCAAACATCCTTTCGTCCTGGTTCTCGAAATTCTTCTTCAGTCGATTTTCGAAGATTGTACGAGACTCTGCACCCAGTCCCGGGAGTGTTACCAGTTCGGCCATGACTTCGAAGTTCTTCATATCGCGATACAGGTAGTGTTGGACGGCTGCCACGCTCCAGTTCGGATTCGGTCTATCCATGAGCCGAATCTCGTCGCCCGCGGAGATGTAGCCCTCTTTCAAGACCCGATAATACCATCCTGTCCTGCTCTTCATCTGGGACTGCCATGCCATGTTCTTGACTTCGAAACGGTGGTTGAGCTTGAAGCACGGCTGTCTCGGGAGACTGACTTGGACTTGGACTTCTGGGCCAATAGTGAGGACATCGCCAATGCAGATATTCTGTTCATTTGCGGAAATACTGACAAGGTTTTCCCCAAAGCCGCCAACGGTAAATCGTTCTTGACTCTCCGGACATTCTTCCTTCCAGGTCTCATAGTGCCGTGCGCAGTAATGGAGAAGCGCCTTGTCCGGACCCCCATGGAACTCATATGCTTGTTCATCTCCTACACAGCCCAGTGCCGTGACTTGAACTGGCTGTGTATGGGGATTCTTGTATATGGCTGACTTTACGGGCAGGTGGTACAGGGGCTTGACCTTTCCTGTCCGTACCTGGAGCAGTTTTTCTGTTTGGAAGGGTCGCTTCAATTCCGCGAGGCGTGCGTCTATGTCTCCTGAAGTGGAAGTCGGCATTCTGAACAAGGCTTGAACATCAATGGTCCTGTTACTGGTTCGTGGGTTCGTGGGTTTAATTCGCCTTCAGGGGCCTTTGTTTGCTGTATGCGGAAGCAAATTATGTCTTCTCGTAAGCCTTGATGGCCAGACTGATGTCGATGCCAGACATACCGGCAAGACATGCAAACCTTTCGTATTTGGGCTCTCTTGATTAGCAAAGCTCAACGCCGGCTGCTGCCTGTCACGATTCCATGCCTCTGTGGGTCTCGTGACCATGACACCCCAATTAGACAATATTAGCCGAGTATAGCTTACCTACGCTCTTCCGCCTCTAACCCTAGTTTATAGTCCTTCGTATTATAATTCATTATTCAAATGACCTTATAGGGTGGAGATCCTGATACTGCCAACCAGGCTGTAGTAACAGGAGATAACGACCCTTGACTTGAGTCCTCGGAGGCTAAGAAGACTCCGGGGCAAGATCGACCTAAACGAAGGGGGCCTGGCTGGGGTCCTATCATGAAAGGAAGCCCGAGAGATAGTACAATCTACATCTGTCGATATGGTGGATAGGTTGTGGAATGTTTGATAAGGGCAGATATGCTTATCTTCGCCCCACCCACTCTTCGAAGTATAGAATCTCTACTGGGAAGTGGCTCCTGTTGGTCTAGACTACCCTGCAGTCCTTCCGTGCACGGCCCAGCGTAGACATCGAGATATTCCTCGTTCATGCTTGGAGACGGTGATACTTAACTGGCTACATATCTTTGTTTGGGACATAGGAGGCGTGACCATTCACCCATGCTATATTTCAACCGTGGGACCCCTTGGTAAATCATCTCGATTTGCAGGCCTATTTCTCCCAAGAGATACATCCTCTCCCTTTCCCTTCCGGGGATATTGTCTAATAGGTTTTCTGGAACTATGAATCCGAGACTCTTCATCATCCAAGTAGCTGAAAAGGGCAAAATCAAGCACGAATATGGCGATGGCGAAAACGCGCAGAACAGCAAATATCTCTGGAGCCCTGATCTGGCGCCCGTTGAACCTGCGCGACGGACATGGGGATGGTACAATTTCATGAATCTCTGGATTTCCGGTACCTTGCGCCAAAGGAATGAGATTGGTGCGAAATTTGTCGCTAACCCGCCTTCCACACAGCCTCATTCAACGTCAACACATGGCAGCTTGCCGGCAGCTACGTCGCCAGTGGTCTGGCTTGGTGGCAGGGATGGCTCTGCATATGGGCAGGATACATTCTCACCGGACTATTCGTCTCCCTCGGTGGTCGCATGGGAGCCATGTACCACATCCCCTTTCCTGTGGCGATCCGCTCGTCTTTTGGTATCTATGGCTCGGTTTGGCCTGTGCTCAACCGCATCGTCCTGGCCATCATCTGGTACTCTGTCCAGAGTTGGATTGGGGGACAGTAAGTCGACCGATGTCTTTGGGGGCGCCGAGGAAACTCCAGAAGCTGACATTGTCGGGAAAAGGTGCCTTTACCTCATGCTTTGCGCCGTTTGGCCTTCGACCGCTCGGATTCCAAACGGTCTCCCAGAATCTGCGCAGACAAGCACCAAGTACATGATGTGCTTTTTTTTGTTTTGGCTCTTTCAACTTGTCGGTATGGGAACATGCATAGCTCATGTGCGAAGAGGCTGCTGAAAGAGATACATAGGGATCTACTTCCCTCTGCATAAAGTGAGACATCTATACACCATCAAGGCCGTGACAGCTCCCATCGGAGGCGTCGCATTTGCTGCATGGGTTGCAGTCAAAGCCGGTAGTGGTGCCGGTCCAGTCATGAGCCAAAGCAGCTGTAAGTCTTCTGAATATCTCTGGTTGTCTAGCCCATGATTGATCTCACTTGTCCAGCTCTCAAGGGGAGTGCCTTGACTTGGACAGTGATTCAGGCAATCATATCATCCCTGGACAATTTCAGCACTTTCATTTTGAATGGTGAGCGGCAATAGGCCCTTGTCTTTGATCTGACCTAGTCGTTGACCCCCTACGCTAGACTCGGATTTTACTCGATTCGCAAAGAGGCCATCTAACGCGCTCTGGTCGCAACTGTTCACCGTTCCTCTTACTTTCTCTATCACTTCCTTGGTCGGCTTGATTGTTTCTAGCTGTAGCGCCACGCTGTACGGCTCACCACTCTGGAACCCTCTTGATGTCTTGGAGCGGGTAAGTAGCTGCCATTCAACCTCTGATGTGGACTCTCCATTGACCTTCTTTGTCACAGTTTGTGACAGAAAACCCAACGAGCAGTGATAGGGCAGGAGTCTTCTTTTTGGCTCTGATCTTTGCCTATGCCCAGGCCATGACCAACCTGACAGGTGCCAATTCCGCCGGCAGTGATTTCACAGCGCTTCTCCCTCGTTATCTCAACATTCGTACGTTACCCTTGCGACCCCAATCCAAAGAGGAGATTTTCTGAAAATCTCAAACAGGGCGTGGCGGATATGCCGCTGCAACGCTGTGTTGGGCCTGTATGCCTTGGAAATTACTGTCAAGCAGCAACAACTTCTTAGCATACGTCGGGGCGTACAGCGTCTTTCTTTCTGCCTTTGTGGGGCCATACTTCTGCGACTACTACATAATCCGACGTGGCCATCTTTCGGTCGTCCAGCTCTACTCGAATAAGTCTTCGGATCTTTACTGGGGTTTGGGTGGTTTCGGCATCAACGCCTACGTGGCATATCTGTATGTCTGTCCTTGCTCGGACGTTCAGCTGCAAATACTAATGATGATTGCCACAGAGCTGGATTGATCTTCAACATCGTCGGTGTTGCTGGAGCGATGGGTGCAAAGGTACCAATTGGCGCTTGGTACTTGTGTAAGTTGGCCAGAAATTCCAACCATTATCCCACGCCATGTGTGGATGTCTCTTCCTGGTCTGTTTCTTTGTTGTGTCATTCGAAGCTGATTACATGTCGAACTTGCTTAGATCAATTCAACTTCCTCACGGGTGTTCTGGTGAGTGGAGTAGCTTACTACCTGATGTGCGTTTTCGGACCCTTCAAGGTCCATCACAGTGAGGGCTGGAACGAGACTGGAGATGCCGAGCTCGTCTCATCAATTATGATCCACAGTGTGGAAGAGTCGGCCGGGGGAATTATGATCCACGGTGTGGAAGAGTCGGCCGGGGGTTTCTCCGAGGAGGTCAAGGAGGACAGCAAGATGCCCGTAATCGAGGCTTTCAAGAGTTGAAAGGCTGATACAATTCCTTCGGTGATGCTGAGCCCCTAGCAAGGGGCGCATTTGGTGGTTCGATGGAGCAGCTTTGACAACGGTCCATAGGAAATTGTCACGACATCGAGTGTTGTGCCTTGCGCCCCACAGTTGTCCAAGCCAACCACGTCTGGAGGAGCATCAGATGCGGATGTCGCTGTTGCTACGTCTATTTAGATGAGAAACGAGTCCATAGAGTTGGTAGAAGCCAGAGCACCATAAGTAACAAGTTGTACATCCTGGCGGACAGAAACATAGAATTTGATTAGAGCGAATGCTAGAATATCGGAGTCTTGCAGATTTCTCCAAGCAATTCACGTCTTTGTACTGCCAATATGAAACATGGTAGCCTGAAAAGTCAAGTGGCAAGTCATATTGGACTTGGAAGAAGTATTGGAATTGTCGTAGGGCGAGATCTACATTTGCAGGAGGCGCTGTAGTTTGGTCATACGTTTAGACAGAACCGTCCATAATGAAGACCGGTGCTTCTTGAGTAACACACCATCACTTTCAAATGGAAATTTCAATTGATACAAATTGGAGATCTCCCTTGTATCCAACCACCAAATTCCGCAATTGTGAGAGCCCTACGACGTACAAATCGGCTCCCGTGCACAACTTTCGTTCCAAATCCGCGTTTCTCATGAGTCGCCTCCGTTACGTTCCGTAGAATCGATCACCGAAGTCGCCAAGTCCAGGCTGTATGTACCTGAGGAGTCGTTAATGTCAGCTCTGCCGGCATTTCGTATACAGAAATCTCCGCCAACCTTTCCGGACTCAGATTCAGATCAATCGCGGCTGTTACCAGACTCAACCTCGGAAACTTTTCCGAAAGTAGGCTGGCAGCTTGCTCCGAAGCTATAACATTCACGACGAGGATCTTTTCCTGCGGAACTCCTTGTTCCAGAACGAGCTCGATAGCTCTGCTGACCGAGCCTCCGGTCGCGAGCATAGGCTCGAGGATCAACACGACTGCTTGACAGTCAGCTCCAACAACAGGGAATAGTGGACGCAAGGTAGTCAGCATACAACTCTCTAGAAAACTCGAAGGAAATTTGGAATACAGGTGGACTGGGAGACAAGTCTTCTCGTCCCGCTGTATCAACACCTTGCCAAAGCTCACCGGGCCGCTTTTTTTGACCGCGGACAAAAAGTCAGCATGATTTTCGCACTGCACGGTACGATATAAAGAGATCAACGTCGGCGTGCCACATACTCGTACGCAATCCTCAGCGCGTCTTCCAAACTGGCCCCTGCTCTGAGGACGCTGACACCGCAGACTTTTGTAGCATGTCTCACTCCTTGATACTTGGCTCCCGTGGGAGTGGTGATCTCTCGAAACTCCACCGGCACATGGTCCAAGGCTGTACCAGAGACGAATAGATGGCCCGGTTAGCGGACACGGTTCGAATTTGTGGTTGAACGGGAGCACTTGGTCTTACCTCTGGCTATCAACTCTGCAGCTACCTTTCCAAAAGCGGTGACGAAGTCCTTGTTGTCCGTGTTTTGATCTCGAAGAATGGTCATCGCACTGAGCAAGTGATTATTCTGCGGGAGCAGAACGTGAGTTCCGTGCATTGTCAAAGTTCTGCTTCTCTCTGAGACCTGCTAAGTGGCTGTCGGACTTCAAGCTTCGTGCAGGGAGCGCTGTGATATCCAAGGGGGTAGCATGTAGAGACATCCAAGCATGGCTTTCATCTCGCAGGAAACGGAAAATAAATCCCCCCACGTGTCGCGGCGTCTAAGACCAACATCGACTTCCTAGAACCTCATCCCAGGAATTCCACAGATAAGATACGATAGAGTATACATGTCTATGGACAGGTACGGAGCATATCCAAAGCCTTATCGACACCTCCAATCTATAGAGCTAGAGATCTCACCAAGCTCCACTTGACTTGATTTGACGAGAAGTAGATAAGCCGTGAGGTTCCACAAATCCGTGTATCTCTCTCGCTATCTGTGGTCGCGTCCTCTTGGATGTTTGCAATCAAGCCTCACGCACTCTCGTTATTTGACGAAATAAGCTCAGCCATCAAGAGATTAATCTTATGCTTGGTCACAGGCTCATTGTCCACGTATGTAGGCCCGACATCTGGTCCTGGTGGAATAAGCTGGAGTGTGTACATCGAAGAGTGTCCACCATGCACCCCTGTGCCCAGGGGGGGTGCCCCATTTGACACAAATACAGACGTAACAAAGGAGCTTAGGGAGGCATTACAGGACTGGTAGCTTGAAAAATCTGTACAGATACAAGTTTAGTTTATAAGTCAGCGTTGGATCAATAGTGCTCAGGATCTACGACATTGAGTTGCGCTCTCGACGACTCAACAAATTATCAACATGGCTATGCAAGTGCTCGGTGGTAACTCCAAGTCCTCACCAAAACGTCTATCGACCAATGTAAGCTGACTCATGTCGATGGATAGGTGGTAGTCATCCACACTTTGTCAATCTTGTATGTCAAAGACTTGGGGACAGTTCACCCTCCAACAAGATGACTTCTTCGCGGTTCTCGAATGGCGAGACCATTGTTGTCATCGAAACCTCTGTCCGTGACGCCGACGTCTTCGTCATTCAGACAGCAGCAGATCCTGTCAACGACATGCTGATTGAGCTGTTGATCACCATCAGCGCCTGCAAGATTGCGTCCGCCAGGAGAATCACGGCGGTGCTTCCATGTTTCCCGTACTCGAGGCAGGACAAGAAGGATCGGAGCCGAGCTCCCATCACCGCAAAGCTCGTGGCCAACATGCTCGAGACTGCCGGCTGCAGCCACGTTATCACCATGGACTTGCACGCGTCACAAATCCAGGGGTTCTTCAACATCCCTGTGGACAATCTCTACGCCGAGACGGTGATAGTGGATTACATCCGACAAAACATGCCCCTGGAGAACGTGGTCATCGTCTCTCCTGATGCTGGCGGAGCCAAACGGTGAGTTCGAATCCAACACCTCCGATGGCATGACACGAGGAGCTGACCTTGCCCCGCTGAGCTGCTATCATTGCGGACAAGCTACGGGTTGATTTGGCTCTCATCCACAAGGAGCGCAAAGTCGCGAACCAGGTCAGCCGCATGATTCTGGTCGGATCGGTCGTTGGGAAGACGGCCATTATTGTCGATGACATAGCAGACACATGGTAGGTCTACCCACATCCAGGAACCCCCCAGGGCCTTACCTTGTCACACTGGTTGACGATTGCGATACTGTAGCGGCACCTTGATCCTGGCGTCAGAAGTCCTGAAGAAGCACGGCGCCGAGAGCTGCCGTGCGGTTGTCGTACACGGCTTTCTTTCGGGGCCTGCGGTCGACAGGATCGAGCAGAGTTCCCTGGAGACGCTTGTGGTCGCCAACACCCTTCCCCTATCCTCAATGGCTCAGAAATGCCCCAAAATTCATTCGATCGATGTCAGCGGCATCATCGCAGAAGCGATAAGAAGGACATACAACGGCGAATCGTAAGACAGACTCTCCGCCCTACTGAAAGTACCCTCGACCCTGATCGTTTTGCCAACAGGATTTCATGTTTATTCAAGTAGGCACTACGGTTTGCTTTGTCAGTAAGCACAGAAAGCACAGAATGAAAATGTCTGCATGTCATGTAGGCTTACCCCGAGGCTATCAGGGCCTGGCGGCCGGTACATGAACACGTTAAGTTTACAGTAACAGAATTGCAGGTCTCGCTCGATGGTGTAGCATGATCAGGGGCAGGGGGTGACTTGGTCGGATAGGCCTAGAATTCCGACTACGATAAGAAGAAGAAATGCGGGTCCGATGAAGTCTGGCCGGAGTGGTGCAATCCTCCCCGTGGAAGTCCGAATCTGGATAAACCAAGTTAGGGAGAAGTACTCCGTACACAAGTCTATGGTACCCAAGTCTATGTCATAGCTGTTTTGGTTCCCATACTTCTGCCTGCCTGCAGAGCAATCCTCTCCGTATCTGATATCCGTATCTTATCTTTGTACTGTCTGACCTTTGCCTACGGATAACATTCTATCAACTGAATTAGAGGTAGCGAAAGCGTCGCCTTGCGAGCGTACGCGGTAGTGATGCTCGTGTTCTAGAGGACCACGATGCTGAGCCAAAACTCCCACACAAGCTTGACGACTCTGGTTGAGCAATCTCCGACTCTGGAATCCGGAAGTGCTGATAAAACAGCCGGATCATCCCCACAACCCTCTAGCAAGAGATTGCGCAGCGATGAAGCAGCCAGAACAGTCGCAGACGATCGGAGCGCGTCGTCGTTATTCCGGAGGTCCAGCATGATGGCCTTGCCGCCCTCCACAACCCAGAACCTGATCAACAATGAATTCAGTGTTTCCAAGTCGAGGACTTGGATAAGGGTCTTGGATCCCGCATCACAGAAAATACTCACGCGGGTGCCGGAGTCGACTCCAGCAGAGGTTCAGAAGGCCGTGACGGTAGCAGCAGCTGCACAGTCGGCGTGGGCCTTGACGCCGGTTGCGAAACGAAAGGCCATGCTGTTCTCTTTGCTTCATCTGCTACAACAACATATGTCCGAGTTCCAACAATTACTCCAGCTCGAGGGTGGAAAGACTCTGCAGGACGCAGAATCCGAGTTCGAGCGGGGGATCGATGCCATTCACTCTGCATGCTCGGTGACGGCGGAGATGAACGGCAAGCATTGGACCAACAACTCGACGGAAATCTACACGATGTACCAGCCTCTCGGTGTCTGCGTACTGATCACTCCGTTCAACTTCCCATTCATGATTCCTTTATGGTCGATTCCATATGCTTTGATCACCGGCAACACCGTTGTCTTGAAACCTTCGGAAAAGGCACCTTCGACCGCGAGCTTGCTCGGGAGATGTTTCGTGCAGGCTGGATTCCCCCCCGGCGTATTTAACATCATACACGGATCGTCAGGAGCTGTGGAGAAGTTACTGTCGCAGCCTGTCGTCAGCGCGGTGTCTTTCGTCGGGTCTGAGGTGGCGGGTGAAAGAGTCTACGAGCACGCCAAAGCCACGAGAAAGAGAGTACAGATTGAAGCCAGTGGAAAAAACCACGGCATCGTTCTGGAAGATGCTGCAAAGAAACAGACCATCTACGCCATCGCTGGTAGCGCTTTTGGCGCAGCAGGCCAACGATGCATGGCGCTGAGCGTGATGCTGTGCGTTGGCTCGACGGCGGAGTGGATTGACGACCTGGTCGAGGTGGCCAAATCTCTCAAAGTCGGCTGCGGATCTGATCCTGAAACCGAAGTTGGTCCTCTGATAACAGCCGCCGCAAAAGAGCGGGTAGAAGCCATGATTGACCTCGCTGAAGCGGAAGGCGCCGAGGTGGCTCTGGACGGGAGAAACTATTGCGTCCCCGAATACCCCGAAGGAAATTTCGTCGGCCCGACCATCATTACAAAGGTTCAGCCGTTCATGCAGTGCTATCAAGAGGAGATCTTCGGCCCCGTCCTCGTATGCATGGACGTCAATACCCTGGACGAGGCCATTGATATGACCAACGAAAATAAGTATGGGAATGGGTGTTCGCTTTTCACCACCGACCCTGTCAAAGCGCAGTTGTTCCAAAGAAAGATCAACATAGGACAGATTGGGATCAACGTCCCCGTTCTTGCAGCTTCGGGTTCTGTCAGTAGAACGGCAAACAAAGACTCTTTCCTCGGAGACAATATATCTGAGCGCAGCCAGTGGCAGTTCTTCACAATGCCAAAGACAGTCACAACATTATGGCGTTGATCCGATTATTTCGCAGCGGGTAGCCACTTGAGCTCTGTGAACGATAAACCAGTTTATACGCAGATTGCCTTCTGTCATACGAGTCTTTCCCTGCCTTGATATGCTGGCTCTTGGAGGGGCGAAAAGAGATACGTAGTGCTTGTGATTAAACGAAGCTTTGTTGGTATTCAGAAGCATAGGGCAATCAAATGAGTATAGGCAAGATCCCACAACTGATCAAAACCTTGGTATCTTATCTACATTTGTCATTCGTCCTAGATACACAGCTACCGAGACAACACACCCTCGAACGATGAGAATATTGGAAAGGATTCGACCCTTCGTGGGCTATCCAGGGCATCTCCAGTTCACTCCGTTCAGCTCAATCCAAGTGTGTACCAAACAAACGGTCTCCAATGTCGCCTAGCCCTGGCTGCACATATCCTTGATTGTCCAGATCTGAGTCTACTGCACCCACTACCAGTCTCAGACTTTCGAGGCAAGTGGAAGCGATTCTGTCGACACCAGTCCTGCTAGCTAGGACCGAAACGAAGGTCACTCTCTCCACACCCCATTCTCTGCATGATAATATCATCAGTCTGTTATGCATAAATCAAGACCACGACATGGTGGTCTTGGGAGATGGAATCTGTGCATGTCTTCTGGGCTTGACTCACCTCAGAATCTCGATGGCAGCATCCGCCGTGCCCCCCGTTGCGATCACCGGGTCGAGTATATAGGCGTGTCTGATCTTGGCGGACCTGGGAGACAATTTGTTGTAATACTCCACTGGCTGTAGCGTCTTTTTGTCTCTGAAAATTCCCAGGTGTTGAACGATGACATTGGCTTCGGGAGGGAACTTGGACAGGAACGCATCCATCATGGCCAAACCCGAGCGCAGAATGACAACAACGACAACCGTCTCCGTCAGAGAAGGGGGTTCTATGGCGATGTCGGCAAGCATGGTGGTCAATTCGGCCGTGAGACTTCGTACTTCACGCGGCGGTAGCGTGAGATCTCGGAGTTGAGACAGCTTAGCTGTGTAAAGGGGTCCACACATGTCGATGGCCATGGTGGCAAGAGAAGCCCTCCGGAAACGATCGAGTGCGTCCTGTGTTCAAGACTCTTTGTACGTAGAATGCTGGAGGGGACAGTATTTCCTTCTTGCTTTCGACGACAAAGACTTGGAGGCAAGCGCGGGCTTGGATGAGCTCATAAATCAAGGGCCGTGATCCATGTCCATTTTTCAGACTCCATTAAATGCTAGGGTCTTTCGATTGCTGTGTGATCATTCCATGCCTGGATAATCTTGCAGTGGCCTGGCTATCCGGCCAGACACGCAGATTGCTAGCAGATCGACCCACCATTTCTCCAGACCCACGTTCTATTTATCAGTCGCCACGGCGATATGCGATAACCAGTGCAAGGTTCTATTGAATATTGGCGGCGCCGTCGGTTCAGACTTGGCCGGTGCGATAGCTGGCGCATTAGAAGGAAAGCCCCCATGACAGGAGAGGCCATCGTGATATTGACAACCAGATGTCTACATCGACACTTGTATCACTCTCGGAGCAGATTATCGCTGAGGTTGTGGAGAAGAACAAGGATTGCCGGCTAATCAGGACAGGATGTCGCCTACCCCAGCTAGCATTTTTCACCCGGCTGAGTGATATTTGACCCTGCCTTAAAGCTGTGAAGGTCAGAGGCATTTCCATCCGCCAGCAGGCCCGCCAGAAAGACTCGTTCTTGACACACCCTCGAATATACAATGTCAGGACCGATGACTTCCGAGGTCGAATACCTGTTGTCTCTCGAAGGAGTGAGAGAGCGCGCCAACCGTGTCTTCAAGATTGCCAAAAGGGGCGGGCTCAAGCATTTCCATTACAAGCCCGAATGCCTACCAGAGGTTGCGCACCTTGTTGCTCACACCATCTCAGTAAGTCTGGGACAGGAGGCGCAGGAGCCCCCAAAGTTGGCTCTGCTCCCGATCTTGGTCTGATATATCCTCCTATCCAGCGCGCCTACGGCCCAGACAAGTACCACGAAATTCCTCCACACGGCCGTTGGCAGCATTTCAACGTCGGCGGCGTCGACCGCGTATCCCGGCTGCTGCAAGGGACAAGAGGGACGGCGGATTCGAAAGAGCAGACACGAATCTTGATCGACTTGTTCTTCGTGTCTGTGCTCCTCGATGCCGGTGCTGGAAATCAATGGAAATACCGAGAAGCTGACGCTAAGAGCGAGACCGTGTACGAGCGGTCCGAAGGCATTGCGGTGGCTTCGCTGTACATGTTCGAGTCGGGCGGGTTTTCGTCCGACTCTGCACGTGCTAGGACTGTGGATGGTATGCAATACGTTGTTTGGCAACAGACAGGATTTCAGCTCTAGAAGAACTAATTCGCTCTTTAACAGGTCAGGCGCTCGTCAACCTCGACACGGAACAATTCCTCTCTAATTTCCAAATATCCACCCACAACCCTATGGTCGGGGTCAATGCTCGAATCCAGCTTCTGAAGGATGTGGGCAAGTCTCTGCTCTCGTTACCAGACATCTTCGGGCCTCAGGGCCGGCCGGGCAATCTTCTTGGTGCGTGATACCACAACTCTGCCATTTTCTTCAGCAAGCTGATCAAGGCTTGTGCTTGCTCTTCTTCCAGATTACATGCTCAACTCGGTCACGGGTACCGAGCCTTTGGACTACGCCACCCTCTGGTCTGTTCTTCAACGTCTACTGATTCCTGCATGGCCCAAGGACAGAACCAACATTGGGCATCAGGCGATCGGAGATGCCTGGCCGCTTGAAGTCCTCAAGGAGGAGGCTCAGTCAGCGGACGGAAATGACGTGGCGGCGAGCATACAACCCTTCCATAAACTGACCCAGTGGCTTGCGTACTCCCTGGTGGTACCATTCGACAAGCTACTGCATCTCAAGTGGAAGCATATGGAGCTGGGCACCGGGTTGCCCGAGTATCGAAATGGCGGCCTTTTCGTGGACATGGATGTTTTGAGGCTCAAAGAAGACAGTTTACTCGCGGGCCAGTTAACTTCCGGGAGTGTGCTTCCCATGTTCAAAGCAGACAGTGACGTTGTTGTTGAATGGCGTGCGATGACAGTGGCCCTGCTCGATCAACTTCACGAGATGATCTCCACACATTTCGAGGCACTGGGAATCCAAATCAGTATGGCACAGATGTTAGAGGCTGGTTCATGGAAAGCCGGTCGCGATCTGGCTGCCAGCAAACGGCCGCAATCAAAATCAAGTCCCATCTTGATCGATGGCGATGGTACGCTGTTCTAGTCATACATGAAAAATCGTACCCACGAGGAACTTGATGGAGCGTCATGGAATGAAGTGACTTCGATGGCTACATAAATGGGACATACAAGCTAGGTCAGAAATTCTTTTTTTCAACACTGGTTGATCCTTTTCATGCAATGTTGGTGAAACCTTGGCCCGAATCACGGCAGAGCACTCTCTGTTTGACCGGGTGTCTGAGTAGCGGTAATCGAGGGACGCATTAAACGCAGAGATTCCATGCAGTAAGACACTGGGATACGCCAGGGTTTATCTTGAGAGAGACTGATTCGCCATCATTGGGATCCTCCTCTAGTCGGTGTTATCTAGACCCACATCGTCAGTAGATCTCGACTTCTACGACAGCAGTGCTCGAGACGATGCTTATCTCGATATAGCCGATTAGGTTTTTATCTCCGTTACTGCAGTGAAACTTCACTTGCCTCGTTCGCGATGGGGCCTGATAGCCCAGATTACATTGTTGTATAGAGTAGTTGACATGGCTAACGATATCTTCTACCACAGGCCTAAATTCTCCGTCCCAGTCTATCTTATCTTCTCCAGTTGATTGAGCTACGGGCTTGGGTATGATCCATGACCCTCTCTTTTGTGTGACACTGCTGCCTTTTAATAAGTCAGCCCCTGGACGCCGGCCGGCCGTTCTCAAAAGATGAACGCGAGAGATCCGTTGTGGCATTCCAAACCAGAAATCAGATCCGAACCAAGTGCCGACATAGTGAAGACGCTGTCGACGGCGACGTCGACGACACCGTTGAGGATGTCCATCCTGGCCACAGCCGCGGTGAGCGAGACGACCGAGTCTCGCAGGTCGAGTACTCCAAGCAGCGTCAGCTCATCGAGTGTGCTGTCGCAGAAGTACAACGACCGGGTCATTCTGACGACCTACCCGGGCCAGAACGTCGCCAATCCCATCCATCTGCAATGGGGCGCGGCCAACCCTCAAGAGCGAGGGCCGATCGTCGTGTCGCGGAACCGCGAGACTCTCAAGCGTCGCAACGCCATCGGGGCCCACGGCGGCAGCTACAGCTTCTACAACGCGCTCGCCGTCGCGGCCGGCGACCTCTCCCGAGACTTTCGCCCGGACCTGACCAACACGCAGCCGACGTTTGACTTTCCCTACCAGCCGACGTGGGGGGATCCTCTGAAGATCGTGTCCTTGGACCCGTTCGGACACGATATAGTCAAGCATTTCGGCCACCACCTCCAAGCCGGCGTGGATGTGCGCCCCTCGATGGCCATCACGCGGGCCACGATGCGCGTGGCCGAGATCACCGACGCACTGCGACAGAAGAGCCTCCGAGTGGACGGCAACATCGTTCTGAACGACTCCGGAGACGTGCGTGTCACCAAGGTCGCCGTCGATCCGGTTTGGTATCTGCCGGGGATCGCCGACCGGTTCGGCGTGGACGAGACCACGCTGCGGCGGGCCTTGTTCGAGCACACCGGAGGCAGCTACCCCGAGCTCATCACGAGGACCGACTTGAGCGTCTTCCTGCCGCCTGTCGGTGGCCTGACGGTTTACATCTTCGGCCCGCCTGAGTGCGTATCCGACCCCAATGTCAAATTGGCTCTCCGTATCCACGACGAGTGCAACGGATCGGACGTGTTCCAGTCCGACATCTGCACGTGTCGTCCCTACCTCACTTTCGGCATCGAAGAAGCTTTGAAAGAGGCCCAGGCCGGAGGATCCGGCGTCGTCATCTATTTCAGAAAGGAAGGTCGCGCTTTGGGTGAAGTCGTCAAGTACCTGGTCTACAATTCAAGGAAGAGGAGTGGCGATACCGCCGACAAGTACTTCCAACGAACGGAAGCCATCGCTGGTGTTAGAGACGTAAGTGTTATCTCGACGTTGGCATTGTCCCCCACCGAACCCCTAATTCTTCACTTGGCTTTGGATCAACGGCAGGACAGTTCCGGTACTGACCAAACATAGATGCGATTTCAAGCTCTCATGCCAGATATCCTGCACTGGCTCGGCATCAAAAAGATCGACCGGATGCTTTCCATGTCCAACATGAAGCACGACGCCATCGTGGAACAGGGCATCCCGATATATGAACGTGTTCCCATACCGGATCGTACGTACTTGGCGCGTTCTCTACCCACCTGAATCCCCTCCGCCCATACGACCTTTCTTCATTGTCTTGGTTGAAGCTGACTGGATGTTTCTTTTGCAGATCTAATTCCAGCAGACTCAAGGGTGGAGATTGATGCGAAAATCAACGCTGGGTATTTCACGACCGGGAAACAGCACAGTGAAACTGATTTGAAGGAGATTCGTGGCAGGGGATGGCAAGGGTGGGAGGATGTGGTACATTAAGCGTGCAAACCCGGGATTCCCGCACAGGAGCCCCTCAGCCAGCTTTGTATTTGTGCGAACATGTCGGGAAATTATACCAATGTCCCGAGTCTATAGAGGACTCGACGGAAAAGAAATAGTCAGAAACAGGATGCTGTCACTGGGGATTGCCGCACGTGGAGGAGCGTGCCGTTGTTCATACCTAGGTAACCATGTGAAAATGGGCTGTGATCTCATGGCAGGCTTCGATGCCCAGGTTGGCGACAGAAGCCTTCTTAGCACCCCTCAGGCTCGCCACGGTAGACTAAAGTCCAGGCCCAGGCCCAGCCCCGGAGCGGACAGAGTCTCAAATCCGCTCCTTCGGCACACCGCAGGCTCTCGCTAGTTGTCATGCTATTATGATATGAATACTAAGACGAGAGAGTAAGAAGGAGAGTTGCGAGGAGCGCAACGAGCATAAGGCTCTCTCTCGAGGTCACGTGTGCAACAAGGCCATGCCAGCCTGTTGCCAAGCTTCCATGGTCACGTGGTCCATCAAGTCATGTGCCTTGTGTGGTGGCCTAACCGTGACAATTCAGAAGAGTGCCATCAGTCTCCTCACGAGGGGTTTGACGCTGCCCTAATCAACAGTACTTACTCCTGCCCATAGGTGGGATCAAAGCCTGGACAGGCTAAATGGAGGTAGTCAGATGATATGTCTGAAGTCCAGAATATCTACATTCAGAAAAGAGCCATCATCTTGCGTATTCACGTCGGGATAGGGCTTGTCGCTTCGGCGAGAGTTGAACGTGTCACGTGTCACGGGGTCACAACGAAATCCAATTCGAGATAGATCTATTCATTGATCGGATCCTGGGCTTTATCTATCTCGAATGAGCCCGGAAATACATGACGATACTCCGAAACTCACTCCTCCATGCGTCAGAGGCTTTCCACATGACCGGCTTGCTAATCCAAAAAGACTTTTTCCGCGGCAGGAGGCCTTTGGATGCCAAAATATCTCTCTAAGAGTGCAGTCATAGTAAATATGGTGGGCGGCGGAGAGGCACTTAGGCGATGGCACTGCCTCCGGTGAGACGGATGATTTGACCTGCAAGATCATCATCAGCAAAAGACACTGGCTAGCGGGGCACGGAAAACCCCAGATGCACTTACCGTTGACCCATTCACTGTCTGGGTGGCACAAGAAGATAACCACTCTGGCAATGTCGTCGGGCACCGCGCATCGGCCAAGGGGAATGAGCTTGGCAATGCCGGCCTCGATGACCTCCAGAGGGGTGTCCTTGGTGGCGCCAGGAGAGTAATGCCATGCGTTTTGGGCGAACATGTCGGTCTTGATACCACCGGGGGCGATGGCGTTGGCGGTGATACGCCTGGGACCACCGTCGGCCGCGAAAGATCGCGCGAACCCCTCGACCGCGGACTTGGACCCAGCATACAAAGCATGGTTTGGGACACCCAGGCCAGCAGCAATGGAAGACATGAAGATGATACGTCCTCCCTCTGCAGTCCCGATGAGTCAGCTACCGAATCTCACTCAGAAACTGCAATGAGGCCATAGTGACTTACCGCTGAGATATTTCAGCGCGTGTTGGCCGACAAAGAACTGAGCGCGGGTGTTGAGGCCGAAGACCTGGTCGTACAGCTCCTCGGTGACATCCTCGGGTTTGGAAAAGGCTTCCATGCCGGCGTTGTTGATAACAATGTCGAGCTTGCCAAAGGCCTTGATAGCCTCCTCAAAGAGCTTGGTGATCTCGGGGGTCTTGGAGATATTGGCCTGGATGGCGACCGCACGGCCACCCGCCTTCTCAATCTCGGCGACCGTGGCCAAAGCTGGCTTGGCCGAGCTGGCATAGTTGATCACGACCGCAGCACCACGGTCTGAAAGGATTTTGGCGAGGGTAGCACCGAGCCCACGGCCAGCCCCGGTGATGAGGGCGACCTTGCCGTCGAGGCGGATGGTGGATGGCGAGCTCATGTTTTCTGTAGAGATAGAGATCTAGTGACGGAGGAGATATGAGTCCAGAGCAGGCTGTTGTGAGACGAGAGAAGCGCTATCAGCAACACGAATGATGGGACAATGAAGAATACGGTGCTGATGAGTGCGAGACTTTATGGAAGGCCAAAAGCAAAGTGTGACGACGGAGGAATAATAATAACAGCAGCAGTAGCGGTCGCAGGAAAAAAGGGGGAGGAGGAAGGAGGCGCGCAGAAGAGTCCGGCCCTTAGGCCCTTCCTCCGGGGCGGCCAAGTTGTGTGCTGTGTGTGTGCGTGTGTTTGTGTGTATGTGGCAGTGGCAGTGGCAGTGTGTCCGCGAAGGGGCCGCCCTGCCCGACACTAACTGACTCGGACTGCGGTCAGATCAGCTTGTCTCCCACCAGCTAACCAGTGTTTTAGGTACCTATCCGTACCTACTACCACCTAGTACTACGAGTACCTGCTATGGAGGCGATATTATTATCATTCTGACTGATGGAGAGCACGTCTGTGCGTCCACTGCTATACCCGCTCACCTCTTCTCCGCGTTGGTAGCTACAACAACCGCAACCCGCCTCGTCGACCTCACATCGCCCGTCGTTAGCCTCTTGGGGCCGGCAAGTCGGGTGCTTTTGCCTTTCCTTCTCTTTCGCCTCCCCGTCTGGCTAACAGCCTCACCGACACTTGATGGGGGATTGCAAATCGGCGGTGAGCCCAGGCGCTGCGGGGCAGAAGGAGACTGAGACCGCGACTGAGGGGCCCGAAGAGGCTCCAGGCCAGCCAAAAATGAGCAAACGCTAGGGGACGAGAGAGCAGCCGGTTCATGTATGTGCTGTACCGGGTATCTTACGGGCAGTGATCAACGAGGTCGTTCAGAGACGAAACAAGATAAAACAGATGCCCTTGAGGTATTGTGCTTCGTATACAGCAGTATCTCACCATGCTCAAGCCCTGTTGTGTTATGGCTTTGACGGATCGGTGAACGCCATACCATCTCCTTCTGGGTGCCGAGCGCCTAGATCAGGGTCCTACTAGGTAGTAGTTGTACCCCATTTTGCCGTGGGACACTAATGTAGGTAGTCTTGCTCGTCCCTCTGCAACGGTTCATACGGACTAGTTGCCGTCTTCTCTTCTCACCATACACCAGCTATGTTATCTCAAACAGTGTCTTCTCGGACGGGTTCGATCGATTTCTTCAGGACATGTACTGTTGCGTCGCAACGTTAGGGTTATGGTTGAGGGTGGCCCCTAAGCCTTAGCCCTTTAGATGGGGACTTACAATACCTAGGCACTACATTCTCCAGGCGAAGGCCACCTGGGTAGGGCGCACCTATTAGGTGCCTATATCTTAGACATAGGTACCCCCTTAGGCATGAACTAGTACCCAGGTACTAGGTCCAGGTAGAGGGTACTGTGCCGTCACAAGATTACCCGCCATGCCTTTTCGAGACAGTCCAGTCCGAGCGCTAGCAGTCGGGGGCCTTTCAGGCAGAAGTTGCCCCTGGACCCTGCCGTGGGTCGGAGTGTTTTTATTTATTTTTAGGTCCTCGATAAGGCCCCTCAGCCACCTTTCAACTTTCTTCAGCCAGCAACAGGTTGAACTGATTTTCCCTCTGAAGGCAATTCGTTGAGTCCCTCCACCCTGGATCCCTACTCACGTGTCCCTACACAATGCACATACTCCGTACTCCGTACCCATACACCCAACTCGACCGACATATGGCAGTGCCAAAAAGCAGGCCAAGTAAGGCCTCTGTCACGTGACTTCTGCTGATATAATGTATGTAGTCCTGGTTGGTGTCCCCAAGGCACGTCGCAATCCTGCTTCACCGCCGCCACTTTGTTGTCACTATCCGCACTACTACAACTACCTAGGTACCTGACCTATATAGATACTCTAAGGTACACAGTACTACAGCCATACCCTCACACCCCTGTCGTCTCCCACGCTTTTCTCTTTCTTCTCTCTCCAATTACGTGCCCCGGACTCTGGATTTTCTGTCGGACGAGGCTATCGAACGACACAAGGCTGCCTGCTCCCATGCCCTTACGGATAGCCCACGCTCTGCCTGTTACCTAAGCGCCTCACCATTTACGGAGTATCCGTACACTTATTGGTCGAGTGCAAAGCAAGGTCACCCTTGAGAGAAACATTCCCCCCTGGCATCCATCTCCGACCACAGGATCCCTTCCCTCGCCTTCACAGATGCTGTGACAACGGACGGAGACGGAGATGGCGACCAAACAGTTGGTCCTGATCGATTTCGTCGCCATCAAATTCCGTAGTTTCTTTTCCATCCTCATGCCAGCTGGCTACACAGAAAACCACGCTCTGTTGGTGGCCCTGGCCCTGGCCCTGTCATTCTCATGCCAGTTGGCATGGGTTCAGGTTCATCGTAGCTAATGTACAGAGTCGGAGTACTCTGTAATTAGTACTACTACTACGTATGTCGGTAGGTACCTTTAGGGATGTGTACAAATCTGATCAGAGACATGTGTCCGTATCCGTACATATACGTAGGTACGGATATAGATTCCAGAGTTATCCGCACTCAATATGGATAGGTTAGGTAGGCCAGGTACTCGTACGGATACTGTGCTCTAGCTCGCCGTCGTTCTCCATCTGCGGGCCATACTAGGGACGTCCCTGTCATCCAGGTTGAGACAGGGTCAAGGCCTCAAGGCTTTCGCAACCGCCGACCAGTCCTTGCTACTCGTACTCGTACTCCGTCCGTCCCAATTGAATATTATTAGGTAGTCCTCCGTAATAATAACACAGCGCACAGCACATAGCACATAGTACATCACATCCGTACACATACTCCGTATACCTAGGTATCTTAGTCTGGCCCTGGTACATCCGGGATACAGGCTATCTCGTACAGAGCAGGTTGACCCTTGGTAGAGACACCCTGCTATCATGTCTCCGTATGATCTTCAAAAGGTCATACCACTCTCTCCTCTGCCCCTCCTAGTCTCAATACTACAGTGATCAGTCCCTTAGTTATACCAGGTCGTAGAGCCCAGAGGCCCTCGACTAGTTCGACAAATTCCATGGCGTCGGCAGCAACCAACACCCGACCACCCGACCATCTCCATCGTCGAATCTTTTAACCCGACCCAAGGCTGTCATCTAATAGTAATTACTCCATCCCTACTACTAACCACTAGCTAGTAGCCACTGAACAGCGCGCAACCCGGACGTCATGCCCTTGCCCTTGCACTGTAGCTCGAGCCCCTTCCCCTGTCAATAATGCGTCGGCCGCATTCAACTGCACTATCCCTAATCGCATCCGGCATGGGAAAATGGAGTAGCATCGCTTCCTTCATAAAGAGTCTGCCCCGGCCCCTCTGGCTTCGGACTGTTTCATCCAGAAAGCTCATGTCTTCTCCTCGGGCTGCTGACCTCTCTTCTAGAAGTCTGAATGGCCGACAACTGGGACCAGCCGTGTTGTAAAGGAATTGGATGACACCAGCACAGGTATACACACTGTCCAAAACATTGCATTATACCGATTCCTCCGCGCTGCCTTCCCCTGGCTATTCAACGACGAGTAAGATTATGTCGGACGGTCAATCAGCCCAAACTCCTGGCCCTCATGCCAACCTCCCCTCCCATGGCAGCTTCGACGTCGTTGTCCTGGCTGAATATGCCACTGCGATTCTCATTAGGATCCTCCTGGATTTGCACTCGTCTATCCCCTGGAAACGCCCCCATATACCCTCGTCGTCATCATCATCATCATCAAAAACATGAGATATGTCATATATACAAGGCGGTGACATCACGCCGGATTGCATCACAATGCGGGAAGGCCGCGACAGGCTTCGAGGATCGATTCATCGTCGTGTGTGGGTTACATCACCCGTCAATTCGAACGGTCAAGCGAAAAGACCATCGTGGTCAGCCCATCAGGCGCTGTCTTTCCAGCTGGCCATGAACATCCGGAGCTTGCGTTTGATGCCGTCAGTCAATCGCATCGAAGAGTCGTCCTCAAGGAGCTCAATACAGTGCTGAAGGACGTTCGGGGGTACATCCATAGGTGCAAAGGAGCCATCCGGCCGGGTCAGCATCGGCGTCCCTTCTTGATACTTCATGTATCGACTGATGGCCTCGTTCTCAGGCGTCAGATCATCAATGGCAAACGGTCGATCAGGCTCAACTTGAGCATGACTAGGTGAGAACCGCCCAGCTCCTCCGGCCATGCTGGTTGCCCATCCCGTCAACGCGACCCGATAAACAGCACCTGCCCACCAAGGAGGTCGAACAGGACGTGGCATGGATCGGATCAGGCGAAGGATTTGTCCACAGTGGAAGTAGGCCTCCCCGGGCTGGTCGATGCATCTCATCTGCAGCCAAGATGCAAATCGGAAAGACCCCAGAGCCACCTCGCGCCGGGCAAATTGCTCGATGTCCTTGAAACTGGTGATTACATTCAGAGAGATCAGGTGGTACATGATGAGGTTGGCGCAGGTCGTCCAACATGTCCCTTTATTGCCGGAGAAACTTTGCTTGCTGATTGCATACCAGTGCTGCAGGAGAGAAGATATCTCCTCCAACCTGGCCTTGGTTGCTACTCTGGAGACAGTCCGGGATGCCTTACCCTGACTGCCACCGTCGGGCAGACACGCAATGAACTGACGCAACTGGCACACCTGGGCTTGCAGAGGGTGAAGCAGCAGCCGTAGCTGCGTTGGCGAAAGTTCCTTCCCAGCCAGTTCGCCGTCGACAAAGCTGGTGAAGAAGTCTCGCACTGACGCATGACTCTCATATGTGGAGCCATGAACCTTCCCGAACAGCTCGAGCCATTCCGTGGCAGACTCGGCATGCCAGAGGTCATCCGAGTCAGGCATGGGTGCATGAAGGTTTACTACTGACAACAAAGGGGTGGTGTCCGAGAAGAGACTCATCTCTTGGTCAACGATAACCCAAGAGTGAGTAAGTCTGCAGTTACGAACGTGGGTCAGCACAAAAACTTGCCCAAGCTAACCTGTCACAATCACTCACCTATGTTTGCCTTCATGTTCTTTCCAATCCTCCCACGCCCTGTCTGGCTCATTTCTACATTGGTCGACGTCGATCCGCGAATCCGCGGCATTGAGCATGCCTGAATGATCCAACATCTAAGGGATATTAGTGTCGACCTTTTGGCTCAGTTAAAACGAACTTACAGCCAAGTACATGCCGCGCTGACCCATGGCCATCTGTGCACCAGTTTAGTGGATGTCGCTGCATCTAAGGGGGGAAACTTACATCCATGTGCCATTTGTCACCGGACCAGGCGGCGAGACAGGTAAACAGGAGAGCCGATCGCAGCACCAAAACCTCTCGAGACTGGAGGACATCCTTTTCAATCATATCGAAGAGTGAAATACGGCAGGCTTCCGTCAGTCCACTGGCGACATACCTCGCCTCAACAGTGGCCGTCGATGATGCTCCCGATGCAACCATGAGGAGGATAAGCAGACTTGCAGCTTTGCTGTTGTGTGATTGCATGAAGACGTTGGGGTCAAGACGGCCCGCCGGAATTGATGAATAGTAAGGCTCATAGCGAACCACATAACTTCTCAGGAAGTACTGCATGACATCAGAGGGAGGGAGCATCAAGAATGCATCGCGACTGGAATCGGGACTTGACGGAGTCTCTTCACGAACTGCATGGTCAGCCTTATGGATTTCCAATGCTTTGTGGAGGAAGCCTTGGGTTATGGCAAGCAGCTTCTCCCGCGACCACCCCACTATGGGCTCGGTGCCGATCTTCCGCTCGGTTGAAATGTCTAGCGAAGACTCGTCCACCTGGTCTGTCCAGGCTGTCCAAGTTGCCTGATTCCGGAGGGTCTGGGCGAGCCCTTCCAGATAGATGCCAGCAGTTTTGGGCGGAGCAAAGGAATACCTCTCAACACGATTGCACTGGAAGAATGGCCACGCATGATGGGCAGCCAGCACAGCATCAGGCTCTTGCAAGCCACTGGTGGTGGAGGAGATAGATGGAGAAAGCCCGGCAGGGGGCCTGTACTGTAAGTGAATGTGTGGGCTCTCCAGGTCTAGTCGGAGCCCGAGAGGGGTCGATCCCTCATGCATGTGCAGGTGCAAAGGCATGTGATTAGGAGTCTGCATATTCATCTTCCCGCTCAACATGAACTGATCATTAGGATCGTGTAACATGGCGGAGGGAGGGCTCATGAAGTCGGCAAGGAGGTTGGTTGAGTCGAAATCTATCATGCTTTGTTGACCACTTCCCATGGCCAAGAAATGGTTGTCACTGTCGTGATCGTAGGGGGTGTCGTGCATTTGGATGAAATTCTCCAGCTGGGGCATCGCGGGTATCATGGGTGTAATTGGGATCCCCATATCCGGAGGCGTCTGGGTAAAGCCATTCCGCAGCAGCTGAGGCTCCAGCTCCGCGCTGAACATTGCAGGCACAATCGGTATATGGTGACTAGTATCAGGGAGACTCAGTCGGTGTGGCGGGATGGTATTGGGGCTCATATTATCTGATCGAGGATTAGATACCACCGTTGAGCGGTAGCGTTCCAGACTCACTAGGTGGTGGCCCATTGACGCCGGGGGTCGCAGTGGAAAAATTGGACAAGTGAGATACATGATACGAGGCGGACGAGTGCAAAGCACGCTCCGAGTTCGCTCGTGGGAGGGGATTACGGCGAGTAGGATTATGAGAAGACCTTCGAGTGGCTCGAGACTGGCACACAATTTGCTTGCTCACACATCGTGAGCATGGGACCTACAGCCTCGCAGTTAGTAGCATTCAGTATAGCAACAGGTATAAGGAGAGTCAGTCGCGTCCGTGGGAGTGGGATGCATGCAGACGGTCGGCATATTCATTCTCTCCTCGACCCCCATTCTCTTCTGCCCGCTCACAGGAGGGCACTTGTGTAAAGAAACAAGCTTGACCATGTTGACGCATTACCAACTGACCTTTTTGTCACACTTGGCCTTCGCCTTCGCACAGTGTACGCAGGCAATTGGCATGCGTTCGGTAGGGGAGTCCATGGAGATGCTCCTGGGACAACAACGAGGGACCTTGTAGGATGTAGTCGAGTGTCAAGCCAGACTCGAGGCATTCGCTGTTCCTTCTCTTTCCCTTCCGCTTGATGTCAAGGATGAACGAGCAGTCTGCAGCCTGGCGAAGCGTGACTTGATCGAGATGGGACGGTATGAAGGCGACCAGATAGGGTGCAAATTAGCATTATCTAAAGGAGGTTGAGGCTGAACGATGGTATGTATGTCGATGGGCTAGACTGGGAGCGAATGTGGACAACCGAAAGGGCGCAACGAAAGGCAGGTCAGCACATAGCAGCGTAACGGGAGTGAGAGTAACAGGCGAGCAGAAGAGCATATACGAAGCCCAGGTGCAGAAGGATGAGGACGAGCATGAGCCTGAGCGCCCAAGTGAGAGACGGGTCAGGGTCAGCCGTCTAAAAGATTCACAAGATCGACGACGATGGGATGGAGAGCATGCAAGCCTGCATGGGAGGCCAGACAAGAGGAGCAGGCTAGCAGCACCCACAGTTTTTACATGATGCAGGCAGGAGTGGCCCAGGTCGACTTGGGTTAGTCCAGGTAGTCGTTTCTGGCAGTGGCTTCGCTGCAGCCGCAGGAAACGACCGAGATAGGTCAGCGAGAGTCAAATATCGTCAACCGTCATGAAAATGGTTGAGTCACCATGTTACGGTTACGAGTCCTGTCAAAACACACGTCTTTTCTCTCGTACAGCGAACAAATGAGGGTGCTCCGGCCTGGGGGCTGTGACAGCCGAGATGTGGGCGGGCGTGGGCCTGAGGCGATGACGGCAGTTGAGTGCCTATAATTATAGGTACACAGATACCTACGCGGTACTTTAGCTACAGACCTCCCTTCCCGGTTCCTTACCCGGTACCCCCCATACTAGTACACGGTAAAACGTGATATGATTGTCGATCGGCCTCCTTAGCCAGTGCCCCCCGGTCACCGTCACCGCCACCAGCCCTTTTATTGAACAACAAAACACAACGATAACCGGGAACACCCAAGCCGGTGAGCAAGCAAGGGCTAAGGGCGCGCCATATCGGGGCGCGGGGAATGCAGTTAACCTGCCCGCCCTGCAAGCACAGCTGCGAATAGCAAGGCCACGTAGTGCCTGACAGCCTCCACGGGCGAGCCTGGACTTGATGGGCCTGGCGAGGGTGAGCACTGGGCACACTGGGCACTGTGCAGCCTTCACACGCTGAGACCCAAGCCGTTGGGTGCGTCTGACGCTCGTGCCTTTCGCCTTTATCATCATCATCATTCCTTCCGCACCCTTGCACCGAAGGGTCATACAGGATGGAGGGGCGGCTATGCAACAATGGCCCTTGAGATGCGCGTTGTGCCTTGAAATAGCTGGCCTGCGATTGCCTCACCTGAACGGGCTGACCTCACCACCCCTCCAAAACACGGGCTGAGAGAAGGAGAAGGAGGCACTGCTGGCCAACAATCACACTCAGAAAGAATGCGTGCAGGTCAACTGCTGGAAGGAATCAGGCTATGGAGCCCTCGCCTAACCCTGTGCAGCTGGGAAGTCCCAAACATAGATAGTACTCCGTCCTCCGTTCGTAGCATCTGATTACGCTGCGTATCTAGACGAGTGATATCGGCTGCATCTCTGTCGTTGTTAATCTATCTCCGTCCCTACCCAGTCCTTCTCCTCTACTCGGCGGGAGTGTTGTCAAGCATCGCCCTGGATTGTACGTCAACGCCTCGTAACGCCCTTGTTTCCGTGTCTTACTCTGAGTGCAGTCCTACTCTAGTCAAAGATTGTCATGCTCCTCCTTGAACCCTTTTAGGTTCTCGCTCTTTTGCCGACCCCCTTGACCTTGACCCTTGCCGCTACTGGCCACCTCATCAATCTTGTTCGGTTGCGAGCGACCCTGGTCCCTGGTTGATGGCTGCACCAGATGGTGACAGCTGCTCCAACGATGGACCCTTGAGCCATGTACCCCATGAGAAGAGAAGCTGCTGCGGTCAGAGCAACTAAACAAGCGAAAGCTGCAAGCCACGCCGTGCACCTACTGTGGGAGAAAAGCAGGCTTATGCCGGCGCCGTGCATTCTTTCAGTTAACTCGCACCTGCAAGCCGTCCGCTAGCAAGATAACACAAAGTCTTGCTACCCATCGGGCGAACATCTGTGCACATGTGCTTGCGTGTGAGCCTATCTGTTGCCCCATTCGTCATCGCCGGTGGCCATCCACCACCACACAACCTCATTCATTCGGTACTCTTGTTGACCAAGAAACGGTCCGCTGCGATCAGGCTAAGCTGGAAAGATCGTCACCGCTCTCAGCCAGCCATTATCAAGACGCCTTTAGTCAAGGCAAGACGGGTGATGGACTTCAAGAGCCATGGACCGCTGCGCCGGATGTCCTCGTTGGTGCGCAGCTCGTCCTGTGCTGCCAGCCCATCCCTTTCCCGTATCTACAATCACACAATTACGGGCCGGATGTGGAGAATCGCTCTCCCTATCTGGACAAAGGATGTCCAAACCTGGCATTGCGAAGAGCGACAGTACGTACAATCGCTGAGTTGTCACCTCACCGACTAGGCGACATGCACAACCATCTACCGATGCGACGGCCTGATTTGATGTCGATCCCCCTCCCCCCTTCAGCCTCATCTCCCAGTTGCGTAAAATGGGGAGCGCTCATGGTATTTGCGGCGTACCAGTACATCTCGTTCTTGAGAAGCGGCTGTCATTTCAAACTCAACCCTTTCGTTCTGTCAAACTATCCTAGCATGACTCTGGTTGAAGAGAACGTTGGCCTGGCTCGTGAGTAAGTGGCGCATTCCTGCTCGGCAGCCGCGGCGTCCTTTGCACGATTGACCAGTCTTGAGGAGACCCAACCTCTAGCTAAACTCATTCTCGATGCTGTCCCTCTTCGACCTTCTGTCATTAGGCGAGGACGGTCCCCAAAACGGACAGACAGATCCCGTGTCTCTGAACTTGGTTGGGTCTTTTCTGCGATCTTCGTTCGACCCTATTGAAGTGCAGATCCCCGCCACCTGAGCCCCAGAGAGACGATTGGGATTCCGCACGGGCCACCAAACTCAAACCCTCCCCCAACTCCCCAGCCAGTGCAGAAACCGTGAGTTTGAGCGCAGTGCCAGTAATGGATCAACGACAATCAGCTGGGCAAAGCCAATGCTGGCTTGGCACAGCGTCCTGGCGATTCTCTCGAGGAAATGGGTGTCATCAACATGCGGCACTCGAATGGCATGATTAATGGTAACATCGATCCTCGCGAGACGAACGGGCGGACATTGTTCAACGAATTGACGTCGTCCACGTAGTATCTATATTGTGTACAGCACCTGGTGGTATCTGGAGCCCGTTGTTTAGAGGATTTCCGACAGATATTGCCATTTTCCCCGATTGGAACCACCAACAGAGCAAACGCCTTATTTTCCCAGTCAGCGAAAACTGTATTCGACCGGGGTCTGACAAAGCCAAGCCATCGAAGTGTCCATATCTCACAACCTTTGGAGAAGCTGCGTCTGACAATGCAAGGCGGCAGGTCAGAGGTTAGCGGAACCTTCTGAGGGTGGTCCAGACGAGTCGGCCGGAACATTGCATAGAAGGTCAAGTGCCCAGTGCTCAGCCTGACTCTGCCGGTGATGGTGTCAGCATGCCTGACCTTCGCTTCAACTCTATCTCATCTACCTGCGTATAAACTCCCGAGAAAACGCTGATACCGCAGTCACTCCATCACATTTGCGCTAGAATCTACGGCGCATATCAGCAGGAAGGCCCCATGGTGATCGTTCTTCTTTTGAGGCGATTCACTCGGCATGGCGCCGGTGGGAAGTCCAATCGGTGAGGCCGGATGACAATATACGATAGAATCTCGCCAACCTTAACACCGCTCCGGTCGTACTTCAGCGAAAGGAGAACCACAAATCAGGTTGGACTCTGTTTCTTTGCACGAACAGGTCGCTGCACCTGTAATACATGCCCGACACAAGCACAAACACTAACGGCGACATGCTCCTGGCAATGGGCACACATCCAACGTGGATCAGCGCAGAGACACCAATGCTCGCCTCTGTCTGATGGCATTCTTTCGTGCCACCCAATATCTGGTGCCTCATGCAATGTCTCTGCTTTGCCTATAGGTTTGGACACTAGGACCCTTCAACGCGACTCTATGTGGCAGGCCTGGTGCACCCTCCTGTACAACTATGGAGACAAATACACTGTAAGGCTCACGTCCCATGGTCCCAACGCCATCCCAGGTTGACCATGCACGACCAGAACACACGTGTGTTCATATGGTGGTGATCTCCACCAGGCCCAATACTGCAATACTGGTTACCTGGTGGTGTGTTAAAGGTCCGACCGCGGCGGTTCGGTTCGATCATCTCGCGGGGCCCAGCAGAATCTCGTCGACATAGTGACAAACACGATTGCCAAGGGGAGACACAACATGAATTACATGACAGCTCTCTTATCAACTATGGCATGCTTTTCATTCCCACCGGACCGATCGAGCATATCCCACCGTTGCACATTGGACTGTTGCATTGATAGACTCCAACATGACGCTCCAGCACCCATAGGCCAACCTATTTCTCTGACATTGTGATGGTTGAATAGTACCACCGTGGTGCTTGATATTGGTTCGTATAGCAATCATCTGCACCCAGCAATCGAGCCGACCGGTGCCTCCGATTGGGTACCGACTCCCTCGCGAGAGTATTACAGCCCCGCATTGCACGACATCTATCATAAATCAAGAGCACGTTTCCACCCGCCGAGAGGCTGTCACGTTCGCTAAACACCTCTCACAAAGCTCCTCGTTGGCGCTGCTCGCGAGGACAAGGAAACCCTGAGGATAGTCAGGCGGGCCAATATCATCTCGCAACTGTCTCAGATCACGTCCCTGGTTGCAAATCGACCTGCCTAGATCAGGCTGTTGCTTCCCGGCTGCGCCTTTCTCATCATGCCGCGGTGCTCTCGCGGAGAGCGAGGGCAGCGCCAAGCGCCAACAGTGAGTGGCACGGCCGCCTCATTGCTCGCTTAGCCGTCGGTCGAGCAGGGCACGCCGTGTTTCTGGATCTCCCGATTGGATCGGTTTCATGTGTTCCTCAGACGCCCTGGGTTAACTGCCTGGCAAGCAACCTCGTCTTGCACGAATCCAACCTGTTGACAGCAGGCAAGGCTAACTACCCGGCCAATGCACACGGAGCTGCATACGGTCGGTCTTGACGCGGTCTAGACACCGACCGGGATGAGTTTCTCCGCAATAGCATTTCGCGCCGCTCCGGCAATGTACGTCTTCTTTCCTTTCAACCTGATCAACGCAAGATGGTCCTCAATATGGAGATCCCTGTCGACACGGTCGGAAATGCCGACCATCCCCACATTGCGCAAGGTCAGAACTGCACAGGCACCTATGGTAACAAGTCTTTGCCAACAAATCTGATCTCTGAACCCTCGTCCAGACGTAGCTCCTGTCAGCCGGTCCATCGGTATGCAGTCTCGGGTGAAGAGATCTGTTCATTTACCCGGAGATGGCGTTCCCACCGAGATGATGATGCGAGCCATACTGCGGCCCGCCTAGCTACCTGTGTTGCAGATCGGGTCCAGCCAAACTCGCCTGGGTACATGTGACCTTTACAATCAATAGCAGTTGGACCCAATTTAATGTCAAGCGGATCGATTCACTAGCACTTCCCAATCCCAGCCGAGTACGACGGTGAAAGCAGAAGACTGTTTCCCAAGGGAGACGCAATCTGTAACTTCCAAACGAGCGGCGTAGGATTGGTTGAAGCCCACTTGTCTTCTAGACTTACGGCAAAGGTCTACGATGGAGGGGGCTAGATCTGGCGCTTACTCTTGAACTCTAATCAACGTCTTGACTGGAGAAGCCGTCAACGTCGACCTTGGCCGTGCTTGTCCAGAGTTTATCTCGCATGTCAACCTCTAGCGCAACTCGCAACTCGCAACTCGCACATCGACCGCAGACACGGTGGAAGGCTCGGACATTCACCACAATCTCCGCCTCAGCTCGAAAAGCAGGCCGGATGTGATGGCCGGCGAGTTGGCGACATGCTCTGGCTAGAGGCTTTCAACGCAGCCTTGACCTTGAGTATCGGGAACGACTACGACTAGGTGCATTGCCCGTGGCTGGTAAAGTAGCAGCCGGTCCCAGATAATCATGTAGGAGTCTAGGCGTCATTATCATACGTGATGGCAGTCTAGATTTGCCGGCAAGCCTTGCCATGACTTCAAGGTTTTTGGGTCTTATGCTTATTGTTGGCGGTCCACTTGCAAGTGCTTAGGTATCTACATGGATGGCCCAGCGACAAATGTTAAATCAAACGTTCTTTTTTATTTCCTATTTCCTATAACTAAAATTACACATAATCTCAGCATGAGTCTCCCACGTCCTGTGTACTCAGTCTCGGTCTATTCTGACATGTGACACCACATACCACAAACATACCTTCCAACCCCCGAGAAGAGGATGTTCATTGTGCATAGGGCATAGTGCATAGGGCATAGTGCATAGGGCATAGTGCATAGGGCATAGTATCCGTACGGTACGAACACGGGCATGGCATCTAGGGAACTGGTGCTCAGCGGAGGCCGGCGGTGGGAGATATGAGATACTGTTTACCGCCAAAAGCTTGATTAAGATCATCCGTACTCCATACTCTGTAATCCATCCTCCCTCTTGACTTTAGTAACCAAACATAAACATTTATCAAGCTGATCCGATCTCTCTCTGGGTCTTCAGTTTCATTTCAATCTGACAAGGAGTGTTTGTCACCTGTCTACTCCCAGCATCCAGAAGTTATCTCTATCTCATTATTTAGACTCTGTGAATAATATTTAACCTCAGCCATGGTCTCATCCGGGCCCTCCTGGTCAACCAGCCGGACCAGACCGTCTGTGTTTCTTTTCTATTTTGCCTTCCAAATTCGAGCTCTACTATCCTGTCCTAGTAATCAACAAATCAAAAAATAACCCAATAAACAATCCCAGGCTACATTTTCGTTGAGCATTGTACAGGGCGGGCGAGCAAAAAGATGTGATCGAACCCGGGGTCGAACCGGGGACCTTGTCGGAAGGTTGTTCGCATTTCTGTGAACGACACGTGATAACCACTACACCATTCGACCGGGGAATCCTTTTCCTTTGAAAGTTCAAGTTGGAGCAGGAAATCCAAGCTAATTTCGACCGATCTTGTTTATATTCAGAGATTTTCAATGTGAGGTGCGGGGTTCTCTAGCGCCTCGCGAGCTTGGCACAGATGCTTGGCCTGCCGTGCCTACATGTAAGTAACTAATGAACTGACATTAGAGAGTTAGCTAGCTACTGTACCTGAGGTATACGACTCATCAGATCCTGCTTCATGTTCATGTCCCAGTAAAGTAAGTGCGTCAAGGGCAACATGTAGTCACGAATTCGTGTGCCACAAGGATAGGTAGGTAAGGACAAGGACACAGACAGGTAAGGCAAGGCCTTGCACAGACAGTACTATGGCTGAACATGAACACGCAAGCCTCAGCCCTCTTCTCTGACGTGGCTCTGTGTCACTCACTCACTCACTCACTCACTCACTGGCTGGCTGGCTGGCTGGCTGTTCGGCTTCACAGGCGACAAAGGAGGCCTAAACCTTAGGATTAGGCCTATTGCTGTGGGCTTAGGCCTTACTAGGTAGGTAGTATTTGTTCTTTGTACTGTGCGCCCAATCAACATGGGTTAACTGCAAGATGAGATCACGACCATGAAGAATAATCAGTCGAAAGTTTCCCTTTTCGGAGAGACCTTACTGCTGTGCTGTACGTTGCCTCGGGTGACAGACATCAATATCAACAAGCCTGCCCCTCTGCCATCAGATATCAGACATAGACCCTGAAGCACAAAGGACATGTCTCAAAACAATGGCAACGGCGATGAAAAGTATTTCAACGTCTACAAGGTCCAATCCCACCTGGCAGTACAAGACCCTGACATGCCCCAGCCAAGATATCATACTGTGGTGAGCACCTCTACAACTTCTTATTCCGAACGTGACAAGGACGGAATTCCCTCTCTGGCCCCGGTCCACGGCATGGGTCTTCGAGTCCTTTTGTTTGCAACTCACAGATCATTCCTCTACTACCCTACCGTAACATCTAACCTGCTCTGCTATCAGATCTTTGTGGAGACGAGTGACAACAAGAGCGGTTTCATCCACCACGTCGTTGGAGATCTGGTCACTGGTATGACATATCAGCGAGAGCAAGCAGCCCAGCCCGAGCAATCAAGCACTTTCCATTCCAAACAACACCTGGGCAGAGTCAAAGAAAGCGTGTACTCCCAGTTCCACCAAGTCTGTGCCCAACAGCCTCCCCCAGGTCAACAGAAGAAGTTCAATCGGGAAACCATGAGGACAGAGCCCATCAAGCCAAATGGCGACTTCTATCTGCCCGGGGAACCCCGTGCTAGGTTGATCAAATGCACCGAATGGGTTCTGGAGCGAGCAATCCCCGCGCTGCAGGCTGCCCGAATCCTGATGTAGAAAGATCAAGATGCAGGGTATCTGAGTCATGCGGTGAAGATGAGCCAGTGGCCGTGACAGGTACGCTTCTCAAGAATGTGCACTCAAGAATGTGGGGAATAACAGCTGCCACATACCTTAGGTAGGTATGTTTGTCTGGCTGCGATTGACCACCAAGCTTCGGGAACAACGTCCATTAGTAGAGAGTTTCAACTTCTCAGCGGCTAAAGCAGATCGTTGGTTTTCCGCAACTCCTAAGACCAGGCTCTATCTGCGACCCTGCTCCTTCAGCTATCTGTTTCCTGCGCGAGCAGTGAATAGCGGGTTGCCCTCCATGACATTTATTGTCAATCGATATGGCAGCGAGAAAGCGGCACCGTCCTGCTCAAGACGAAGAAGAGGATGAAGACACAACTGAGCACCTGAGAAGGAGCCGAAGACTCCAGGAGAAGTGTCAGTTCCTTTCGCATTTCATTACCTGCTTCACGTGTGACTGACCACATTGCAAGCGACCAACAGCGCCCGCAAAACCCGATACCAAGCCCCAAGACCTCTCGCAAGAACCCGCGATTACAAGAGAAACAAACCGCGAACCAGCAACGAATCGCAAGAAGAGAACAGTCTAGGCCATTGCAGAGACCAGTAAAGAAACACAACCGTTGTAAAGGGGAGGACAAAGACCCTGCAGCCTCATCGGCGGACCTAGGAGCACAGAAGAGCAGTCAGTTGCCGCTATCACTATAATGAATCATATTGCTGATCCCAACAGCTGAACGGCGGCGCCGTGCGAGTACCGGAGATGAACCAAATCCCAGCGCGAAACGTCCGAGACACAGCCTAGCGCAACACATTGAGACAAGAACTAGACCTGAGAAGGAGGGCTTCATTGAGAATTGGTTGGAAGAGTCCTCTCGGTTTGGCAGAGCCTCGACAGAGAACGAACTCGACCTTCCCGAAGGATCATTCAACTTGCCCAGCAAACCTTCCCCCGTGCTTGCGTCTCCAGATGATGGTTCCGAAGGCAGGATATCCACGTCCAAAGATAGTACCGAAGTCACGATATCCACGTCCAGAAACTCCGAGAAATTCGCTGCAAGCGTCCATGACACAAATTATCGGGACTCGCTCAGAAATCGTAGTATTTACGTTGAACGTGAGGATCCTCCCACTGAGTTGATGCGAAGGGCACAGAGAATCGTTACACGCTCGCGGACCTCACCTGAAATGGACGACGCCACTATTCAGGAGCTGAAAGAAAAGTCTCGTAAGCTTCAGAACGAGAATGAGGATGCTATTATTAACCAATTAGCGCGACACATCATTCCCGCTATAGCCAAGCTCCCCGACCAAAGACTGGAGATGAATAGCAAACAAACGTGGTTTGATTCTGTCCCTATCCCGCTCAATGCGTCTGTTCTTACCACGCCGCTACCCTTACCCTTACCAAAACCGGATCTCGCTTTTGGATACTCTGCAAGGGCCTTTACCCCCAACCAACTAGGGGCAATTGATCTACTTATCGACGATCAATCCGGCAAAAGCTATGCCGTTCCAGATCAGATGGTTCACTTTCCATTTTTACAGATCGAGTTCAAGTCGCAGGCCAAGAATGGAACTCACTATATCGCAACGAATCAAGCTGCTGGTACCGGAGCCATTGCGCTCAACGGCTATATAGACCTCATACAGCGCAGCTATGGACTAGAAAATTTCGACTATGAAGTACCACTAGAACCACTATATTTCTCGATCAGCATGGACCATGAGCTGGCCCGAATTAACGTACACTGGCTGAAAGCGCCGGCTGAAGGAGGACAACACAGTTTTCACGTTGAGGGACTGTCACAGCATCTTCTACGAGATCCGAACGGCATCCGAGCACTTTCTCAAGCAATTAAGAACACTCTCGACAGCGGTGCTGGCGCCCGACTGCAAGCACTCTGCAAGGCACTGGATGTATACCGCGAGACGGTCGTTCGCAATAGAAACGCAGCAAATGTGCAGAGGGAACAATAACCTGAATATCAACCGGAGTCTCATACTGGACAAACAAGACAGAAGACGAATGCCTTCGCCAGAAGTTCAAGCCGGAGTGGTTGCATCTCACGAAGAAGTCAGAACTGACTGACCACCCCTTGAATCGGTTCAGACTGTACACACTAGAAAACGAGGCAGAAGAGCAGCATCTGCGTCTGAAGTTCAAGCAGGAGGAGTCAGAGAAGACATATTTGACGGGAGAAAAGTCAGAACTGGCCGGACTCTCCAACCTTTGCACACTGAGAAGCGGCCACGATGCGTACCGACAACGCGCCGTCAAGATTCAAAGCCGGTCGAAATTCCCGCCAAGGTGACACGTCTATCATCCAAGCGGGGGTTGAGGGTTATGGAAGACGAATGACTATCTCTGTCGATCGTCGATATGTCATGCAAGCCATCTTCCAGCTCAGCATGTCCCAGAATGGCCCAGTCTCCTCCGCCACCTCCACAACGGGTAGACAGGTCTTCATAGGCCAGAACTGGAAATTGCCTGGCACAACGAGTTCCAATCGCCAACCTCACCATCCGAACCCTTCTTCTGCAAACGAAGCATTCACTCCTTGGCCAATGGCAAGACGGGTGGCTTGACGAACATGATCCGACAAGGAACCAGAAGCACAGACGCTCACCGCCATGGCGCCCGTCCGCTCTCTGGCCTCTGCCAGAATGATATCAGCAACATTGGGTCTCCCTCTGCATATCCTCACATTGGCGCTGGAGCGGAAATCTCCACGCACAGGACTGGATCGGGTGATGTACAGGAACACCTTCAACACTTCTCGCCGCTTTTCCATCCCCAAGATCTCGGACATCCAGGCACGCACCCACTCGAGGCATTCCGCATCGGGAACCACCCAAACCAGGGTGATTTGTTGGGTGGCGACAGTGCCGTCGGCGAATCCCTGCACGAGTTCTTTGACATACAGCATCTGGTGGGTGATGCCCACGCCCGAGGCAAAAAGCAAGACGGTTCCGAAGCTTGCCATGCTCTTTTCGTGTCCATACGGGCCCTCGATGTAAGCATTCAATGTGACTCTGGAAAACCTTTGCTCTTGGGCCTTTTCAAACAGCTTCCTTGTAAAGCCAGTTTGTCGCTTGACGATGAGGTGGATTGTGCCGTCCGTCTCCTTGGTGTGGCCCACCTCCCGGACAGCAAAGATGGGTATCTTGTCATCTGCGAGGCCACCGTGGTTGCTTTCCACCGAGTCGACGTCGCCGCCGGTCAGGCCGCTTCCGGTATCACCCCAGGCGACGGAGAAGGGGTGAGCGGTCCAAAGACCGACCGACGGAATGCTAAGGTAGAGAGTTTGCCCGTTTTTGACCTTCCACGGTCGCGCACAGAACAGCTGGATCTTGACCGCGCCGGAAGGGAGCGCCACAACGACTGCCTTGGAGCCGCCATGTCCACAACTGCGATAGATGGTGGTGGCCAGTCGCCACAATCGTGAGACCACCCAAATGAGGATGGCAGCAAGCAACATGGCCTGTTGTGGGAGTTGCTTCAGGTGGATCCATAAGCCCGCAAAGGCCATTGCTACGAGTATGATATGGGAGTGAAGAAAGAACTCATATGCCAGGGACCTGAACATCTTGGGGGATTGTAATCCAATCACCGTGAACCCGACAGTCGCGATCAACCCGGTGTAGATAAAAGATGAATGAGTGAAAGAGGCTGTAACGGTAGTCCAGCCGCCCTTTTGTACTTTGGCTATCATCCAGCACAGGGTATGGGCGAGGCCCTGAAGAATGCTCAGACGACCCATCCATCTGTGGACAAGATTGAATGAATCGTAAGAAATCTCCAGAGCATTGATCAATGGGTTCTTGATGGTAGCGAGGACGCAAATGGGAATGAGGTTGGCAGTAGCTAGAGTCCCGGTACCTGCAGCGTGGTCAGCTCCTTTCTCCTTTCTCCCTCCTTCTCCGCTGGAGGACGTCTTGTATTCGGCAACATACGATTTCTCAAGATGGGCAACACTTGCAGCTCAGGTGATGACCAGGGAACCTGCCAGACACATGCCATGACGTTGAATGCGACGAGGAAGAAGAGGAATAGGCCCTGAAGGCGGGTCGGGAGCGAGCCCAGACTGATACGAGAACCGATCCGGGTCTCGGTCGCTCGTCTGTATTTAAACATGGGTGCGTAAAGGACATGCCCCTTCAGCCAGGCGATGGATGGAGAGGTGGAGGCGAAGAGCCGATGCGCTCCCGACTGGCCGTTCAGGGAGGCCAGATGGCGGACATGCCTCTTGAGGCGACCGAGGCTGTGAAGCACATAAATCGTGAGCACCAATCCAGCCATGGCATACAGGTAGTTGTGAGGAAGAGATTTGTTGAGTCCATCGAGGTATTTCTTGGTGGCAGGAGAAGTCATCATGGGCAGAACGCTGAAAGACGACAGTGACAAATCACTTCAAGTTCCTGGCTCCAACAACGAGGGCACAATAATTCAACTTCAACTTCCGTCGGTTGATTTGATTGAATGTTGAACGGAATGGAAAAAAGACTTTGAGCGGTCACGATCCAGCCGTACCACGAAGGGAAAGCAAATGATGAGTAGAACGAAAAGAACCAGGGAAGCAAATGATAAGTAGAACGAAAAGAACCAGAGAAGCACAGCTGTCCCGTCCTCCTGTCCGGATGTCGGTCTCGGGGGGGTGTATATATGTTATAGAGGGACGCATGTATTCTCGTACCTTTTAGGATCGACGTGGCTATCATGGAGCCCACAAATAAGGGGGGGTATCCATGCTTGCGCTGCCCTGGGTGGGAAGCGGGCATCCAGCTCCAACTCCATGCTTGAAACGCGATTATGGAGTGGGCGTGCTTCAGTCTTCGGCTTCCAACGGGCACGATTCGTCCATGCTGTGGGTATAGTAGCAAGTAGCATTACCACCAGGCTTGATGGCGACCAAGTAGAATGGCCGGTCGGAGAGGTACGAGAAGGACGTGGCCCGTAGCGCATTCAGGCAAGGCTTTCGATCAAGATGACGCGGGAAGACATGGCTTGTTTGAGGTTTCGTCAAGGCCGACGACCATGTAGTTCAGTAGTATGTGTAGAGAGGAGAGAACAGCCGCCAGCTCGCCAATGTGACGCGATGTCCCTGTTTGGGGGATGGATGAGTGTTGCGGATAGTGTGGCGTATGCTGTTGCTGTTTCTCCGTCACTGCTTGACTAGAGAGGGAATTCAACTGCAACGACAACGATAGCACGCTCCTGCGTACGTACTGACTCCCTACCAAGAACACCGAACACGTCAGCCTCGTTTCAGGGGACATGAGAATACCGAATTCCGCTCTGCTGATAACGCGAGAGGAAGAGCAGGTCCAGGCCAGTCAGTGTCAGTGAGTGTTGATCATTTCTTGGCTGAAGCAGTCCAACGGATGCTCACGAACATGCTAGGTTTCATTTACCCTGCTTCGGCACTTCTCATCCAACCATCTCTCGCCCACCAGGCCTGATCTATCGACGGTTGTTCTGACACCAGCTGTGCATACGCATACGCATGCGTGGACGTGGACGTGGACGTGGACATCAAGATAACTCGATGTCGAGCACTGTTGAGAGACACGAGGCGAGGCGAGGCTTTGCCGTCTACCTCGTCGATACAAATCATCATCCATGGGCCCCCGACATGTTCAGCGTCCAGCTGCCGAAACAATTGCTACTGCTACAGCTGAGCTCACTATCTGCCTATCTGCCCGGTTTGACTTATCACTCTGTTCCTGGCCTCGTAGTCCGACGGAACCCTACCCCCGATGCCCTCCCAGTATTCGGACCACTCCTTGTCGGCGAAGAAATCACCAGCAAGACCACGGGCGCAAGGCAATCGACATCGTCTGCACAGGTTTAGACACATACCAGTCCGCAGGCAGACCGAGCTGGCTGATCTTCCACCAGAGCTCCCGTCTGATGACTCGGATGATTCTGCAAGTGAAGACGAAGACGAAGACGAAGATGAAAGCGGCTCGGAGTCGGAGGATGATTTATACCCACCTAACAGCCCGCAGCCTCCGATTGAATCGGTACTAAATGCGCCAGGGACTGCTACAAAAGGGATCCCTTCGTCGAACCCAGTGACAGCAAACCGTTTGATCACTGTGGTTGCTGCTACCGCTACTCCCACTGCTACTGCTGCCCATTCCCCAAGTTCAGCCGCCGTCGAGTGTTCGTCATCGTCACCATCCGCTACCCCTACCACTTTGATTTCGACGACTTCACCCCCAGCTCTAGTGTTGAAGCCAGCGTCTAGCACTCTCGGTACAGGCCCGGCCCAGCTTTCAACCAGCACAAAACCCTCGACCAAGAGCACGGAATCCCTGGCAGATTTCCCGAACTCGCCGTCAACAATTGTAGTGGTGGTGGTGGTGGTGGTGTGTCTTCTCTTAGCCGCTGTCGCAGCTGCCATTTACTACCTGCTCTCGCGATACTGTACCGCCCTCAGGAACAAAATATGCCCCTGCGGTCGTCGACGGGCGAAGAATCTATCAGGATCAGCAGAGGCCGGAGGCATGGCTACGTCGGCGACACCTACTTCAGGCCCCGGGACGGCACTGAGCGCCATAGCCTTAGGAGCCACCGCTTCTACCGCTTCCATTCACTCTCCGTCATCGGCAACGATGCAGATACCACCCTATGCTCAAGCAGTCACAACTTCTTGTCCCCTTCTCTTCCCACCCTCTCATCTGCTGATCCCTGTACCAGGCCACCCCATGCCGCAATATGAAAAGCCGGAGAACCCCTTCGGCGACCAGGTCCCGCCACTATTGCATAGCCGCAGTCCAAGCCTGACCGCCCACAGCGGAGGCCCAGGGCGAAGAGGCAGTACAATCCTCGACAACGAGAGCTACGCAGGGAGTACCATAGCCAGAAGTGATCATTCAAGACCAACAACAATCCATCGTCGGATCTCCCAGGCATCAGACGTCCTTCCTCCTGGATTCGAAATGGTCGGCCGTTCTCGCTCGCGTTCAGTAACACGGTTGCCGTAGGTCAAATGGACAAAGGGGGTACGGGCAATGCCCTCGCAGTCTCTCGACTCCATAGTATCTTCCCAAGACATGCTTTGTTTCTTTCAAAACCTCTGCGAACGACAAAGAAGCCATGGTTAACAAGGAGATTCATTCTGATCTTTCAGCATCCATTTGTCTCTCATCAGCGCAAAAGTCAAAGACCAAAGACTCTTTGTCTGCTGCGAGTCAGTTTCTTTGTCTACAACCAAACTGCCTGTCCATCAACCGAGACATGCCAACAAGGCAGCCACCCAGACGCTATGGCCTGCAACAGTTCAAAATGCAGCAGTCTCCCGTCAATCCCGTGGGTACAGGCTGCACTGATTTCTCCAAGTCCGGAACACAGCACTGTGGGCTGTTTGCAATTCCACACCAAAGTTGATCATCATGCCTAACCATGCCCGGCTCGTCAAAGCCTCACGTTCCAATTCGGGCAGCTCGCGGAGCCGAATGCAGGGTTCGACACGGAAGAAGGCGACGACGACCTCCAAGTGGTATAGTAAATGGTTTGCAACATGCGTCAAGACCGACAAGGACGACAAATCAAGTGAACAGGTACCCTCTCCTTCTCCCCAGATCCGAGATCTCCCCGCTAGGGGCAGTCCTGGGAACCGACACAGCAGGCCTGTGGGAGTTCAGCAACGACTACCGCGGCCGGCTCAGTCAGAGACGCCGCAAGCAACTCCAGTACCCGAGTATCTGAATGAGTTGCCATTCCAGACCAGACCGACCACCAGTCTCTCGAAGTGGTTTGAGACGAAGTCGCGGTTACCCGACGTCGTGATCAATGGGGAGTATCCCGGAGCACCACCTACACCCCAGCCTCGCCAGGTCAAGGACGTTGATGCGCCACAGGATTTTGCTCGGTTCACAAGTGACCTGCAAGGCCGAACCGAGTTGGAATCGCATCCAGTGTGGCTGGAAACAAAGAAGACACCACCAAATCACGGACCGTCTCAGGCAGATACGTCCATTGAACCGGCAGAAGTCGCAGCTGAACTTGTTGTATCTCCTTGCATCGATCTCCCCTCCAAACATCAGAGTACTGTCGCCGCTGATGCACCATCCGGCGCCCAGACAGCAGAACCGTTCAAACCGTACCCTGGCGAGATGAAGGTCAGTTATGTCCCTCCCCAGTTGCAAGCCGGATGGGCAAGTGGCGTGCCGCCAACGTTACGCGTTGGTCATGCAGGACGATCTCCCCCCGGTATGCGGTACTCGACTACTAACGTGCCACCACCAGGGAACCGCAAAGTGGACGGAAGCCCCGACTCTCAGCCAGCCCGTTACTCGTGGCCACTGGTGGACTTTGACCAAGAGTTATTCCTCAACTCCGACCCTACACACGCGGGATTGGCAGTTCCTCGACGTCTGCACCCGAGATATCAGGAACCGCGCATTCCTTCCATGGACTTTTCAGGAGACGGACTAGAGCAACAAGTGACGGCAATGCTGGGCACGTTGCAGGGGGGCCAAAAGTGGCAACAGCGACAAGCGCAGGATGAAGAATGGCACGTTGTTGTTCCCTCGCGTTTCCCGCCTGGGGGCAACACTGGGACGGGTATCCATGAAATGGAAGCGTCCACCACCACGACCGCTCAGGGATACCCAGGAAGTCAGCCTCGACATGCGGTGCACAACGCCAGTCCGGGTCCTCCAGCGCCCGAACAGTCTGGGGAATGGCACCAAAACCGAGTGGTGCGCTACCACGAATACAACTGGCCTCGATTCAGCGATGTGCATCAGTATCAGGACCCGGCGGAAGAATATAGTCGACGCTACCGAGATCGGCGACGTGAGATGCGGAGAGGACGATGTGAGGGATGACGAGTGGGTCATAAGGGACAATGGAGGAGAAAGGCAATCGACAAAATGTCGGGTGTACGGATCTATGGAGTGCAGGTTGTCGTTGTCCTCCTCCCTCTTTGTGTGGAGTAAGTAGTGTTGCTCCCCTTGTTGGATATGACACAGTTGATATCAGGTATTGTACCTATAGATGGCCGTAGCAGCGTCGACTCGGGCTGGTCTCGAAGTCGGCCCTCCCCAGGGAACTGCATTAAGACCAGTAGAGGTTTTACCCGTCGAGGGAATCTGGAATCCGCCACACGGCGTATAGTTGCTACCAGTCATATAAGTAATATCAATGTACACATAGACTCTGGACCATGACTTAACAGACTCGGGAGAGTTCCACAGTACGGAGGGGAGGATGGAGATGGGGATCGTGCTGGGTTGCTTTGCCGTGCCTGTGGCTGATCGAGTCGGCTAAAGTCGGAGTGCGTTCTTGGGCGGAGGGCATCAGAATAGGAGGCGGTGAAGGTTGAATTCAGGCTGAAGGCATAATCACATGTCTGTCGTGACTCTCGGCGCAATTGACCCGAGGCCTAAGCTCCAGGGTGGAGGGGCACCGGGGACTGTAGGGGATTAGGAGCCTAGGCCTAAGGGGCTTAGGAGGCCACCACCTAACACCTAACACCAATAGTTAGGGGCAGTGCGACGCCCGGAGAGGCCGAGCGCCCATGCCTAATACTGGTACTGGACCACCAATTTCCCCTAATTAGAGGGCAAGTGAGGCAAGTGAGGCGCCTAGAGCACTCAGCACCCAGGTAGGGGCCAGGGCTCCTTAGGCGTAGGGCTAAGGGACCAAGGCGTCCGGCTGCTGGCCAACGGGCGCGCATCACTTCCCGATTAAAGGCATGGTATCTCGATATTGGAGTCAGCCCCGATTAATAAATGGCATCTGAATGAGTTGCGAGTTGCCCTTCCCCCACGTTCTGGCCCATGCTTCTTCTTCAGCCCCTGCTCCCTGCCGGTTGCAGCCACTAATAATTCATTAATGCCATCTCGATCGTCTCGATCGTGCACATGAGCAAGGGCACGGGGCATGGATGCCAGTTAGGTGCCAGTGACTATCGTATATTGCAAATGGCAGTGCTTTATTTGTTCTTCAGTCGCCTGAAGCAGCCATTATTGTTCCTCACGCGGTGCTGCTAGTGCTGCTAGCAGCCACTAATGGGATTAGTCGCGGCTAAGTTGCTGGCCCTGCCATTATTCAATCTCAAGCTAACCGAACTGATTGCGAAAAAATCCGAATGAATGATTAATCGACCAAGGAAGGAACGCAGGAAGGAAGAAGGGAAGGAAAAAGGAACGGAAGGAACGATGGATTGCTTTTCCCTCGGCCTGTGCCCCGGTGACCCGACTCGACTCGCCGACTCGACTTGTTTCGCTTGTCTTCGCTTGCACCACTTGCAGCCGTCAATTGTTCCATCTCATCGTATCGTATCGTCTATCTCATCCTTCCAGGACGGAGCACGGAGTACGGAGTACACCTCCACTGCATCTCGACTCTTCCACGATCCACCACCGCGCATGCTTTACCCGTATTTCATGTCAATTGAAGGGTGTTCGTCAACTTCAACTGTTCCTGGCGCCCTGCCCCTCCCCCACTGTACGTAGAAAAGGTGTCTACCACTACCACTACTACTAGTATCGACCACAGCACAGCTCGTCCATTCTCTGCTACCTCTGGCCTCTTCTCTTTTCTTTCTTTCATCTGCTCTCTTTGTCTCCCCACGGCGCCTCTCCATCCCACCAACTCCCTTGTCGGCACATATCGACCACCGGCTACCTCCACGCCGCCACCCACCATTCAGCGTCCTTCTTCACCGCCACCAACGCACTACGGAGTGCTACATCCAGAATCTTGAAAAAGTGGGGGACAAACTTTTGTTTCAAGCATTTTCCCACCCGAGCGTCTCGTCTTTTTCCCCGAACCCCCGAAAATCGGGACCCAAGCCACTGCCACACGTCCGTGTGTGAGACAAAATTCAGGATACTACAGAGTACGTGTCGCAGTCGACGTCCTACCGCTGCTGTTCGTGTCGGAGTCGCCGTCGCCGTCGGAGCCAGGGTCGCTGAACCTTCAAAGAGTCGGATTTCGTCATCTGTCAATTGCCTTCCCGTGCCTCGGGAGAAACAAGGATCAAAACACATCTCTATCTGGACTTGCTCACGACTGCACTTCAAAGTCGTTTCATTGTCCCTTTCGGCCGTCGTCGCCTGTCGAGTAAGCCTCTGGAAACTCAGTGTCACCGCCTCCGTTCGCTTTGATACCCCTGCTCCGTCGACGCCGTCGCGTACCCTGAGGTTGTCATCTAATTGCCGTTCACCCCACAGTATCCGCGGATTCTTGCTCTGGAAATTTCTTTCTCGCCCAACCGACCTTTCGTGCTGTTATTACGAAGTTTGCCTCCGTCATACACCAAGAATTCCGCCTTCATGCCCGATCTATTTCTTTCACCTCTCCGTCGGTGATCGCAGCTTCAAGTGGTGGTTTACCCGCCCCCAGGAGGAGACAGGATCCTGGGCGCAGTCTCGGATCCGAGACCGGCCATGTACAGACATTCGGCCCAAGTCAACTTAATACCCAAAAATGCTCCTCCTTCACCCGACAACACCAGTGACTCTGAGTCCGACATACTCGACGTCCTGGACCGAAAGAGAAGGCAACTAGACGAGGAAATCACGAGATTCAAGGCGGCTAAAGACCGCGAGTTTCGTGAATTCGAGAAGGAGTTGCGCCTCAATCGGAAAAAGTCTCGAGGCGCACACAAGGACTCGGAATTTTGCCCCTCGAGCAAATCACCCTCGTCGTCATCCACCGGTGCTACAGTCCTGACGCTGCTGTCCTCTTCCCAGAATGGCCCTGCAAACGGATTGGTGGGGCATAAGCCGATCAGAGCGGGAGACGCTGTGGGAGACAAGATACTCAGATCGGCGCCGCTGAGTAAACCGACGCTGTCACTCGACAAATTGAACGTCGCCGGCGAAACCCTGCCACGCGTGAACGGCCTAGCCACACCTCCCACCGCGTCGTCACTGACTAGAACAAATTTGCGCTCTCCTTCACCTGCCTCGACAAACACAACCCCCCCACGGTCACAGACCGAAAGATACCCGCCGCCCCCTACACCGACGAGCGATCGGACGGACAGTTTTGCCGGCGTCTTCACCCCCGCCTATCTCCCTCTGCTCGAGTCCCGTGACCGGCCCCCATTTGCCCGCAGTGCAAAGCCAATGACCTCCCCTGAAGAGGAGAAGGAACGACTCCGACACCTCGACACCGGCAGTCCAAAGGAAGCCGAAACACAGAAATTACGGTTAGAATCTTCTCAGTCCCTTCCCCCAGATGCCATCTCACCCTCGATTGTCGCCACCACCAAGAGAACGAAATCTGCGGGTCAGTTGCCCAGCACCAGCCTACCGAGTGCGTTGAGATCGTCCAAAAGCGGGGCGAGGAAGGGAAAGCGTGTCCACTTTCAACTGGCCGATTTCACGGTTGTCGAGCCGAGCAGCAGTTATGAAGAGAATTCAAGTCCAGGTCTAAGTCCCGAGAAGCAGGAGATCTCCGACCGGGCCGCCAGAATTGGCGAGCAAGAGCATTCTCACAGTAAGCAGAGCACCGTTGGGTCAAGAAGGAAAGGTAGTCCGAAACACCTACAGTTGCCGAGCGGGAGAGAGAAACGACGAGGTCGAGGAGGTCGTTTCATTTCACCGAACCCCTCTCCGCTGCACAGTCCGTCACCGTCCCCAACCATCGAGGGAACTTCAGGTTCCCCTGCCGTATCCCCTGAGGAATCGGGATTTACGGGCGGTCTTGCCCAGGCCGACGATGGAGGCAGCGGGGTGGGATTTTTCGAACTCGACGAGGAACTGGCCAGCCCCGGATTGCGCGAGAAGCCTCTGGAGCAGGAACTCGAGGTTGACCCGCTCCCTGAGGAAGCGGTCGCGGATGAAAAAGCCGACGGTGAGGTCGGCCTAAGCAGCAGTTTCGCGGCGGGCAGTCTGCCGATTGACATTGTCAGGCCCTCTGGGAGTTGGATTGGCAGTTTTGGACATTGAAGCGATGGAAAAGGAAAGCGAAGGGATAGGGATTCGGCCAAACAACATAAGACAGTGGCATGAATGCATATGCATATGAAAATGGAAACATGTCCTTGGAAAAGTGATTGGGATTGGTCACATATAACAATATAAAAACGGAGATTGAAATAACGTACCATGTTGGGTATGATACGGAACCATAATAAGTCGGGGTCGGACAGCACTAGATGGTGAAAGAGCCAAATACAATACTAGGTTCCAGGAAAGTCTACTCGTACATGATCTTGAGTCTGATATAATTCCAATTCCGTGCTCCGTGGATATCTGGCTTGGGCTCTAGTAGTGGGCCAGCCCACAGCAATGCTTGCGGCCCATAAGAAGCTGTTCGTGCAGCTAGCTAGCTAGCTAGCTAGCTATATGATCTGATCTGATCTGATCTGATTTTGGTGTTACAATATATCGCCCGAGCACAGTCTGGCGGCTTGGATCATATCAACGCTTGGCCCTTGTACATGGCCTCGCGGACTTCGCGGATGACATCCTTTCGATCGTGACGGCCCATCAGCACAATGGCCCTGCCGCGACGATTCATGCGGCCCAGGCGGCCCAGGCGGTGCACAAAGTCAATGGTCGTGTGCGGAACGTCGTACAGAACGACATGGCGCACGGCCAACGTGTCCACTCCGCGTGAGCCCAGATCGGTGGTCACCAATACCTTGGTGTCGGGCAAATGACGCGTGGGTCTGCCGCCGAACGACGAGGATGACGACGACGAGGACGGGTCGGTCGTGGAACTTTCAAAGGGCACAAAGTCGCTGAACAGCTTAGTTTTCGATTTGGCCGCTGGCTTTTCCGAGCCTGGGACTGCGGCGGACGCGGTGAATGTGGACAGAATCTCGGCTTGGCGTTGCTCGGTGGTGTCTCTGGTCAGCGCGACGGCGTCGATGCCCTTGCCGGCCAGGAAGCGCGCCAACTCTTCGGCCCTTTCTCGTTCGTTGACGAAGACGAGGATGTGTTTGACCGTGTTGCGCGGGTTCAGGTCTTCGTGCACGGCCTTGCCGAGCGTCCAGATGACGTCGGCACAGGCCAGGTCCCGAGAACCGCGGTAAGGCTCCCTGTCGATGTCGACGGCGCCGAGCTGGACACGGCGAGGGATCGTGTGCAGTTTCGGCGTGACGATGCGCTTGCACTCGGGAAACTGCCGGTCGATGAATCGGTCGAGCGAGTTCGGGACGGTGGCCGAGCATAGAATCAGCTGCTTCAGTGACGGCGCGGCTCGGTCGATGATGCTACACGAAGTCTCGCTGAAGGACCGGTCGAACAGGGAATCGGCTTCGTCCATTACCAAGTATTGCACCCGAGACAGAATATTGGGCTCCTTCTTCGCAATGCTTCCAATCAGGTGAGGCGAAGAGACCAGAATGTCGATGCCATTGGGGTTGAAGACCCGATTCCTGATCACCGTCGGACTGTTGTAGGCCGATATCCCCGCCGACTTGTACTTGACGCTATGCCCGAGCAACTTGACCACCTTGGTGACCTGGGCGACTAGTTCCGACGATGGCACGAGGATGAGTGCTCGTGGTCGGCCCATTGACGGATGGATCTTGGGCTCGTCCTCTGACGGATCCGCCTCAAACACAAGACGCTTCTCTCGGTCTTCCTTCTCTTTGGCTTCCTGGGCTTCTAGTTCCGCTTCTTCGATCCTGTCTCGCTCTTCTTGCTCCTTGACGTGGTGGATGATGGGAAGCAGATAGGCCAGAGTCTTTCCTGACCCGGTCTCGGCCGCGATCAGAAACTTGTCGAAGTTGGGTTGACCATCCGCTTTCTTCTGTTTCTGATACGCGTCTTTTTGGCTGAGCAGCGCCGGAATCGCCAGTTTCTGGGCCGGCGTGGGCACATATTCTGTCAGGTTCGGAAGGACTTGTGTATAGACCGCACTCGACACAGCCGGCATCAGTCCTAGCTCCTCAAATGAATTGATTTTGTCCAGCTTCATTTTCAGTTTGTCTCGCTGGCTGTAGGATAGAGGGGCTAAGGTCTGTTGCATTTTCAAGGCGTGAAACAGAGGTCGTTCGTCTTTGCTAACGCTGCTCTTCTTTTTCGGTGGCGATGATGCTTCGGTTTCAACACCGTCAGAACCGGATGGGGATGTCTCGCTCGACGTTCGGGGTTGCGGCGATCGCTTTCTGATCTCTGTCCGGAGAGCCATCCTGGCTCGCGAGGGCATCGCACGAGGCGCTCTTCGTTCGGGCAGTCTGGCCACTGTCTGATTCATTCCGGCAAACGGCCCAGCGGTGTCTCGGTCGGCCGCCTTCTTCTCTGTCCGTCTCCTGCTGACATCCTGACTAAGGGTCATCCTTAAGGGTTGCTTGCGTTGTCGCATGGCCGACGCCATAGTTCTTTGAGCCTGCCATTGTCGCACCGAAGGGCTCAGCGCCGAGATGAGCGCTCGAAACTGACAGGCCGGGCAGACGGCGACCGAAGACGACATGGAGGAGTGAGTTGACGTCGGAGAGCTGTATGGTCCTGTGCCAGGACTTCTCGTCTCTGCCAAAGATCCAGGACTCGAAACTTTTCCTGGGGGCCGTAGGCCGCTTCGGGACTAGCCTGAATCGCACTTGGCAGCGCCTTTCCCGCGGTTGCCCTTTGCAACGCAGCCAGTTGTTTTCCCCGCTGCGCGTGAGACGCCTAGGGGCCCCCGTGTGTACGCCCTCCAATAATAGTACTTAGGACCGTTACTAGTAAATAGTTGCTTTGGAGCTCATCAACCTCCCATTGCAAACCCTCTTCTCGTTGTCAAGCACATTGTTCAACTCGAGGCGGTCTACACTGCGGCCGCAGTCGCTGCTCTGCTCGCTCTTCCTCTTCACAGTCTTTTCCTTCTGCCTGCGCTCTCTCAAGAGCAGTCCTCAGGCTTGCCTCGCAGCTGGTCTGTCTGTGCCAGGCTTGACCCATCTGTCACTCATCCGTCGCCTGCGCACTGTTCATTCCATCCATCATTTATGGTCTGAGCGTGCCTGAGCATCGAATACAAAGTCATTGTCTTAGGTTCTAGCCACCATGGCCTCGGAGGTACGTGCGATTGTCATTGTTGACGTCGCCCTCGATTGCCGCAAGCTGACTGCTGACATCCTCGTCCACAGGTTCCACCCCTACGCATCCAGAAGGGCAGCAATGGCACTTCGCCATCCAAGCTGCCCCGAGTAACGAATCGCCCCTTGTCAGAGCTTAGTCCCATGGCCATTCGACGAAACTCTCCGAGTTTTCCTCAAGCCAAGGTACGTTGTTTTGCGTTTTCGGTCCGGTGTCGATTATTCAAACAACATCTCACAGTTCCAGGGCAAGATCTTGGCCACCGAAACCTCACCAGCCGGATCGTCTCCATTCTCGAACACTTCGCCCCTTCTGTTCTGGCAGGGACGGGATCCCAACTCCCCTGCCAGAGAAATTCGCAACGGATTCGAAAGCCCTCCCCCTGCCTCCTCTCCAAAAAAGCGATCGTCCATCGAGAACCTGAAGAGGGCCTCTCGAGTCAAGAACAGCAGTATGTTCGCAATAGAGCAGAGCAATCGCTACGACCCCACGCGTCCCGCCATTCTCGATGGCCGCCCTCACAGCATGCAATTTTCGCGACAGCAATCGCCTTTCCGGAGCCCCGATGTGATTCGAAAAGAAAACGTCCCGCCGACAATTAGAAACAGCTCTCCGGTTCATGCTCATTCCAAGCCAGAGCACCCAGAAACGACCGCGGTGACCAACTCCGTCACACCTCTGTCCCCAAGCAGGTTCAACAGCTCACCTACCAAGTCGTCGCTCTCTAAGAAGACTGGTGCCAAGTTCAGACGAAGTGGGTTTGACCCAGAAACAGGAATCTGGGAAGACGAGGATGACATCCAGGGCAGGGTGCTCCCTGAAGGTCGTGGATTACACCGTCATCACAAAAGTGTCACGTTTGACCAGGCTCCACCCCAGGTCAACGAATACGAAATGACAACGCCGGCGCCCTCCGAATCTTGTGCTTCAGGATCTCGCGAGGGTAGCTATGAGTCCACCGAGGACGACGAAGAGGAAGAGGCCAACTTGGAACGAGGATCGTCGGTTGACCATGATGACAGCTTTGATGCTTCGTTGGAAGATACCGCAAAGACTCCCGTCGTGCTGCCTGAAGAATGGCGCTTTATGAGCCCTGAGACGGCCAACACCAACTTGGCCTGTCACGAAGAGGACGTTTTTCAAGAAGATTGCGGCAGTCCCGCTCCTACTGCTAAGCCTGGTGCAGTGTCCTATCGACCGCATCAAACAAGTGCAGGTTCGGTCGACTCCGACGGCCAGGCTCGTCCTCTCCCACCGCTGCCGCCTTCGGGGGCCCACCGCCATTCAAGATCTGAGAATTTGTCGGGCGCCTTTGAACGTATGAGCATGGCTCACCGTTCTCTTCCAACCCCGCCTATGGCTGCGGGAATCTCTAAGGCCGACATTCAAAAGATGGGGACCTCGAGCAACCTCTCCTCCGAGGATCGACTCCGTCTGATGGCGCTCCAGGAACAGGAGCGAGAGCGCCGTATGAGGAGGATGGAGTCGAAAGAGTCCAGTCCTGTCCGTGAAGCTAGCGTCGAGGAACACTCAAATGACCATGGCGAGCCCGGTCCCGAGATATATGATTCTGGAAACTCAACACCGCAATTATCGAGAGCCTCCATTCTGTCAGGGCTGCGAGGCACAGACAGTCGAGAAAATAGTGAGGATGCTCCTGAAGCATCCAGACGCCGAGATCAGTCTTCTTTCGATCCAGATGTTCCAATCCCGTCTTTGGAAGACCCCACACAACCGCGGATTAAGGAGGAAGATCTGGAAGATCGGGATTTGTATTCCATCACTGACATGTACCTTGGCGGGAATGTGTCAGAATCAGAGAGCAGCGCCAACCAAGATGACGATCAAACAAGCCAGTATTCTCAAGCGTCTCTCGCTGCGGTACCTCCGCCAACTCTGTATGAAGGACAAGACACCCCAAAAGCTGAAAGCCCCGTGCGAGAGCAGACTTCCCAGTCCTTGTCATCTGAACAACGCATGTCGCTGCCCGAGTTTCCCGATTTTGGAAAACACAGCAGCTTCGACATGGGCTTTGGTCCTTATCTGACGACGAAGCAGCAAGAAAAAGCGCAGCCTGCCGCCATGAACCCACCAGCGACCGATCTTCCAGATCTTGCCGCACTTCGTCAATCGATCCAGCATTCTTACACGCCTGATATTCAGACGAAGCGGCCTCAAAGCCCACTCAGACTTGAGCTTGAGAATGCAGCACCCGGAACTCCCGAGTCCGTTGTTCGACATCCCACTGCAACTTCAGGCTTCATCAGCAACCTAGATGCTAACGCAGCTAACAAGGAGACAGACTCGGAAGCAGATAGCGAGAGGTCGGTCTCTCCATCTGATACTGGTTCTGTGGTGGTCAATGGAAAGGAGACATCTCCGGTCTCACCTATTTCGGCCGAGTTCGATGATAAACCTGAGTCTCTTATGCCCGCCTTTGCAGAAAGTGCAGGTAGCGCCGAAAAGGAAGCCCATGGCCAGAGCATGACGGTCGAAAAGAAGCGAGTCAGCAGTTTGGTACCGTTGGATATCCCTTATGATCAACTAGACGACAGTCTTGGACTAGGCCTGGAGAAGGAGTTTGACCGGGTTGTGGAAGCCCAAAAGGTAGAGTTTGAGCTCTCTTTGCGCCGCCTGTACTACCCTTTCAATGGACGTTTCCCATCCAGCGAGATCCCTGACACGAAGGGTTCGAAAGCTGCCAATCCCTTCGAGAATATCCCCGTGCTGCCCAAGCCCCGTGGAGCTCGCGCTCTGCCAGGCAGAGATGGCTCTATTGCCCTCGCGGAATCTGCTGATAGAGACTCATTTGCTAATCGATCCGGCCAACTACAGAGAGGATATGTGATGCGACAGAACACCAAAATCGTGGTTGCAAGTGAACGTATCACCCAGGAGGAAGACTGCAGATCTCCCGGCCTTCCCAGTGAGGGTGGGGAGAATATGCTAGCAGTACCACTCCTCAAGCCGAACAAGGTCCAGCCGTCTCCTCGCAAGACTAGTCAGCCGACATGGAGCACCGAACCCTGGAATGGCAAGATCAGGCGGAAGAGCATTCGTGTGGGTGGTGAGAGGGCGGCAAGCAAGAGGAAGCCGGTCGAGAGCGCTGTTCCACCTCTGCCAGGTCAAGCAAGCAATGTCCAGGAGAGTCTCGATGCAGTTGCAGAAGACGAACTTGGAGAAGAGGAGGATTGGGAGGATGGCGCTGAGCGTGGTCGACTCTTTGTCAAGGTCATCGGGGTCAAGGACTTGCAGATGCCATTCCCTCAACGTAAGCGGACGGCCCCACGTCTACTCATAACCACATGTTTAACTGACCATGAACAGATGAACGTACCTACTTTGCTCTTACGCTCGACAATGGGCTGCACTGTGTGACAACCACGTGGCTGAACCTCGCTCGGAGTGCCCCGATCGGACAGGAATTTGAACTGGTTGTCCTGAATGATCTGGAATTTCAACTCACGCTCCAGATGAAGTTGGAAGAACCCAAAGTCGAACGACCCCTGTCTCCCTCCAAGCCGCCTCCTTCGCCCAAGAAGCAGGGCGCTTTTGGAAGGTTGTTCGGGTCGCCCAGAAAGAGAAAGGAGTTGGAAACGAGGGCTCATCAGGAAGCCCAAACGGGCAGGAGACCTGTGACACCGCCGTCAGCATACGAACTGGTCCAGGGTCTCGTCGCAAAGGATGGCTCATTTGCCCGAGCTTACGTTGCCTTGAGTGAACACGAGAAACAAGCCTACGGCAGACCGTACGTGGTTGACATCACTTGTTTCAACGAATGGGCTCTGGAAGAGGTGTATGTTGGCAGTTCACGAAGCAAAAAGGGCGTGACACAGCTACAGCGACGTCCGCCCTATGAGATCGGCAAGCTTGAACTGCAACTGCTTTATGTGCCGAAGCCAAGGGGGGCCAAGGATGAAGACATGCCCAAAAGCATGAACGGGGCGATTCGTGCGATTCGGGAAGCCGAAGAGCGGATGCAACAGCAGGCTACCATCAAGAGCTTTGAAGGCTATCTGAGCCAACAGGGAGGGGATTGCCCGGTAAGTTGTTGAAACGAGGAATTGTCTAGAACCCATTGCTGACCGGGAGCAGTACTGGCGACGTCGGTTTTTCAGGCTTGCAGGCACCAAATTGACCGCCTTTCACGAGACGACCCTTCAACCACGGGCAACCATCAATCTTGCCAAAGCGTCGCGCCTCATCGACGACAAGTCCAGTCTCACACAAAAGGAGACATCCACCAAGGGCGGCGGCCGACGTAAGAGTGGGTTTGCCGAGGAGGAGGAAGGCTACATGTTTGTGGAAGAGGGCTTCCGGATTCGCTTCGCCAACGGAGAAGTCATCGACTTTTATGCCGACTCGACGGCGGATAAAGATGAGTGGATGAAGGCACTCTCCCAGGTGGTTGGCACGAATCCGACAGGAAGCTCGGCCCCGGTCAAGGGCTGGGCTGAAATGGTTCTCAAGCGAGAGAAGAAAATGAAGGCCGAAGCATCCTCGCCGTCGCATCTACCACGGCCCAGCGGTGGCCACTTGCGGACGGAGACGTACCACGCTGGAACGGGGACGAGTCAGGCGAACAGTCCTGTCAAGTCGAAGAGCGGGCACGAAGCCTATCATCGGAAGACCAGGAGTATGCACGCGTGAGAGTGGTAATGAGCATGATTCACAAGGTTGGGTTTGGGCGCGATCGGTTTGGGCAGGTTTGGTTGGAGATTCTGTTGGCTTGGACGGCGTTGGACAAGAATGGATCAAGACCTCGGGCGGTTAGGTTGATGGCGGGTTTGACCCAGGCCGGGTGGTTGGGTTGTTTTTTCCTCTTCCTCTTCTATGGGCCGACGATTTCATGCAGCACACGACGGATGTAGTAGCCAGGCTTGCGAGAGGAAGCTGTGCGGTGCCGCGCGGTGCTGGCAGAGTCAGCTCGCAGTTACTGTGATGTGTAAATAAGAAAGCGATTGAATTGAATGAGGATTTGAATCGAGACCACGACGGACGATGCTGTGTCTGTGAATCTGTGGCTGAAATACAGTAGCCAGTAGTCAGTACAGAGTGATTACTCTGTGGGTAGTAGGATCTCGTTAAAGTGGAAGTTCAAGTTCGGCCAGGCACCCGCCTAAGCCCAGGCTGCGGATTCTGACCACAACCCCAGGCAGCCACCCCGGACATGAATATTCTCTGCGTCTAGTCCATCCCTCTCCCTCTACCATTTGAGCCTCACCCACGCCCACGCCCACCCTCCGGCTCTGTGTGGTGCTGAGATGAGTGTCATTCGCACGATCGCGGCCGTCATCCTCAGTATTTCATTTGTGGTCTTCGTCGCGCTCTTCGGACGGCTGCCCATCTTCCGGTAAGACGGCGTCTGTGTCCATGTCCGTGTCCGTGGGCTGAGAGCTCTCAGAGTCTCCCGTGCTGACCCTGCTCTTCTCCTCCCCGTAGGCGCACGCCTATTGCTTTTCTCTATCGACTGCTCTGGAAACACATCCCGAATGGCTTCGTCGCCGTGGATGATCGACTCACCGGCCGCCGCGTATCGCGGAGCCTGGCTCGGACAGGCGACTATCTTATGAACGAAGCGCACCCGCTGGTGCTGGTATGTACTGGCCCTTTCCGCCAGCGGCATTTGCTCACACGCTCACGCTCATGCCCAGATCTTTTTCGTCCTCCTACAAGTTGTCGGAGAGGTTCTGTTCATTCCAGCCGCCTGGGCCCGGTTCACGGTGTCTCAGCTCACGCTGCTACCTCCCCTTGTGCTCGCCCCTTTGGCGTTTCTCTATCTCTCGGCTACGACCTCCAGCAACATTACTCCGCACAACCATCGATCGTCGATGCTTGCCTACCCCTATGACTACGCTCTCTTCCATCCCGGCTACTTCTGTAGTACTTGTCGCCGTGCAAAGCCGCCCCGTTCGAAGCACTGTTCGCTCTGCAAGGCCTGTGTCCAGAGACAGGATCATCACTGCATCTGGATCAACAATTGCGTCGGCCGGAACAACTACCTCTGGTTCAATCTGTTGCTGGTCAGTATAGCGGCCCTGCTGGCTTATGGGGCCTCACTCGGCTATCTCCTTCTTGATGCACACCTACAGCAGAAGCTGGTTCCCCCGGCTCTTACGAGGGGAAGTGTCACATCAAAACGATGGAGCACCCGCATGACTTGGACCGAGTTTGCGCATTGCTGGGCCTGGGTTATCAGCAAGGAATGGCGCATCGGAGCCGTCATGATGCTGGCAGCCATGTCGTGCCCGCTCGCCTTGGGGTTTCTGCTCTACCATGTCTATCTGATCTGGGCCGGAATGACGACAAACGAAAGTGCCAAGTGGGGTGACTGGAAGGAAGACATTGCCGACGGCGTGGCCTTCAGGGCCGAGATGCGCCAAATCAGAGAGATATATCCACCACTGCCTGAAGATGTCGAGCCTCGTGATGAAGACGTCAGGTGGCCGGCTGGAGTCCGGGCGAAGTGGTGGATGGTTCGAACGAAGAACGGCCAACCGCCCATGAAAAAGGCGATGCAAGATGAGGCCTCTGAGACAGATGTTGGCGAGGTTCGAGAAGAACCTGATGAGCGCTGGGTCAAGGTCAAGTCCATCGCGGAAGTCGAGAATCTGTATGACCTGGGATTTTGGGGCAATCTAGGGGATGGGCTTTTCAACAGGGGCTAGTCAGCTGTTAAGATGTATGCATAGTACGGAGGAGATGATCACGACGGGTATTATGAAGCACGATGGCGTGGGTTGAACAATTGCCGAAGCTCTGTTCACACGAAGATGCGGGTTGATAGACCAGACGGGTCTTGTCACGTGGACCCGCGTCCACGGTAGGGAGCCCAATTACATGAATCCATCCCCCGTGTCTAGTAGATAGTGACTGACTGGCGTTGTCTGGTGTCTGGCGTCTGGTGTCCGCATCATTCACTCTGTCCCCAGTCTCGGCCTGCCGCTTCTCGGACAAACAAAACGACAAAGTCACCCTGACCACTCTCTGAATGTAGAGATCTGTCCAGGATGCCCGCAAATGGCTCCACGGCCTGCCAAACGGCAGCGCAGATCTACCATCGTCCTCTCGGACGATAGTGACGAGGATTTCGAGTTACCCTCTTCCAAAGCCGTGAAAGCCGGTCTACAGCGCGAGATCACCCTTGATGGCAGGAATTCCCTCACAGTGTCCCCGGCCAAGACGGGCAAAGGGAAGTCGACGACTAGACGAACTATCCTGCGAGCATCCCCTAAATCATCTCCGGAAAAGACCAGAAAAAATGCAGGACCAAGCGAAGCCGAGAAGTCGAGGTCCTTGCACTCTTTCTTCGGCAAAGCCACTGACGAAGAGAGATGGAAGAAGAAGGCCATACCAGAACAGGACTGGGCGAATGGGGAATTGGGCGATGCAATTGAAGACGATGAATTGTCCGACGAGACGCTACAAGAACTGGGAGTGAAGCCGGACACTGCGCATACATCTCTCCACAGAACGAAACCTGTCATGCCTGCAATTACAAATTTCACCAGTACAGTCAATAGAGGCAGCCTGCCCTCCAGCCAGCGATTTCTCAAGGCTGCACCTTCGAGTCAAGAGGCCACCACCAGCGCAGACACCTCTCGACCAACCGTCGACGTCCACCATCTACCATGGTCCGATCGATACGGGCCTAGTAATCTCGAAGAGCTGGTGGTACACAAGAAGAAGGTGGCCGATGTCCAAGGTTGGTTGCAGGGCAAGATCAGCGGACGCAACAACCAGAAACTCCTCGTCTTGAAGGGACCTGCGGGCAGCGGGAAGACCACGACCCTGTCATTGCTTGCAAAAGCCCTGGGCTTGCAGCTAATATCATGGCACAACCCTGCTGTTTCCGACGCGGGCGGAAACAGCTCAATAGCTCTGCAATTCGACGAGTTCCTCAACAGAGGAGGCCAGTTCGGCAGCCTTGCTTTCGACCATGGTATTTTAGATTCGGACTCCTCCAAGGGAGATCCAGACCATCGACTTCTTGTCGTCGAAGAGTTTCCGGCAACTATATCGAGCTACTCCAGCGCCCTTCAGTCGTTCAGGTCCGTCATTTTACAGTTTCTGGCGCGAAGCAAGACAGCCTCCTCAGCTATCCCTGGTCACCATCACCCCAATGGCAATGCTCCACCTCTGGTCATAATCATTTCCGAGACTTTGCTCTCCTCGTCCACAGCAATGAGCGACAGTTTCACTGCTCACAAGCTCCTCGGTCCGGAAATACTGAACCACCCCTTTGTGACAGTCATGGAATTCAATCCGGTCGCGTCTACATTTGTGACCAAGGCTCTGGACCTTGTCATGAAGAAGGAGGCAAGAAATTCTCGCAGACGCCGAATGCCCGGCCCCGCCGTGATTCAGAGACTGGCCGAAATGGGCGATGTCCGAAGCGCGGTCAACTCTCTAGAGTTCCTTTGCTTGAGAGGAGGCGATGGCTCTGAATGGTCGGGTACGGTGGCAGCCAAGGCGAAGAAGACATCAAAGGACAAGCACGGCGTGCCTTTGACAGAAATGGAAAGGAACTCCCTCCAACTTGTCACTCACCGCGAAACCACTCTGGATATGTTCCACGCAGCCGGCAAGATTATGTACAACAAGCGTGAAGATCCACGGGTCCTAGATACCAGAGCAGAGCCGCCACCCAAACCACCGGATCATTTGATGCATTTGTATACACCCAAGGCGTCCCAGGTTGACATTGAAGCTCTCCTCAATGAGACCGGGACAGATATCCAGACTTTTATCTCGACCTTGCACCAGAACTACATACTTTCTTGCCACGGCGATGCGTTTGAGCAATCGTTCGAAGGTTGTTCGGATGTCCTCTCCACAGCTGACATTTTAAATCCGGAGAGCCGACCGTCACGTCGCGTAGCCTCGAACCCAAATGCAAGCATCATCCAAGCCAACCTGCAGGCCGGATCTTCGGACACGCTGCGACAAGATGAGATCAGCTTTCAGGTCGCGACGAGGGGTTTGTTGTTCAATCTGCCATATCCTGTAAATCGCACGAGCCCTCCCGGCGGCAAAAAGGGTGACGCGTTCAAGATGTTTTACCCGGTGAGCCTACGACTATGGAAACCCACAGAGGAAACGGAAAGTCTGCTTGACATGTTTGTCCACGAGTCGGGTTCTAGGTTTGGAGTCGGATTTCCAGGTGGTGGTGGTGGTGGCGGCGGCAGTGGAGATGGATCTGGCGGCGTTGCGAGCTGGCAGACCAGAACCTTTGGACGGGATCCTGCGCCTGTTGCGATCAACAAGGAGGACGAGAACCAAGAGACTCCGGAGCTACGGCCTGTTCATCGTGGCAAGGGCACTTTGGTCGGCGAGATCCTGCCGTACATGACGCGCATCTTGGGCGCCAGGAAGCAAGACACGTCTGTCCTCGAACGCATCACGAGGTTTAAGCCGGATGCGTTCCTCTCCTCGGCGAGTGGTGAGGGCGCGGACGCGGACGAAGACGCGGACGCTTTACAAGACGAAGACCAAAGCACCTTCACCGTCGCAGCGGCCGGACTGGGATACGGGCGTGGCACCACCACAGCCACAACCACAACCACCGCAGCGTCGACAAGAACAACGAACGCACCGGTATCTGCGTCCGCTCTGCGTGCGGCTGCCCACGACCATGATCCGACAAGCGCCACCGGCTCTGGACACGGACATGGTGGTCTAGTGCCAGTGACCATGGAGAAGTTGTACATCTCCGACGACGACATCGAAGACGATTGAATGGTCGGCCGAGTTGGACAATTAATTGGCCCGTCCACAGAACAGAAGGGTGGAGGGAAAGAAAGGGAGGGCGGCAGGATTTCTCGTGTTTGGGCGATTAATCGCACCGATAGTCGTTTTGTACCAGCAATGAATTCTGATATGAAGCAATCAAGAACCCCGGTGTCTAGGTACTGTATGTATACTTTTACCTACAGGTAGTACATGACAGATGCCTAACCTTCATCTGCACCGTTGACGCTCATCACATTATTTTGCGTTTTCGCCTAAAAGATGTTGGTCAATACATATTATTCGCCATTTCCGAAGCCACTCTTTTCTGTGGCTGTTTTCCTTTCCTGGCCTTCTAAACTGCCCGACATGGCGGCCGTGTCTGAGCCAGCCCTGCTCTTCCTCGCTCCTGGCTCTTCGGCCCAGTCATGTAATCATTGAAACCAACCGTCTTCTCTGATTCTGAACGCAAAACTGACCGCCGTCGCGGCAAGTAGCCCTATGCACAATGCCGTGGTGCCGTACTTGTCATAGTATCGCGAAATACTAGCCCTGCGTTGCCGGATCATCTGCACACGCAAATAATAGATGACCACACTATACACCAACGCCGCGCTTGCAACGATGGTAAAACCCCACGCCGAGGCGAGGCTGACTCCGTCTCCGAAATTGAGTAGAGTGGCCGCAATGCTTCCCAGAATGATGCTAAACTCCAGCCAAGACAAAAACGTCCGTTCCGCGGCGAAATACACTTTCGGCTCGATGCGGACAGGAACATGGATTCGTTTACCAGCCGGTGCTTTGAATCGCTTGACCTGGATTTGGCCGCCCACTGGGTTGACGCTGCCGACACCGCCGTTTTGTGGTAGAGGAGTCGAGGTGGGGATTTTCTTCCAGGAGTACAGGATCGCATTGCCTGCTTGTTGGATGTGATGGTTCAAGAGCAAGGGGTAAAACTTCCAAGACTTTGAACGACGGGCTTCTTCGAGCTCGTTGCCCTCTTCGTCCGCTTCCGAGTCATAAATGTAATCTTCATCGGTCAGAGGAAGCGCAGCAACACGTTCTTCCTCGTCCAATGAATTCCCTGGGGCAGCACCGGCATCTCCATTCTCTTGGCCATCTCTCTCTTGCACACGGCTGTGCTCATGCAGAGCTCGCCGAGCAGCCTTCAGCCTTCTCGTCTGTTCATCATCGCCATCCGTCGACCCGTCCGCAAACGGGGTGGTTCTTCCCGTGGTTTGACCATCTCCTGGTTCCTCATCGGAATCTACTTCGTCTTCATCAACGTCACTAGTGGAGTAGCTGGCCACGTTGGCCGGCCGTTCAATGCCAAATCGGTGGGTAATTGGTTTGCGAATGTCAACATCCATCTGCGTAAACCAGTATGGGAGGAGATGGATGTGGGTCGGGAATAATGTGGCCACACCGTGGATGAACTTGGAAAACTTGGGCAGAGCTTCCACAAGATGGCTGGCGGTCAGATCACGCACCCACTGAGGTGGTTCTTGACCAGCTTGAGTCTGTAATTTGACTTCGAGGACGGCATAAGGAAACCGCTCGACGTCCTCGGGAGGTAGCTGCGAGAATGGCCAGTCAATGCCAATGTCCATGCGCCGCCAATTGTTGCCAGATCTTTGTCTACCTTCCAGGTTGTCTTCTCGAACCATGGTCAACTCGGTGTCCAGGGAGATGCGGACGCGAGCATCGCCAGGAAGCTGAAAGGCCGTACGGTGATAAAATGATCTGCAGACGGGTTTCAGCCTCCGAGTGATGACCCGATATTGGATTTCTCGAGCTAGTTGCTCGAGGTCTTCAATTTCTTGTATGCTTTTCTTGCCTTCCCGCCTCATCTTGGCAAAGGCTTCTTCAACGGTCATCTTTCCAGCCAGAAAAGCATTGACATTCTTCTCCTTGAGCGTGAACCGAGCCTTGACCGACTTTTCCCCAGTCCAATCTTCTCGATGGGTCTTTCTTTCCACGAAGATTGTCTCGTTCTCCATGCCACCGTACCACCGCAAACGAATGGCTTCCGCGCCCTCCGTCTTTTTCAGTCGGCCCTCGTAGAGTTCCCACGTCTCTGGGTTGTCATAATAGATGGAAGAAATGGCAGAATCCTTTTCATCAAACTCTTTATTGGGATTGAAGACCAGGACAGGGAGGTGCTTCAGGATTATGAGCTTTAACTCGGTGATGTTGTCCGCGTGCACCCAATACTTGGTAGTCTGGCGAACGAAGTTCTGTTGCGCACCACCTGCAGAGCTGTCACCCTTCACAGGGTGTCCTCGGGTTCGGACAAGATCGTAGAGTTTGGAAAGGGTGACGATGAAGGCATCGTAGTTGTCTTGGAAGAAGGGTTTTGCCTTCAGTCTGGTCGCAAAGGATGGGCGCAGTATCAGACCGGTTTGCTTGTCGTGTTTCTTGATGATCTTCTGGAAACCGGTATAGTTCAGCTGGGTAAACTTTGCGAGATCATGGACATCGGCGATTATGTCGCTGAGATCGGCCTCAAGCAAATCAAAGTCCTGTTCGAGGTCGTCGTCGCTTTCGGTATCGGGCGAGGTTTGGTTCTCTTGCCGTTCAATCACTTGTTTGACCTCGGCCTCGGCAGCCTTGATTCTCGATATTATCTCCTGGCTCTTGAGCTTTTGAAAGGTGTAGACCTTGTCGAGCTCTGCCTCGAGCTGCTGGATGAAAGCGGCCTCATCGTCGTCGGTCCAGGGTTCGCGATCACCGTTCTTGCCGTTCACGAAAGGTTTCTTGAGGGCATCTTTGAGGTCGTCATAGGCAATGTAATGCCAGTAGTAGTCCTTGATCAAAGACTGACGAAGCTGCTGGCCAAACCTGCAAGTTGGATGTGTTAGCGACGGAGGAGCAGGGCGGGGGTGGGCCAAAAAACGGACTTCATATTGGTGGGAGACACATTCAAACTAAAGCATCGGGGACGGAGTACTGTGGCGATGAACCAGCCAGGAGTCCGAGCACAGCGAGATAGGTATTCGAGATACAAAATCTGAGAGAAGCAAAGGATACAACTCTAACAGTCCGAGACAACTGGATAGCAAAAGCAAAAGCAAAAAACGACAGGAGCTCTGAACCGGGGGTAATAAACCTCCGGATCGTAGAAAAGGATAGATACTACTAATAGGTGACTAGATACCTAAGATAGGCAGGCAGAGTAGTATCCTCAGACGCTGCGACGTCTCTCCAATGGGAAGAGGCAGGCCAGAACGTGCCTGGAGAGGCGCCTGGAACAGGGCAAGTGGCGGTGGTGGAACTGGAGCTGAGAGTGGACGCTCCCAAGGCCCAGGAGGCTCCTAAGCCTGACTTAGCCTTGCTTGAACTGCGAAGATTCAAGTTGTTATCATCTATCAATATTTAGGTAATCACTTCTGTTTGTCGATCGCTGCACAGCATCCATCCATCTCAGCTAGGGAGCTCTCTTCCCACTTCCTACCTCCCACTTCCCATCCTACTCTGCTACTCTGCTACTGTAGTACGGATAGTGGTAGTAGTACTACCACGGCCCCACCAACCTGTGCTGTATGCTGTATGCTGTTGAAAATTTGCAGACTCGGGTTCCTCTTCCTCGTTCCTCGCCTTTGCCCATCGTCGTTATTCCTCGCTACGCTGCGCCATGATCCAGCGAGTTTTCACACGCCCAGCCTAAAGCCTCAATTCAGACCGATTCGATTCGGTCAACTCGACCCTTGACACGCCACCTAGCAGTATACAAGACCGGTTAGAGGAAAAGATATTGAAGGCAGGCGAGCTACAACCATCGGCCATTGCTACTTGGGTGATCCCGTGGTAGGTGTTGAAGATCGCCCTCGCCGTCGATTATCTAGATCTCTCCACTCCGTCGCTTTTTTAAGTGGCAACCGGGTTCTAGCCTCGGACCTGAAAGTGTCTGCGCCATGCGGGATCATGGCTCAATTAGATACAGATCGTCGAGACGTCAGTCGTTGGAGGCGATGTGGACATCAACTGAGGGGACGGGGCTTCCTCGAAGATCGGATCGAAGATCGTCTCAGACAAGCCATGTTCTCAGGAAGCAGGAATGACTCCCGAGTACCTTCGAGCGAACAAGGACAAGGACGCAATAGGTAGCTGCATGGCTGATCGACGGAGATAAGTACGTTACTTGGCTGGACCATGTATGTGCCTTGAGGCATGCGGAGGGGTTAGAGGGCAGTAGGAATACGACCGATAATATTACCGTAAATCAAGATCATTACCGTAAATCAAGATCATGAAGTCTTCTCCGCGTTCACGATGCCCATGATGTACCTGTGTCTCCCCTCCGCGGCGTCTTGCAAGGATGTCCGCGCCTGGGTCGGTGAGCGTGGTGGCTTAGGGGCTTCATAAGGAATGAATCATTTCCCAGAAGGATGGCTAAGGCGTTGACGCCCGGTGCTGTCAACTGCAGTCATGCGCACCTCCCATGGCTGCCGAGCCTCCCATTCTTTTGTACTCCGTAGCCAACTACAAAGTATTAGGACGAACCACCATCTGTCTCGCTTTCATTAACGCCACTCGTCCGCAGGGATAATGCCTACGATCTAACCCATTGGTACGCGGGTTATTCGAACCAATTCTGCGCACCTCGTCTCCGCTGGTGCCAGACTGCGACTCACATGCCAGCAGGCAACCGCCCTACCCCCAACTGCACCGCAAGCCTCAACTCAGCGGCACCAGGCAGCCTCATCTAAAGGCTGTGCATTTGTGGGCGTTGACTGCCTCCTCTCGCAATTCCCTCTGTGCATATGTGCCTCGACCTTCTCTGCCCCCCTCGGATGACCATCAGTTTCAATGCTTTGCAATTCTTTCCAACCTGCCCCTTATAATGGCCTCCTTCACAACAGCTGCCCTGACCAACAATCCTCCTCCCGACCTCCCAAATGAAATTCTCCTAATCATCGTCCAAAACTGCCCCCGCGCCACTCTGAAAAATGTGCGATTGGCCTCCAAACGTCTGGCTCAGATGGCCGATCCCTATCTGTGGCGCAAAGTGGTCTTGGTTCCCAACGAACATTGCATCCTCGGCTTCGTCAAGGCGCTCAGACCCTCCAACGTGACTCGCCTCATAAATAAACTAACCTATGACGCTCGCTTTGGATCTTTCTTCCACCACATCAAGACATTCTACCCACATTCTGTATGCTCTTCAGACTCGAAAGATGAAAGGGCTCGCGCAGAGGCATTGCTGGACCGTGCGGCTCAAGGACGCTTTCAACCATACGAGGACATGGCTATTGAGGTTGCCATGCTCACCAGAGCGTTAAAGATACTGCCCAACCTGCGCGAGGTCCGTGTCCGGGACAATGAAGACGGAATCCACGGTGCCTTCACCAAGGTTCCCTTCTTTTACCAGAATATCTGCCGTCTCGTCCTGATCAATCCAGAAGATGTGAACTACAAGCTCATGGCAGGCAGTCCTGGGAGATCTTACACCAAGGGTATGCTAACAGCCGCCTATTCGGCCGGGACTCGGCTTCAAAGCTTCAAGATGACAAGTGTAGACGGTCGTGCCTTGTTCGGCGTGGTGCCCATGAAATCAGCCGCAGCACATCAGCAACTAAGAATCTTCCAGGCCATGATGGAGAATCTCCGATACCTCAACCTTGGCTTCCGCAATGACACCTTGGTGACTACTGCCAATCACATCGAAGCTGTCCAGACTCTACTGAAATCAGCAAAGAGAGTCAAGACCCTGAGATTACGCATGACCGATTGCAGTGTGACACGCTATCAGTATACCGACGACGAGCTACAGTCAGATTTGAGCGGCCTTCTCGAAACTCCTACAGGGAGCTGGATCTCTCGACCTTTGCTACCGCGCCTTGAGGCCTTGGCCATCGATGCGTGTATATGCCACGATGAAGACCTGATGCACTTCTTGAAGATCCACGCATCATCTCTGCGTCGACTAGAGCTCTCGAACATCACACTCCTCGGTGGCGAAGATCGTCGAGAATGTTGGGTCAGGCTGATCAAAACTATCAAGAGTGATCTGAAGCTCACCTCAATTTCCTTTAGTGGATGGTTCAGCAACGGTGGTCGTCAGCAATGGTTCGTGGCCAAGGACAGCGTGTGCGTGGACCGATTAAAGGCTCGGGTGGAAACATATGTCATCGACAGCCGGATTCGCAACTGTCCCTTGGAACCCGTTGCCATCAAGCCGAATCAAGGTGACGTCGAAAAGCCAGCCAACGGAGAGGAACACGAGGGCGATATGACCTGGGCGATGGTCTACTCGAGCCGCTTGGGCGACCAGATGGACTGGACCTTAACGGAACCATCATTCAGCATTTCTTCGGGCGAAGTTTCCAATGTGTCTTCTGCATCTGGCGACGCCGGCGCATCTGCGAATCAAGATGCCGACCATTGGGGCTGTTTCGAAGAGCCGGCGGTCGGGCTGGAGAATACCAACAACACCATTGGCGTTGTAAACTTCGCAATTGCGGGCAAGGAAAAGATAAATCAGCCGCCCGTCCACCACTCACACTCTGGAGCCCTGTCCACGTCCAGCTCGTCGGTGCACAATCCCACTTGGATGATCCCACCACCACACTCGATAGTCGTTAACCCCGGTACGAATTATTCGTGACGGAATGAACTATCGAGATCACCGGTCGAGTCTCACCAACCCTCAGCAAATAACGTCCCTATCGAACACTCTCTTCCACGGGGTGAGCAAACTGGATGTCCGGCAATAGCGTTTGGCTTACGAATCTGAGAATGAGACATCGAATCTCTCGAGATATGGGTCGAACTGGACTTAGCTATGGAAACGGACCGTAACCTGACGATATGATGTGACACGATATGATATGAATCGGGCAATGCAGCAGTAGAGGGCCTGTTGATGCCATACCAGTTGAGCCTTGCTCTACAACTAGCATGAGCCATTCTGAAATGTGCATGTGGGCCCAGGGATGGGTGTCCGTTTGCACGAATTTTGTACAGTCCATAAGGCAGACATACGCTTAGTTACAGCATCAAGGGAAACAAACAATCTAGTGTGTTGTTTAGCCGTTGTTTGGCATTCCATCTTCCGCTCTTGGCCCAATCTTCACATCAATCTCTTATGACATGTACAAGAGCCCGGTCGATCACGGCCACACCCAGACTTATCGACCGCCGCCACCATCTCTGAGGAGGAGCTGGCCAGCCATCATCCACACCTGTATGCAAATAACTCTTCGTGTTTACAACTCCCCATCGGTCCTCATGAAATCCTTGACATGATACGGCTCACCCGTCAACGAAGTCAGTCCGGCCCTCGGCTCACAGGTAGTCCTCTGCTTGCCCTCGTAAACTTGTGGACCAGGTCGCGGCAACTTGTTCACGTCGTATCCACTGATTGTTGCCGAGTCTTTCAACGCCTGCAGTAGCTGTGTCACCGTCTCAGGCGTCAAGTCCTCGTAATAGTCGTCGTTGATTTGCACCATGGGTGCATTGACACAGGCCCCTAGGCACTCGACCTCCAGCAAGCTAAACAGCTTGTCCTCTGTCATGTGGCCTGAATGAATTCCCAGGAACTCCTCGCAGGCTTTCAATATCTTGTCGCTGCCACAACCACCCAACATGCATGGCGTCGTCGTGCACACCTGTACAAAGTACTTGCCCACAGGCTGGCGGTTGTACATGGTATAAAACGTAGACACCTCGTACACCCGCATCGGCGGCATCTCGAGAATCCGGGCCACTTCATTCATCACGCTGATGGTCGTCCAGCCGTGCTGGCGCTGGCCTAGGTCCAGTAGGGGCATCACCGCCGCCTTTTTGTACTGAGGCGGGTATCGTTTGAGGATTTCGTCGACTAGACGCAGATTGGTCTCATTGAATTTGAATGGAATCGACGGGTTGTTGTCGGGAGTGTTGCGATGCTAGAGCAACAAAGTCAGGCTTACAGATATTCATCTCGCAAACAGAAACTCGACTGTAGCCATCTGGGTAAGGGCGGTACTCACCACTGAAAGCGACTCGCTTCGCGACGCCGGCGTGCTAGAAAACTGTCTGGGACGCAGGATCTGTCTGCTGCGAGGAGCTCTGGGTAAACTTCGTGATGCCTGGCGCACCAGCTGAGGAACGAATTTGGACGCCATTGTTGGCCCTGTGCTGGGTCGAATCTGGCTCAGAGTCCAACAGATGCCGTGAAGCGAGACTGCGAAACTGCGTCCTTGATGGGTGCGAGCAATGCCAAACGTACCTAGTATGTAGGGAGCTTCGGCCAATCAGGGAGAGCTGGTTGTCAGGTCCAGCGGCGAGTCTTCATTGGGACAAGAGTGTACTGGCGAGACCAGCGATCCCCCGTATACTGCGCTGGGACAACACTTGAGGCGCCGGACTTTATACGGCGAACCTGGCGGCGTCCAAACGGACTCCGCCAACACAGTCTCAGGTCGGTTCTCCACGCTGGCCTAATGACCGCAGTCACAACGATGCTGCATTGATTGAGCTTGCTCCCGCCCAAGCTACGAGGATGCGATTCTCGTCGGTGGTGAGCGCGGTCTTCGGACTGTGCATCGGGACCACTTTGTCTTCCGCGGAACAATCTAACCTTACCACACCTCAATCGACGCAGAGGATACTGGCGGGCGACTTCAAGCCTGCGCCTGTCTTCGAAAACACGAACCTTGTCCGCACGATCAACCTCGAGAAAGGCTATGTCAGAGAGACCACCAACGTACTTGTGACGAACATCGACAAGAGCCCCCAATCGGAGTACTATATTCCCTTTGATTCTGACCTGGTTGGCAAGATTGGCGGGTTCGACGCCCGGGATAAGAAGCAGGCCGCGAGAGGACAGTTGGAAGTGAGCATTGCTGCTCTGGCCGATGTGCTGGATGCACAAACCCCCTCTTCCAAGTATGTTATGTCCAAGGATATTACGCTTTGTAGTCTGTATAAATGGGACAACTGGCTAACCTGTAACAAGATCGATCCATTACTACATCATCCATCTCACCGAGCCCTTGCAACCCAAGGACGCCGTCACGCTCTCGATTTCCTACCACATCCAGGGAGCTCTGAAGCCGCTCCCGGTGTCCATCAAACAGGATGAAAAGCAATACCTCACGTACAACTTCTCCGCCTACGTTCCCACCGTGTACCCGACCATCAAACAAAAGACCAAGGTCAAATTCCCTTCAGCAGATGTCCCCAAATACACGACCACAACGGGCTTGACCTCAGCCTCCGATCCAGAAAAACAAGGATCTTCGCTCACTTACGGACCTTACGACACGCCCAAAATCCCCCCCGGTACAGTGTACCCTGTGGCGGTGCGCTACGAATTCAACAAGCCGCTTTTGACATGCAGCCTGCTGGAACGAGATGTGGAAGTCTCCCACTGGGGCGGCAACCTCGCGACCGAAGAACGATATTGGCTTCACCACGACGGCGCCAAGCTGGCAAACCACTTCTCTCGTGTGGCGTACAGCACGCAGAATTACTACATCAACGCGGGACAGATGACGACCTCTGCACTACGAGAACTGAAGGTCCCTTTGAAGCCAGGCAGCGTTGACGCATACTTCACCGACGAGATCGGCAATGTCTCAACATCCCGCTTCCGACCCAACTCCATCCGCGAGGCCAGTCTTGAACTCAAGCCCCGGTACCCACTGTTTGGCGGGTGGAATTATACCTTCCGGATCGGCTGGAACAACGACCTGTCCTCGTCCCTGCGCAAACTCCAGACTCCTCCCGACACGTACATACTCTCTGTACCGTTGATTGAAGGTCCCAAGAACCTCGAGGGAATCCAGTACGAGAAACTCGTTTTCCGCGTTATTCTGCCCGAAGGTGCCACCAATGTCAAATACCAAACGCATGGCGGCACGGGCGTGCCGTCTCTGCATGCTGAGCACAGTCTGCACAAAACATTCATGGACACGCTTGGCCGTACAGAGCTCAAGCTTACAACGACCAATGTCGTCGATGAGGCGAGAGATGTCACTATCCTGGTTACCTATCAGTATTCATTCCTTGCGGGATTGAGGAAGCCGTTCACAGTCTTTGCCGGGGTGGCGGTGGTTTTTGTCGTAGCGTTCCTGGTGGGCAGAGTCGACACTAGCATTGGGAAGAGGAAGAAATGAAAGGCAAAGGCCAGACATTGAATCGTGGATGGTATCGAAGAGTGGATGCGGTATGTCAACGAGAAAAGCATAACCCCTTACGAGTTTGTACTTGATCTCAAAATTGTCTCCGGGTTTGATAGAAATGGGTATCTAAAATAAGAGGGCAAACGGTCTCGTACCAAGACGGAAGATGTTAAGTTTCAACAATAGTACGATGTACGGATACGCCGTCCGTTCTTTTTCTTCATTGATACCTAAATACGGAGTACACATGGTCTTCATTGATACCTGGGTACACATAAGTCAGAGTTCTCACCACGATGGCCCTGGCCCTGCTGGCATATGATATGCACGATTTTCCCGAAATGGGATTTGGGATTTGGGACTACCGAAAAGGGGCCATGCTGTATCATCTTCAGCTTCAGCTTCAGCCTGTGCATCTCTCTCCAGGAGGCCGGTACCCGATGCCCAGACTGTCCATCAGCCTTCGCTCACGGTCGTGCCATGTATCGGCGTCGTCGAGGCGGGAATCGAGTTGGGCTTCGGCTTCGGCTTGGGCTTGAAGCATCGAGTCGGAAAAGGAGAAGCGGTCTCGGTCTCGGTCGTGGTCGTGGTCGTTGCTGACGACATTGGCATGCGCATACGCATTCGCATTCGTATTCGCATTCTCATTCACATTCGCATCGCTTCGTCTCGTCGGGCTCTCCAGGTCCAGAACCATGCCGTTGCCGCGGTCGCGGACGCCGGAGCTGTCGAACTTCCAGCCGCGAGTCTTGGCCACGAAGCGGCGCAGGTCGCGCTGGAAGGTGGTGCCGCCGCTCCAGCCGAGCACGGCGCAGCCGACGGTGCGCCAGGAGGAGATGATGATGTCGACGCGGCGGTGGATGTTGGGGTTTCGGGCCGGCTGGTCCTTTGGGGTTGGTTCTGCTTCTTCTTTTCCATCGCCACCACCTCCCCCCGCTCCTCCTCCTCCTCCTCTTCCTCTCTCTTCAACAGCAAGAAAACCGTCGACGTCGGCACCAGCTGGGGCAGTATCGAAGTGCGGATTCTGCCACACGCACAGGGCCTTGTCGAGGCTGTCGAAGCCGTGGCCTCGGCGCTCGGCGCGGAACGGCAGCGTGGCCTGGGCGCGGTCGCTGGTGGTGGTGTGCAGGGTGAGGGTGTGGGTGATCCAGCCCTCGAGCTCGAGACTGCGCACGATATGGCCGACCAGATGATGGGTCTTGGTCTCGTCGCGGTGGCTGAGCACGACGTCGACGTCGCCCGACGCCTGCTTGCCGCGCCGGTAGCCGCCGACAATGATGCACTCGACGTCCTCGACGCTGCCGTACTGCGCGGGTTGGATTTTCAGCACGCTGCGGGCATGGTGGTGGATGACGGCGCCGATCTGTTCGACCTCGGCGCGCGGGATCTTGTCCTGGAACTCGTCGTAGTATTTGACCCCGATCTGCTGCACGCGGGTCAGCGTCGACCAACCGAACTCGACCACGTCGTCCAGGTCCTGCCAGCCGTGCTCAAAGTAGAACTTGCGCGCCGTCTCGGGCCCCACGCCCCAGATGTTCCAGAACAGCCGGAGGTGCTGGAGGTCGACGTCGTTGTCCAGGTCCTGCACCGCCTGGATCGACCGGTCCGACTCCTCGTCGGCCGAATGGAACCATTCGCTCCACAGCATCGCGATCTTCTCGTTGCACCCGGGCAGCCGATTAATCTCTTCCGGGTGCCGGATCGCGGGCGGATACGCTGCGATGCTGGCTATCGACGTCGAGTACGCGCGCACGCCGATGTCGTCCAGCGTCAAGATCCGCCCGTCTCGGATTTTGGCCAGCTGCGCGATGAACGCCGAGTTGGGGCTGGCCATCGGCGTCGACCGGCAGCACGAGTACGCCGCATGCGGGCCCTGCGCCCATTCCGGGAGAGGTGGCAAGGGATGCGCTGCCAGGTCCTCGAATTCGGAAGTCGTTGTCCGCAGCAGCTTTGGTGGAGCGGCCTTCCGAATTGTAGGAGACCCGGATTCTCGGTTATGGTCTCCATAGCGCCGGCGCCCTGGGTAGGAGCCAGCTGGCAAAGAGAGACTCGACGCTTCGGCTTTCGCGCGGTCGAGAATCGACGTCGTCACGGTCGGCTTCGGCTTCCTCTGTGCCAGAGAAGCAGACGAGCCAGTCCCGGGCGTTGCTCGGATGTATGTGATTGGATCCTGCAGCGGTTGCGGAGTATCCTCTCCCGCCGGTGGGGGAATGACCTTTGCGGCGTAGATGATGTAGGGTTCGTACGCCGCCAGCCGTTGTTGTTTGAGGCACGTCTCGAGCCAGGAGAGCTTGAGCACCAAAACATGGTCGGTGAGGCCGTGCCAAAGAGATTCAGGTGCAGGAGTGAGTGAAGGTAAAGCAGAGTTGGCACCGCCCGGGCTCGGGCTCGGACTCGGACTCGGACTACTGCGGCTCCTCCGTCCACACGTGGAATCGGCTTCAAGTTTGGCCCTTCTGTCGCGGTTGCGGTCACCGTGCCCGACCTTGAGCCTCTTTCGCGCCGGTCCTTCGTCTCGAGCCTGGTCGTGCTCCTGCTCCTGCTCCTGCTCGCGCCCATGTGAACCGTGGCCGTGGCTGGGGCTGGGGCCCAGGCTGGGCATCGGGGCCTCGACGGTCCAGATCCCCCTGGCGCGCAAGTCAAAAGCGGCGCGCTTCTTCTGCGTGATGCGGCCGAGAAAGATCTTGGCTTCTTTGGGGTCGTACGTCAATGGGCCCTCTAGGCCGAAGACCTGATCCTCAATCTCGTGAAGCTCTTCCGGCTTGAGATGGGTGGGAAGAATGAACATGGGCGGCAACGACTTGAAATCCAAGCCATGACCATGACCATGAGGCTGAGTCGCATGTGAGGCTGAGGCTAAGGCTGAGGCTGAGGCTGAGGCTGCCATTGTTCATTCAAGATGTGAGTCCGTATCCAAAGATGACCGTATCCAAAATGACCGTATCCAAGAATTGCCTGTCGCCACCCGTAATAGCAATGCCCGCATGTCATGGTCGAGTCATCGAGTCATCTCATTGTGTGGCAAGGCACAAACTTGAACGGGAGGCCACCTCTATACCTTAGTCAGAAGTTCGATCCAACCCGCGGCGCACATTCAACCCAAATAAAGTAATGTCGGAGATTCTCTGTTCTGGCTGTACTGTATCTGTATCTGTACATAGGTCGCTAGCCACAGGTCGCCGCCGTAGCCGTGAGAAAGCGAAAATTCATCCGCCCGCGCGCCGTCCTAGCCCGTGCGCAGATGGTGGAGGGATGCGGGATGCGTGATGCGTGATGCGGGATGTGTGATGCCGGATGAGATGCGAGATGCGGGATGCGGGATGCGGGATACGTGATACGTGATGCAAGTGCGGGATCGGGGGATGGCCTGTCCATTGGCATCTCAACTAGGTACCTATCATTGCTCGCTCAATACGCCGTAATCAACCTTCGTCGGCGAATGGAACATGGAACATATAGGTAGGTAAGGTACCTGGTACCCAGGTATTCTGTAATTGCTACCTAGGTAGGTGAATATGACTTGTAGTGGTGGTACCTAGCAATCAATAATATACGTCATGCCACCGCCGAGTCACGCGCCGCTGAGAAACTTACAATATGCTGTTTAGTCAGCACGCGAGGCTGCGAGGCCGCGAGGCTGCGAGGCCGCGAGGCTGCGGACCGGTAGGGATACAGACTCCAGAGTCCTGTCCAGTTTCCACTGTCCAGTGTCCAGTGTTCACCATGCCACGACTATGTCAGCCTGTATACACTGTACAGGATAGAGTACCCCTATATACACTGTACAGGTAGAGTACCGAGTACTCTATATGGATAGGATAGGATACATCGATTGCTACACTACACGGCTGTCGGCTTCTATCTCTGGCTGGACCGGAGGACAAGGGACAAGTTGGGTAAACCTACTGACTGGTTTGCACCGTCGTCGTAAGCTTGATCTGGGCATCACTTCAAGTCTAACGAACGGCAACGACTTCTTGCTCGATAGCTGTAGGAATCTACCGGGTGTGGAGTGATGGAACATATGTTTTGACTCGGAAGATCAACTTATCGTGTACAACTTTTAAGCTCTATTTTCCTAGGCCCAACCCGCACGGCGATGGTGGTCTGAAGTAATCTAGTATACTTCAAGCACGTACCGTCCCTCGTCCTTCAACTTCATGATTTCTCGGGCAGTATCGATCTTCTTGACACCGTTGTCCTTGGCATGTCGAGCAATGGCCTCTTCTAGGACATCAGTCACGTCGGGCACCGGCCACGTCGGCCCGCAGAGGTAGAAGGCACCGTCTTCCTTGATGTACGCTTGGAGGATGTCGTCGATGGTCTGCCGCATCCTATCCTGGATGTAGATCTTTTGAGGCTGGTCTCGGCTGAACGCCCGTCCGAGCAGAGTGATGACACCTGCGGCTTGGTATGCCTCCCATTCTTCGCCATAGCAGTACTCCTCGCGCTGGTGTCGCGATCCCATGTACAACAAGACGGAGCCAATCTCTTTCCCTTGCGCCTTCTCCATGGCGCGGTGCTGCACGAATGCTCGGAACGGTGCAAGACCGGTACCAAGACCGGCCATAATAATCGGCTGGGTCGACTTGGGAGGAAGCTTCATCACCGACGGCTTCACGCTGACCGTAACCGGAGCGCCCACCTTCAGGGCGCTCAGATATTTGGTGGCTTGGCCGAATCGGTCGCGGCCCTTGGGATCAACCCAGTTGACCACCACAATCATCAATGCCACGGAGGTGGGGGTGACAGCTTGGCAGGAAGCGATCGAGTATTCACGGCGCTTCATGGGCGACACAATCCGCACGAGGTCATGGAAGGAAGGACGAGCTGAAGGGAACTCGAGAAGGACATCGGCGTATGTGACTGTATCGACCTCAGCTCGGCGCTGAAACTCCTGGAAGCCTTCGGGACCAGCCAGAGTCAGAAGATTCTTCTTTTCCGTCTCGTCGGTGGCGAAGTCGGCAAGTGCCTCGTAGAATTTCTTGGGCGGTCGCCCGAAGATGTCGACATTTTGCATCAACGCCTGATAGACGGTACGGTTTTCGAAGACTGCGGGATCTTCCCGCGACGCAATCTCGACAATATCCTCAGAATTCAGCCCATACCACTTGATGAATTCCACGACTTCATCGTGGTCATTCTCTGCATGAATGCCCAACGCCTCGCCGATATCGTACTTGAGGCCGGAGGTACCTAAATCGAATTCGATGTGGAAGATGTTTCGTTCATAAGTCACAGGCGTCAAACGGCGGTTCTCCTTCACGTGCACGGTAAATGTCTTGGTGGGTAGGTCCGGTCGAAGAGGGTTTGAAGTGTTGTACGCTTCCTTGAAAATGATGCCCTTGGCTGCCTTCTGCCAGTTACGGAGTTTGGAAGGCGGTTCCTCTTCGGTCTTGTCGAACGCGCTGAAGCTGTTGGGCGTGAGATCCGTCGGCAAGACTTCCTTGGTATCCACTTCCAGTTCAGCCCATTCCTTTGGCACCTCGATCTGGCGAAGTGTCTTTTCAAGGTCGGCAGCAACCTGTTCAATGGTGCGGATATCGCTACTGTTGCTTGTCGCCAGCTTTTGCAAGCCCAACTCTTCAGACTTTCCGAGAGCGACTCGGATGAAGGCTGCCTGCAATATGAGGGACTCGAGTTCGGGGTTCTCGATTGTCAAGGCCGTGTTGGTAGAGTTGATCAGATACAAGGCAATGTGATTCGCAGCCAAAGCCTTTTTGAAGGCAGCCGGTAGTTTCTTTTCAACGTCCTCATCCTTGACGCCGGGAAGCAGTAAAATGATGCTGCTTCCTGGCTTGATCGATTCCACCACGTTGATCTTTTCCAGAAGCTTCACATCCGTGACGACCGCGGTGTTAGCGGACGTGATAGGGTATGAAGCATCGAGACTCTTTGGAGATTTTCGAATGTCGATCCGGTGCGAACCACCTTGCACAAGGTTATCGTTGCTGGTGTGCACCGTGACGTTCTGGGCCGAGTCCTTGGCCAGCGCTTCGGCCAGATGAGCTGCTGCGGAGGCGGATGGTGCGCCGTCAACATTCCAGAATGTGTATTGTTGGACTGAGGTATCCAAGAACGTTGTGACACCCTGGTCGTTGGCTGCTTTGCCGAGGAGCCCCTGGAATGTGGCCGAGATGGACGAAGGTGTCCACACTTCAGCTCTCGCGTACTTCAGCTCTCGAATCTCAGGAATGTTCCGAAATGAAGCGCCGTAAGATATGGAGGCAAGCACGTCTTCGAAGAGGTGAGAATGTACACCGGATTCTTGCACAGCCTGTGCATCGGGAACCTGGCCAAGAACGCCAACCACTCTGACACCATGGGGAACAAGCTTCAAGAACTGCTCTTCCGCGAAAGGTCGATACAATCGAACATTGATGGCGCCAACCCTGTTACCGGATTTGGCCAACGCGGAGGCAGCTTGGGCAGCAAGGGAAGACTCGACTGAACCGAACGAAACGAGAATGACATCGGGCTGTTCGTGACCGGCATACTCAAAAGGTTTATAGTCTGTTCCCAGCTCTTCATTAAGGGCTCGAAGGGTCTTCAGAGCCTTGCCCTCAATGCTCAGATATTTCCTGTCCTCACCCGCAATCGACTCGAGCACTGACTTGTAAGCACTACCAAGGCCAGATTTGTCCAGAATATCAATGACTCTTGTGGTATCCCGGCCAATCCTCAAGCCGTCATAGACATGGAGTGTGGGGAGATCCTGCGCAAGGAGGGTGGCGAAAAGGGACATATGTTGTGCCTCATGTGCGGACAGTGTCGAGACGAGACCAAACCCGAGATCTTCGGCAGCTGACAGAGCTGAAACATAGTCCGAGACCAGTCCGCCATCTCTGGCCCCGTCATAGTCCAACGCTGCCACATGAGCCACAAAGGGATTGCTGACCGAGTAGAGGAGGGACAGCTGGTCGAGGACGGGTCGCAAGAACTGCAGTGCCGAGGAGGATGTAAGGAGTCCCTGAGGAATATGTCTCTTCTTAAGATCGAAGTCCTTGGAGAATATGTAACCTAGGGCGATTGATCCTGCGCCGTTTCGGATTTGCATAGACTGAACCCCGGTCTTGTACCCATTAATGTTCGTCTCCTCGGCCTCGTTCCAGGCTTTTGCAGCCACGTCGAGGTCGAAAGTCTCGGGGGAGTAAGAGAAAATCTTGTCAGACAGAGAAAAGGCGACCTGCTGGATTAGGGTCTGAGCCGTTACATAGGTAGGCCCAGCCACTGAGGAGAGCGACGGCGGCCGGCCGAAAGGGAGGCTCTTGGAAGACTGGGGAGCCATCTTTGAGTCTGTGTCCGGTGCTGTGCCGTGGGAGGAGGGTAGCTGAAGATCAACTTCAGAGAAGGAGAGGATGAAGAGAGGAACATCAGCTCCCCTTGAAGAAACAAATTACATGGTCTCGGTCCCCGAGGACCGACTGCCGACTCCATCTCGACTGCGCGCTCGCGATTCCTCATCCACCTAAAGTGTATCGCCATCAAGGGAACGAAAAAATATTGCCGGTGGTGAGCACGCCATCGGCGCTATCCGACTAGCGTGGACACGACGATCTGGACCCTGATCACGTGCCTTGGGGTGACAGTGGGTGGCAGCGAGGCTGGGGCGTGGTCCGTTCTCCGAATTCACGGACGGTTCCCATTATTAGGACCGCTAGACGATACTTCCGCCGCCTCCGATATATCTGTACAGCGTACAGAGTATCTGTACATCTTCCTGAATATACCAATATTGCAGACAAGTCTGATCGAATTGAGAATACCATCATACACAAAACACAATGGCTTCGGCATTGATCTTGGGCAGCACCGGTCTTGTGGTAAGATATCCGCGACTTTCAGTCCAACGTTGTCGCTGACACGCCACCAGGGATCCCACATCCTATCGACACTGAGATCAGCCGCACCGTCCTACTTCTCAAACATTGAAGTCATCGCTCGTCGCCCTCCCCCACCCGCGCCGGATGCTGCCGTTCCAGTGAAGGAATTTGTCGACAAGGACACCAGCAAATGGGCACCATACCTCTCTTCATTGTCTCCTGCACCATCGGTCTTGTTCAGCGGACTTGCGACCACCCGCGCCGCTGCCGGTGGCTTCGAGAATCAGTACAAACTTGAGCATGACTTGAACATTGAGCTTGCCAAGGCTGCCAAAGAAGCCGGAACAAAGACCTACGTCTTGATCTCGGCCGGCGGTGCTAATCCGCAATCCTCATTCGCCTATGTCAAGATGAAGGGAGAGATCGAAGAACATGTGAAAGAGCTGGGATTTGACCATACCATCATAGTGCGTCCAGGCCTCATCGTCGGCAAGCGTGAAGAGAGTCGTTTCGTCGAAGGCATCTTCCGCACCGTTGCTACAGGGCTAGGACACATTAGTGGCTTCTTGAAGGACGGTTGGGCCCAAGATGCCGATGTCATTGCAAAGGCTGCCATTGCTGCTGCTATAAAGGCTGAAAAGGGCGAGGTCAAAGACAAGGTATGGATCATTGGGCAGAAGGACATTATTCGACTGGGGTCCCAGGAATGGAAGACATCTTGACCTGGTCTAGCGAAAGCGAAAGCGATTTGATGTTGGTCAGTTTGAGAGCGATTTGATACCCATGTCGATGCTACTAGGTAATGCCACTGGTTTCTCTTTCCGAGTCGCGTGCAATGTACTATATTTACAATTCCGATTCCTTCTGCAGTGCTTCACAGCGGCTGCCCTTGGGCAAAACCCCGAATGTCCCTCAGCTTATTAAACACTTCGCTCTCTCTTGCCAGACTCACCACCTCACCACCTCATTTTCTCCCACTACCTTCGGGTAACTTTTTCTTCAACCCTCCCTCTTCTTCCGCTGTGCCTTGGCTAATGTCGGGATTTGCGGGACTGGCATCGAGCGGGTTCACCTCGTTCCCTTCACCCGCCTTCTTCTTGGCTTCTTGAGGGTCTGTGATATCAGGGTTGAACGCAGCGTCTTCATTTGCGGCGGTCGTGTCGTCCGTGCCAGACTTGGAGTATTCGCTCGCTTCTGGGTCCATCTTCTTGCGATCTACTTGGGCGTCACGCTGCGGGTGTGGGTGACGCTCGGGGTCTTGATCTGCCGCAAAGCGATGAGGGGTCGTAGAGATGGGTCGTAGGTGGGGTTGAGGCCTGAGAGTTGGACCCAGGACACGTATGCTGCGTGAGATTCGTAGGAGCATCGGGGGTGACATGTTGAAATTGGCTTTCGGTCCCTCAAGCTTAAATTCCCGGTGTACTCCGTAGAGAAGAAGGTGCTTGGATGGCGACTCTATTAGTAGACTGTAAGAGTCGAGACTCAGGCTCTTCTGTGGGACGTGTCGTGAGTTGGGATGCAAATGATTCTGTGGAGAGAGAGAAAGATAGAATGAGGAGGAAAGGCAGAGGCGTGAGGAAGATAGTGCGTACCACGCGGTGAAACTGCTCCTGCTTTAAAGCGTCATTGATCAGCCAGACGGGTTGAACATCATCGCTAAGGCTTCACATGTTGTTGACGTCATATCTGAACGGGCACAACTCCGGGGTTGTTTCCCGCATAAGCCAATTAGTGCTAATTATTACCTACCTGATCCCAGCCCACACCGGAGGACATAAAATGATCACAGAACCCAGTCCATGTGGAGGAGGATGATTATCGTTTTCTCATCCAGAGGCTACCTATGTACTGAGACTCTACAACAACCACAACTCCTCAGCCAATGCCAAATCTCTGGTACCGGCGCCTGTGGTTCAGAATCTGGGTATTCACAAGGAGCAGGCTGTCAGGCGTATGAAAGAATGGTCCTTGGTATGCTCGAAGCTCGTCGTAGATCTAAGCCCCGTGAGGGCTGATGAAGACCCGTAACCGCTGTAGTTGCACGAGCGCGAGAGTTCTCTCTCCTCGCTGTAGACGCAGCACACCCCACAAGTCCAGCCAGTACCCGGCGTTAGATAATGACGATTGAGCTTCTAAGATGACTATGATAGCTCGGAGCGTGAGGCTGAGGCCTCGGAGCATCGGTGGGCACATAATTTTGTCTTATCTGTTGTTTAGTTGTACTCTGTACAGCATTCTTTTGGATGTATAATGTTCACCAGCCAGTCTCGGTGGACGATGACAACTTAACACTTCAGTCGGATACCATTCCTTTTTTCTTCCTCGCGATGTTCAAACATGACCTGGACCCCAACAAAAAGGGCAAAGCAAGCACCAAACATGAACACTGCGCCGTGCCAGCTGCCAATTATACCATGCAACAGTCCCATCAGTCCATCCAGCCCGACTGCAAATCCGACAAGATTGGCAGCCATCATCATGAGGATATTGACTACTGCCCCAATTCCACAGAGGACTCGGTAGGCTTCAGGTCGGGCAGTCCATTTGGATCTGGGGAATGCCATGGACGCAAGGACTTCAGGTAAGACGAACAGTACAACAAGCCAGCCCCACATCAATAGCCTGAGGTTGATGTCGTGCCACAAGGCGACAAAGGAGAAGACGAGAAGCATATTGAAGATTCCACGGATCTTGCCTGTTCCGCCTCCAGGCCCACCGCCAAGTGGAACGTAGAGATATCGCACAGTCCATCGATTAAAGCTTCTATGCCACGACCTCCAAAAGCCGAATGCAGAGTAGTTGTCGCTCATGCAACGGATCATGTTTTCGGGAGGATCTATCCCATCGAGGAGTGCCCAGAGCCTGAAGAAGCGCCAGGGGATCATGAGTTTCAGCCAAATGATGTTCAGATTGAAATAGGCGAGCATGCTGAGCTGGAACGGTGTATACGTCGACCAGTCCGGCGAAGACTTGGAAATGGCAACGACATAGATGGTGTGCAGAAGAAACTCCATGCAAAACAGCGTGAGCAGAAATCTGATGCCATAGAGAGTGGTGCGTCTTGCCGTAATCGATGGCGCCCGGTACATAGATTGGGAAATGTAGTCGTTGAATGTCACAATTGGCCCAGCCAGATACAGGGGGGGGTATAGAATGTAGGCAACGTAAGTGCGGAACGAAGTGTAAGTTGATGCTGGAGCAGGCATGGCGACTCGGTCTCTTTCTGACAGCGCTGCTGGATCGAGTTGTTTCTTCTTGATCTTGTTAGCTACAGAGCGGGCTGATTTGGAACGTGTGCCTCGAAAACACCAAGGCCAGTGAGAAGGCCACACATACCTCAATAGGACTTCCTGCCCTGGATCGATCTAGTGACCAATAGCGATCAAAATTGAAAGATATCATCCTCAGCATGGTGATCTTGAACAGAACCTCCCATCGCGGGTTCAAGCCTGCATGGGAATCCAGAAACCTGCCCCAGCTGGCCGCGGCAGGTATGATCGGCGAAATAGCCTCGCCCAATGCTGAGAAGCGATAGCCTTCGGTCAGCTCATTAGCGAAGAGAATAGCAATATTGAAGATCCAGGTAGCAGCCGAAATGAGGTTTCGAGACAGCAAGGTGCCGATCTTGAAGTTAATGTAGAGGATCAGAAGGATCTTGAACGTCGAAAAGCCATTAAGGACGGCAATGTAGACCAATGCAGAATAGAAGTCGAAGGAGACCCGGCTCTGGAGCCGGAGGTTTGCTTCGGCCGTGACGGACTGGACCTTTGCATTCCCGTTGGCGGCCGGTGACTCATGAAGCTGAAGCGTGACTCGTTCATACAGCCGTCGAAGGAGTGGATGGATGATAACAAGAACGGCTAGGTATGGGATATTGTCTCGAAAGTTGGCATATTGGCCATCTGAATTGTCCTATATCCTACATAAGCCTTCGGGGTGCTGTCACGACGATGTTTCCCACATACCACTTTCCGACCAAAAAGCCAGCCTGGAGACAACAAATGCTCGTATTTCGAATAGTTCGGCGAATCAGCTATTCCACCGAGTCAAAACCAATGTTCCCATGTTGTCTGTGCCCTACTTCTTACGTTGCGAGACCTCCACTACGGCCCAGTACATCTGCGGTACGCAGAACAGGAACACCAGCGCATAAAAGTAGAATTCGGGAGTTCTCCATCGCGACGGCGAGACATCCCCGGACACTGTCTTGACATCTCTTCCTATTGGTTTGTGAGGACGCTCGTCGACCGATTTCAGGGGCGCTGACGAGGGAGTGGTAAATCGCGTATCTAGGGTGTCGAGGGAATATAACTCGCGGAGGAAGGCTAGAGCAGTCATGTCGACGTCTGCATGCTGCACCTGTGTGTGATGTTACCGTCGGGGTGGAATGGACATCAGAGAAGGGTGTCTGGCCACCTTGCTATGCAGCATTGCAACCACTTGTCGTCGTTCAGTGGCATGTCCGAGCCCCGGTTGGGATCCTTGTGGCCACTTGGCGGGTCAGACTATCAACAGCCTCGCGCCGCTTTAGCAGGTCGCCCGAGACGTCCCAGGAGCACACCGTGATCCTTCGAAACATCTGGCGGGCATTGTTGCTAGCTGGTCTGTCAAGACATGGCTATGAGGACTTTCCTGAGACTCTCCGCTAATGCGAAACCCGATTCAATCGACGCAATCCCACGATTACTGAGTCAACCTCAGGGGTAATCCTAGGAAGTAGAATCACGCCGCTTTTGTATCAGCCTCGTCAATATAAAATTGTCCACGTCCTACCATGAAACTTGGCCTCCTTTCGAATCATACAAGATTCCCGAACTTGTGAAATGCTGTTATGAGTTATCCGTGTACAGAAAGATTCCAATATGCCACTCACCACTGCACCCAATACAGAGTCGCAGTGAGAAGCACATGTCAAGTTGAATCAGCAATTACCGGCAGAATAAGAGGAAGTTCGCATCTCACACTTCACTGCACGATTCTGCCGCACCCTTCACTCACGCACACACACAACAATAATCTGAGGGTTCGAAAACAAAACCCGAACCGCGCGGCCTCCAAAAAAGAGCAAAAAGTTCGGTCGGAAAGAGGAGGGTTGAACCTTCTCTTTTACCTTTCCCCTTGCGCATGGCCCTTGCGCATGGATAGAGTAGAGACTCCCGTTTTGATTCTATCTAACCCTCCTAATTTCGGGGTCTACGCATGATGTTTATAAGTCCTCCTCTTTCTTTGGGGCATTGATCCAACGGTACTCTATCCAGGGAAAGGCCCACCAACTGAACCACAACAAAGCCCATCTCGAAGGATTGGGAGTCTCGTGGATGTGAAGGGAACTTCTTTCGGGCTTTGTTGGAAGGATTTTGGCGGGTTCAAAATATATCCTGTGTTATTCAATCACGGAAGCATGTGATATCTTGGTCAGGTGAGTGTGTGTGTGGTGAAGGGCGGCGGTGACATGTGATGGCCAGGTATCGCGCACCTCAGGTACTACAACCGCGATTATGGGGTGCGGTAATAGGTCAATCGAAATTATCTACACTTTCCTGTTCTATTGGACCGCCAGTACATCAGGAGATACGTTCATAACACTACGTTTTAGGTCAGCTCGTGATTGTATGGCTTTTCGAGTCGCTCTGTGTGTGACGACGAGCGAGGACTGACGAGGGGGCACTACTGAATAGCATATCGGAGATGATGACCCTTCATTGACCTTCTTGAGGCTGGTATCATGGGCTTGTGACAAGGGTTGACAATCGTACATAATCAAGTATCCATGCGGGTCAACAACTTCAATGGCCAGAATATAAATTCCAGTATGGTCGACGCAAAGGATATTAAGCACTCTGGAAGGGCATACTATATCGGAATGATCAGATGTCATGAATCAACGTCGGCGACAGCAGCAATCAGAAGATCACAGCAGCTGAATAGGCAGCATACTATAGCCCTAGCTTCCACTCGACATAAGCAGCATCGTTCTTCGCAGCCTCATGCCGTGCCCAGCCTAGCTTAACAGGCCTAGCTGGCACTGCTCCAACGGTGGATGCATCTCTGTCAGCAGGATCGAAATTTGGACCAAAACAATAAAAGAAAACAAAGTGCAAGTCAGGGTTATGCGTTTGAGAAACAGTAGAAAGACTGCTAGGCTTTCAGCCATGAGTTGCTGGAATCCACGACTTGATAACGTAGCAACTACCTCGTCACCGGACCTTTTGTAGCCCTGGGACATCGTAATTGAAGTGTTTCGTTTTCTGACCCCTAGCCAAGCGTGCAATTGTATCCGACAAGCGATACTGCCTCCGAAAGCAAGAAAGTCTCTTTTTCGCGATTTTCCATAAGCCAACCCCAATCCAGAGAACCATGTTGACAGTGTCTTGTTGGACCACTTTGCCTGGATCCTTTCCATGCCCGTAATTTCGAACCGCTCGAAACAATGCCACCAGCAACAATGGTACCAGCGGTGCCATGAGGCCGCGCTTAAACTCCCTGGAGCAATGCAATACTTCAAAGTCCCAGGCCTCCGTGCAACGATTTGTACCAGAGAGAACACCAGATAGGGAGCTGCTATTGCCGTCCCCGGTTTCTGTCCCAGCGGCATATTTGCGAGTTTCCCGTTTCCTGTTTCCCGTTCCCCCATTTTCTGTTTCTCATTTTCCCTAGCCCTCATGGATAGCATGCGACATGACGGTGACCGCCTAAAATCCTCTCCCTCTACCTCGACCGCGTCCTCGGGGGCCACCACGACCACCTCTGGGAGCGCCTCTCCCTCCTCTGGCGCGAGTGCTATCGCCTTCTTTCCTGGCCTTGTTCTTCGGCTTGGGTTGGTCGTCAATCAATAGGGTATCGAGAGGTAATGAGTCCGGGAGGATGAAAAATCTGATGGTTGAGCCGCGGATGTTGATCGTGTCAAGGGAGATGGTGTCGCCTGGAGCGGAGGGGTTGGAGCGGTTCTTCGTGGTCATCTTGACCGCACGCAACGCCGTGTTCATCTGCGGTGACACTGCGGTGATGGTGCCGTGCACGATGGTCCCGTTCTTGAGTTCGACCGTGACCGTTTCATTGGTACATTTCATGAGAAATCTAGAGCCCCATTATAATGTTAGCCAAGTTCACCTCCTCCAAACTGCCGGTTGGGCTGCAGATAGAGACAAGCCAGCATCCTTTCCAGTCTCGAAAACATGGACATCAAGTAGGAGGGCAGTAGCACGGACCTGACGAGCTTCATTTTGGCGCAGGTCGACGGTCAACTTCTGATGCGCCGCTGAAGCGATGGATATAGAGGGGATTCCGGGATGTGTCGCGGGACGGTGCTCGCCAGAAAGTAGGCTGAACTATTTCAACAACAAGAAATTGTGTTCTCACAACTACACTTGCGATTTGTCCTGGAGGATTGGACGCGTTGTTTGCTGCGCAGCCTTGGGCTCTGATCTCAGGCTGGGCTTGACGATGATAGTTGATGCCAAGGAAAGACGAAAGTGAAATCTGCTCGCGACTCACCCGATCCGGACCAGAGTGACGCCGCCCTATACAGTACTACCTCCTAGCAATAAATACACACACTTATCCGTACTACCAACGTTCGTCTCCAGCGAAGGCTTAGGAGGCTTCTAGCTGTCGAGTCAATGTCTTCTTTGCCAGCCCAGCTCCGGATCGATCTTGAGACGCCAGACTCAAGGCCGGACTCAAGGCCAGACTCAAGGACGATCCCCTTCGGTCACCTGACGTTGTATTGAGGCTGTTCGCTCTACGCTGCAGGGCAGCTATTGTTTCGCGATCATCGTTCGCCAGATCTATCGTGGTAAGTCCGGAACTCCTTCTCTAATCGTCACAGCCACACCAACTATATGTACTTCTGGAACTCCTTGGCCTGAATGCCTTCGCGCCAGACATTCCTGATGTTAAGGGTAGCATCAATGTCGTGCAACGGATTTCCTTCAAGCAGAACAAGATCGGCCTTGAGTCCTGGTGCAATCTGCCCTCGGTCGTTCCAGCCAAAGAGCTTAGCGGTCAATGCTGTTCCAGCGTAGAGAGCCTCCTTCGGTGAGAAGCCACACTCCTCCACAAGCAGATACAGCTCGTGGTGGAACGTCGCCCCCCATGCCGTACCCAAACCCGGTCCAGCCGAATCAGAGCCCCTGAGAAGCATCGCGTTAGCACCGTACTCTATCTCGAACCTCACAGTATGCAGTCAGTCGTCAGCATTCCATCACTTACACAATAACAGGCACACCCTCAGCCTTCAACCTCCGCACCGTCTCATACGCATTCGCCACCGTGGCCCCCTCCTTGGCAAATCCCATGCACCGGCACAGATTCGCATGACCCTTCTCCGTCAGCTTCCCCTTCACCCGCTCATCATTCGCAAACCGCTCCGCGACCGCCGCCCCCTCCTTCGTGAAGCTCCCCAACAACGCCAGAGTCGGGTTGCACCACGCCTGAGCCTTCTTGTACGCGTCTACGATCTCCTGACTGACAGGCTCATCCATGAACGTGTGCGCTAGCCCGTTGACCCCCAGCGACAACACTTCCAGCGTGTCGGCCCGCCCGAAGCAGTGCGCCACGGCGACGTGCCCTGCCGCGTGGGTTGCGGCGATGACAGCCTTCTGGATGTCGAGCGATGGCTTGGGAAAGGCTTGCCCTATGGCTGCGCCGGACTCGTGCATCAGCTTGGTATAGTCGGCGCCGCCCGCGGGCGACAGGTTGTGGGCGACGTAGGCTTCGGCGTCGGCAATGGAGGTGAGTTTGGGCCAGGTTGCGATTTCAGCGGCGGTCTGTAGGCTTGGACGTTAGCTCTGTATTGGGTGCGCCTAAGGGCTTGGAATTTTCGCCGTGGTCCCCCGGAATCCTCGGCCTCACCTCTTCGCTCTTGTCGTGTGCCGTCACCACAGCCATTGGCCACCCGCCATCGATGGTCGCCGCCACGCCGGCAGCCTTGAAGTCGGCGGCTTCGTCCTTCTTGTCGGCCGCGAGCTTCTTCAACTTGTGCACGTTGACCGTCTCGTTGTGCATGTCCATGACGGTGGTGACGCCGAACTTGAGGGACTGGTACAGTGCGAGCTCCTGGCCCTTGTCGGCGTGCATGTGGGCGTCGATGAAGCCGGGAACGACGGTGTGGCCCGGCTTCGAGGCGACGGGGACATTGGCGTCGGCCGGTGGTGGCCCGGCGGACACGGCGAAGATGAGGCCGTTCTTGATGATGACGTGGCCGGACTCGATGGTGTCGGTGCCGGTGAAGATGCGCACATCGGCGAGGATGAAACTGGTTGGTGCCATTGGGCGAAAGTGTTGTAGATGCTGTTGATGCCAAAGACTTTAAGCTCTTGCAGGTGAAGAGATGCTTGGTGCACTTCTGTACCGATCCGATGGCCTGTCGGCCTCTTGGTTTTCTGTCTTCTCGTCTTCTACTCAGAGCATAGGACCATCAGTCGATGTGCCTTTCTTCGGTGATTTACGAGAAGCAAGTGGCGGGATCCGAGTCTTAATACTCGACTCCGTGCTCACATCAACTACTCAACCCCCGAGCCATATTCATGTTCGAAGCGACGTGGATCTGCCGTCTGCCGGCCTGCATGGGGGCAGTTCGAAGTATGTGGACTCTGTATGTGGACTCCGTGGGTGCCAGCCTTGTGCCGGTTTGGTCTTAGCGCCCGCCAGTGTCCGCCAGATCCGACAACAGCGGCCGACGGCGCCCGACACGGACAGAGAGGAACGTACAGTACTCCGTATATTCTCTGATCATATTCGACGCATCTCTACCACTTCACGGGCTTGCCTTAGTCGGAAGCAGTATTGAGGAGGGGTCCCCGCCACAGCCTGCCAGTGTCCAGTGTCACAATCACGATGGCGACGGCGGCCGACGGCGGTCCGCCACGTCCAGCTCAAGCCGCCCAGGCCTGTGTGACCTGTAAGACCCGGAAGAAAAAGTGTACCAAGTCGTTGCCGTCTTGCTCATATTGCAGCCTGTGAGTCGCCCAAGCTGCTCCCGTCAATCGGTGTCGGGGATGCTGACCGGCGTGGTAGGAAAGGGCTGGACTGTGTTTATGCTGGACTGGGAGTGCCATGCCCATGGCCGCGCCCGCAGAATCATGCCCGGCATGGTCCCATCGTCGAGAACGCCTTAGCCCATGCGGCACCGGTTTGGGGTGCACGGCCGTCTGTGGATAATATCAATATCGCCTCGTCTCGCATGGTGCTGTCGGCAAAGTCACTGTCACCGTCGGGCCAGCCCACGGCTGAGGCTGAGGCTAAGGCTAAGGCTCAGGCTCACCAGTTTAGTTGCCCCTTTCCCTTTCCCTTTCCCTTTCGACAGTCATTGAAGATCAGTTTTGGGCTGTCGAGTGGTTGTGGTTTTCCCCGCTTGATCTTGATTGACTGAATCTATGTCCAAGTCCATGGCTAACCGACAGAACACAGAAGCCAGGTGTATCTTGAGGTCCATGGCATCATTCGTGCCACGGGACAGTTTGTGGACGACATCAGCGCCCGCTATTTCCGGGGATTTCACCACCACCTGCCCGTCATCTCCCGCACCCGCTTCTACAACAACCTCATCACGCTGGGAGTGGCTCCAGCCGCCGACTTTTCCGTCTTGCTACTGACCATCTGTCTCATCACACACGCTCCGGCACTGGGGTATCAATCCGGCACCGACACCGACACTGGCACCGGGCATAGAGCCAGTCGAAGCGTCGAACAGCAGTCCATCTATCTCACTGCGAGGTCGCTGTTTGCCCAGGTTCAAGTCTCTTGCGCCCCCTCCCCCTCCCTCCCCCTGATCCAAGCCGGCCTTCTGCTAGCCGTGTACGAGTACACTCATGGCCGGGCGGACGATGCATTTGTGACCATCGCAGGCATTGCGCGCATGGCCTATGCCGCCCGCATCCACACTCGCAACTGTCCTCAGATACAAATGACACATACAGCCGGCCACAATGCGGATGCCGATGCCGATACCAATACCAACACCGACCTGCTGCTGCATGCTGAAGAAGCAGCGAACACGTGGTGGGGAATTGTCATCTGTGAGAGGTATGTACGATATATGGGTCTCCTAGGATGGCTGCAGATGAAAAGTGGCTACTGAGACTTCATCGATCGACGTAACTGAAGCTGAGACGGTGACAGGACTTTCTTCAGCGAAGTCGCAGTCTTCGACCAACCGCTGGTCACTGTCTTTCCGGGTGGCGATGCTCGACTGCCGATCGAACCACAAGTCTTCGACCAGCTCGATCTTCTAGACCCGGAGTCCTTGCCCAACATCTCCGTGTCCTGTCTGACGTCGCCCAAGGTTGGAGGATTCTGTCGGACAGCGCAGGCGGCCTGTCTTCTGGATCAGGTCCTTAAGGGCTTGGACACTCCAGACATGGAATCTCGACTGCTCCAGCTCGACCGGCTAGATGACAATATCCAAGCCTTCCTATCGCTGGTGATGCCGCAGTGCCAGGGCCAACCAGGGGTGTTTTGTGCAGCCATGAACATTGCAATTAGGTCAGTTCCATGGTTCTATCTCCTTTTTTCTTTTCTTTTTCCAGCGCTCTATCCCTCTCCATCTCCCTCTCCATCTCCCTCTCCATCTCCCTCTCCATCTCCCTCTCCATCTCCATCTCCATCTCCCTCTCCATCTCCCTCTCCTCTCCGTCTCCCTCTCCATCTCCCTTTTCTGTCACGCACATCCCACACCGGCGACTAGTAGCTTAAACCATCGTACCTCAAATAGGGCGCTGTTCACATTACATTGGCACATCCTCGACCAGCGCCCGCAGGTGGTCAATGTCAGAGCCAGAGTCATGTTCAAACGACTGGAGGAGTGGTACCAGAGATCGCAGGAGGCGCTTGACACGGTCACGAAGATGGTGGTCGACATTGCAGAGTCCCTGATCGCAGCAACAGCAACAACTACAGCCAGAAACGCCACAGCCTCGCCCACAAACACGACGACGACGACGCACACCGTCGACGCCATGCCTCCAATATACCCATATGTCGCTCGCGCCGCGCTCAGGCACATTTGCAGCAGCGCCCAGAGGGCAGATGCCGGTTGGTTGAGGGGTGCCGAGAACGTGCTCCAGGCATCTCTGGACAAATACTCCCAGCGGTGGAGCGTGTGAAGCGTGATGACTAGACTCGGGGTTGAGCGTGAGTGAATGTGATGACTGCTCGGGCCCCCGATTAGAGACGGAGACGGATGCGGAAGCAGAAGCGGAAGCGGAAAAGCGATATCAGGGATATAGATGTACAGTATATACATTAATGCTGGAGATGTACAGTATAAGCTGTGTGAGGTAAATCCAAATCCAAATCCGAATCCGAATCCGAATCCGAATCCGAATCCGAATCCAATCAGAACCAAAGCAGAACCAATCCAATTCAGACCAAAATCATGCCCTAGTCAACCAGTTGCAGCCTCTGCCTCTAACACTGCCTCTATCACTGCCTCTAGCGGTGTCCAACTCTAAAGTACAGCACGGAGTACAGTACCTTACTTTCAAGATAAAGGACTAGGCATTAGGTTAGGTAGGTAGGTATCAATCAGGTATCGGATACTATACTAACTCTACCTCTATAAGATATGACTAGGTGCTAGGTAGGATACTAACTCTACATCCATAAGATAAGACTAGCCCTAGGTACTAGGTACTCTACCATACTTGATATGACACAGGACCAGATACCAAATACCAGATACCACATACCCTGCACACACGTAGCCGACAGACATTAACCCATGCCATCACTTCACTTCTTCTTGATGACCAGAACAACCACTCACTTTCTCTTCTTGATGACCAGGACCAGGCTCACTTTCTCTTCTTGATAACCAGGACCATCCCTCACTTTCTCTTCTTGATGACCAGGACCACCACGGCACTTCCACCTTCGATCCAGTCCCTAGGCTTCCCCTCCCCCTCTGGAGTCTGACTCTCTTCCAACAACTCCCTAGTCTGCCTGACCAACTTGTCCACACAATCCTCGACCTCCCCGGCAGCGAGCTTGTCTTTATACGCCTCCCTCCAGCGCGTGACGGGACTGACGGTGCCGAGAGCCTTCTTGACCTGGTCGAGAGTGAATCTCCTGCTCAGCAGGAACTGTTCTCCCGGCGGGACGTGGCCGTCCTTGTTGAACTCCAGCCGCTGATACTGGTCTTTGGGGAAGATGGTGGATAGATCCAAATCCAATGGCTCCCCGCCAGTGGCGCCGGTGGCTGCGGCGCTGCTCGACGCTTTAGACGCATCTCCATCTCCCACTCCTACGCCGTCCCAAGGCAGTGGCAGCCCGGCATACAAATCGCGCGTCATCCTGTTGCCGGGCTCCTCAAACTCGAGGATGGCGTCGTCTTCGAATTCCTGGAACAGCCGAGTCAGCTTTTCCGCGTTGGGCGTGTCCGGCGTGCAGTAGCCGCCCTTGGTGCACCATATGATGATGCTCCCGCCCGGCCGGAGGATCTTGGCCGCCTCGCGGTAGAAGGCTGGCATGTCGAACCAGTGCGCCGCCGTGGCTGCCGTGATGAGATCGACGCATTCCGAAGCCGATCCTGACCCCGACTCCGGTCCGCGTTCCCCTTGGACTGGGGCTTGGGCCGCAGATTCCTGCAGCACAGGTAACAACCGGCTCAGCTTCTCTGCCTCGCAAACCTCAAATCGGACCGGCTCGCCGGATCGGGTGGTGCTGGGAATCTGCCGCGCCATCTCGACCATGCTCTGGCCCGGGTCGGCCGCCACGGCGTGCGTGAACCGCGGTGCAAGTGATCGGGTGGCGGTGCCGGGCCCGCATCCCACGTCGAGAAGCAGGTCTAGCCGGCCGCCGGTCGAAACGTGTTTGTCGATGATGATGTCGATCAGCTTGTCCGGGTACGGCGGTCGGTACTGTGCGTATGCGGCCGCAGACGAAGCGTCGTAGTTGCGGAATGTTTTGTCCTTGTGAGCTTGATGTTGAGGTTGAGCCTGAGTTTGAGTTTCAGCCTGAGCTTGAGCCTGAGACTCAATTGATGGGCTGGTTGAAGTCATCCTTATTACTGGGATGGGATGCTGTGACTCGACCGACTGAGTCACACACAGGTGGGATGGCGATGTGATGGTGATGGTAACCGTCAGGTTGGACGTAATGTGACGATGTCAGAATCAGAATGAGTTTGATTTTGTATTTGTTTTGTACGCCTTGCGCCCTCCTTTCTTCTGGTCTGGTCAAGCAAGCCGTGACCGATGTCGTTGGAACGGTCTTGGTGTTCAAGGGGAGAAGTGACAAAGTGCTGTACGGAGTACGTGCCAGGCACCACTGCCTCGTCAGGCTATAGATAACCGTTTGGTGCTGTGTACGGATCGAGGTCGTCGTCGTCCGGCTAGATGCGGCGATCAGCCTCAGCCTCAGCCTCTTCTCTTCTAGACAAGTCTAAGTTTCCTCTTGCTCTGCCTTTATGATCGAATCGAGGACTCCGGAGTCCGTACTCAGGGTGAATGGAACGCGCTGTTATGTATGTGTACTGGTGGCGTCTTTGGCATAGATAAGTGACTCAGAGGCTTGGGGGCTTATATGGAGTGACTCAGAGGCTTATGTAGGGGCTTAGGGGCTTATATGGAAATACTGCACATGCCGTGCTCGCCCCTCCATACGGATCCGGGGCAGCCGTGTCCGTAACCCTAACCCTAATATTTCTTGAATGCTACCCGGAGTATCCGTACTCCGTATCCGTACTCCGTATTTCTACCCAGAGCGGAGGGTACGCGGAGGGTACGTACAGAGAGAGTTGCGACATAAAGTCATAACACCACTGTATCCGTACCCTAACTTCCTATCCATACTCAGTACTTAAGTAGGCAGGATGGAGCATGAATAGCTTTCAAAGGCCTACTCGCTTGAAACTGAAGCCTGAGCCTCATTCTCCCCTGACCTTAGGTTGGCACGCACCTCACTACCTATGTAAGATCGCCGAGGCCTCCATTGAGGAGACAACACCAATGAATTGTCAACACTTCTAGCACCCGGTACAGTGTCTTCGTATTGTGATGATGGATTATACTATCTCAACAACGTAACGAATGGCGTCCGGTGAGGAAGGAAGCCAACATCGAAATCGAAAAGGTCTCACACAAACACGCTTGTACGCTGACACACACTTGACTCCATTGCACGCTTCCCCATAGCTTCAAACACAAACAAGGTTGACTGTGTACACTCCTCAGGCCGGCTGGAAGCTCAATTTCACGACATCCTCGACCCCAAAGAACTTTGCCTACCACTCCCAACTGGAACGGGCAGTAGTGACATGCGTTTCCCCTTTCCATTCGCCATCGCCAGAACACTGCTCGGTCTGGTGATGGTTCGCTTCGACAACGGACTCGAGTTTGGTTCCGTCATCTCGTCGTCTTCATGGTCGCTCATCCGGTCCAGTTCCTCCGAGTCAGCTTCACTCTGTCCTAACCTGCTCTCAAGCCGAGGCTGGTGGCCGACCGGACGTAGTCGTTGACCTGTCGATGGCCCGTGGTTTCTGTTTAGTGACGACGGTGGCCTCGGGATCGTAGTCCCGCTCATGGTGGGCTTATTGTGGCTGTGCACGGCAACAGAAGAGGGCGATCTAATGGTGCCAACTGCAGGAGCACTGGAATTCCGCCCTCGGTGGTACGGCACCGGGTCCATAAGGCGACTTGTTCTAGCCGGTGAAGGATCAGCAACTCGCTCGGCAAACGATCGGAACTGTTGACTTTCTCGCTTCGACAGCGTCGGTAGCATAGACGACGGTGATGATGTGGCCTCTCTACTAAGAGGACTCCTTAATGGCAATGCGGTACTTGAAGATATCGAGCGTGGAGTATACTTCCGTGCAGTCGGCGGTTTTGTGGCGGACGAAGAACGATACGTCGGTGCCAAGGGAACATCGGCCGACTTCACAACGGCCGACCATCTTGGTTTACTCGGCACCGGAGTTGGACTCGGTCGAGGTGGTGCAGACACCACTGGAGGAGAGTAGACTCCTTGCCGATACACCGACGGAGGCCCCGGCAAAGGTGACACCCCACGTCTAATCGCACTCCCACTAGCATGCGACATGGGCGTGGTCGGGCGTCGGCTCTGGGGGATGATTGACCCTCGTCTGTTGCTTGAAGTCAAAGGTGGCGGCCGACTCGATGAGGGTGTCCGTTGCTTGGTATAGCCCTTGAGTCCATACTTGGGTGTGGACTTGTCCATCCGGTGAGGCGGTAGATCAACCGACGAAGGAGGTGAGCTGCCTGGAGTTCCAGCAAAGGTAGTGCTAGTAAGTGAACGATCCGCAGAGACGATACTTGATATCGACTCGCGTAGTTTGGAATTCTGATGCGTGCTGTAAGGCTCAAGGAGCGACTCCAGGTCTTCCATCGTATCAGTCAGATCTCTCATCCTAGACGACAGGTCTTTGTGGAGACGAAGAATTTCTCCGTTCACCGTCAAACGATCCTTGAGTCCTTTCTGAATGATACCCAGAACGCGATTGATGGCGGGGCCATAATGCATCCTTTTCGCTTCAAAGCTTTCAATCCTTTTCGCCAAAGCGGCCGGGTTCGTCACTCGATAGTCTTCGGTGATGGCCTCTTGGACCTTGAGGATACTTCGTTCGACTGATTCACACATTTTCTGTGCCTGCCGGCCAGCGTTGCGAAACACGATCACCCATCGATCCTCGCTGAGCTCACGTCGGAGATTCTCCGCCTCCTTGGAGAGTTCCGTCCAGTTTTTCTCCAAGCGGGTTCGTTTTTCATCAAGCTCTTGGCAGGCTATCGGGAAAATCTTTTCGGCGCGCGACTGGAACATCGATAGCCTCATGGGGAGGAAATCCAGGGACGCCCGAAGTGGTTGCATGCGGGCAAACAGAGCCAGGAGGTTGGAGTCATCCTGAGGGTTCTCAATGATCGGCGACCCCAGAGGCGACGACTCAAACGGAGGGAGACTGAAGCGAGAATTGGGAGCAGTCCTCTTCTCCGAAGGTTCGTCGATGAAGCTCTCCAGCTCGTTCAAATCGATGGCTTGGCTGGGACCGGCCGGTGTTGGCGCCTGATATGCTGCGTGCCTTTTCTCTTCCATTTCAAACACCAGTTGACTGAGATTATCCATTTCTGCTCCAACGTCTCCCAGAACTTTGGCCCACAACTCTTCCCATTCCATGGCCAATTCCACTTGCTGGTGGACCTTCTTCAAATCTTTGCGAACATTGTCCCATCCTTCCAGTGTCACTTCCATCTGTTCGACAACAGCCTGCAACTCCTCGGCCTTGACCGTGCCGATATCTGGCCGACATTGTAGCTTTTCAATCGATAAGATGTAAACGTTAATCAGAGTCTCGAACCTTCGGATGGTCTTATCGGTCTCGTCGAGCCCCAATCTTCCTGCCGCGGCTGCCCATTCAACATCATCGTCTGCGTCGAGACTCTCCAGCACTCTTAAGGCTTTCTTGTTCCATGCTTGTATTTGTTCCGCGGCACTCATGAGGGTCTTAACCGCTTTGCGGGCAGTTGGAAGGGATGTGACGGTGGCAGCAAGAGACTCGGCCTGGGGCAAGTTAATCCCGGTCAGGCTGGCCAGTTGGCTACTGAAGGAGGCTCTTGAAAACGAATAGGCTGAGTTGCTCCGAGACAGACTGTCCGGAATCATGAAGGAACCAGCATCGCTACTCGGACCGGAAGAAGCGGAGGAGGAGTGACGCGGAGGAGGCCCATCGTTGGTGGGCGTGGGAACGAGCAACTGATGAAAGTCGAAATCGCTTTGAGTTTCCACCATTGGTGGACGGCGAAGAGCAGAGCTCATGCCAGACAGTGTAGGCCGACTCTGCTGTGTCCTCGGTTGGTCAAGTAGGAGGCTTGATGAGCGGGCACTCGGGATTCGAGATTGCGTCGTTGTTCATGGGCGTACATTCACAGACGGGAGAGACAAGGTGGTATTCGGCGAGATGCCTTGGTCGGTAGGAGCAGATGATATCTGTATACAGGACCGGCGATAGATTGCGTGGGCGGTACTTAGGGATGTGGTGAGAAGGCAGTTCTGATGCTGATGCTGGTACTCCGTATTACCCGTGGATGGATTTGGCCGAGAGATTATTGTCAATAGTACGGAGTACAGAGTACAGAGGACGGAGCAGGTATCGTGAACTGTGAAGTTGGGCAGTGCAGGCCAGGCCCGTAGGCCCGCCGGGCGTTGTTTGGCGTGAGATTAACGGCTAGGGGGACCCTGCCGTCCAGAGGTGGCAGCGAACCAGAGCCTAGAGGTTGCTAGTTGCTGCACTACTGGCGCACACGCGCGCCGCGTAGCTTGACAGGGTGCTAACTTGCTCCCAGCCACCCGGGCGAGCAGGCTGATGCCTGAGATGCGGCCTGACATCAGTTCTCAAAGCCAAACGCGGTACGTGATCAACAACCATATCAAAGACGACTACGGAGAAGAGTGAGTTATGTGACATCGGATTGGAGAGTGTTTGCCTGGCTAGACAGTGTGAGACTCGGAACCGACACCGGTAATGCCCACAGTATGTACCGTATACCGAATGCGTGAGTGCAGTCTGGTCTACGACTTTGAGCGCGTCTGCGCTCTGCGTCCAGCCAGGCGGTAGAGTCCCAGTCTATATCTGTTTCCAACGCCGCCTTGCAAGTGCTGACCCTAAATCTACAGGTTGTCTCGGCTCGTTTGATACATGGAAAGACACGTTAGCTTTGCCCCGCGCTCAGATGACTTCCTCCCTCTCCCAGCCTTTGGGCTTGATGTGTTCAAATCCTTTGCCTGGATGAGGTTTGGCGGGATCGTTGTACACAGAAACAAAGGGGTTGGGATCTTCAGCCTGATTGAGGTTGCCCAAAGTGTGATGGATTTCTCGGTGTTTGGCCTCGTCGGCTCTGATGTAGAGCAGAAGGTCCTTCATGGACCTATGGCCTTCTGGCATGTTCCAGTACTTGACGGCAATTTCGGGCGCGTCGAGGTTCTCCCAGGCGGGCAGCTTGCCATTCTCAAGGTCCTCGATGGCGTAGGTGTAAGTTTTGGTTGCTTCTTCTTCCAGATACCCGACAAATCGGTGGCAGGTCTTTGGGGAAACGAGGTAGGCCAAGAAGAACCCATTGGAAAAGACACCCTGAGCCCCGAGTATCATGAGCTTCATGAACCAGCCCGGTTCGGCCATCTTGAGGAATGTGAGCAGATGCATCCGCTCATTGTAGGCATCTTCTAGAAGGGTTTCGATCCTTGTCATGTCAATATCGCCATACCCGACGGTCAATCAAAGAGCAACGCACCATCCGTTATCTCTTTTCATTCTTCGTAGACTGCGGAAATGTCTCAACATGCCTCCAACCATGCCCGGTACACCGGCCACAGTCTCGAGGAAAATGAACCGGATCAGCCATTTTCTTTCGTTCATCACATAAGGTCTGTTTGGATCATGGCGGTAACCAGTGACTAGGTCTGTCCCCCATCTCAAAAGCCTGACCATGTTGTACGCCGTCTTGTCTGAAAGGGTGCGGCATTCACGATGGGCAATCTCGATGCTTTTGAGCTGTGAATCGCTCGCGTCAGGGTGTGGCCACGTCGGAGGGCTGGCAGGAGTTAGCAAAAGGATGTCCGAACCAGGACAGTGACACGCACGTCGTCTTGATATGGGGAAGGTTCTTGGGAGGGGGGAAGAATTCCAGTTGAGCCTTACGGGAGAGGGAGAAGTTCCGTCTGGAGTAAGGATTGGTGGCCGCATAGCCGGCTCTGAGACCTGTTGCTGTGGCCGTCGAGGTAACGAGGCCTCGGCTAGCTACTCTTGAGACATTGGCTGTAAGGGTGGGAGTGAAGAGGACTTTTGAGGTGCTCATGGCGAATGTCGATGAAGTTATTCGGTCAGTACAATGTTATGTAATAGTAGTAGTAGTACTGTATGTTTAGCAAACGAAGGGCCAGAGGACGACAAGTCGATATTAGGGGATGATATATCAATCCTACACCAAAGTAGCGGGGCAGACTTTCAGCGGTCATCATGGAGCACAGTGCGACATTTTCAGGCCAGGCTCAAATGCCCGAACATCCACAGCATCAATCATTGATGGGTCAAGGCAAGTTACAACTGAGAGAGTGGGAGAGGCGTTGATCCTCGTTCCCTGAGGCTAGCCTTCTAGGTCTGTTACGAAGGCTTACGAAGCCCCGTCCTCCGCTGTCCACTGAATTCACCAGTAATAATTGCTATCTACTAAGTCCACGGTTCTCGTCCCGCGCACAGCCAGGAATGGTCCCGTGGACACGCGTGCCATCTAAGATCTGGCAAAAGACCAGATGACTTGGATGCTCGGGGCATATCGGATGGCGGAGAAGCAGAAAGGCTGTGGAAATAAAGGAGTATGGGCTAAGGAGGCTGGCCATTATTTGCTTACAGGCGAGATTTCGGAATAAGTCGGTGACTTTTGGCCTGGCTCCCTCGAGGCTGAATGCTGCACAGATGCATCCATGACTATATTTGCCATTGCAAATTGAACAGCTATTGGTACATTATTCGCTCACGCTTCACTACGTTTCAGCTTCCCCTTCGCCGTTTATTTTTGACTCGCTTGAACCCTCCAGACGGACCCATGCCCGGGCCTTCTGTCATACTGTTGAGCCAATTCTCTTCAATAGTCTTCCTGCTAACATCTTCTCAGATCGGTCACCAATGCGTGGTTTCCGATTAGGCAGTTCGTTTATTGTGGACATCGTACTGGAATAGATGGATTTCCGGGAGCACGGCATTGTTCTAGGCATCGAATGAACTTTCGCCTTCTTTAGGATCTAGGTCTTTAGTCACAAGCTTGACAACATGCGCTGCTCTAGGCCCGTTGTTCAGATCCGCTTTCAATTTCTTCAGTGAGTCTCTGTCGCCCTGTGCTTCGCCTGTGACCTGGGAACTCATCAGCGGGTTCTTCTGGTGAATCTTGGGACCGAGTCAGCAACCTCGCCTGTGGAAGTATTCTTAACGTAGCCGGTGACACCGTAGCTGGCAGCTCTCCGTTGCACGAAGTCACTCCTCAACAGTTAGTAGTGTGTCACAATGCAGCTGAGTCCTATTGCAGAGTAACCTACCGAAAGCCGACACCCTGGACAGTGCCGTAGACAGTGAAGGAAATCCGCTTCAAGTTCGACATTGTGTGCCTTGCTGTAGATTATTCGGCAGGGAAGCAGATAGATGCTGATATTCACACCACTGGGATACGAAACATCTTCTTTGGCAATTCCACTACTATTGTGAAAATACCATTCAGGTCCAGGTTCTGGAAGATGCACGTACGCCTCACGATGGGAGATGGGAGATGGGAGTGCGGGGCAAGCCCAGCAGCAGCAGCAGCCTGGCACCTGGAGACTGCGATATGACGATATGACGCCAGAAGGAAACCCTAACTGGTGCTAACACTGAACAGTAATTAGTAGACTTCATTTAACCTTTAAGGGCTCCAGCCCTCGCCGCCTCGCCCGAGGCCCATCAGTGTCGGTCAAGAGGTAGTATCCGTAGTGCCGTAGTGGGCTGCGGAGAAGGAAAACGCGTCGCAGGCTGTCCAGTGTCCACTAACTGCGCTCTGTCAACAATCATCCTGGCAGCCACTGTGACGCCCCTTTGGGTGTCAACAACCACTTCAAATAAGGCTGCAGAGATCGTGTTGTTGCTGAGATGGGACAGCTGGCGTGCAACAAAGCTTCCAACCTCGGATCAGCGGTTATGGCCAGCCATGGCTCTCAGCAAGCATTATTGCGGGTGGTCGACAGACGTGACGATACGATGTTTATGATTGCCTGCGATACTCCCCTTTCACCTTCATCTGCCACTAGCGGCATCCATCTAATTTCACCTCAGTCCATCTACATACTACTGCCCTCACAAGCATTGTCCTGTGCTTCAGGTTCCTCTCGTTACTAGTCAGCGCTGTTTGGTGTCTTTATCCTGCTGCTTGTCAGTCCGCTAGCTGTTCGTAAAGACTCAGAATTTCAGAATATTCTCCCATTCCTCATTCCTCATCCCCTTTCGTCTATCTCCTGCCCGCCTTCAACCGAGACCCCTCGGTGCGATCCCTGGATGTCCGCCATGAGCAATGATCCGGACTCTGCATTGACAAATACTCGTTATCTGTCTACTTCACCCTCCCCGTCTCCGAATCTTCTTCCTACTCCTGACACGGCCAGTCTCGCATCAAATCGATCCTGTTCGGGCGTCTCTTCCGTCTCAACCTCCTCTTCCTCCTCAAATGCCTCCTCAATTTCTCGAGCAAGTCTCGGTTCTCGTCGGCGTGGGTATATTCGACCCCAAGGCGGATCCTTCGCCGATTCGGCCAAGAATAGGGAAAGTGTCATGAGCTTGGGCAGTATCGCGCATCTGCAATATTATTTCGCTCGTACAGGTCTTTTGGATGGAAAAGGGGGTCAGATGGCCAAGAAGAAACAGAACGGAGAATATGACATTCCCAGATTGTCTCTCGCTGCAAATCGGGATATCGTTGACTCGCCCATCGACGATGAAGCCCAGGCCCTGTGGGAAGCCTCCCAAGAAGATGGTGCCGATGTTATGCTACCTCCCACCGTTTCAACCTACAGTCATCCTTCCAATTACGTTGCTCCTCCTCCAGATCAGAAGACCATGAAGAGGAATTTGGTGGAAGCCTTGGAAAACGCCCTCCAAGCAGTGGAATCGTGCGAGAAATTGGCAAATGAGAATCCCGAAGAACAAAGTCAGGGGTTCTATCAAATACAAGGCCTCCACGTTCTTGACACTGCCACACACGCAATCCGTGCAGCACGACTCTATTACACACTACATCCAAACCCTCAGCGGCTCAACTCAATAAGATCAGACCAAGAATTACGCAAAGACCTATATTCCGTCCTGGATGTGCTGAAAAGATGTGCGGCCCGGAACTTTGCTGGTGGTCTCCGAGAAGATGAAAAATTGGCGGTTCTTGTCTGGGTCAGCGACGTGGGCATGATGATTGACCAAGAAGCGAAACTCGAAGAGGCAGACAGGCACGAGAGGAAGGATTGGCATTGGATGAATGACTCCCACTGGGTCGATCGAGAGAGGGAACGCGATGTTAACTTCCTCGATTTTTTGCTGAAGGGGCAGTGTCAACCTCCATGGAATCAGCCTGAAGTCGGTCCAGAGTACTTTCGAAATCTCGCTGATGGCAAGGACCTTGTCCGCATGCACAATGCGGCCGTGGATCGATCAAAGAAGCATTTCGACTATATCAAAAGCTTCCATGAAGACGTGGCCAAGCCGTATCGACGCGCCGACAATCTTCGCTACTGGGCAAAGGCGGCAGAACTGAGATGGGAGCTTCGACTTCAGCTGGACGTCATGGCCGTAGCCACTCCGATGGACAACGATGCTACTTGGCTGTCTTTTGAAGAGGTTGTTCGACAGTGGAGCCGAGGGGTACGTACAGAGCTCAGCAAAGACTGGAACGGAGAGGAGGAACGGAAACTACATGCTCGTGCACGCAGCCTGGCTATGGCGAGCCCATTGTCGAGTCCGGCAAGGAAGGATTCTTCAGCTCCCCCTCTTCCCAGCCCTACCAGAAGAATGACCGTCGCTCCAAGTCCTCTGGGAAGTCCTTCGAAGACCACCACGGCTTACAGTCCTCCGGATACTCCGACTCCCAAGAGACCACTCAGTTGCTGTGATGAAGAGGCATGAGGGAAGGCCTCTTGTTGTTGGACAGATCTATTTTCCCCAGCATTACGATACCCACGCAGTTGTTATGGAGCAAGCGCTTATCACATGGACATATTGAGCCAAACCATGGTAATTTCGACAGTCATGGTTGCATGGTACCCATACAGGGCATCAGATGGCAGTCACTGCTTTCCAGAAGTTTCCAGAGACATATTCTTATTCTATGTAGCTTTTCCAACAATAGTGAAGTTTACTAGCGGACAAAGCGCTTTCTTCCCTTTGGGAAATTAATCTCAAGATTCTCGGAGGGCGTAGCCGTCCCGTATCTGTAGATCGAGATGGATCGAATGGGATGGCATGGCATTATGTGGCACTAAGCCTGGGCGAACGAGGTGTCCGAACGGCCCAGTAGCAGTCTGTGTTTCGTACAGCACCATAGAGAGTATCCATACACCGTCCACCGTCCAACGTCTCCTTGAAAGCCCTGCAGCTCTGTTCCTCGTCTCACCAACCACACGCCAGGGCAGTAGGTCAGGGTCAGGATGGCCTGCTAGGCTAGGAAGAGAGTTGAGCGGCCCCATCGAGAGATGCAACCCATTTGATCCGCCGAGAAGTAAACAATTCGGCCCCGGGCTTGAGGTGATTGATGACATCGACATCGTCCAAGATGCCAGCCTTGATGATCCTCAATCCGTCGACTCCGCCAAAAGAGTCGCCGTACCTGAACAGTGTGGTGCCTGTAGCGAGGAAGGAGATAGTCATGGTCAGTTTTTGTTTTTCCTTTCCCTTCCCGGTCCGTGACAGTATAGTGCCCGTTTGAAAGATTCAGATTATATCTAGTACGGAGTGGAGTATGTGTAAACCAAACTCAAACTCACTCACCACAGTCAGGGCAGAAGCAGTTGGTGATGGGCTTGCCCGAGTCGGCGATCTTGGAGATCTCCTTGGGCGTGCCGGCGGTGACTTTGAAGTTGGCGCTGGGAACGAGAACGTTGTAGCTGTACAGGCCGCCCGACATTTTGCGGCAGTCTGCACAGTGGCATAGGGCCTGTTTGAGAGTCAGTGTATGACACAGCCGAGGGCGTGAGTATATAGAGAGAGATATATATATGTGCACACACACACACACACACACACACACACACCCACATAGACCACAGCGAAGTATAAGGTATATCAACCAGGATTAGGGTTAGAATTCAAACTCACCGTCGAGGCCGGCTCTCCAGAGTATTCGACTTTAATGTTCCCGCAGAAACAGCTACCGGTAGGCATGATTGCGGTTGCGGTGCGGGTGCGTTGCGGTTGCGATGGAGATCTGGGTCTGGTAGTGACTATTTCCTCGAGTCTCAACCCTCCGGAGTATATGTAGGAAACTTGAAGTATGTAGAGTGAGAGCAGCAGGCCGCAGTGTCAGTTATATACTCCCGTACATATCAAGGTCTAACATCCATATATGTAGTTGATTAGTTAGAGACGGACTTGGGACCACCAGCACCAGCACCAGCACCAGCACTACAGGCGGGGCTGACGGGGCTCGTTACCCAAATTGCCGAGTTGATGGATGTCAATGCTCATTTCCATAGTAATAGGTATCCGTACTCTGTAATACTAGGGTACATGTACCTAGGTCGGCAGGTAGGTAGGTACTCCTGTCTGCTAGCACTCCGTACATAGTCCGGCCAAGGCCACCGTTATACCTAGGTAGTTAGACGGGGTACTCCGTGCTCCGTATCCGTACTCCATATGTGACGAAGGTAGAAAGAAGCTGCTTTAAGTCAACTCCTTGCAAGGTGACCAATCCCGCCCAATTGCATTCTTCTGTTCAAGCGGCAGGTGGTGCGGGCTCAAAGCAGCGACCACCCCGGCCCCGCTTTCTCTCGACTTCTCGACATGAAATGAATGTGAATGGGATGGGATGGGACAGTACAGTAGCTAGTAATTAAATGGAATGGGACAGTAGCTAGTGATTAAATGGGATGGGACAGTAGCTAGTCATACGGAGTATCTACTTAGATCAGGTAAAAAGGAAAGAGAGACAAGGAAGGGTGATGTGATGCGTCGGACGGAATGCATCCTTTTCTGCTTGAGTTCAATCGTGCGCTTGAATGCATCCTTTTCTGCTCCGAGCTACAACTCTACACATAGACCAACCACTGGCCTTACAAGTTACACATGGGAAGGCCAAGGCTGCGAGGGGAGTAAGCAATAGATAGTAAGCAATAGATACCTTAGTATCTGTTATATGAGACAGACATTTACAGAGCCCACGCATTCAAGTCGCTATCAGTCATGTCAGCAGCGCGTGTCTTCCTCGGTGTCGGTGTCAGTGTCGGTGTCAGTGTCGGTGTCAGTGTCGGTGTCGGTCACCTCTTCAAGCATGTTGCTTCTGCTCGGGCCCTGGCCATACACACCACCCAGCCCTGCCTGCTCGCTCGGGCCCTGACCATATACACCACCCAGCCCTCCCTGCTCTACTGCTGTACCCTTGGACACCCACCCTCCATCGTCATGGTGACGCTATCATAATCGTTACGTCGTCTTGTGTGCAATGTGCAGCGGCTCATTTCAGGAAACTCCCATTCGTCTTGGCCAGCTGTTCGTCATAGTAGCCTTGGAAGGCCAGCCAGCCCTTTTCATCCGTCCCGACCTGGGCGTACGAGAACTCGGCCTCTTCGTCCGAGATGAGGATCTTCTTGTGACCGGACCCGGCGCTCGCCGCGTCCACCAGCAACTGCGCATGGCACGTCTTGTCGAGGCTGAGGAACCAAAACGCCGCGGCGTCGACCGTCTTCGCGCACGTCAGCAGCCCGTGGTTCTGCAGGATGACGGCCTTGCCGTTCCCCAGGGCCTTGGCGATGCGCTTGCCCTCCTCGCGATCCAGAACGACGCCGCCGAAATTGTCATAGACGGCGTGAGACTTGTAGAAGCGCAGCGCGTCCTGCGTCATCATGTCGAGTTCACGCCCGAAGACGGAAAACGCCTTGCCGTAGACGCTGTGCGCGTGGCATGCCGCGTCGACGTCTGGTCGCGCCTTGTGGATTTCCGAGTGGATCGCGAATGCTGCCGCGTTGATGGGTTCATCGCCCAGCACCACGTCGCCGTCCTCGTTGACCAGGATCAGATCGGACACGCAGATTTGGGAGAAGTGCGTCGACAACGGGTTCAGCCCTGAATGCGACCCCATTAGATTACGCGAGCAGATGCATGGCAAGGATCAACCATGGTCAAAGTCAATTCAACGAATGGATTGAGTGCAACTTACAAAAATGATCCCGCAGGATTGGATCCCGCACGCTGATATGGCCTGCGACGCCCTCGTCGAACCCCCTGTCCGCAAAGACCCGGAACGCCGCAGCCAGATGTTGCTTCCGATACAGTCGCTCTTCCTCCAGCGAGCTGAACTGAGGGTACGACCGGATCTTGAGTTTCTTGCCGGACACGGTCTTGCCGAGAGCCCCGACCGCGCGGTTCTCTTGGGACGAGGAGTCGTAGACGTCGAGAGCGGGAGCCATGGTCGAAGTGGACTGGCTTGCCTAGGCCTTGGTCTGGTTTGGGCGGGTGCGATTTGTGTGGCTAAGGGGCTGTTGGCTGAGGAAGGGAGAAGCCGTGCAGTAGTAGTGCAGTGTGTCGTAGACCTCTTCCCGACGAGTGTTTGAGGTTGGACCGGTACAAGTAATAATGGCACCACCACTCCGAGGTGCGAGGTGGGAGGGGACCATGATTCAAACTGCGGAGGTGGCGGGGAGGACGGAACAGCCGTGTCCGTGTCCGTGTCTGTGTCCGGACTCGGCGAACTCGGCCAAAGTTGAGGGTTGGAACCCCGTTATCTGAACCGCAGCTAGCTTCCACCGTCAAGATGGGCGCTGACTATGTTCTTTCTATACATTTCTCATTTGATCCGGGAGAGTCAGTTACAGTCTATCCATGTTGACAGCCCACGCCGTTGAAGCGAAGACTTTTCAACCCCACCCTCAAAATCATCCGCTATGCCGTGGCGGCGCCATGCAGGACAAGGAAAAAGAAATCGAAACTCCCGTCCGTATTGTTACAATCCTGAATCATCTAGTGATGCAGTCATATGACCGCCCGTTCGACCCCTTTTCAAATCAAATCTCCGCCTTTCGCTTTCCCTTCCTTGTTGATTCTTTCCGCCCATTTCTTGCCCACCTCATAGCTGCTGATCATGATCGCGCAACTAGGAGCCACTTTGAGACACCTGGCCGCCCAACCCTTGAAGAGCCCTCTCAATCCTTCTTCTTTGATGATATGATAGAGAAAGCGCGGCATCGACAGTTCTTCGGGGATATGTTTGCCCTGCTTCGCAGCTTCTCGGGCTGCTGCTACCGAGGGTGCATCGTCGCCAGCATGATGATGAACTTGCTGACGAGTCTTGCCCACATCAAATGGCGTCGTGACCAACGCGGCTACGGCGCCTGAGGATGCTCCGGCAAGAAAACTGTCGACGAATGTGGTCGTATGGGTTTCGTGGATCTGAGCTGTACGACCACCGGTCATGGAACGGTCAGCCTCGAGCTGATGGCCTCGTACAGCCTCGCGGGCATCTGTCAACTCGCTTCGGACGGCTTCATATCCCCACCAGTAAATCGCAGAGAAGGGAACATCTCGCCACATGGTCAGTGTGAGGCCACGCCACAGCGAGGTGTAGCCGTGGGTTTGGGTCATGCGGTGCAGTCCGAGCACCGTTTCCTTGAACACCCCGTTACTGCTTCCACGTGTGGCTTGCATCCGGGTCCGGAACATTTCGATCGGCGAAACTGCAATTGCGGCTGCTACTCGTGCAGTCGAGCCTGCAACGAGGGGAGCGTATGTGTCGTTGGCAATCTTCTTGATGGGACTCGCGTGGTGGTATCGAAGCCAGTCGTACCCTGTGAAGTAAATGACGTTGGCCGGGATTGCCATCACCAGCGTGGGGGAGAGGCCACGCCATAGAGTCAGATAGCCTTCGTTCCTCGCAATCTTCTTGAGTCCGTCCAAGGTAGAATTAAAGGTCCTCTTTTGTGTTTCCTCAACAGCACAGTCCGCTGCCGCTGCAGAGGAAGTCGACGCCGATCCATTCCCGGCTATACAGAAATCACCATTATTCCCCACCCAAAACACTTCTCGGCAACACGAATTGATACCGAGATCGGGTGGCAGTTGCTTGAACGATGTGGAGTAGGCAGGGAATCGAGAGAGGTTCAAGGGTTTTGGAATGTGTTGAGATTGCAATCGTACGCGTACGACATCAAGCGGAGTGACTTTGAGTTTGTCAGCTAATTATCGTGCAGACTGATACAAGCATAACGTACCAAGCAACGAGGTCAATAAACTTCCCCAAGTAGCGGACATCATACGCTGCCAGGTCGTGATCTCGGGACTGTCGGAGCTCGGCATGGTGCCTGAATTCTGTCCTTGGACCTGTATTCTGTCATGCCGTTGTCCCTCCTGCTGTAACTGGGCATCATGACTGAGCGAGGGGTGCGGATGGGAATGCTTGTCCAGCGCCTGCGCGGGTTCGGAGGCGAAAGGGTAGGACATTCAATTCCGCCAACTGAAGAAGCAGCAGGAGAAAACTCTCGCTCCCGACGCGTCCAAGATCGAGTTCTCGTGCCCACCGATCGTGTCTCTCGACGTGGTTGGAACTGGGAGGAGGGAGGGTTGATATGCACAACTCGAGGAGGCGATTAGTATGATGGAGGGAAAAAAGATACTCGGCCCGTTATCGGCTGCGCCCTCCAGCAAATCAGCCATGATCGCATCGGGGAAGGTTGCCGATGCACCTCGCTGATATCGGAGATAATATGGAGGGCTGCTGATAAGATAACTCTAATCCCGCCGCCATCCCGTCATCTGCCAGTGTCACTGGTAGCCGTCCTGCGTCCTTTCTCCTGGCGGCAGCAGCGTAATACCATTGCCCAATCCAATATCTCGTCATTTGCCTGTCTCGGGGCAAACTCTGCTGCCCAGGGACGATAGAGTTTTTCCTTTCAGACTTCAGTCTCCAGCTTAACGGAGAGATCAATCACTCGCTTGTAAGAGGTCAAACCCCGCTGCGTGCGTTGGGTGACGAGGACCTGTACCTGGTACTTCCTGTTCCTACACTATGGACGAATCAGCGTCTGCTCTAGAGCACTTTCGCCAACAATGGAAAGAAGAAGTCAACGCACGCTCACAAAGGCCAGACAGGAGGCCTTCGGAACCCAAATCCCTGGAGAAAGCCAGAAGAACGAGTGACGTGCGCTTAGACAGACCTGTTTATAAGCCGCCGACTCGCCACCCAGCAGCGGACATCAAAGATGAGCCCGAGCACTATAGCGACGAGGAGCAGGCGACGGATGATGCAACTTCAAGCATGATTCAGCGTATTGAAGGATTGAGTATCCGCAATGTTGACGATGACGACTTTACGGCAAGAGGCTCGTCCAGAGAGCCGACCAGTGCGCTGGAACACTACGAACGGGCGGTGGAAAAGGAGAGCCAGGGAAATCTGGGGGACAGTCTTTCCCACTACAGAAAGGCCTACCGGCTCGACGCAAAGGTCGACCAGTCTTACAGGAACAAACATTTCCCCGCAAAGTCGAAACCCGCCGACCCGAACCCGTCCAATGCTGCCGTCACAGTCCCTTCAACCGCCCACCACTCATCGAAAGAACCCACGGAGGTCTTGACGTTTGCTCAGCTGATCGACAGCTTTGCCGACACACAGATCATGGGTGTTCTGCCTCTCATTGAAGGAGACCGGCCTCCGCCGTGCGGGATCAAGAAACTGCCTACAGAAGTCCTGTTGGAACTACTGCAACACGTGGCAATCCGTGACCCAGCCATGTTCGTCCGCTTATCCTTGGTTTGCAAGAAGTTAGCATATCATGTTCTGACTGAGAATGCCATCTGGAAGCGTGTTGCTTTGGGCCCGGAGTTTGGGCTTGCTGGTCAACGGTACGACTTCGCCACAGACCTTCAAGGTCGAGAATCCATCAACCGGACGCTAGGCACGGATTCAAATATCGAAGACGAGGAGGCAGGCCCGTCAATCGTCACAGAGGCTTCCTTTCCCAAAGACACGGTCTGGCGTAACATCTTCCAAAATTACCCCCGCGTCCGGTTCAGCGGTGTATATATCTCGACTGTCAATTATACGCGACCGGGTGGTGCATCAGCCAACCCGAACACCTGGAACAATGCGATCCACATCGTCACGTACTACCGGTATCTCCGCTTCTTCCGGGACGGGACATGCATATCGCTACTCACGACCAACGAGCCTATTGAGGTGGTTCACCACCTGACCCCAGCCAACCTCAACTACGTCCGAACCGGCAAAAAGGAGTCGGCGCATCCCCTCAACTTCACGTCGTCAGCCCCCGCACTTTGGAAGGAATCATCTTCTGGGCAGGCCTCGACCCGCACAGGTGCGGGAGGAGGAACCAACGCCGCGCCATCACCATCGGCGCAACAAATCATGAAACATGCCCTTCGCGGCCGTTGGAGGCTTTGCCACCCCAGCCTTGAACCTGCCGACTCTATTGGTACAACCACAACTACAACCGCAACCGCCAACGCCGCGTCCACACATTCGGAATATTCTCCCAGGCCGATTTACCCTGGAGATCTTCACATCGAGACGGAAGGTGCCGGCCCACGCTACATGTACACATTACACCTATCCCTGAAGTCGGCGGGGTCGGCGCGGTCCAAGCACACCACTAAAAACAACAAGCTGCAGTGGAAGGGGTTCTGGAGCTACAACCTCCTGACCAATGACTGGGCCGAGTTCACGCTGAGGAACGACAAGCCGTTTTATTTCTCGAGAGTCAAGACTTATGGGCTGGGATATTGAGACGAGTGGCGGCTGGAGAAATGAGCTGGACACTCATGATGAGCTCACGATCCGCCGGGGCTGTCTCTAACTAGACGGTTCAGGCTGCGGTTGGATGCTGGTGGGAATTCGAACTCCATCTAGGTACAAGTACCAGTATTAGGTACTCGGTACTAGGTACTCGGTACTAGGTGACTAGGTTAAAGTAGGGAGACAGGAATCTGCCAATCTGCCAGGTGCTTGGCCGCGCAAACTGCATTGTTGAGGGTATATTTCCAATGGTTATGAATCTAGCCTAAGCCTTGTCCACCTACCTCCATGCCCGCCCAGTGTAGTGTAGTGTACAGTATCAGTATCATTATCATACCCGTTTTCCTTTTCCATGGCGACCAGGGAATGGCAATCCTCCTCCTCCTCCTTCTCCTGCTAGTATGACTGGCTAGGACTGGACTTTAGGGTCAATCAATCAATCAATCAATCAATCAATCGTTCAATCAATCAATGCATACAGAACCGGATTGCTCGTCCCGTGCGTTCTGTTCGTCGCCTTCACCTTTGCCTGTCTGTCAAAGGTCATTCCTGGTGTATGTATGTACGTATGTATGTGTATTCCGTTCCACGCATAGTTGTGGCCGTAGTCGTAGACATAGCCGTAGCTTTCGGCGCACACACAGGCGACCGTCGAACGACCACCGTCCGGGTGCTGTACTGTACTGTATTCCAGGCCACCACATCTCATCCATCCCATCCTATATCTTAATCCATCCTGTTCCTTTCCATCCCGCCCCATAGGCAGGTAGGCAGGTAGACAGGTAGGTCCTTTTGCTGTTCTTCCCCCACCCCCGTCCTCGTCCCCGTCCCATCCGAGCTCGCATCAATCAAGTCCCGGTACCGGCCGTCGCGGTGAATGTGAATGTGAATGTGAATGTGAATGAGAGTGTGAATGAGAATGTGAATGTGAACGGCTCATGCCATGCTGCTGCAGGAATCGGGTATCGGGTATCGGTCCCGGATATTCGGTTCATGCTGGTCCAAACCAGGGGTAGGCGTACGCGTAGGCATGTGTTGATGGTTGTAGTTCTCCAGATCTCCATATCTCCATATCTCCATGGTGTTGTCTTTTCTTCTTCTTCATATATCAGACCCTGAGACTGAGACTCTCAGACCCTCAACTCTCAGACTCTCAGACTCTCAGACCCGGGGAGAAGACTCCCTACTCTCACTCTCACACTCTCACCCTCTCACACTCACACCCGAGGAGAAGACTCTCAGAGAATATCTACTCTCTCCATATCCTTACAATCTCCAACTTCTCCCAGCCGGCCGTCTTGCCGCTCGAGCCGACCGTTTCGGCCGACCACCTGCCGCCGCTGCCGTCATCCCAGTCGCGAATCCAGCCTTTCACGTCTTCCGGCTTGTTGCCCCTGCAGAACAGGATGTACGCGACGCCCCTGGGGCTCAAGACGCGTGGAAGCTCATGTAGGAGCCGGGTCGTGACTTGCATCCCGTCCACTCCGCCGGCGTACGAGAGGGCGAGGAGGTGCGACGATTCCTCGAACGTCAAGGCGCGCGTAGCCTTAACGTCGGGTGGTGTCGTGCCATTCACACTTGCGGACACATCCACGTTCACGTCCACGGCCGCTGGTGTTGGTGTTGGTGTTGGTGCCGGTATTGGTGTTGGTGCTGGTGCTGGTGCTGGTGTTGAATTTCCAGGCCTTTCAATGTCCGGCACAGAGTCAGTCGGTACATATGGCGGATTGAAGATCAGCACGTCGACCTCACCTGGTCGGAGAGAAGTCGCGAGGTCGCCTGTCAGAGAGGCCAGATATAGACTGCTGAGAGGAGGACTAGTGTTGCCGTCGCCACCACCACATGAGTCCTTCTCCGGCGTTCTGGTTGCCGTTTGCTTGCCCCTCGTCGACTTTGCTTCGCTGAGAGCCTTCTCCACGGTCGTCCGAGCAGCTCGGCACGCATGTGGATTGACATCGACGCCTAGACTCAGCACGTCACGGCCGAAAATCAGGCCCGCGTGTGCTGTTAGAAACGCGATGATGACGCCAGAACCGGGACCGATTTCGACCAACAGTGGTGTTGGTTTTGATGTTGGTATTGGTGTTGGCGTCAGTCTCGCTGTCGATGTCGATGTCGATGTCGTTGTGTTGGCCTTGTCGTCGGACAGAGACGCAGAAGCGGGATTGAAGCGTGAATGCAGCCATGCCGTCTCGGAGGCCGACGAGAGCGTGTCGAGAAACAGATACGAGTCTTCGGCTGGTTCGTAGATCCTATCGTACGATACGTGCGAGGTTGACGGCGTCGGTAGCATAGTTAGTCCTCGACGTTGGTCGGTCGAGAACGAGGACGACGACTGCCTGGACAGAGCTTGGGAAGGCCGCAGCGAACCCGAATCGTTGAGCAGCTGGGGTATGGGTAGTAAGCAGCAGGCCCCTAAGCCGTTGTTGGTAGGTATGTACTGGAGTGTCGTACAGGCTTAGGATGGATGTATCATGTATCATGTATGGGGAACGATCTCTTGCTGTCTCTGACTCGCTCAGGGAGACGAGGTTGAAGTGCGGGAAATCTTCGGCTTAGTCAGGCCTCAGGCCTCAGGCTGCGAAATCAATGTCCATATTATTACCACAACATCCCAGGTCGACGTGGTGAAACAACCCAGCATAAATCGTCGGCGAATGAATATGAGGCTAGGGTCTTCTATCGTCAAACGCGAGAACAAGAAAAATGAAATCAAATCCAAACGTGAATGCCTAAGGCGTCGAAAGGCTGCCTCCGCCGACATTTGGGACGTTAAGGGTGTTATTAAACTTAGGCTTAGGGGCACTAGCTTTAGGCATTCCCAGCCTTGTTCTTTAACCACAAGGCTGGTATAGGCATACCATACTATAGTCTGGGCTTCCCCTATACTGTACCCCTTAGATAGCGAACATGAAACATTTCAACCTTTGATAGCGAACTTGGAACATTTCAACCTTGACAAAGAGCAGGTATAGAGTATATACCAAGGGATAACGCTGTACTCAGTAATGGCAACAAGGAGCATGGAGAGTCCAATGTAGCTGTTAGTCTACAGCAAGATCCTGCGCCATTTGCAACCGCATGATGACGACGATGCGTGTTCCCAACCTTCAAGACAGCAAAGACGATCGAGAGCACCCTGCAGCTTCAGACTGCCTATCATCGTACAATACGTGTTCGGTTATGTAGACCTAGACCCAGACCCATTCCTTGCAGTCCATTTTTTGACAAAGCTTCCCACGGGGAGTGAACGCCTTGTTCTACGATCACCTTGTTCTACGATCACCTTGTTATTCACATAGCATTATACCCGAATGACCAACTTGTTGTTTCCATAGCATTATACCCGAAGATATAAGCGACAGTTCTCGTCAGTACTTGACTGCTTGCTAATCGAGAGGCAGCCTTCCAACTAATAACATTCCGACTGCCATCAAGAGGAATGGCTGATCGACGCTCAGACTCCTACGACGGCGTTCCTGAAGAGACAAACACCGGTGTCAGAGTCCACCGCCTGAAGCCATAAACTAACCTTCTTCGTCGTCAGATGCCGCCAAAGCAAAGAGAAATCAGAAGGGGCTGGAGTCCCTCGACAAGGCGGTGCGACAGGCCGGAGAAGCGGCATTGAAAGAAGGAACCTCAAAACCAAGATCGTTCGCACGCACAAACAGGAAACGAAAGTACCTCAACGGGGAACTTCCACTTTGTCCTCAAACGCCTGACGGAGCTGCCTATCATAGTCCTCCTTATCTGCGAGTTTCTTATTAATGAATGAACTTGTCTGAATGGTCCAATATTCCATCATAATCGTGTAAAACTCTTCGTTGTCTTCGTGCCCCTCGGCGAGTATCGGCTGGATGTGATCGTAGAATACTCGAACAAGCCCCATGGGACTGCGAAGAGCCAAAGTGTACCAGAAAGTCCCCATTTCCCATGCTTGGTCCATAACAAGGGAAAGTCTGTCTCGAGGCTGAATGGAAAGCTCCTGCTCGGTTGTCTCCAAAACATTTAGGAACTCGCGACGAACGGGGTCGTATATCTTCTCGTCCATCTGGTCGATAGGCTGATTCGCGAGCCAGTGAGGAGGGTGGATCATCTCGACAGGACAGGAGAAAGCCCATTCGAGATCAATCAGACATGTGATATTCCAGTTTTCATCGACAAAAATGTTGCTTTGATGTAGGTCGGTCAGGCTGAAAACAAAAGGTCCATGGCGGAGGTCGCGTCGTAGAAAAAGTGATGAGGTCGCTTTCATGGCGGCCAGAGCCGACATCTGGTAGATACAGTCTCCAGTGTCGCTCACACCGTTTGGTTGATGGCGTAACCGACTATCGTGTAAACAATTTAGCGTATCTATCACATAAGAGTCCGAGGAAGTGTAGGTTAGATGACGAGGAATATCCACCGGGATCTGCTCATTCTCCAGCTGATGGATTACCAGCGACAGTGGCCTGTTAGCCAAATGTAAGAATCCGTGATTGTCCACGGTGAAGGAACCAATGCGCGGAAGGGGCACTTGAGCTATGTTCAACAGGATCCGGGATAGGTTTTGGAAGAGATTCCTGCGTAGCCCCTTCTCTTGATACCTCTCGTGCCATGTGCATGACAGCATTTGACCCTCATTTTTTTCTATATAATCGATCAGTAGATAGCCCGAGCCTAAGGAGTCAAATCTCGCTCCCCCATGACGAATGTATCTCGACGGGACGGGTAATTTCAGCCAGCTGAGGAGTCGGCGATAGAAATGGTGTGCCAGCCGGAGAAGGAGAGGGAGGTGCTCGATGGCGGTAAACTAACGTGAGGTGAGTAAGTTCGTAAAACCTAATCATGAACGATTCGTATTCCTCTTACCCTCTGACCTGTCGAGAGTCCGAACCCATATAGGCGAGGGATCGGGACAGAGGGACACTTTTGCTGAAGCCAGATGTAGGTGCCAGCTTCGCAACGGAGCTTTTCGTCCGCATTCTCTGGGCCGCCCACCTTATACGGTAGTGGAAATCGAATGATCACCCTTTTCGTTGCTTGTCCGTTCCAGCTGGAAATGGAGACCGGAATACACACATTGAAGCTGCCGTAAATCCACTCTTCGGGCTCTGCTACCTTGCATAGTTGGACATGCAATCCAAGATGATGCGTAGTGATTGCATGGAGAACGGTCTGATTTCGATATAGGTGGTTAAAGAACTTGCACCGTCGATCCCATACCGCGATTTTATGCAATACGTTCGATTCGTCGTCCTTCACATCCGAATAAGAGATTTGCTTGTCAGAGAGTTGAAGTTTGGCCGGCATAACACCAATTGTTGTTATTGTGTTGATGTTGACACGTGGAGAAAAGAGAAATCACCATTGTTTGTCTTTTGGTGGAAGGCGGTTGTAGAACAACTCCTAGGCGGGCTTGTGGCACTCCAGGCAGCAGTGAGACCTAAGCCTTAGCCGCTCTGGCAACAATAACCGAGACTGAGCCCCCGGACTAGGCACCCCGAATATGTGAAACACCGGAAACTAGGAACTCTAGGGGCCAAGTCAGGGGTCCTAGGGCCCAAGTACGTATCACAGATGATATCGCCCTTCGAGCCCGGTAGAGGGTGTATAGATGGAACAAGGTGACAAAGTGTTCATTACACGTCCCTGAACTGAGTATCTGAGACCCCTTCGGGAGCCGACTTGAATATGATTCTGGTACTGGATGTGATACTCCTGCCTGGTATATGTATGTTTCGAGGCCACAGCAGATGTTGATGGATTGTGCGATCATTTGAAGCTTTCCCGCAGCCTCGTACAAAACTGAAGGACTCGGGGTGATGCCAGGGACATCGTAGTACATGTAAGCGTGAAGGAATTGAAACAAAAAACACCGCATTCGCCTAGACCAGAGTCCAGGCCTGCGAGAGAGACGCGACTTGTGTTGCTTACCGTATAACACCAGCACGCACCGGCATTTTCGAATCTGTTCCCTGTTCCCAATCACAACTCTGTTCCAAAATGGCAAAAAACTTTTTCCACAAGCCCCATTGTTAGGGGGTTGTGGGAAGTGAAACCAGCTCTCTAGGAGGAAGAGCGGGTTTTTCCGAAGGAAGTGAATTGATTTCCTTTTTTTTTTGTTTTTTTGCGGGTTGTCGCAATCGAACCTAGGACCTGGACTCCTGACCTTATAGTCAGTTGCTGCCACTCGAGCTTTTCAAGTGACCCCACTACCTGGTGATTTGAAGAAGTAGCAGGGGACTCGGAAACAGAGGACCAATTAATTAATTAATTGATCACTTATGTCTGAACCGACGTGACCCACTGCAGACGACTCAACCTTCTTGTAATGGCGCTGACAACTAGACCATTTGGTCAGGAGAACAGGTTTTTGGCTGATTGTTGAAGGGATTTCAGCCATTACAATATATCAGGGGATAATTAATTAATTGCTGCGCGGTAGTGAAGAGTGAAGAGTGAAGCCTGAGGGTAGTGAAGAGTGAAGAGTGAAGCCTGAGGGTAGTGAAGACAAGGCTGAGAGCAGTGAAGAGTGATAGCTGATATTACGTAATACTGTGAGCGCACGTGAGCGCAGGCTGCATCCTATCTAATCTCTCGGCCCCTCGACCGCGTCCCGTGTCTGATTCGCTGCGCGTCAACCTCCCTTCTCCTTCTCTGCTCACAACAGAACAACAGATACATAGGTACGCATTCTGCTATCACCACACACCATCGGCGACGACACTTTTGACCATGGATGTGCTGGTGTTGCCGGAGTGATGTCGACCGTTCAGACTCTCGCCCCGGTTTCGCCGCCCGGCGGAGTTTTCGCCTCAGTCTTCTCGCCGTCCTGGGTCAAACCCCCGAAATACCGGCAACGCTTCACCCCGGCGGCGCTCTCCACAATCCCAGACACTAAGGCAACCCTACACGCCCTTCTCAGATCTCTGCTCGGTATTGGTGACGAAACTTTTATCTACGGACAAGATCGATGGGTTCCGAATTTGGGCGGACCGTTTCACAGCCACTTCGAGTCCTGTTCGCCGCCCGACCAGATCCGGCATCCAACCTTAGCGGACCACGCCGCCCAGGATGCAGAAGAGGCTCAGTCTCCGCTATGGAGGAATCTACCCAGATGGAGAAGCGTGGTGGGGTCTGAACCACTCAAGAAACTCCTGGCCGCCGTGCTTAATGATCTGATGACCGAGTTTGTGACCTGGTCTTATGCAGGAGTCTACCGGCACAGTCTTCACCTTCACCTGGAATTCTGGGTGCAGCATCTGTTTGCGAGGATCACCCAGAAGGCGCTCGCTAGCCTGGACGGCTCAGCAGCATCAAGCACCATCTCTGTCCCGGATGCCGAGGCGAAGAAGTGGAAAGACATGGCCACTGCGCGCTTGGGCGCTCTGCGGGTGGACGAGCTATTCGACATTGTTGTGGACTGGGATACCACCGCGCCAGCCATCGACGATTTGAGACACTTCACAACAAACCCTGCCACGAGGAGCTACCTGACACACAACTTTGCCAATGTCCTCCAAACACGACTTCTGCACCCCGGTGCATCCACCATCAACATCCTCCAAGTCTACATTTCAGTCATCCGGTCGTTCCGCATTCTTGACCCGAAAGGGGTTCTACTCGACCGCGTCGCGAAGAAGGTGCGGCGTTATCTGCGCGAACGAGAGGATACGGTCAAAGTGATCGTGGCCGGGCTGCTCAGCGACACTGTAGACGAAGATGGACAGCCCTCCACCCCGGATCCCGAAACACTCGCCGACCTGGCGGTTGAGCTAACCAACAACAGCGCTCAAGACGGAGGTGCCGACGCCAGCGAGTTTGACTGGAACGACATGGACTGGGTGCCGGACCCGGTGGACGCGGCGCCAGACTACATGAAGTCCAAGAACATTGACGTGATCGGAAGCCTGATCACGCTGTTCGACACCAAGGACGTGTTTGTCAAGGAACTCCAAAACACCCTGGCAGAGCGTCTGCTGAAGAACAAGGCTGACTTCAACCAAGAGATCAGCGTGCTGGAGCACTTGAAGATCCGACTCGGGGATGCGGCGCTGCAAGGGTGCGAAGTTATGCTGCGAGACGTGCTCGACTCACGCAAAGTCGACAACGTGATCCGACGGGACCAAGGCATGCAAGACGACAGGGGCCGGCCGCGCCAGGCGGACGACGTGCAGCTCCACGCGAAGATTCTGTCGCGGCTCTTCTGGCCGACGGTGCCAGAACAGGCATTCCACGTGCCCCAAGTGGTGCTGGAGCAACAGCAGACGTACGAGCGAGGGTTCGAAGCATTAAAGCAGTCGCGCAAACTGACCTGGCTCAACGCCATCGGGCAGGTCGAGGTCGAACTCGAGCTCGAGGACCGCTTCTACCGCGACGAGGTGCTGCCTTGGCAAGCCGTGGTGATCTATGCATTCCAGGAGGCTGACGCCAATGCTGAGGCCAAGGCTGAGGCTGGCTTCGCAACGTCGCCGGCCCAGAAGACCGTGACAAGCCTGGCGTCAGAACTGGCCATGTCGCCGACCCTGATCCGGTCGGCCTGTATCTTCTGGGTCTCGAAACGAATCTTGACCGAAGTCGGTCGAGACACCTTCGCCGTGCTCGAGCGACTACCTGCCGGCATCGACGCCGTCATGGGCGGAGGCGACGATGCGGGAGCAGCGGCAGGAGCAGCGGCAGCGGCCGGAGCAACAGGAGGAGCGGGCAGACGGGCCGACGACTCGAACGCCACTGCCGCCGCCGCCGCCGTGGCTGCCGAAGCCGCAGCGGCCCAGGCGGCCAAGGAGGCAGAAGAGGCCGAGCGCCAGCAGAAGATGGCCATGTACCACCAGTTTGTGGTGAGTATGCTGACCAACCAGGGCGCCATGCCGTTGCCGCGCATCGCCATGATGTTGGGCATCGTCGTGCCCGGAGGTTTTCCATTTAGCAACGAGGAGTTGAAGGAGTTTCTGGCCGGCATGATCAAAGAGGGTGTTTTGCACGTTGCCCATGGCGGAGCGTACAAGGTTTCTTCATAAAATACCAAATAAACAATCCAAATCCAAATCCAAATCCAAATCCAAATCCAAATCCAAATCCAATCCAATCCAAGTACACCAACCACGAGATGAGATGAGATGAGATGTGATGTGATAGATGGTCACTAGATGAGAAGGATGATGGGTGTTGTAACGCTGCCCTGCCTGCCCTGCCTGCCCTTGATCTACCTTACCGTATGTACTACATACAGTCTATATCCTCTAGTATCTCCGTTTGTACTACATACAGTCTATGTCCTCTAGAGCCTGTCTAAACGGGTATGACCGGCGCAGTATGCAGGATGCGCATGAATGCATGTATGCAGCAATTATTGTATTGTACTATTCTATTCTATTAGCATGAGTCAACTTTAGCCTTAGCCGTCACTTCATCTAATTCAAAGTTAGCCGTCGCTTCATCCAATTCAAAGTTAGCCGTCACTTCATCCAATTCAAAGGAATTGGAACGGGAACGGGAAGGCAAGAGAAAGACAAGAAATGTGACTGGACTGTGAACAGCCTAGAGTCTAGAGTCTAATGGTTCTGTACTCGTATCATACAGCGCGTCGATCTGGCTCCATCTCCCAATCCCAGTGCAGTGCAGTGCAATGCGATGCGATGCCATTGTCTCTTTGTGAATTGTCTAGATCTATATAATATAACAAACATACCACATGACCATCGGGCAACGATCGGACTTTAGACTTCGAACAGTAATGCGTTGACGACCGGACTTAGACTTCGAACGGTCTTGGTCATGGGTTGACGTGTCGACACGGCTCTGCTCTGGTTCTTGATCGATCAGTCATTCTTCATTCCCATCGCCATCAATCAGCGCCATTCAAACCAAACCAAAGCAAACCAACCAACCAACCAATCTATCAATCAATCGGCATCCAACCTCGCGACGGGTGGGGTGTCGTCGACCTGGATGCCGCCTCTCTTCCTCTCATTTACATCGTGGAAAGGCAGTCTCCAGCCGCCCTCGTTGAGAGGACAACTCAGCCACAGGCGCATCAGATGGCGACGCGGCATGCCGGTGTGCGGGGCGTAGTCCTTGTAGGCGGTGCGGGCGTGGAGGATATGGGTGTTTGTGACGAACTGGATGTCGCCGACCTCGAGGACCATGTGCAGCTTGACGCGGTCGGCCACGGCCTCGAGCGTCTCCAGGGCGTGGACCTGGGCCGGCGACAGGGGCGGGATGATGCCCTTGTCGGAGAAGCGGGAGAGTGAGCGGACAAAGTACGGGTCCCATTTGCAATAGACGCGCTGCTCCCTGCTCGGGTCCTCCGGGTCCGGGGTTTCCAGGTAGAAGACGCTGGTGCGGATGTACGGCTCCTCGCCCACCGAGACTTCGCCCTTGCGGTCAAAGTACCAGACCGGCTGGGTCAACAGTTCGGCCACGTCCGGGTATTCCTCCTGCAGGATGTTCCACACGCGGTGCACGCAGGCGACGTCGGACTCGCCGCCCTCGGCGGCGCGCGCGATGCACAGCAGGCCCACCACGTCCGAGTCGTCGACGTGGAAGAACTGGCGCGCGTTGGTGCGGTAGATGCGCACCTTGTCGATCTGCGTGCTGTCCTCGCCCAGGTCCTTCACGTGGCCCAGGATGTGGCCCTTGCCGTTCTGGCTCACCGGGTACCCGATGTATGTGCCCAGCCCCATGTACGCCACCGCGCTCTTCGCGTTGCCCCATTCGGCCACGGGGAAGCCCTTGTACAGGATGAAGCCTTTGCCGTTGATCACTTCGTTGCGCATCGCTCGCAGCGACGGCGCCAGCCCCGGCAGCGGGAAGTTGCTAGGGTTGATCCCCGTCAGCGGCAACCCTTGTTGGATGAACTGGTCTGCCGCCGCCGATAGCTCGGCAATCTCCTCCGGCGAGAACACATGCGTCCATTGTTCTGGGTGGGCTGCGTACTCTTCTGCCGACCACACCGTCGGGCCCGTGATGTGTTTGGGAAACGCGCTGTACGGATACAGTTGGTCGTAGAGCGGAGGGTGCTGGCCCGACGTCTTGAATCCGTCCGGGAAGATGGAGAGGTCGACTGGCTTGCTGCTGGCACTCTTGCTGGCCACGCCGCTGGGGGGAGGGGTCTGGGCCGCTACGTCGACCGCGGTGGGCGCCATCTTGTCAGTTAAGTCTGGATGTTAGATGTGTCAGATGCAAAGAGGTGCGTGCCTCTTGGTGTCTGTTTAGGATGGATGGTGGACTTTGTGTTGCACTTGCTCAATCAACGCTCTTGTTGACGATGTTGCTGGAGGAGGGAAAATTTTCGGCAGCATCTTGAATATTATAAACGACGAGAACTCCTCAATCCTCTAGGCCCCTCGCCGAAGGCCATCTCCGATCCTCAAAAGGCCCGTCAGGATTGCTCAGGGCGAGACTCGACATTCGCTGCGACCAGAGGAGGGGTGGATGTTGATCCAATCGGGTGGGGAGATGGCGTGATCGAGCGTGCTTGGTGTTGGATGCCACCACAACGGACGCCATGCATGATCCCGAGTACGCTCTGCGATACACGCCGATTCACATCCGAGCGGGAAGTGAGCGTGAGCGGGAGTGGGAGTGCTATACGGAGCACAGTATGATCACAACAGTTGTAGGCAATAAGTAGGTAGGTAGGTAGTTGTACAATAATAACAATTGCCGCAGGCTGGCTTGTATACCAGTGGTCTATCGTCTTCTCTCCTCAGGTTGCTGCCACAGTACCAGTCCGTGATGTCAATATTAATGTACAGCTGCACTTTTAATCTACTGGCCTCTCTTCGCCGAATCGTGTCTTCCTCCATCACATCACGCTACACCTGCCGAGACCACATCCGTATCCTGGTGGAGGCACAGACACGCGGGTCATGCCACAGGAACTGACCCTGTATCCATCAGGGCGGGATTGGGAGTAGGAGCCCGACACAGGCAACGGCTTTCCATACCCATCTGTCATCGTGTAGCCATTTCCCAACGTCCCCCTGCTCTCTTTGTCTTTCCTCCCCAAGATCATGCGTGTCTCGTTCGCATCATAGTCCCCTTTCTTGTCGCAATTCGGGCAACTCCCCGCCGGCGCAGGAATGTATTTCGGTTGAAAGAGGCCCGTTCGTGCTCTGGTGAATGCGTGCACAGAATTCTCGCTGAACCCTGCACCCTCGTGGCAGTGCTTGACAATCGTTGCCCACTTGTGACCGCAGGTTTGCGATTTATGAGATTCTACCTGGCACATTATGGTTCAAGGCATAGGTGGGATCAAATGGCGTCAGCAGGGTCGATCTCGTCGGCGACGGTGGTAGCAGTGATCGTCGTCGTTTCGGTCTGGAGTCGTTTGTTTGAATGTGTAAGATCAGGGTTTCGAGCCTGTCGAGGACGTTGTTGAGCGGCGGGACCGTCTCCAATCTCAAGCATAGTTTTCAAGTTGCCGTGTTTGTCGAAGAACCAGAAGATGTTGTGACGAGTGTGGTGACCTTGATGGTAGATGGTCGTTTGGGTTGACACTGTCCATTGAGCATACGGGGGAGCTGCTTGTCACTGGTCGCTTCACTTCCCAGGCAGATGTAGAGAATGACCGCCTTGATGCCAATTCAACTCATGGTTTTTAATCGTCTGCTGTATAATTGTCGATTACTTTTGTTCGCTCATGAGTGTTTAATACCGGCCGTGGCGTCGTCAATCGCCTGTGAAATCGTGCCTTCCTCTTCCTCATCTACACTATCCCGACCCCTTTTCTGAATGGCTTGCATGAGCTCATACAATTGTCCAACCTGCTGGTCGCTCATCTTGTCTAAGAGATCCTTCTCGATTTTTCGGTCTTTCCAATCATCTCCCTCGAGCTGTTGTGCATACTGTTGCCACTCTGTCAAGAACCCGACGATATGAAGCGGGTTCTCGATGTCTCGATGCCGGCGGAATTCCGCTTTGAGGTAGGTATCGCCAAAGATGCGCTCTTCCGCACCGAGCTTTTTGCGGTGGATGCGCAACAGTCGTCGATACAGAGGAATGGGTGGGAGGAGGGCCAGAGTAGGAGCGCGCTGTCCAGGCCGAAACGGCTGGGTCACCGGGGCCGCGAGGAGACGTAAGCTCGAACGCATCGCTGCTGGGGGCGTCTCGAACAGTCAGTCAAGTATCAGATATTGTAATTAGTTGAGAACAACCGAATCGTTATGCCGCTGAATTCGTCCTGCGAGCTTCCTGTCGTGCCGAGGTTCAGCCGGTCCACGAAGGTCTTGTCACAAGGCTACACCCCTAAAGTGGTTCTCCGTGAAGAAGACACACACTGAACCGAAAGGAACTCATCAATTGATTCGCTTGTCTATCTAGAGCAATTCCATCCGTACTCCGTACAGGCAAGCTGCGTCTGATCTTGCCGTGTCTTCACACCAGGTGACGTCGAACACGATCTTCACAAACCCTTGCACCGTTGCCTTTTGAAACAACCCACCCTACATATCGGCGTCTAGCCTGCATTGAGAGGCACCCGAAACAGAAAAAGATCGAACAAGGAAGCTCACGAGGGGTATCTGCTGTCGTCCGTCTCTCATAAAATGCAGTTCTTGATACTGTACAGATGATGCTCAGAAAAGTCGTAAGGTCATATAATACATCAGCCGGCATTTGAGGCACAAGCATGGATGCTCTTGTCTAGTCGCTGCAGTCCATCTCGGAGTAGTCTGTGTCTTCAAATGGGCCGTATTCTTCGCGCAACTCCTCCGGATCGGCAAACTCGCTGTCCTCCAGTGGATGATATTCATCCTCTTCGTCGTATCCATCCGTGACATACAGGTCGAGAGCAGCCGCCAGACTGAAATGTGCATAATCGAGAATGTAAGCTTCAGCGTCGATCAAATGCATAGGGTACATCTGTTCCGAATCCTCCAGGAGTCCATGTGCCGAGAACTCGATGAGGGTCAAGTTTTTTCGCATATGCATGGTGGTAGTCGGCCATCGTCCGCCCTCGAGAGTAATGAAGCCTAGTCGGAGCTTTTCAAGGGCTGGCTGGCGTGTCAACATGTCAAGGAGATAGCTCTCACTGGTCGACATGCAGTCGAGGTCTAAGGTTGTGAGATTAGGCCAGGCATGATCACCCAAAATCTGCTGCATGTTTGTACAGGCTCCGTAGAAACCGAAATCGTCAAAGTTGATGGTCAGTTCTTCCAGGTCCTTGGCAGCTGCAAGCGCGTCTTGAAGATGTCCTTTGCTCAAGTCTCCATAGCAGCGATCGGCTGTCAGGGCGTCCAGACCGTGACGGTCGTCTTTCTCCAGTCGAAAGTTGAGGTCGATGACTTTCAGGTTCTGGAATGCCTGGCAGATCAAGTCTCCGGGCATAAAGCCAGCGAAGAACTTGGGGCTGACGACGTGCACTTCCAAAGAGTGTAGAGCAGTGAGAGGTCGGCCCTGCGGGAAAAGGAGGTGTTTGAGCTGTTCTTTCGTGTATTTGGTGTCATGTTCAATTGGCATGGCACAATCGACGGCAAACATTTCCAGGAATCGTTGGGAGAGTACGTGCTTACACCTGCCCACCGTGGACAAGACCACCTTGCTCAATTTTGGGAAGCAAGGAATACTCGAGGATATGAGTTCATCGTAGGCAGTTGACTTGAGCACTTTCTGCTGCTGGTCATAGAACGTGCGGTATCGGTCATATTTGAGCGTGATGTCGTGGTTGAATTTGATCAAATTCCGCTCATACAGTCTCTTCTCTCGAGCGGTAGCATTTTTCTCAGGAGGTTGTGGTCTTTCATACTTGTGATGTTCAAGCTCGTAATGTGCCGAGTAGGTGTGGACGCAACCGACATTTGCCAGAATGTTGCCCTCGAAGACGATGGTGTCGACGTACTTGCTGAAGATATCATGGTTGGCGATGGTGTTGAGACGTTCGAGCGACTCTTGACTGCAATGGAAACGCACTCTCTTGACCAACGCCTCGGCGCCAACCGCGGCCAGACGTTTGCTGACCAGGCGAATGTTTGCAACGCTCTTGAAGTTCAGGCGGTTGAAGATTTTGAGGAGCACCTCATCCGGGCAACTGTCCATCATGATGCTGTGTACCGGTCGGCAATCGAGGTTACACGGGGAGAAGGAGGAGGAGGTGGCGGTGGTGTGATTTCTGTGAAGCTGGTAGATGAGGGGCAGATGACCAGCGCAGGCAGCTCAATGCTGCCGGGGTATTTCGAGGTAATATAACTAGTGAGCCTGAGGCCCCCAGGCCAGAGCACGGTGAAGGGAACTGGAGCGGCTCAAGCCATGCAAAAACAGTTGAGGCAGAAGGACGGTAGGTGGTTGCGAAGCAAGTAATTGAGGTTGTTCAAGGTGGATTCTGCCCGCGGGAAAATAATATATCAGGCAGCGGTGCAGGGCTACCAAGATAGAAAATCCAGGCACAAAGGCAGCTTCGTTCGGGACCAAGCAGCGCAGCACAAAGCAAGCAAAGCGGGTGGAGAGAAAGAGCACAGCGAAACGGCAAGTCACGCGTCGTATGTATAGTAGGTGGTGGCACAGACAAAGCGCAGGGCTTAGGAGGCCTTTGACCGCTGAGACTCCGGGCAAAGGAAACCCATAATTAGGCCCCAAAGGCCCTTTTGTTTCCAAATGTCAAAGAGTCACAACTATTTGCTTTGTGGTGGCGTGGCCTCAATACTGAGCCGGGTGTGTTTCCATCGGATGGCGACCAGCTATGAATCTCCCAAGGTAGGTGCTTCGTATCATACTCCGTATGTCATCCCTACCTGGCCTTTTGGCATGGGCGACGCATCTGGACAATCGTGGAGCGCGTAAAGTGGTGCCAACCTGGGTCCCCCTCTGGAGAGGCCAACTCTGAAATGGCACTAGTGGCACTAGTGATATTAGTTCCACTAAAGTGACCATCCCTCTGAGACGTACCTCTCCAGAGGACCATCTAGTGGATACTAGCAGCCGTTAACCTGCAAAGCGCCCTGGACTAGCGCCCTTCAGCTCCCGGCCAACCTACCACCAGCCTCCAGCCTCTAACCGCGCAACCATGCATTTGGGCATCTTGAAGCCTGTCCTGCCGAGTACATCTGATGGCACCGCACCAACCCTGACTCCTGCGCTTACGTCTCGAGTCGAGTGACGGTCTCTTCACTGCCCAACCTCAGCCCTGAGTCAACCGCTTGCCATTCCATTTCACTTGTTAATGCCCTCCACCACTCACAGCTGTTGACAGTGACACCTCATGATCAGCTAGTATAGACTCTGCCGGCTCAGGGCCGATGCTCTGAGCCTTCTACCGTTGCCTACCATCGGACTAAGTGCCTCGAACACTATCTCCCAGCCTTTTAAGACGTCGATCGCAGCTGTCTCGGTGTACCTCAATATGGACTCTGGCCTAGAGTGTCAGGGCGAACCCTCAAAGCCGAAGGACGATGAGCCTCATACACTGTTGGCGAAACATCTGAATGGGAAGAAGTCGGAGTGGGATGCCATCACCGCACAGAAACAACCCCTGCGGCTCCTTGATCTGCCAGTCGACATATTGCAGGCAGTCTTGCGAGAGTTGACCCATACAAACGATCTTACGTCGCTCGCCTTGACCCACTCAGCCCTCCATGCGCTCGTAATACCTCATATCTACTCCAGATTCGATATCGTTTGGCCGGATGTGAATGCGACGTTCGAGAACCGAGTAGGAGTCGATGCTCTGACCTATGGGTTGGCAACTTTAGTCATGGCTCAAGATGTGTTTGGGGAGGCTCCATACCAGCAACAGTCGCAGCATCAATGTTCACACTGTGGCCATCATAACCAGTCGGCCCTGCAAGCGTCCAACAAACCTCGCAAGATCCGACGTGGAAACTATTTCGCCCAGTATACTCGGAAGTTCAGTCTAGGGAATGGACCCACCGACTGGGTTCAGGAGTATCTCATCACAAAAGAGGGTGGAAAGATGCTGGGGACTCTCGTGGCGCTTGCAGTTGGTAGGATGCGAAATCTCGAAGCCTTCATTTGGGACATGCCTACCGGGGTGCTTCGAGATGTTTGGCTCGCGTTGGCCTCTCTGGGGAACCGTGACGACGGACAAGAATGTCGCCTCGACCGGGTATGGGTACGATGGCACGATAATCAAGACCAAGGACCGCTCGCTTCACCGCCTCCACCTGGTACCGTGCTTGGTCCGCAGGCTCCGAACCTACCCTCTATCCTTGCCGGCTCTGCAAATTCTCTGTTCCAGATTCCGCCATATCCCAGGGTCGAGTTCCCGACATTCTCGATCCTACCACCTCTGAGGAGTCTGAGCGTGCTCGATATCGACGAGTTGCCCTACGCCGAAGAGATGAGTGTATTGATTGAGAGGTCTCTCGGAAAGCTGAGAGAACTGAGAATCGGGATGGCTACGCATGCGCAATTTGACATTTGGGCTCGACCCGCGGAGGACAGAGCTCCCGTTCTCCCTCCACTCATGCATGGATTAGGCGATCAGTCCCCTCGCCCTGGAGGCATCCTGGGTATTCTGGTCCACCGATTCTGTGACCCCTTTACACATCAGAAGAGCGGCCCATCCTCGAATGTCGAGACTGGGAAGGTTGAGCCCGACGACAATTTCGGAACAGTGCAGCCCTCGAATCAAGAGAAGGCAGATGAGCTTGGGACCCCAGTTAGCCCTTCGGATATCAATCAACTGGGGGTTTTGTTGTCTGCCCACAATATCCAAGACTTGGATGATCCAGAGCTGGCACCGGATGCTCCGACCAAGCGAAATGTCCCCTATAGTCAGCCACAAATTACCAATAGCACAAATTATGCTCCAAGTGGTGGGGGTCCATTCCAGCTCTCGGGCAGAGGTAAGCATGGGGAGCGAAAGCTAGAACTGGAGGTTCTTGAGATCGAACGCGTCTATCTGTCAATCACGGTGTTATCCAATGCGATTGACTGGTCACGACTGACTACTCTCACCCTGCTGGGCTGTCGAAATCACGAACAACTGTGGAGAGCGCTCCGAAAACAGTTCACCCCAACCAGTCGGAGAAGAGTGTCATCCGCATCGTTCAGAGTTTCGTCCAACGGCCTTGGGATTCCGAACACGATGCAACGGCCGCCGATTAACAACGCCAACTCTCCAGGCTCTACTTCAGCTTTCTCGGATTATCCGTTGAAGTTGAGACGGTTGCATACCGATATGGTATCTCCCTCACTGATTGCATTCATCAGAGACACGCTGGCCCCGGATAGTCTAGAATGGCTTTTCTTCCAAGAGAACACTGCGTACAAGTCCCCAGTGACGATGGACATGATTTACAAGAGCGTCATTCGACGGCATCGCTCGAGCTTGACCAAATTACTCATCGACAGCACAATCAAGATAGATGATCCAGATCCTGCGGAGACCAACTGGCAACGGTGGTTGTTCAGCCGGGAACTCCTCACCTGCATTACCAGCGGCAAGATGAAGCTGCGTGAATTGAGCTTGTCGGTTGAGTACAAGGACTGGCATTATTTCCTGCGACGCTTGCCGAACGCCACCTCTTTACGGTCGTTGCACATCGCTCACATTTCAGACCATGTCAATGTCACCGTTCATTCTCGCGATGCAGCCTTGCAGGTACTTGACATTGTTGCCCTCAAGCCAGAACTTGAACTGTGCTATCTGGCCGTGCAGGGCCAGTGTTTTGAGATCTTGGAATTTGCGAATTCACGCAAGAGCTGGGGAAGGATCTCTACGGGATTAACTGGCCTGAACCATGCTCCGGAAGATGTCGACACAGACCAAGACGGACCGACTGGAGGACTCCTCGCGCACGCCATGCACCACCATCATCACCACCACCACCACCTTCCACATAGCCATGCTCATCATGCATCTCAGAGTAACGAACAAGGCGACGGCGACATGAATGATGACAGTGACTTCGAAGCGGTCTCGGACACTGGCGATGAGATCAGCGAGGAAGAGACTGAACAAGGCGCAAGTCCCAACGGGCCCAAACGCACCTGGCGTCTTCGGGAGATTTTGTTCTATGATGACAAGATATCGATTTTCAAGGCAAGGCATGGACGGTTATAAGGGATTTGAGAACGGAGGAATTGGAGCCAGGGGTTCAATTGAGAGCTACAAGGGGGTGAGAGTTACAAGGGGGTCTTGTAAAGGTCCCAAACAACGAGACTACTAGCCAAAATCCACGGCTGTGCGAAGATGGAGCTCATAGCTCGTATTTCGACCCGAAGACGGCATGATCTTCTCCAACGGTTTGGGGGATGGCATTCAATGCTTTTGTTCCATCGAGTCAAGTCAGGTATCTCAAGTGTGCAGTCTTCTTTTGAGCCTCGGGAGCTGCATGTAATCGAACAATGGCCATCAGCAGTGGCATGGTTGAATATGGAAATGGTCATGGCTATGGAAACGGAATGGGTCTAAGGTCGCGCAACAGGAAACAACTGCAGGGGAGTAACGAACTTGAAGTTTATATAGCGTCAATCAGTCAGTCAGTCAATCGATTAGTCAATCAGTCGGGATCCAAGTCAGCTCGTGTAAGGGAGGCGGAGGGGGAGGCGGAGGCAGGGAGCACAATGGTCCTAGTCTCTCATCTCAGCATCCCAGTTCTGCTTTACCAGTTGGCGGTCAGTGTCTTGTTGAATTTATTCGCGGTCCGGCGTCTTTCTTTTCTGTTCTGGTTCTGGTTCTGTTTTTCTTGTCTTGTGGTGTTGTGGTGTTGTCCTCTTTCCAGGTACCAAGCCATACATACACAAGTATTTATTTACCTTTACCTACCCCTCTTCCCCAGGATAGGATCGCGGTACGTGGAATACGGCCACGGCCACGGCCACGGCCACGGCCACGGCTATCAAGGACGCCTTGCAGTAAATGGTGGACATGATTCGATCGAGCGATACAATACTGTACCTATGTATATATCTATGTACCTACCTACCTACTTGTGGAGTAAGCTACCTAAAGCAAGGTAAGGAAGGTTGATGGAGTACCTAGGTATGTGCCTGTATCTGTCTCTATGTGTATCTGTGTGTGTGTTTGTGTCTGTGTCCATGTCAGCCTCGTCGTTTCCGCCTCGCCCTCACCCCCGCCCTCGCCCCCGGCCCCCTAACAAACTCCAAACTCCAGTCTCCAGTCTCAAATCTACTTTAGGAAGGCGGAACCTACCTACCTACCTAAAGCCTAGCACAGCTAATAGCTAACAATTAAATTACTGCCAGTACTCTGTACTCCGTACTCCGTACAGGAATCACTGGGACCGGTATCGGTATCCTTACCTACCTACCTAAGGCCACACTCACTCACTACCTGAACCCTAGAACTCACTCACTACAGAGCACCAGCACTCTAGAGTCTGCTACTCGTATCATAACAAGCTGCTCCCTGCTCCCTGCTTAGTTGCTCAGCCTACCACCTACAAGCTGCTCAGTAGTCCGTAGTCCGTAGTCCGTAGTCCGCGCTACTAACTAGGTAAAGGCAAGGCATACATGCAGGTACGAGTACGGACGGTACCATTTGCTTTTGCTGTCATAAGGGAAGGGATCTAACGCGGCATGGGAGATGGGGATGGGGCGAGGCGAAGCAAGGCAAAGGCATCGCATCGCATCGCATCGAATCTTGCTTATTACGTATTAACTAGAACGAGGATAACTTAAGCGTGGCAAGCGTGGCGTGGCGTACCGGGCGTGGCGGCGAAATCAGTCCATATCCAGCAAATGGTCGAATGGTCAAACCTACTCCCTAAGGTAGGGGAAGCCGCCTTACCAAGACAATACGACGTACGGATACTCCCTACCTTAGATACTCCGTAATGTAATGTGGCATTCAACTTACAACTTACCTACTAGGTAGTAGTCGCAGGTGGCCAACTCATCAGAGAGCGGCAAAACCTGTATACTCCGTACGGTGTACGTAGTCTGACTACCGACCACCTTTCGCTACAAGACCCAAGGCCCCTAGCCAAATGGCTTTGCCGCTCGGAAATAAAGCGTGTACCCCGTATGCCTTGTACTTCTGTAGACCCTCGGCCTTAACATCGTTATTGGGGCTCACGGTCATTGCTCTCGTACAAGGCAATAGAACCTTCGCCACTGCTGAGCTTGGTCTCGTCCATTTCGCCGTCAGCATGGTCAGCCTGCTTCTGCTCGACCAATCCGGCCGTCAGTACACCCTTTGACCGACTTATTCCGGCTCACACCCTCATAAGAAATCATCATGGCTTCCTCGTCTTTCTACACTCGGTTCGAGTCTTCGGCGTCCGACTTCCCCTTACACTTGCCACCCGTCATATGCCCATTCCGCGCTGTCGTCCGTGTGAATTCCGTGCCACAGTGTGGGCATACCGCCTTCATCGCGCTCCCACTCTTTTCTCTCTGGTGCCTTAACAAGTTTGAGAACGTACTAAATTGTCTCCCGTTACAGCCGTGGTCCCAGCATTGCGGCTTGGGCCGTGATTGCTTGATCTCAATCTCCGGTAACGAAGACTCCAACGTCACAGTGACTGGAAGGAACGGATGCATGCCCAATCCCGCCGAGGACAATGCTTGCTGGTCAGTCTGGGGAGGTCCAGTCACATAAGGCGCGTTGGGCGGATCTGGCGGCCGCCGCTGAGGTAGACTCATTCTCGGACCATGCGGTGAAGTGTGTGCAACCGGGTAGAAGGCTTGCAGACCTCCGTCATTCTCTTGCTGAATCGAGGTCGCCGCCTCCTGCTCTACCATGGATGGCGGAACCGCTGAGGCAAAAACGTCATCTGCATGCCCATAATTGGTCACGGGTGGTGACATGCTGTATGGAGGCTGGTCGTATATGTGCGGAAGGTTCGAGCCACTCTGCGAGGGCACCGTAGCCATCGATGGCAGCGACTGTGATTGCTGTAATTGGTTCTGCTCTGCGTAGGCTAAGAGCATCTCACTTCGACTGTGCCCGGGACTGCGCCCTCGCGTCGCGCCCGGATTGTAATGTTGAATAGGCGTTCGATCCCGACTTGCGGCCGAACCCAGATTCGCCCGTGGTGAATATGATGACCGCCTTTGAAAAGATGTGTCAGAGTGGGCTGTCGGAGGGGACACCATCAGCATAGCTTGCTGGGAGTTGGATCCGTAGGAGGGATGCCCGGTTTGAAGGCTATTGAAACCTACTCCAGAGTCAGTGCAAAAATTCCAGAATCTTGTACAACCGTCCTTACTGGGGAAGACATCACTTCCGTAGGACATCTGGGTCGGAACAAACTCCGGTGCCCGCGTAGGGAGGACATGAGCAGCCATCCTTGAGTTCTTGTTAGCCATTCAGCCGTTGAAACGCTACGCAAACCACGAACCGTTGTGGTTGAAATGTAAATGGAGGTGCATTCGGTGCTTGTAGTTGAATTGAAAGTGGTTGATGTTGAGCCTGAAGCCAGGAATACTGGTGACCAGAGAAAGGCAGATCTTCTGTGTGTCCGCCCTCTGTCTGCTGCAACCGCCATATATTGTGGTCACGGATTCGTGATACAGGTTGCTCATGCCAACCGTGATATGATACCGCGCGAGTGTCTGGCTCACTCGTTGCGCTCGAGATCCACCCGCCTCTATATCCCACAGCCTGGGCTTGGTTTGATGAGCGCTCCGAACCGGAGACCGAGGCCGGCAAGCTGCGAGGCGTCAATTGGGACGGCCTTTGGTGCGCTATATTGACTGACGGTATGACCGAGCTTGCATGCGCAAGCTCGACAGGAACTCTGGGCTTGTTGTTTCTCGAACAGAACCTAACGTTCTGTCGTCTGGCGTGTCAGGGTGCGAAAATGCCGGGGTACAAAGGTTCCCCTCGTTAACAGTCGGGGCCAGCTCCGATTAATAGTATCGTGAGTTGGTGCTGCTTTTTTTAAGGCTCGCTTGCTCCGTTTGTATGCTGATGGAAGCAAACTCGCTGTGATGGCAAGATTCAATAATTGGTCGGCAGCGCCACTCAAAAGAATAGGTGAGCCAAGGCTCGTTGATCGCATAGACGGCGTTGCTGATGGCCGGGCTGGTTCAGATGGGGAATGCTGATGGCATAAGCCGGGGCTGTTCTCCACGGGTAAACTTCTTTCGACTGTGGCGGGTAACATCGGCGTCGCTCTACAGCCTTTGCATGCTTTTGTTTAGTTAGAAAGGTCCGTCAATCTGCTCTGAGGGGCTCGGTGACCTCTAGGGGGAGATAAACGTATGGCACCTATATGGTACAAGTAGATGTGGCTTGTAACGCTATAGTCGAGCAGTGAGGCAAGAAGATTGATCCAATTGAAGACGACTGTGGTGATTCAATCAAGGACTGTCTGAATAGCAAGCGCTGGGCGGTTCTTGACGTTCAAGGTAATGGTGAGTACCAATCGCGGTACCTTGTGACGGTATTGAGAAGAAAGTCGATTAGCAACAGCTCAAGCGAAGTCTGACACAAGCTCATGGGTTCCAGGGGCCAAGGATCCATGAGAAAGCTGGCTCCAGGGGACTGGAAGCAAATGATGAGCGTTGCATTGAGGGCCAAGAACGTGATGAAAGAGAGAGAGCGTGAGCGTGAGCGTCAGCCTGAGCCTGACGAACTGGTTCGACGGAACCGTGCTACTGTATGTCCGTTGCCTGCATAGCCCGCCTCCACTCAGTATCCGTGGATAGCGGAGTTTGGCCTCAGCCACAGTCAGCACTGGGGACTTACATAACCCATCATCGGTGGGGCCATGGTGTGAAACATCACAAAAGACCAGTCTTCGCATCGGGAAGGTCATTGCCGTGGCCGTGGGCGTGTACAGAGTATGATTCGGGGACCTGAAGTAGCCGGCTCTCGGATCCCTAGCGGTGACACGGTGCTTGCGAAGGCCGGCGTACGGCGTCAGAGGACCAATGCCCAAGATAGTTGCAATGGACAAGTGGGATAGTAAGCAGGGCGCGATTGTGGTGGCCACCACAGCCTGGTGGGATGATATGGAGACCGGACGGCTAAAAGCAGCCTGGCTGACTGCAGCACAACACCGTCACCATCACCGCCCCCAACTCCTCTCAGCCTCGAGCCCGACGATATTGCCCAATAGCACAAGCGCGGTTTCCCCGTCTTATTCACGGCTACTGACGGCCTGGTGAGGACAAAGACACTGTCGCTGTTGATGTCGCTGTCGCTGTTCGAGCATTTCCCATTTCTGTTCCGCGTAAAAAGAGGTGGAATGGTAACCACATCTGCCAGTACGGAGAGTAGTGATGGCCATGAGGTGGGTTATCCGCAAAGGCGACGGCAGCAGTTCCACAGACCGACTTACATTTCTGGCCTGATGGAGACACGGAGGGTCTGGGAAAGTAACACGCTTACTGGTGGAAGATGACGGGAGGTCCAAGTGAGGGTCGAGAGAAAGAAAGCAACAATCTCGCCCCCAACAAGTGGAAGTTTCTGCCCAGCAGTGGGAGACGGCGCAGGCACAGGCGCCCAGCCACGTGATATGATTGGCGAGCCTAGCATCAGCCGTGGTGGCACCTCAAGTCTAGCAATACAATACGATACCGTCACCCTTTTTGCCTTCTAGAATAACGTAGGTATATATTCCAGGTTAGTACCTAAGGTAGGTCTGGTAGTAGGTATACTCCGTACAGCACTTCGTACAAAGGTAGTAATGTTACAGGCAACAGTACCTGAGCTACCTACCTAAACCTAAGGTACCTTTTCTTCCCTCCAAGCTTGAGACACACGGTAGCGAGCGTCAACTTCTGGGCACTGGGGTGAGCTATTGGTTTTTGTAGACTTTGCCAATGGAGCGAAGGGTATGATCACCTTCACTTGTCGGTAGGGTGTGCCGAGGCTGCTGGGGTATTGAGGGGGAGGCCACAGCAGCCTTGAAAGTGAAAGCAATATGTGGTTTGGCCATTTTGGTGGCTGGAACAGCATTGTATTGGACAGTCGTCACCCAGCCGCAGTTATACCCGGCGCTGACCTTTCATCTATCATATAACAGCTTCGAGCCTCGAGGGCGTAGGCCCAGACAACAGGGGTTCTCAGTGGCAAAACAGGTTGCTGCAGTGGTTCGTTCGCAAATATGGTTGATTTCCACGACTGTTGTCTCCCGCTAATGTGGTGCTCCGCTTCATTTGTGTCTGTTTAAGCAAGGATTATTTTTGAATGACCATAACCACACATCTCAGGCACGATGGCATAGGGTGCCACTAGATCATTGTGCCATCTGGTCCGTTCCATGAGGGCGTCGGATTTCTCGATAAACGCACAGGCACCCACCGTTGTGTCACTTGAAGCTGGAAGGTTGTAGTGTCGAAATCAGGGTCTCGATTCAAACCAAGTGACTGCTCACTATCAGTGACCTGAGAAGGTCGGAAAAGCGTTAACGGTACGTCCCGAAGCCTAGAAGATCTGGCTTCCCCGGTAGTGGTAGTGGTAGTGGTGGTACCAAATCAAAGTGGGCAACACAGTTCCCGCTGGGACGAGGGGCGACATCGGCCGCCTGGAGGAGAGCGTTGACGCGTTGGACCGGAGACGTACGGTGAGGAGGACTCACTGCAGCACTATTAGCTCGTTCATGTTCAAGGTGTCGAAGATGGTTCGAGCAGGACGCATGAGCGAGACCATCGGATGGTTTGTGTGGTTGGCGGCTGACTAAAGCCAGAAATCTGCAATCCAGGGTGCGAGCACATGACTTGCGGGCGGGCTGATGACGATGTCGGCTGCAGGTGGAAGTTCGGCGATCTGCCAGTCACTCGCTCGCTCTGTTGTTTTCTCCCTCCATGCCACGTCTGCCTTTTCATCCCCATACACACACTCGAAGCAGACACCTGTCCTTCACAGAGGCCGTCGCATGCCCGCTTTTACGTCGCAGAGGACAGGCGCCCTGCTTTGGATCTATTAAAGCTTTACTTGAACCCCCTCCAGGAGGCGGGGCATCTCTATCGCAAGACCGCGGCCTTGCCCTTCAACTATCTGCCTCTACAACCATCTCACACCTTTTATGAATAGCACAGCTGCAAGATGGCCTCGTTCCTGCAAGAGCTTTGGGAGTCCATCTTCACCCCTGGCCCGACGCCCACGCTCCTGGTCGCCACGAATGCCTCATTTGCCGCCCTTCAATTCCTCCTCTTGATTCTCCTCATTGCGACATACTCCATCCACTTCCTCGTGTTGTCAGCTCTGTGCAGCGGGCTTTGGTACGCCATCAACTGGTTTGCCGCCGAAATTGCGAGAGATCAGCAAGTCCAAAAGGCGAAGGATGAGAAGGAGAAGAGCCCTGAGCCGGAGAACGCGAGTGACACCGATACTGAGACGGAAACTCCCGGGCCAGAATCCACTACAGCAACAACCACATCCTCTGCACCTGTACCTGGCCAGAGACACGAGACGCCCAAGCAGACACCCCCGACCCTGCTTGAGCCAAGTACGGCGGATAGTGTCGAAGCGCTTAGGCGTCGGCGCAGCTTAGGCGAAAGCTCGGGGTACATCAGCACCGACAGTGAGTGGGAGAAGGTCTCTGAGGGGGAAGAGAAAGGCAAGTAAAAGGGTATTGTCGGTACCTCTGCACAGGACCTACGAAAGCGAGAGCCACACTTAAAGGTGGAGCTATGATGGACTTGAGACAGGAAATCCGAGATAGCACTATTCTCCCAGCACACACGCCGTCATGAATATCAGCGCAACAATATGGTAGTTGCGTGGAAGCGGTCGGATCATGTCTTTTTTCGTTTGAGCGAACTCATATATACCCAAGATACCCAATTCAATCGAATGGAATGCAGACCCATTGAAGTGCCAACGCCTCTAACGCGCGTAGTGCCTGTCCGAAGAGTGTCGGCCGAGGTGAAATAGGTCAATACCTGTGTTTGACATGGAGACGGGAAAAATGGTCAAAATGGCAAAGGAGCAGGATCAGATGCCGAGAGGGACGCGTTGCAGCCAACCTGAGGGTGACTAACTACTGTACTTGTAGCCGTACGTTGTACATACAAAGAGTAGGCCTAACACTACCGAGCAGCACTAAAGCCAAGCAAGTCCTCCTTACTCTTGTGCCACCACGAGCGTGTGTGACTCGACGACACTGCAACATATGAGTCGAACCACCACCGTGCCACCAGCTCTGTCCCCGATCGCAGCACCTACCATGACTGTTGTCTTCGTCTACACAACGAGGCCATAAGTCACTTTCTTGCGCATCGCGACACCTCCATCTCAACCATAGCCCGCAACGATGTGTCTTCGCTTGTCTCAACTCCTCTACTATTCTCATACCGTCACTCGCTCTTTACCTCTGTTGTTACTGCGTGCGTCCTTACGCAGATACGTGACATGAAAATCGTGAAAGAGTAGGATATACGCCTCTTTCTGGTAACACAATGGCCTCCATCTTCACCTATCAAGATGAGCCTCCTCGAATACATTCACCATGGGCTACTCCGGGTAGTTCCACTCCCCAACTACTACATCTGACCGAAACCCCTCTTCACGCAGGACAGTGTCAACCCATCGGGCTCACAAAGCTAGAACCCGAGAACCAGGAAGGCCCCACAGAGTACAAACTTCATTTGCTTCTTCGCCCTAGGCGTCGATTTGTCTTGACTTCCACGACGACTTTGGTTCCTCATCCTCAGCACTACACTTCACAGTCCATCTCCGCAGAGCATCGCTCCTCTAATGACTCGGCCGTCTATGCGCAGCCATCTACCCATGCTCGTCAGACCAGACTACAACAACTGACGACGCAGCTGCTTTGGAGACTGCAACAATCATCGCCGTTTCACTCCTCGTCAAATGCAGAGCTAGTTCTCCCAGTGCTTCCCGAAGCAACACCAAGTTTGGGTGCTCCAGAGCGTCCGCAAAAGCTGTTGCCTGGACTCGAGGAGAGTCAAGGGGCTCTTTATGAGATCGGCGTGGCTGATGACGGGACACTCGTCGGCCTGGTTGAGGATGAGCTGATAGAAAGTCTAACCAACCTTAGCGCCATGGCTGCAAGTCTGGGCTGCACTACCAGCATCATGCGAAAAGTCGCAGTGGGCTCATGTCAGTGGGCTGAGGACGACGATGACGCGAGCAGGGACCATTTGCGGACGGACAAGCTTTGGGTCGCTGAAGTTCTAGTCTACCCAGACTCAAGGGACACCGCCAACGTGGACATGCCCAAGATAACTCCCCAGCAGTCTTCCGGTCTGTTTGGACCCGAAGACGCACCTGTCTCCGAGACATCTTCTACAGAGCAACTCCGAGTCACCTTGATAGGAGCAACTGCAGCAGGCAAGTCTTCACTTCTAGGGACACTCTCGACATCTACTCTGGATAACGGCCGCGGGAAGAGTCGTTTGTCCTCGCTAAAGCATCGACATGAGCTTGCTTCTGGTGTCACCAGCTCAGTCGCCCAAGAGATTATTGGCTATCTACATGAAGGGAGTACCTTGCGGCCGGTTGTCAACTATGCCTCGGGCAATGTCTCATCCTGGATAGACATCCACAATCTCGCAGACCGCCTAGTGTTTCTCTCCGATTCACCTGGACTTCCTCGATTCGCGAAATCAACACTTCGAAGCCTGATATCTTGGAAGCCATCTTGGACTGTCCTATGTGTTCCGGCAGATGATTGTGACCAGAATGCAGGTCGCCGTAGAGCTTCAAGCCCGATGGCTGAGCTTCTTCCCGAGGCTGGTTCCCTAGGGAATACGGATCTTTCGCTCTCTTACCTTGACCTGTGTCTAAGACTGGGGTTGCCGGTGATCACTGCCATCACAAAAATGGATCTGGCCAACAAGACCGGACTTCGACTGGTTCTAGCAAAGCTTCTTTCCGCTCTCAAGGCGGCCGGACGAAAGCCTGTAATGCTCAACACTTCCCGTGGTCCAACCCTGATGCCAGACGCTGCCGGCGTTCTTTCGGAGCTTCAAACCATTAATGTTGATGACCAGACGGAGGCTGATAGGGTCGTGGCTGCAATGCAGAGCAACGATGGTCACACAGTAGTTCCCATTCTGATGACCAGCGCTGTCACGGGATTGGGGATAAGTAAGTTGCATGCTTTGCTTCGATCCGCTCCGACTATCAGGACACCCGGACCGGGGAGACTGAACCCTGCGCATTCTCCTCTATTCCATGTCGACGAAGTTTTCAGCATTCCCCTTTCACGCGTCTACTCCACAGATCCTGAGGACCGAATCTCGAAACAAGGAGTGGTTCTGTGTGGATATGTCTCTCGAGGCACGCTCTCCATCGGGAGTATTCTGTATCTTGGACCATTGGTCATCGACTCGGATTCGTCGCCAGGTCAGGCGCCTCGACCGACTGTCACGTCAAAGTCTTATGGGGCCGATGTGTCTCACCCCGCGCGGATCTTGACTTCCTTTGCACGGTCATATCAAGCCGACACCTCCAGGTCTTCGACATCTGGACGGAAACCGTCCACGACAATGTTTCTGCCTGTACGCATTGTGTCACTGCGCAATCTCAGGCTTCCGGTTGTACGCATGCAGCAAGGAGAAACTGGCACCATTGGGGTTGAACCTGTCAACATCCAGACGGAGACGAGGGCACTTGAAAGAGCCCGGAAAGGGATGGTGCTTGTGGGAGACACGGACGAGACTAGCCTCACAGCTTACCATTCGTTCTCAGCATCATTCCCCTCGTCTGACTTTGCTCGAACAGGCTCGCCGCCATTGATTCTTGGCGGCCATGCTACTGTGTACATCAACAGCATACGTGCCGCTGTCAAGGTCACAGGTGTAGCATTAGACGAAGGAACGGAGGACCGGGCGGCTGCAAGCTCCCACGAGGAGGATGTATTCCGCTTTGATGTCGACGACGAGGGAGATGGCGTGGAAGAAAGCAAGCGAAGGGAGATCAAAATCACCTTCCGCTTCGGCAGCGCAGTTGAGTGGATGGAGACGGGGGATCAGGTCCTTGTGGTCCCCACGTTGGTTGCACCCGGGCCGGTCTCAGGGCCATCGGTGTCGAATATCTCAGGACTAGCTGGATTTGTCGGTAGGGTGTGCGAGGTGTTCTGTTGACGTTGACCGTCTTATCTTCTTAAGAGGCGGCACACTAGAAATAGAGCCAAAACCAGTGCACAGTACACACAATCGATGCAGATAACATATGGTGATGTTTTTTTGTACGGCATGTTACAGCCGCCAGGAAGTTATATAAGGTATGTGGGAAGTGAAATAAGGTATATATATCTACTTATGGAGTATTGTGGTCAGATTCAATCAGAGCTTCGGCTGTGCAGAGGCCAAGGCTCCGGCGTTTGGGCCCAGGTAGATCCTTCTATCCAAATCGACTTCTCCGGCCCAGTCTGGGTCTATCACGCTGTCTTCCTGTACGCTGTCCGACGGCAAGGCGATGGAGCGAACCCACCTCCTGGCTATGGCGGTGGCGACGGCATCTTGGTCCACCGAGGCATCGAACATGAGGAGACAGGCGCAAGCAATGGCCTCGATGTGCTCGAGGACCTCCCTGCCCCGCCGCTGCAGCTGGTCGGCGCTCAATCGGCGGACCAAATGCCTCAAGGCGTGATAGCGGTTGCGCACAATGTCGGTTTCGCTGGCGAAGGACGGGTTGACGGCGGCGAGGACGTGGCGCGACCAAGCGCCGAAGACACGGTCAAGGACGTCGGTCTTGGTCTTGGGGTTCTTGATGACCCTCAAGAGATCCTCGGCCATGACGCTGGTGGTGCCCTCCCAGATGGTGCCGACCACGCTGTCACGGAACAGGCGGGCGATGTTGAGGACGCCTCCGTCGTCGTTGTTCTCGCAGTAGCCGACGCCGCCGAGCGACTCCATGCAGGCGCGCAGGCCCGAGACGCTGTTCAGCGTCACCTGGGCCTTCATGACGGGGGTGAGGATGCGCAGCAGCGTGTCGACGGCGGCTTTGTCGCGCGGGATGAGGGCCGCAGCTCGCGTGCCCGTCGTGGCCGCGTCGTGGCCCTGCTCGCTGGCCCCGAGCAATGCGGCGCCAAGGAACACCAGGTGCGTGTTGGCGCGGTACTTGACGCTCTCGCCGGCCATCCAGGCCAGATGCTGCGCGTTGTCACGGAGCAGTTGGCCGCCGCGCACTCGGCGCACCTGCGTGTATGCGCGGCTCACGGCCAGCCCGCGTGCCAGGTACCCGGCGCCTGCACTGGCCGTATACAGCCGCGTGATGTTGAGGACTGCGCTGATTTCCTTGACGCCTTGGCCTTCGCTGCCGATGAGAAACGCCCGCATGCCTTTCAACTCGAGCTCGGCCGTGGGCAAGCCTTTGGTCCCAAGTTTCGATTTCAAGCGTTGCAGCCGCACCCCGTTCATCTCGCTTGGCTGTGGGTGAGACGACTCTGACGATGAAGTCTCGGTCGTAAGTGCTGCAGAGGCACCGGCGGTGCGTGAAGAGCGGCCTACCCGTCGGCGGAGAGGGGCATAGAATGCACTGAGGCCTTTACTTGTCTGCGCCAGGAGGACGGCCATGTCGGCATCGGTGGCTGATGAGAACCATTTGAACCCGTCGATGAGCCAGGGTCCGAGTGGGAGGCCATGGGCGTCTTGGTCCCGACCGTCAGCAACGTCACTTTGGATCTCTTGGGCCGTCATTCGACGGGCAACGGTCTCAGTGCCGCGCACATCGCTGCCGCCCGTCCGCTCGGTCATCCATTGTCCGCTGGTCCATGCGTATGCCGGGTCGAGAGACACGAGCCGTTTATAGGACTCGAGGAACACTGCTCCCCGGCCTGGCTGGTCCGCGTCCGGATCGTCGAGGTGGCGGCGGAGAAGCACGGCCGCTCCGTCGGTCATGGCCATGGGACATGTGGCCACGGCACACGTCCCGGACCAGAGATGAAGAGTTGCGAATTGGTGCACTCTTCGATTGAAGTTTTGGTGGATGTTGAGATGAGGATACCCGTATCCCACGACGCCGGCACGGGTCTGGATCTGCTTGAGGGCTCGCCATCCCTCACTGGTGCGGAGAGGGTCTCTTTTGTTCACTTCGCCAAAGGTCGTTAAAGGGTGGAGGGTTGGCTGGTCTGTGTCACAGTCCACGGTGTATTCAAGGGTCGAGGGGTGGAGGACCAGGCGCGAGAAGTCATGCAGAGGCTCGGAGATCTCGGCGGGGATCGGATCAGGAAGATACAAAGACAGGATGCGAGGAAGGACAGTGTCATCCGAGGTGTCGTGGCGAGAGGCTGAGGCTGTATTCGACGCAGGCCTGGAGTATTGTGGTGGAACAATAGGTAGGGCCTGGAAGAAGCCCGTGGTGGAGGACGACGGTTTCCGCAGTTCCATGGCGCAGGGAGGGACAAACAGGAAGGATCTAGATGTAACGACGCACACAGAGATGGACTCGAGCTCACCAATGTGTTTCTTGGACGGCCGTGAAGTTCAGGGGAACCACAGCATATATGATGAGGATGCCTGCACATTTCCGGGGGCAGACATGGTGGAGTGGTTTGCAGCAGTGGAGTGGTTGATGGAGATGGAGTGGAATTGATTTCATCGACATTGATAGATTGGACCTCGGCTCCCGGCTGGCTGGAGATGCACGTGACCGTAGATCACACGTGACTGTGTTCCCCGAGTCAGAGGCAGGCTCCAATATTGCCGCCACTGACGCGCTCTACTGTGTAAATATATGTTCGGACTACTTACTCTACGTCGAATACCGGGAGGCGAATTTGCATCTCTTTCACACTTGTAGACAGATGATTGACGGCTGGACCTGGTCTGAAGGTTGTAGGGGTGTCCTGGCGCGCCGATGGGCCTAGACAGCGCACAGCAACAATGCCTCTCAACACTCTACGGCTCAACCACCAGAAATCGTCCCATCCCAACGACCGGATCGTGTTCATCAAGCCTCTCCCGCGCCCTCCCTCCGACCAAGCCTCGTACGACCTCGCAGACACATTCCTGCGAGCCATCGCGGCACAATGTCTGCCGATCATGAAGAAGCACTACTTGTCGGTGACGACGCTGGAAGAATACGAACCCAATCGGGAATTCATTGGGCGCAACTTCAACAACGGTGAAATCATCCAGTTGGTTTTGCAGAGCAAGAACGGGGGTTGGGTCCCGTTCAACATGGTGCAGATGGTGATGATGCACGAGCTGGCGCACAACGCGCACATGAACCACGGCAAGGCGTTCTGGCAAACCCGGAACCTGTATGCCGAAGAGGTGAAGGCACTGTGGGCCAAAGGATATACCGGCGAAGGCTTTTGGGGTAGTGGTCGGACTCTCGACGACATGGGGGCCGTTATGGGCAATAACATCTTGAGCAGCGAGGAACTGGAAAGCCTGCCGCTGTGCGGAGGCACGTATCGCAGCCGAAGACGGAAGCGCCCGCGTAAGGGGGCGCCGCAGGCAGAGATGACGTGGAAAGAGAAGCGAGACCGACGGATCGAGAGGAAATTCGGCAAAAACGGCGTGGCGCTCGGTGAAGATGAAGACAAGCGGCTCAGTCTCGAGATCAATCGCAAGGGACCTGTGGGGAACAAGCCGCGCGTTGCCCAGAGTAAGAGGGGAAGAGAGCTCCGAGCTGCAGCAGCATTGGCGAGATTCGAGACCAACAAGAAGGAGGTTAACCCCAGTCCCCAAGATGATGTGGATCAGGGGGAGGATGGGGAGGAGCAATACGAGGAGGTCGATCTGGACGCCGACCAAGAAGATGCCAGAGATGTCAATGGGAACAAGCTGCTCGACAGCCATGGTCACGGCATGATCCGGGTATGTGACGATGAAGACACAGACAACGTGAATGTGCAGCATGAACTACAAGAGCTGGGGACTCTGGACCGGTTCTTGCGGCCGGCACAGCAACAGCAACAGCAACAGCAACATCCTCAACGAGAAGACGGCGACAGCGATGACGACGGCGACGATCGTCCAAGAACGGAGCCTCGCGCAAGCGATCCTGTCCCGAGCACGTCAAAGTCAGCGCAAACCAAACCCCCTATGAAAATATCCCTTCATGACACAACTGCACGGCCGACGGCTGGGTCTGATCGGACACGAGACGCGAAATCCCTCGGTCGGAATAGTAGTGCTCGTGGTTGCGCTCAACCAACGCCGGAAATCGGACCAGCGTCATCTTCACCTTCATCGATGCTCCAGTCCCCAGGCGAAACCACCATCACTACAACTACTACTACTACACCCGTCGCTAGCGCCTCTCTCCCAAGCACCGCAGCAGCCATGCCGACAAATACAGATGTTCCGGCCACGGTATCGTGTCCGATTTGCTCCCTCGAAAACCCCCGCCTCAACGCCACATGCATGGCCTGCGCCCACGTGCTAGACCCGCAGAAAGACCTGCGGCATTGGTCGTGTCGTAGCGAGACGTGCACGGAGACCAGGACTGCGTACTTGAATCCCGGTGACGCTGGCATCTGTGGTGTCTGTGGTGCGCGGAGGGAGACATGCTGGACTTAAGAGCCGTCAATCCCGCCGGCCCGCTGGCAGCACGGTCGATTGGGCGACGACGAGGATGGATATGGGAATGAATGTATGGTTGGATGGATGGATGGATGAATGAATGAATGAATGAAAGAGTAGGAGTCAATTAGGAGTCAGTAAGACGTAAGACTCCGTAGTGATACCCTGTACCAGTCTGTATCTGTCCCTGTACCAGTCCCTGCACCACAACTCTCAAACACAATCTGTACTTAACAGCAACAGCAACAGCAACAGCAGATATGACACAAGAGATTGTTGTATATATATACACGTATGTATGAATGACACCCTAAATATGAAATACCTACCTTAGGCACCTAGGTAGGTAAGAGGACGTCTCGCATAACCATAAGATGTAATTATATCGCTCACGTCCAATCCATATCATAGTATGGGATCATTGGGTATTAATGGAATGTTGGAATACCGTAGGTAGTAATAAGGTATACCACAAGACACGACTTGGACAGCGGCCGCTACTACCTATGTATGTATGTAACTACTCCGTACCGAGTGACATAGGTACATAGGTACCTTAGGTACATATAATAGGTGATCAATTGGTGATCGGTTGGTGATAGGCACCTTACTATTTACTATACGGAGTACGGAGTACAGAGTCCATAATCGTACAGTAGTGGTGGTAGCTAACAGCTAATAATACTACCTTACAGTACCTCCAGTACCTTACTATAGGTACGTACGTACCTACCTACCTAGGTACTCATCGACCATGACTCACAACATCATAACCTATAACCACCCCACGGATTGAAGACCAGAGCGCCGTTATTTAAGGTCAGAACAGAGACGGCAAGAGGGTTCGTTTGACTGTATCTGTATCTATCTGTGTCTGGGTGACACCAACTAAGGTAAGGCATTAGAGGAGCCCGCCAAAGAAAGGTCTATTTCTGTACAGACTCAGGGATAGGGATATTGTCATTCCAGTATCACCTTCAATCTGGTCCTCAAGTTTAGCATTGTCCTGGACAATCGTCGGCCAGTCCTCAAGCTCAACAGTGTCCTCAATTACCAAGGACTCTGTACCAAGCCACCAGACCAGAATCGAGGGACCCCGGAAAGTGGGAGGGAGAGGACACGAGTCAAAGAAGATGGACAACAACAACACCACCAACACCACCACCACGGTTACTCCCATTCCCAACAACAGCCTGACACATACCATCACAACCCTGCAATCGATCCTATCAACCACCAATCTCGACCAGGACAGACGAACTCTGCCCATCATCCCAGCAAGTGTACCGGGGCTGACGCAACTACAAGCGCACATACTGGGGACACCGACGCAGACGCAAGCTGCAAGGCTGACGGGTTCAGGTACAGGCTCCAGCTCAGAGTCAGAGTCAGACTCAAGCTCAGGCTCAGACTCAGACTCAGACGCTCTATCACGCCTGGCCACACACCTCGCCCACGACATCCTGCCGTATCTCAACCTAGCGTCCCTGTCGCCGAACTACTATGGCTTCGTCACGGGCGGCGCCACCCCGGCGGCACTCCTGGGCGATTTCCTCGCCTCCGTCTACGACCAGAACGTGCAGGTGCATCTACCGCGCGACACGGCCGCCACCGCCCTCGAAGTGGCCGCGCTGAACCGACTCGTGCGGCTGTTCAGACTGCCTGAGGCCGAGTGGGCGATTGGCGGCGCTGGGCCTGGCGGCGGCACCTTCACCACCGGCGCCACGGCGAGTAATGTGCTAGGACTGGCGCTGGGGCGGGAATACGTGCTGCGAAGGGCGCTGGAGAGGAAAACGAAAGCCGGGCTCAGTGCTGGTGCTGAAGCCGAATCGTCCTCTCCAGACGAGAGCTTCAGCTGCGGAGACTACGGCATCGCCGAACTCATGGTCCAGGCCGGCGTGCGGAGGATCCAGGTGCTGAGCACGCTGTCGCACTCGAGCATGGCCAAAGCGGCCAGCGTGGTCGGCATCGGGCGGAGGAATGTGGTTTCCATTCTGGCCGCACACAACGACAACGACAACGACACCAGCCTCAACCCACTACAAATCGACATCGACCGACTGGAGACAGAGGCTCGCAAATCCAAACAGGACGGAGGCGTGCTCAGCATCCTCACCCTATCGGCCGGCGAGGTCAACACCGGCCGCTTCGCCACCGATTCATACGACGCCATGGTGCGAGTGCGGCGGATCTGCGATGAATATGGCGTCTGGATCCACGTCGACGGTGCCTTTGGGTTGTTCGGCCGGCTCTTCGACCCTGAAGAAGAAAAGATTAACAAGGAGGAGCACGAAGAACCTAACAAGAAGGAGCACGAGGACGAATACCCCGGGTATCGTGAGATCACGCGAGCCGTGCAAGGCCTGGAACTGGCCGATTCCATCACGGCCGACTGCCACAAACTGCTCAATGTGCCTTACGACTGCGGCGTCTTCTTCACCAGACACAAGGCGCTCAGCGAGCTGGTCTTTGGCAACGGCAACGCGGCGTACCTGACGAGCGGCGCCAACAACAACGGCGGCAGTGGTGGTGATGGTGGTGACCGCATCCAGTCGCCTTTGAACATCGGCCTCGAGAATTCTCGCCGCTTCCGCGCCCTCCCAGTCTACTGCACGCTCGCCGCGTACGGCAGAGAAGGCCATCTGGACATGTTGAAACGGCAGATCGCACTGGCCCGCCGCGTGACCAAGTGGCTCCTCCAAGACGCGAGGTTTGAGGTGCTGCATGCGAGCGCGAGCGCGAGCGGCGGCGGCGATGACCACAACCACGACCACAACAACCACGACCACAACAACCACGACCACAACAACCACGACCACAACAACCACGACCACAACAACCACG